TTTCCATTGAATGCTTGGGTGCCAGCTTCGCTTATTTGTCTCATCACCTCAATCGACTTGCAACACATGTCGGCTTCTGATATTTAACATCACCGTTCGCTTGGACTATGTGCACTTTGCAATCAAACTTGCGCTCAACGTAATTTAGAAAGTGCTCAAACATTACTTCTTGAGTTCTTCCTCGAAACGTATACCATGTATTTGATCTTTGTCGGCCATTTTTCAGTACCCAGATATTTGGTGACCACGTTGTTACGCTCCATTTCCTTGCAAACCTCTTGGGGACTTATTTTCTCAAACAGCATCTGCAGTTGTCGGGAAGCTTGGCATCGAGACTTTGTCAAAACCCTTTTTCGTTTTATCATGGAATGAAATTCCGCGATGCAGCGTTCACGCACACACTTAGAGCGCTGTAAAAATGATTCAGCTTATATTTCTTAAGTACATACAGTAAGGAGGCCAAGGAGCTGCAGTATTTTTTGATTGGCGCTTGCTACCCAGACTTTTCTCGGATTGGGGCGCGCCATTGCGACCAAAAGGCAACCTAACATGGTTTGAATACGTGTCATCATACTGTTAAAGATGAGCTAACCAAGCTAAACTATAATCGTCTACTTGACTTTGTTACCGACAAGCTGCTGAACAGGTAGAAAGCCTTTAGAAGGAAAAGCCAAGTACAATGAACACGGAAGAATGAGACAGGATTTTAGAGCAATGATGGACTCGCATCAACGAAAGAAGCGCACCGCAGGACGTAGCCAATGATCACATAAAAGAAAGTAAAATAGGAAACCAATGAATCCTAGAAACGATATACAGACCAATAAGTCACAACCAAACACCCAGAAAAGGCCAGTTGGTCCCAATCTTAAAAGCAAAAAAGACCACGTGATCCCCACTTGGTGACGATACGGATACAATAGGCAGGGTATACGACAAAGCGACCAATAAGGGCGTAAGCAGATTCGTGCGATGATCTTGAGGTAATTCGTCGTGATGATAGCGATACCTACCATGCGTCAGCCTCTGGTCGAATGCAGAACTATTTGCAGCCTACTTCGGAAGGACTGTGGCCAACTCTGTTGTCTATCCAAAAAAAACGCCGATGTAAATCACACTTATCGCTCAGAATGAAAAATGAAAAGTAAGCAATACTTGATGCTTCTACCAAAGCGCTTTCTTCCATGAGTTTCCGTCTCCAAGGTCCTCAAATCCTCATACCACAGCAAGACCCTCCCGTTTTTCCCTAAGCGATCTCGGAACGCATTGCGTCGCGCCACGGCGTAGCATCTTTACACTGTACTGCTTTTGTAATTGTCCTTGGATTTGCAACCAAGCTAACCATTGTAACTGACTCATTTTTACTGCCTACGATTTACGTGGTCATGCGCGTTTTATTTAAGCGTTCTACACTAGCAGCAGCATCGCTTACTGTAAGCTGGTTATTAGCCTTCTTCTTTTTTCCGCGTTTCCTGTGCTTTATTTTTATTTGCTTGGCCGATGCACTCCTTCCGCATGGTGGTTGGCTCTTTTTCTTCAAAACATTATTTGCTCCTGTGTGTTACGTACACTTTGGATCAAACCGTAATGCTGCCATCTGCTCTTCGCCGTCCTTTCAGTTCATGGGCATCTATCTACAGTGTGTTACTATGGCTCGCCTATACTTTCAGCAGTTGTTGAAGTCGGTGACTTACCCTTTTTTCTCGAGCTGCATCCAAAACAAGTCTTACTTTCTTGCCTTTTGGCGCACCTTTTGAGAGGCTTTGGCATCTTCAAAATATAGTTAGGTACGTACTCCGTTCGTGAGTAAGCCGTCCTGCGGCATTAAGCACGAAGCTTTCACCATATAGACGGAAAATACCGATTCTTTAGCGACATGAATTATTTCTCTGACACCACACGGTCTAAATAAACTGCAAATGACAAACAGTCTGCAGCAGATCGCGTCATGATTGAAACATTGTGCCGTGATCTGCGTCCGTGTATGAAATCCAAAGGTAACGAAGTCGAATCATTTGTGCGCCGCATAAGCGGCATATTCCCCAATTATATACAACCGATAAATTCAACTAGGGAATTACGAGAGATTAGAACTAACTTAGTTCCGAAATCTCCTGTCAAAACCCGAGAAACAGATGGTCTTGATCAAGAATAAAATGACTTTAAATAGAAATGATAAAATGGACTAAAGGCACGCCATTGCAATGTACGCGGAATGTAACGGAGCTGTACGTTACGTTATAGTGTGTAAGATACATCAGTAAGAAGTACATAAGGTACACACCATATAGAAGGAGGTCCTGTTACATATATTACATAACTTTATTATGAGTTTATAGTTAATCTTGCATGTTTGGCCAATTACCGATGGCTGCAAGCAATAATAAAGTTCAGCTTGCATTTCAACCAAATAAGAGTAAGGCCTTTCTAAAATGTATATCTCTTGGGTCTTTGACCACCTGATTCCTGTATAGAAGCGTTAGCTGGTAGAACTAAGAGACTCTCTTGCCATTTGCAGCCCTGCTGCCGGCAAAAAAAATTTACACAAAAAAATAGTTAAAAAAAAAAGATTTTCATTCACCCTGCTGCACAGAGCGCCCGAATGAGCAGTTATCCGTAAGAACCACAACGAAGTAGAAGGGAAAGGTTGAAAGTCTGTGATCAACTATTCGATGCAGGTTTCCTAGCGGTATATGACCTGCGGTATCACTTGCGGAAAGCATCAAGCGCGCACAGGCGCTAGATAGAGATGTCAGGCGTCGTATTGCGTCTGCAGCAAGACCTTTGGCGTCTTTGATAGCTACCTCCGGTTTTAGAGCCGATGCGGATCGATATGCCGTCCACGAGCTCTACTTGCTATACGCAACGGAACAGCAACGAGCATCGCGTAGTCGAGCCAAATAATTGGAATTGAAATTCTGTAGTCTCTTTGGGCACCATGACTCGCAACTAACGGCTCACCTCGGTCGTATAGACACACTATGTTTTCACACAAAGTTTCTACTAGCCTCGCCAGTACAAGTAGGCACGTAAGTCCGTAAGTCAGTGCGTGAAGTCAATAGGCGCCACTCTCATCACTTTTGATTGCGTCGGATTGTTCACAGTCCACTTCAAAGGATCTTTTATTCGAACGACCGCCGGACAATAAGCATTGGACGAGTGTTAAGGACTTTATCGACCAATTCAACAAGATGTATCATCTGCTGCCTTGCTTAGAACCGTTACGATGTGCGATACAACGCGCCAGTCTGTCGACGTCCTCGTATATGGTGTCGCTGGGAAAGCAAAAAGCTATACTCGGGCGCATGCTCAGCCAGCGACAACGCAAGAGCACAAGCAGAGGGCCTTTGCAGTATTCTTTGGCGCCATCCGCTGCCGCAGTTGGCGACAACTTGCCGACAATTGTGCATGCGAAAACCAAGGTCCGTCTTAACCTAAGTGCACTCGGCAATCTCGCGTAAGCATCCCTCTTTCTTAGCTCAACGCCATACGATTTTCGGGTGCAGGCCGCAAGAGACAGATGGTGTCGAAATAGATGTGCAACTCTCTCTTTCTATTTCTATCTCTACTACTCCGTAGTTCAGCTGGATCGATTTGTTGGATTGTGCAACGAATTGTAGGATACCGTGCATGTCCGAACTCTCAAGGCCAAAATCACTTTTGAATTTGCTGAAGAAATTAAACCCACCCAGGACTAACGAGAAACTCAGAGCTTCTTGACCAGGTCAAACTATCCTGAAGTGAAGCTGAAGAAGCCAAAAATGTAGCAACGCACCGTTTACTAGTAAGCCTTGTCTTCGGCGAGTATTTAACGTTCTTCATCTACAAGGGCCACTTTACACTTATCGAATGGTAAAGTACGGCAATGAAAAAAGTGGCAGCCAAGGTAACACTTCTGGGTTATTGGTCACGGTGGTCAGGAAAAGGAAGTAAAGTAACAACTTCTTATCGAGCATTCATATTTTACACTGACGTTCGAATGTCGGACGTAATGTACACGCCTCGCAATAGTAGTCGAGGTTTGTCAATGAACCAATGTAAACGTATCGTGGCAAGCCGTATGTGTCCCCTTTTATTGCTGAGGGTGATACGCTCTGTGACCGGACTCTCAGCGCAGTGCTCGCGACCAAAAAATGCAACAGCATCCAGTTGGGCTGGCAGGATTTCAGTGGATGTAAAGAGTGTTTTATCGACGACACGATATTCTGACAACACGACGTGAAGGAAGATGTTGACGGTGGCAATTTTTTTGGCTTCAAAAGATTCTTGCATCGCATCTTTTTCAGTAAAGGCAGTTACAGTAAGGTGCTCACGCAGTAGTACATTTTACCAGCGATTGTGCCAAACGTCACGCTGTACATGTTTCCGTAGCAGATTGTATAAGCAATGTAGTGCTTATGTGAAGAAGGAAAGCCTGACCTGCCATTTTCATTACCTCAAGTCTTTAATATATGCATGTATGCCAGCTGCATGTCACACTAAAAGCAAAGGATGTGATTGGCAGAAAGGAACAACTTTCTACTAATTGCTGGTTCCAAGAGAATTAATTGGCTGCCAAAATAAACTGGGGTAGTGTAGCGCACACTACTCCATCCAGAGCGAAAGCTTTCACAGTAATGCTACCTAATCGCTTTTACCGCAACTTTAAGTTGAGTTGCGATGTCGAATATAAGTTTTGACAATTAAAAGGCTACTACCACCACGCTGATCAATCATCGCACGCGTTGAATAGTGACAATGCCAGCGCTCTGAGCAATAAATTATCCCTCTGTTTATGTATCTCAACAACTTGCGCATGGAGCACCACATGCTGAGGCAATTGCTTCATACCTGTTCTTGGTCTTCCATAGGCCACTTGGGCGTGCTCGTACACTAACTCAAGAAGTGTCTGCTGCTGGACCAAGGAAACAGCAATGTCTAGAGCGCACGAACACAACACGTGGAACGACAAAAGTTTGTATCAAAATCCCAACCATGCAGAATAAACCTCGCGACCTTGTCTATTCACTTGCAGGCGTAGTCTGCTCCTCCTTCGCTTCGCTCGCAATGACGTCCAATAACTCGTTCTTTGCTTTTTCCAGCCCTTCAAAGTCAAGCTGCTGCGATACGAACTTGTTCTGATTCCGTGGGGTCTTTTGCAGCCGTTCTCGGAGTTCCGTCCACTGCATAAAAGCATACAAACACTCAAGAAACCACACATCCACTTCCATCAACACTAAACATGTCTTACACTAGTTACTCCAATAGCAGCAGCAATTCCTCCCACCAGCAAACAGCAACTGGTTACTGAGACGACAGTCACACCGAGCAGAGCCTTTGAGGCCGCTATACCTGGCGGTAGAGACTTGTCCAGCGTTAATTTACGCTCAAAAGTGGCCGCAGTTTTCGGTAAGATCGCTTTTTTACGGCTTGAAATCTTGTCCAAACTCTTTTCTTCCTCTGCCAGTGCCTTCTGTTGCTTTGTCATGCCATAGTAGAATCCTACAGCACAATATTACAACATCAAAATGGTCTTATAAGACGAAACAAATACAAGTTTTACACTCAACAGCAGCTACAAGTAATTGTATAAGTACGTACCTCCTCCCAAAAATACTGCAGCGACTATTGATACCGCTGTAGACACAATTCGCATCGCTCTTTGTGGCTCTGACGCTGTCACCTCTTTGTCTCTAGCATTGCTCATTGTCTACAGATAATTTGACAATAAGGATTCCTTATTGTTAAAATTGAGGTAAAAATGTACTTTCAGCCAATACATATGCTTCAATCTGAGTCCAGCGTTATCCGTACAATTGCAACACCATGATATCATGTATAAGGCGACAGGTGCTCGTTGATACACGTCGCTTTCTGAGCTCTAGACGTAATGTAGAGAACTTCACGTCACTTGCGTGTGCTCTTCAAGTTTTCTACAAGAAGTATAATCATTTTCTAGTACCTTATAGCTTCCACATTCCTCAAAAAGAGGCTTCAAACTCCACTGACTCATGGCCGGAACAGACTCACGGAATGAATTTAGGCCGCGAAATTCGCAGGTTCATCGACCAATCAAGTGCTAAAAGCTCACGGAAGCTTGAGAATGTGCGTCGACAGTTGGATGCCATTGGGTTCCCTCAAATTTGCGACTGGAAGCGCTACCAATGGAAAGAATTGTTACTTGCAGCTTTGATACAGTACAAGAAGATCAAGGGCGACTTATTGGTGCCTGGTAAGTTTGTGGTACCAGAAGGAGATGATCAATGGCCACGATCTACGTGGGGGCTGAAATTAGGCTCTCACGTAAACTTCCTACGCTACAAACGGGATAGTTTAATCAAGTACAAGATTAAGGATCTCGACGACATTGGGTTCGTCTGGGTAGTAGCAGACTATAACTGGGATATGCTAGTGATGCCAGCGTTACGACATTATCAAGAAATATATGGGCACTGCAATGTGCCACAGAATTTTGTAGTTGGCGAAGGTGACGAAAATGGATCATCGGATCGGTGGCCGCAAGAGCTGATAGGATACCGGCTGGGAGCGACAGTGAACCGCATACGAGCCGGTTCGGCGTATGCAGCGCACGTGAATTGTGACCGAAAAAAGCTTAGAGCTTTGGGCTTTTACCATCATAGTCGCGATCATACATGGGCAAAAACAATCTTGCCAGCTTTTGAGACGTATCATCGTATCTATGGAAACTGCAACATCGATACGCTGTTTATTGTGCCAGAAGATGAGCCATGGCCACCGTCGACGTGGGGCATGCGTCTTGGTTTTATTGCGCGGAATATTCGAAACCGTGGTGACTACTTTTTACAAGTTGCAAAGGACGTTGAAAAGCTGAAGAAAATCGGGTTTGTGTGGAACGTAGTAGCAACGAAGTGGGAGAACGCGGTGATGCCTGCTTTGAATACCTACGTGCACAAGTATGGAAATAGTGAGATTCCAGCAAACTTTGTGGTCCCATGTGAAAATCCTTGGCCAACGCCGTCACATGGATTGAAACTGGGGGAACTAGCAACAAGCGTATCGCAACGAAAGCAATTCATTGACTTTATCGAGATTGATCGCATACAATTGGAAGCACTTGGTTTTTTCTGGTCACCGTTGGGACTTGATGAGATCAATGAAAGTGACGAGTTCTATTTGTAATCAAAGTGTCATCTGATGTGTCGAAGAAAAGCCTGGGAGGCTACAATGGTATTGTCTACCAATCTCGACCATTTCTTGTATCGCAACTTCTCGCCCTGATCCTCAGAATGTATCTGCTGTCACATGAGCCCAATTGCCATCAATTGATCTTGATCTTTGTTCATATTGTTTCACATCGATGACGATTTCTTGTCTGAAGCTAGCGTCTCGTCCTTTTTCACCGTTCCACGGTATCGAGCTGTGCGGTCTCGTCCCTTTTGCGCCATTGAACTGTATCGAGGCAGGTAAATACCCAATGCGCCTTGACCATGATCAAAAATAAGGTGTTAGATAGAAGTAAATTACACATGACGTCCAAGAAATTACACATGACGTCCAATAAATTACACATAATGTCCAGTACCTGCTACGCCTACTAAAGTCACGCCGAAGCCAACGATCACAATTTGACTCTTTTTCATGAAATGAAAGACTAATTTGCCACTTCCAAGACACAAAAAAGGATGTCGCATCAAAATTTGGGCTGACACAAATTTGCATTGACATACACGTAAAGTTTTGTGCATTTGGTCTTTCGTATCTGGACTATTTCTTTTTTTGCTGAATATGGTCGTAAGTTTAGCTGAGGAGGTCTTGAGTGGCGTATTGCAAGCTGCTGAACAACTCCAAGGCGCCGTAGTAGCTGCTGAAACTAGCTGTACTGAAAGCTTACGATGGTCTGGAGCTTTACCGCTGTTACTGCGAGATTTGGGCGTTCAGAACGTTCTTCAAGCCGAAGATTTACTCTCTTGCGAGACACCCGAGATGTTGCGTCGCCTATTGAGCGTCCAGGATGTAAACAAGAAAGTTTGTCATGTGGCATTAATGCTCTCGGGATTTTTATGGGACTATGAGACTTTGCTGCAGCGGCTGCTAGCGCTGGGCGTCGTCAGTCGCCTCACAATCTGCAGTAGCCTCTCGGAGCGTGCGCACGAGTGTTACGACTTCAGTAAAGCAGGACAAGACGCTACAACTGTTGCTACAGGAGCTAGAGCGGATAAGGTTATGAATTTTGAGGATTTTGCTCAAGAATTGAACCAGAATGCAATGTTTCCAATGGAGAATAGAGCAAAAGCGACAAAGGAAGAAAGGTGGGGCTGGGACGACACAGAGACAGAGACATTAGCTGCTGTAAGAGACGTGCAGATAATTCACTTGCCTCTTAATGTAGTGCCATTGCTGTCGACTAAGCCATTTAGTCCAGAGCCCTCAGTGTTTGTAGTAGCACAGCCGACATGTGCGGCAGCTTTCCCGTTACTATTACATCAAGTGAAAAAGATTAAGATGACGTCTCTTTTATCACCAACGGAACAAGGAGGAAGCACGCTCAATCCTGTGGAAGGTGGCAACATGTACGCACATGTCAAGGACGTGCTGCCAGAGCATATTCCGACTCCATTTCGGAGATCGATGAGGTTATTAGCGTATACCCTTGCGGAAATGATGGTTGGAGCTAGAATGGATGTCAAGGAACGCATCTTTGCTGTTGGCGCGACATCACTTAAGATAGGGCATACGCTGTTGCATATTTTGAATGAGTCAAAAGAGGAAGCGACTTCTGCAGCGCGTCAAGACCAACAGGCTGCTTCAATGGTAATTGTTGATCGGTACGAAGCAGTATGCTTGTGTGAGGAAGTGAGCGGTTTACTTACTGATCATATGTACGTCTTTGCGTGTGTTAGAACGAGCGACTTAGCGACGCCATGCTCTTTCGGTGGCTCTCTTCTTGATCGTATCCTGGCACTCTTGCCCCAAACGCCTACCAAGTCTACTGCAGGAGAAAAAACGGCTGCACCAAGTGCGAAGGTACGCTGTGCAACCATAGATTCCTACGCACGAAAGCATTGAGCTAACAATGTGGTGTGATAGTCAAAGACGCGAGAGAAATTGAGCGTGACCGACATTTTTCCGCTTCACGGATGCGAGCCAACCCCGCTGTCGATATCAGCACCACTTGCTGCAGCATTTGACGAGTTTAAGTACCTGCCGTCGAAGTTTGTTTCTCAAATTAAGTGGAAGGGTGGAGCCAGTTTGTGTCATCCAACTATACCTCACGGTTCGAATGGGTTTCGATTCCTAGCCTTTAGACCGGCAAAGCTTGCGCTACGCGATCTTGACAAGCGGCTACAGGCAGTAGAGCAAGATTTGTTGCAACAGGGAATAATTCATAAAACTGCTGTCACACGTAAACATGGGGAAAAGATTCGTGGACGTGATGTTGTTTTGCGCCGAATTAGCAAAATATTGGAGGCTGGTGAGCCTACAGACCTTGAACATAGCTCACTAATTGAGCTCGGCGTGATCGTTTTAGAAACATTGGAGCGGATGGACCAGTCGCAAAAGCGGTGGGATGAATGCCGTAAGCGAGTAATGCGACAACTGGAGCTTCGAAAACAAGGAGGTTGCGAGTGGATTCTTCCTGAAGTTGTTGATGTAATGCAACGTCAGATGTCTCCAGTGCAGTCGGGCACATCACCAACTGACAAGGAAACCATGTCGCTGCAGGATTTGCTCACGCTACTGGTAAATGCGTTCGCCCTCTCGTTTGATGCACCACTGGAAGACTTTACCATCCAAATGGTACAAAAGGCTCTTGTTCAAACCATTATGCAGGTACATTTTTTCCACTTATCATGATGGAGCTAAATTAATCACCACTAACTTTTTGCTGTTCAATGTACATTTTAGAGTGTAAAAGCAAATCCGCTATCCGTGCAAAGTGCCCTTCCAAAGTTATTTGATCGGCTATCTTTTTACGTTGGCACAAATGGCTCACGTGAACATGTTGGTTTAGATGACATTAACACTGAAGTTGATGCCGCTGAAGGTGATGACTGGGATTGGGTTGACAGTAGCAAATCGCCAACGGCATTGATAGACACATCCACCAGCCACAATGATGACGACATTCAGCTGATTGAGGCAATGTCAGTTGTTGAAACTTATGTGGAGCACTTGATGAGTCCTTTGAAGGTAACACTAGCTATCTTTGTTAATGTAATGCGCGCTAGTTGCTTTTGATGACGATTCAATTGCTCTGTACAATTTTTTTTGTTACGTCAGGACTGTGGGCAGCAGTATACAAAAGTCAATGACGAGGACGCAACACTAAAGGATGCTGATTTCTCGCTCATACCGAACTCCTTGATCACACAGCTCTGTAGATCTATTGTGGACCCATCAGGGGTGCCTATTACAGAGATTCAGCACGTGCGTAGCATGCTGATTCAATGCTCGTCCATGATGCACTTGCAATATTGCTAATGGCTGCATTTATTGGTTGTCAATGGTGCTCTGTAGGTCGTTGATGCGTCCGAACAGCTGACACGTGCCGGAATCGATCTTCTGAGAAGCGGGTTTAGCAAGTTTGGGTTTGGCTTGGGTGACGGCAGTGCCGGTGACTATCGCAGCACCAGTACGAACAGGTTATTGGGTGATTCAAACATCATTGTGGTGTTTGTGGTTGGAGGCATCACTTTCGAGGAGGTAACTATTTGGCCTTTTGTTTTACATGTGAATCTAATGCACTCGCACAGCATTGACTTGACACGAATACTGCTTGTTGATTATATGTAGATTCAGGAAGTGCACGATGCGCTGAGCGAGAATACCAAGTATCAAATTATTCTCGGTGGAACCACGATCACAAACAGCGAGATCATATTGAAGCAGCTGTTTGACTTGTAACAGGGGAAGCGGTACAGAAGGTGAGGAATTTGCGGCCCAAATCTGTTCGATTGTTGAGTGTGTGTGTGGTTGCGCAGGATGTGGTCGCAACGGTGTTTTTTCATGTGAAAATTGGAACCATGAGGTTGCTCCCCGGTTTTTAGACAAAGGACAACAGTGCAAAGAGGCTGGTGTTCGCCCAATGGCTTGGCTTTCCTTCTAATAGAATTGAACAAGGTTGTGGCGAGAGCACCTTATAGCTTGTCACGTATTGTGCTCTCTGGTGTCGTGCGTTCTGATGCGCAACGGCAAACCGTCATTGACCTAAATTATGTTGCTATCAAGGCCTGCGACTGCATTTGATAGGTGCAATGGAGTATCGGTGAGCTTGGAATACGTTGCTTGATCAGTCTCATGTTTTACACAAATCATTAGCACCTGCAGCGCTTATTTTTCATCGCCAGCTTTGCGTTTCCTACTGTGTTCGCTCAAGCAGTCCAGGAAGGCGGATGAAAAAACCGGCGCAGACATAAAATGATGCAAATTAGAGATTACGCTCCGACACTCCTGCATCTAGTTCATGGCCCACGAAGCTTCACTTGAATTGACGTTCGTAGCCTCTGAACGTGTTGCAAGTGCCTAAACTTAGTTCGTCTTGCGGCCATTCACGTCCGCGATAAACTTCGCGTAGAGCAGACTGTCTCGACCCGCATCCATGTTAGCCATCGCCAAGACAGCGCCAAGTAACAAAGCACCTAGCATCACCGACGTCCACAAGATGATCTGGTACTCGGCAATATCGGGTATTGACACTGATCCAGGAATTGACGAGTTGGTCGCGCTTGTAAAATCGTCGTCATCTTCCAAAAGACTGCCACCCGCCGCATCCAGTTCCGTCAAGTCTTTCTCTTCGTCAATTTCCTCGTCAGTCTTTTCGTCCGTCTCCTTGTTTTTGTCTTCATCGCCACCTTCATCATCTTCTCCATCATCCTCACCGCTCTCGTCTTCCTTGTCTGTCGGACTCGACGCCAACTTTCTGTTCCGTGCACGACGAGACAGTGCCGTAGCTTGTTGCACTGCAGTCGGTAGCCTACCCATCATAACTTGAGCGGCAGCTACCTGCTTTGAGTTCATCAACTGAGTCAGAAACTCCGTCACAACTGTTGTTACGGTCTGTTGCGCAAGCCTTTGCTTGTCTCCGTGTAGACTCGAGATCCCCACAATATACAGCATCTTGTCGTCTCCATGCTGCTTCAACTCAGCTGTGAGTTGCATCACCTGCGCCAATTGCTTTGCAAAGACAACATCCTGTTCATCTCTGGAGTTTAAGAAGCTGTTATCTGCTAGCACTTGTTGCAGTAATTCCGCACTTTCAGAAAGTGTGGAGACCTTAACACTTGCACAAAGTGCTGCATTACCAGCACAGTAAGCTGCTGAATGGTATTTGAGCTGAAATTTCTGTGCTACAGCCACCGGAACCTTTACATTACACGTTTCAGCTGGATACAGCTCGTGGAACACATTCACATCGCTTAAATGGGCGTTTATAGCCTCCAAACTAGCTGTTGACTCATCTTCTACTATCAACAAAGCGTATAATTTACTGTGAGCAAAAATATCAGCCTGAAGCGGGCTCTGGACGGCTGAACGTGAAGAAACTCGTCCGGTGCGGAGACCGAGCGAGTTGAGCGCTAAATCGGTCAATCCGGCAGGAGAAAAAGTCGAAGAAGCGTGAGTTTCATGCCATAATGGAGAAAGCGACTTTCCTAGTACTAGAACGCGACCAGCAGACACGATGGACGCTGTAAGAGCTGCTATAGAGAGCTGGAAGAGTGGATACATGACCGGCGAGTGAGCTGTGGATCTGCGAGGTGGCAAAATGAAGAGCGATATGATTCGTTATAAAAACGAATTTAATTGGGTGATGTGATACGAGTTTCATCCAATCATATTTCATAACATCGCACTCTCACGTCCTTAGATGCCTTGACAATGCTGGACCTCATTCCTGGTCCCACTCGGATGCTTCCTAATGTTTTACAAGCTTTAGGATCTTCATGTGGCTCTTCAGATATTGATGCGTCATTTTGGGACGATTACTTGGCTCTAGAATGTCATTTACAGAGCATTCTCCATGCCAAGAGCTGTAGTATCGTTATCCAGTCAGGAGAAGCTATGTTAGCTCTATGGGGTGCTCTTAAGAGCACTATCAAGCCCGGGGATGTCGTCGTATGTGCATCCAATGGAATCTACGGTGATGGATTTGCAGACATGGCCAAAGCGCTTGGAGCTAACGTTACTGTGGTGAAAAGTGACTGGCGTAAAACCGTCGACGTGGATGCTTTGTGCGCTGAGATTCGTCGCTGCAATCCAAAGCTAGTGACAGCAGTACACTGTGAAACACCAAGTGGTGTACTCAACAATTTGAATGGTGTTGGAGATGCTGTAGCTACCTATACGACGGATGGACTCTTTTTAGTTGATTTTGTGTCGAGTGCAGGAGGTGCTTTGCTGAATGTCGATGCGTGGAAGATCGATTTGGGTTTGTTTGGTCCTCAAAAAGCTCTTTCAGGACCTCCAGCGCTGGCGTGTACGACAGTAAGTGAGAAGGCGTGGAAACGCATTAATGACGTTCAATACGTAGGATATGATGCCTTGCAGCCGTTCTACCGAGTAGCTCTTCAGGAGCCGCGTCTGCTGCCGTATACACACAACTGGCAGGCGATTCGTGCGACTCTTGTTGCTTGTGAGAATATCAAACAAGAAGGTGGCATTGACGCTGTCTTGTGCCGACATGCTGAGGTGAGCGCATTTGCGCGTCGTGAAGTGCAAGAGACTCTAAAACTCAAGCTCTATGGCGATGAGAGTGCGGCTAGTCCGACTGTCACTGCTTTTGAACTGCCTGAGGGCATTGAATGGAATGCACTACAGGGAGAACTTTGTGCACAAAAGCTGCATGTTGGTGGTTCTTACGGACCGCTAAAGGACAGAGTACTGCGCTTAGGCCACATGGGCACACAAGCGAACAAAGAGGTTGTAGCCAAGGCGATTGAGATTATTCGTGCTGCGCTAGAGAAGCTGAGACAGATGCAAGACCGTGATTGAATTGCACTGTGTTTTAGCAAGACGCAATAAGTTGTCCTGCTGATCGAGAGTGAAAGATGTAGTGTATCAAGAACATGTATATAAAATTCGATAAACCAAGTGTCCAATGCCTAAAACATCGGTCACTTGCCCTCGTTCTTCCAGTGTTCAACAAGTGCCTTGAACAGACCGTCCTGTTTCTTCTGGAGCGCCTTTGGAGTATCAAATTCACCCACAGCACCACGTTCCATAACAAGGATGCGATCCGCGTCAAGAATTGTGTTAATGCGATGTGCAATTGTAAGGCAAGTGCAGTCGCGGAACTCTTCACGGATGCTGCGTTGAATTTTTCGATCAGTTTCCATATCAATCGAGGCTGTAGCCTCGTCCATGAGAATAATGCGCGAGCGTTTAAGCAAAGCGCGAGCAATACAAAGCAGTTGGCGCTCACCAACGCTGAAGTTGGAACCCTTCTCGTCCACAACACCATCCAGCGCAGTCACCACGTGCGCAAGATGAGCCCGGCGTAGGGATGTCCATATCTGCTCGTCAGTATACTGATCAAATGGGTCCACGTTGCTGCGCACTGTCCCAGAGAAGAGTACTGGATCCTGGGGAATGATTGAGATCTTGTTGCGTAACTCGTGCAATCCGATCGTGCCAATATCCAGTCCATCGATGACAATCGAGCCGCTGTCCAATTCCACCAGGCGCATAAGCGCCACGATGAGGCTGGACTTGCCGGCACCCGTGCGACCTACAATGCCGATCTTTTCCTGGGGACGGATGAAGAAAGACAAGTTGCGCAAGACACGAGGTAGGCCGGTGCGATAGCGTACATTCACGTTGCGAAATTCAATAGCGCCTGCAGAGGGCCATTCCTGAGCAGGAGGAAGCTTGCCCACACTGGTGAGCTCGGCCTCTGTGTCCATAATGGTGTACTTCTGAATGCGTTCCACAGATATCATCTGCGTCTGCAACTGACTTAGCATACGCACAGACCAATTTAGCGACTGCGTCACACTGAATGCGTATGTAAGAGAGACGCCTGCCAGGCCGGCAAAAGCTGCCCCACGCTCCGGGTTCGAGCTGTGGGCTAAAACAGCAGTCAACGCTGCAAAGGCCGCGATAAGTGTGCCAGCAAACTCAAGTCGCAACGCCAGCCAGCAGTTTACAGCAAAGTTTAAAAAGTAGGCACGCTGGTTTCGGTCAATCAACTCTTCATTCTGCGTTGAAAATTGAGTCTCAGCACGATACGCACGAATAGTTGGCAAGCCGTCGAGGGTCTCGGACAGCAGGGCGAACACAGGAGAACGACTGATCGAGTCCAAGCGCTGTAGCTCGCGCGAAGTCTTGATAAAGTAGCGCTGCGAAGTGTAATAACCAACTAAAATGGGAAGAAGAATGATCATGAAAATTGGAGTGACGTAAGAAATAGTGGCCAATGTCACCAATACGCTGATGAAGGTATTGAGAAGCATACTCCACGTAGCAGGAATGCTCTCATCCACAGTGTATACGTCCTTGGACAAACGATTAATAATGCGACCTGTTGGTGTTGTGTCAAAAAAAGAAATTGGAGCACGTAGAATGCGAGCCAGTAGGTGCTGGAATAGCGACCGACTTGCACGCAAACCGCCCTTGTATGTGGCAATTGCACGTACGTACAGTGCCACAGCGTATACTCCGTTTAGGCCCATGTACACATACACGTAAAACATCTGCGATGGATGAGACACAAGCTGGTTGTCGTTGTTCTTAGGCTGAGGCTCTTCCGACCACAATGAAAGCCACCACGTTGATAACAAATTCAAAAGCTGGGTACCGATAAATACGACAAGTACCAGTAGACCAGCCGGATATCCGCCAAACGCCATGATCCATGTCTTGTACACGTGCCAAGCAACATCACCTACAGACCGGTCTTCGTCGGTGATCAATTGAGTCTCACCAGCTGTTTCGCTTATCGAACGTTCGCTTCGCACAGACGAACGACTGAGTCTATGGCCTCGGTGTCCGGGTGTCAAGCAATCCTCTTCCTCCTCCTCTAACTCATCAACGGTGTTCCCTACCGCCTCAATGGCGTGTGGCTTTTGCGGATCTCGATCTTTGTATTTGGCCAAAAAGTCCATCGGAAGTCCACTTTCCTTAGCCATGAGGTGTTTGTAAGTACCTTCTTCCACGATCAAGCCGTTTTCTAAAACCATAATCTTGTCACATTCACTCAGAAATGTCAGACCATGCGTGACTAAAATCACCAGTTTATTCTTCAAGCAATTTTTAATGCATTCCTTGAAAATATCATGCCCGACATGGCTGTCTACAGCCGACAAAATATCATCCAACAGGTAAATATCGGCATCTTGGTATACAGCGCGGGCAAGGGCTACGCGAGTGCGCTGCCCGCCACTGAGGTTGATTCCTTTCTCACCAATCTCTGTAAGATCTCTGCCAGGCAGCACGGCCAGATCCTTCTGCATTGAACTAACCCGTAGTGCATTGGCATACTTTCCCTCGTCGAATGGGAGACCGAAGCAAATGTTCTCACGAACTGTTGCGTTCTGAATAAATGGCTGCTGCGAGACGTAGGCTACAGATCCAAGAAGGTTCACCTTGCCGCGACTGCATCGTGCGTCGCCTAATATTCCACTAAGAAGCGTGGACTTGCCGGCGCCCACGTGGCCAACTACGGCAATCAGATCACCCAAATGAGCCTCCAATGATACATTTTGCAAAACAGGCACACTGTCACCATCTCCCAGTGCATCCTTATCCAATAACGAATCCTCCTGCAGCAAACTGTCCTCTTCGAGCGTTTTTGGTGTCATGTCCCACATGAAATCAGCATTGCTCACGCGAATACCTGGGCTATCTAAATCTCCAGGCTTAACTTTCTCGCGTTCCTCTTCCAGAAAGTACGAGCTCAAGCGATCGACGCTTACACTGGCCTCAACAATTGAATTGAGTACCTGTGGTAACAAGAATAATGGAAAGCGGAGGATATTAAACAGTGCCAGTGACGTGAGAGCCGTTCCCACGTCCAGTGTGTTGCCAAGCATGACATAAGCGTAGAAAGATGCCACCGTTACTAGCGAAGGAATTGCCGAAAAGAGCGTCATGGATGCACTACGTGCGTATATGTAAGTGCGAAGCTTATCAAGCTCCTCACTACGATATTCCAGCACCCGTTTGGTGAACGAATTTTCCCACGCCTGCAACTTGATTACCTTTATCCCAGCCAGTACTTCATTGCAGATCTTGATACGTTCGTCCTTCACCTCCATCAACTTTAGCTGCAGACGTCGCATGAGTTTAGTAATCCCCGCTGTAACCGGCAGCATCAAGATAATTACTGCGACACCTGCAAAGGTAGCAAGGCCAATCTGCTTCCAGAGCAAATAGCACGCCGTCACGATTTGAAAAACAGAAAACCAGACACTGTTGATAAACGTTGATAAGTCTTGAAGCCTTTGAGCGTCGATAGACATAAGGTTAGTAATCTCTCCAGTCGTCTTCTTCTGTCTCGCTGCAGCAGATAGGACCAGACTTTTGTTATACACTGCAGTACACACAGCCGATCGAATTCTCATCCCAGCTTCAAAACAGTTGAAGAAATAGTTTCGCAACAAGAACGATTGCATTACACCCGATCCAAACACAATAGCTGCATACATCAGTCCTTCACTCAATTGAGCCTCTGGATTCTGCAAGTATGCAATGATCTCCTTAATCAACATAGGACCCACAAACTGTAGCGAATCATGAACAAGTTTTAACAATCCTGCTTTGGCAATTTGTCCTCCAAAACAAGATACTAATGCCCAGACGAGACTCGGTTTGCCACCCTGACGTGTTTTAGCACACTGTTTCTTCCAAGCTTTTTGAAACGCTGTAGAAACCTCATGTGCTTGATTAACACGATCTAAAAGGTATAAATCGTCGTGTTCTAATGGACGTTGATTGCCTAATTCCATCAATGGTGTTACCCATGAAAAAAGAGCGGAAGAAATGCACGTGGCGTCTTGAGTCGGGTACCTGTCACCTAGACCAGAGAAAGGAGTATGATGATTAAAAGACCCATGAGTCCGTGTCAGTAGGGGTTGCTTTTCCCCTTCGGACAGTGCTTCCTTCTTAATCACGTGTAGATTTCCAGTCATATTATTACACGTGTGGACTACCTCAGTCTGTCCTTCACTCACGTCTGGGGTCGAAAGCAAAAGCGAGAATGCGGACAAGTCGCTGCAATGTGAGACAAAGTGGCTACATTTGTTTGCGTCATTTATTGACCATCACTCCTGTATTTACAGGTGATTGCGTCATTTATTGACCATCACTCCTGTATTTACAGGTGATTGCGTCATTTATTGACCATCACTCCTGTAAATACTCCTGTTGTAAATACAGGAGTGATGGTCAATAAATGACGCAATCAAAAAAGAAAAGGTTACGCGTAACCTCGTTTTAACCTCAAGAGATGGAGCAATATTTGCTGCAGCTGCCAAAGCGTCTTGCGCAGGAAGTACGTGCCGGTATTGCAACGGGTGACTTTACAAATGTAAACATGGTTTCAGGTGGTACGTGGTACTATATTTTGCCGGCTGTAGCGACGCTAGAAGACAAGAAATAAGAGTGTAACGATGAAAAGTAGAAAATGGGTCTGACGCGTTTGACATGGCGTTCTTTTCGCCTTCTTTGCGCTATTATTGAAGCGGACAACAAGCATTTCACACTTCATGTAAATGGCAAAGAGTACCCAGCCAAGATCAGTACGTTAATTGCTGCTTAATGAATTGTGAGTGTAACTACAGGCGGGAACTAACGTGCCTTGGTGCTCTTGTCTACAAACTGCAGCGCAATTGCCATGTATTCTCGAGACACACAAGACTTATGATGATAACTTTTTCTACAAAAGTGGGGAGATTGGACAGGTGAGGTGGATGTTTGTATCGAGTTTAATTCACCTTGAAAAGGTGGTGCCAATTGACAAAAGCTGCGTAGATTTTCGTGGTAACGGATAAGGAGGAAGAGAAAAAGCTACTGGAGACACAAGAAGAAGTACCAAGTGGGATTACACCGCCAAATACAAACGTCATCAAGCGTAAATACGAGAAGACCAAGAAGACCACGCCTTTTCCGGTACGTGTTTTGGCTCCGTATTACGTTTGTATGTATTTGACAGTTTACGTTTGGAACTCATTGTGTTTGTGCTCTTGTTGCTTGTGCGGTGAGCAGAAGCCTGATGTCGCTCGGGTGGAAGAAGATTTGGTAAAGATTATTGCTGGTGGGGTGATTGAAGATGTGCACGAGGAGCTGGTGGACTTCTACGATTGGATGGCAGATGACGAGCATCCAAATGGTATTACAGTGACAGACGAGATGGAGCTTATTCGTGAGCACCCAGAGTATCTCACTCTATCGGAAGAACATCCGGCAAAGCAGCAGAAGCTAACGCCGCCTAGTGCAGGCAGTAGCATAATGCCAGGAACGGCCAACGCGTCAATCGTAAACACACCACTTACCACCGATGTTGGTTCCGAGGCCGAGTCACAAACTGACGGACAGGCTTCTGTGCAGCGCTCTCCGGCTTTCGCGCCGACGTCGAGTCCTAGACTCTCACCTATGCAGCTGCATTCATCTACTAGTCGCGACCAAGACGAGGAAAAGGAGGTGGACATGCTGGAGGATGACATTCTGGGTGACATGGAAACGAAACCAGCCCCACCACCTCGGCAGAAGGCATACTTGACGGACCCGGGCTACCTCAAACTATTGCCGATCCGAGAGCGGTTACAGAAGTCGGTACGCGATGCCGACTGCGATATAAGCGGGCTCCAGGCCAAGGTCGACGCCAATTCCAACATCATTGTCAAGGTGAGGGCGTCTTTTCATTTTGTACAATTTACTTATCGCACTGACACACTTATGCCAACTATGTGTATCTTCAGAATCGCTTCAAGCAAATGCTTGAGGCAGCGCTTAAGCAGCGAGCCAAAATTGCGACGGAGTTGGACAACGTCACAGCCGAAATTTCTGCTTTTGAGTCGAGCTGAAAAGCATCTGGTCCAACTAACCTACTCCCACAGCTTTTTTGTTACGATTGTCACTCAGCTTCTAACGGCTTTGCGTTGTCGGCCAAGCTGTTCAGGTTACAGGAATGTGCTAGTCTTCAGCCTCACAAGTGCGATGACGTTCTGACACACTTGCTGAGTAGCTGTTTTCTGATGTGCGGGAGTGGCATTAACAATGTAGTTTTCTCCTGCTCAGTGTACAAATGCAAGTCTTCTCCTGCCAACCTTACCTTGCATGACATACATCACAAGACGCTTAAAGGACTCAAGGATCAAGTCGTCAACCTCTTGCTTTTGATAATTTGTCTTCTTGGTCCTCTGTTGCTGCTTTACTAGAGTAATCTCAATGGATTGACATGAGGCAGGGAGAATGTGGCAAAAAGCCTCTTGTTACAGAGTTCAGTAACAAGATAGGAGGACAAAAGAATACGGCAGCACTAGCACCAGCTTTCTATTGCTGATGTTTCCACTTGAGCAGAGCTTGAACTTGTTCCTCGTTCAAGTTGAGGCCAGCAATCTTCTTAAGTCCCTCCTTATCATGTTCCACGTGGTCTTTATAGCCTTTTTTGTCCACAGCATCCGTCTGACCCTTCATCTTCTGTAGCAGCTTGCGCAGAGCTTTTTCGTCCTCCTTACTGCAATATTTCACAAAAATAATAGAAAATTGTTAAAATTTCACATTAGGCTCTTCTTCTCTGGTTTTTTGTATGGTCGTACTTGAAGAAGACGGCTTCCGCAGCCTTTTCCTTCTCGTGCATGTTGGTAAGGCCCATGATTTGTCCCATTGGCGACACAAAAGCGATGCGCTTCGAGACAGCAGCGGCAGCACTACGAATAGCTAGCATGGTGTTCTCTCTCAACTTCTAGCTGCTGGTGTTGTTCTAGACTGGCCGATTGATTCCAACCGCTTGACTTTTTACGTAAAAAGTCAAACAGACGCGAGGCAGCTTGAGGTTGACAGAATACTACGCCCTTACAAACAGAAACTCAAAATTGGTCCACGCAGAATCAAGCGGACAAAAAAACATGTCAAACTGATCTTGAAGCGCCGCGATTTATTTATAAAGACCTTTTCTATATTTACAACAGTATAATCAATAAATTACATTATTACAAAACTATCCATCATGTGCTCAGCATTTCAACCAATCAACTGATCGCATGAGAATTTGCCATTGCAAATGAGTGTCAGTGACTGGAGCATTAGCGAGCACGATGACGATGTTACGATGTGGTCTACTGCACGACTTGCAGAAGAAGGCGTGGCTTATCGTGTCGTGTAAGTGTAAATTAACTATCTTTCCTATCTATTCATGTACTTATATTCTCATCTTTGTCTATCTAGAAACGTACTAGGCAGTGGCTTTGTGAATGACCGAGTGGACATTCAGCAATTGGCGCTATTGGTACGCAATGCAGACTATTCACCACGAGTACGTAGTGCGCTTTAATTTCATGTTACTATCTGATTAGTAGAGTACTATATAACATAGCTGAAGGATTAAAATGACAAAAAATCTGGTGTTTACAGGGCTTTAATGCATTGGTAATGCGGTTCCAAACGCCACGTGCGACGGTTCTTGTCTACAAAAGTGGAAAGGTGCACTCTATTGCGTCGTAAAGATGATGATAAAATGGTGTAGTATCATTGTGTTTATGTGGTTTGCAGTATGTTGTGATAGGAGCTACGAGTGTGGAAGGTGCAAAGCTAGCAGCCGATAAACTGATCTCTATTTTGAAGGTGATGTTTTGATATTTTGTCAAGGTGCAGTATTTCTTCGGCTGGCGATGATATTTAATGTGTGCTGGCGGTGTTGCAATGTACTGCTTTATGGTGCAGAAAGTGTCATTTCCTAGCGATAGTAGTCCATTTACTATTCGCAACGTAGTGGGTTCGACCGACGTTTGCTTCAAAATACGCCTGGAAGGCTTGGCACGAGATCACATCCGTTTCAGCACAGTAGGTTGTCATTGTTGTTTACGCGTGGTGTTAATGGATGAGGCAAAGTAATTTTTGGGTGCATGTATTTGGTTGCACGCAGTATGAACCAGAAATGTTTCCAGGACTAATCTATCGGATGCTACAACCAAAATGTACACTATTGATTTTCGTATCCGGCAAAATTGTTATTACTGGATGCGAGGTGGGAATACGTAGTCACTTGTACAGGAAACTGAATGCATCACTAATCAAAGCTAGTTGCGTTATGGGACTTTAGACAACTGCCGACGGAGAAAAGGCGATTGGAAAAATATTTCCTGTTCTGTTGCAATACCGATTACGCGAAGACGACTCCGATGATGCTGATGCTGATGACGAAACAACCAACGACGAGTAGCACAAGCTGTTCCCTATTTAACGAGCTGCGAGTAAGTAGACCTAGTTACAATATTCGCTACTGCGCTCAATGTGATATCTCTTCTCGTATAGACCCGCACAGAAAATCAAGCAATGCTCTCCAAGCCACTTGCATATGCTTGGAAGTACAACATCAGCACTTTATCGTCTTGATCAGGTAAGGAGGCTCTGCATTCAGTGAAAGAGATTAGGCTAAATAGTTGTACATCTGGGCGTTGCTCGAGTCTCGCTCGAGGTATTCTCTGTCAATGAGACTCTCAATACGGCGTTTGATATCAGCAGCCTTTGCAGGGAACTTCACTTGCGTGAAAATCTCAGTCATTAGCAGTGCGTGCGATAGCTTCTTGCGCGCCTTCATGATACGCACAATCGCAGCATCCACTTGGTACTGGCGATCCCGAAATACGCGCTCATGTGTGTCTTCATTCTCCTTCTTGGTCTCCTTCATTTGAATAGAGTTAATTTTGATGCGAATGAATTGATTTGTAAACTGGGCATTGTATACAAACAAATCATCGTCATTCACGTCCTTGCCCTTGGGTATCTTCTGCAGCACTCGCGTTTTACCACACGCCAGCGATTGCAACGTTCGTCGAAGTTCGCCGTCTTCAATGCGCGTCTGTTCCTTAATTTCCTTATAACCCAATGAATCCGTTCCGTTGAAACAAAGTAAGACCACCGTCTGGTACAGCGACACCACAAGCTCCTTTTTGCCTAAAGGAAATGCAGCCTTCACCACACACTGTGCGAGAGAGTGTTGCCACTGCAGCTGGCGCCCTTGATACTTGGACGAGTAGAATTTGTCGAAGATCTCCTTCAAAGGAACCAATGAAGCTGGCAAATTGACTTCAACAGCCGCGTAAGGTGGCCAAAATCCAGTTGTCAGAACTTGGACCTGCATGTCAGGGACGCCACGCTTTCCGTGCAAAGTCTCCAAAGCATTTCTACACGAGTCAAAAATACGATTAGGCGTCGTTTTCTACCGACAATCTTGCAAGCAAAACATACCTGCTCGCAGCATGTTGCTGGAATTGAGTCATCACATTTTGTGAAAGGTCGATATCCTTGAACATACCCTCAAGCTGTCACCAACACAAAGTGACGTCAGTATACAACACAACAAAATGACTATTCAATACATACTCGTACTCACTTTGTTTGTAAATGAGCTGCCACACTCGGTTTTTAACTTAGACAGCATAAGCTTTTCTAAATCAAATGAAGCGCTCTTGCCAACCAGCAAGCGCTTCGCAAGGTCCTTCTTGTAAAACGCCTCGAAGACGTCTTTGCCTTGAATGTACCGAAATATAACCATAACACGGTCCAACAAACTCTCCACTTCTGCCTCAGAACCACCCTTGTTACCCGTTCGAAGCTTGGAGTCAACGAACTTCGCCACAAGCTCAGCAGGTCGATTTGCGCGCACGTTGATTGCATTCTCCATCGCCGACTTCATGGCGAATGAAAAATCCGAGTTCAATTGGAAGGAGTCCGTTAGTACCGTGTCCAGGTCAGATTTTAGTTTGAGTACCTTCTCCACAAAAGTCTTCTCTTGTTTATCATCCATTACTAGTTTAGATACGTTCTTCTGTATGTAACTAGAGAATGCTATCTTGATGTCGTTGATTGCATCAACCCTAGCAAAAAGTCTGTACATCCGCTTCAAGTCATCAATTCGGCTTTCTTCCATCAAATTTTCAAATCCGCGCTCAAGCAATGTGGCCACGTGCGGCTTCAGCATTTTTGTCTCAACCACCAAAATTAGTTGCTTCTTAGTCGATGCATCAAGGTAATTAACCACGCGCTCAGTTTCTTCGTGTAAGCGATTTTCAACATGCACCAAAAATTGTGGTACACTCGCCGACTCAATCGTTGTGGCTCCTTCTTGTAAGTAAAATTTTTCTGACGCCATCAAAAATGGCGTCTCAAAGTCTGTGTGGTACAAATGTAAGGACAGCAGCATTCGCAGCAAGTTGTACAAATAACTGCGATTGATAGCCTCACCCTTGCGTTCGGATTCCACCAAATTTAGCAACGCATCGATCAACTTTGTCTCCAAGCTCTGACGTTGCACTAAATTACCACGCATCACATTAAGTCCCATGTCCCAAATGGACGCAATGTGTGGCGTCTGCATTACATGCGTACGATCCAAGTAGAGAAAGATCGTGCGAATTACCAGCATATCTTCGCAGTGATCTTCCCACAGTTGGTGTACAGCTTCCAGAAACAAATTCAAATCTCCTTCAGTATACTTCATTACATTTTCTACTTTCTCCTCAAGATGCTTTGCACACGTTTCTTCCAATCTCGTGTACAATCTAATCCAACATCAATCAAAGCATCAAGTAACAACAAAAACACAAGATAATCAGTACAAAAATGACAGAAACACACACAACAACAACAACAACAGACACATGCACCGACCTGGCTGCCATTTTCCACGTGCACATATCCTCAACTGATCGATAGAGCTCTTCTCTACTCAGTTCAGACATCTGTTTATCATGTACAGCATGCACAGCAGCCTCAAGTTTCTTCCACGTGTCCTCTTCAAATGATTCCGGTAGTTTAGGTGTCACTTTGAACGGTTTAATGATCAATTTCTTCTTTTTTGTATTCAATTGAAGTCCCCCATTATTGCCACATTCTGGATTGCGACTACAACTTGTGCGGCCATTGGCAGAGGATGCAAAACCGGTAGAAGCCATGGGATCTGTCAATTGAACGTCTAATACAGTAAAGAAGATGTCGGTATTTAAGCACAAAAAAGCGTTAGATTGGGTAAAACAAGGCACTATAAGATACAATACAGCTCTATACAATACGATAGAGCTATAGAGACGAAGAAGCTTCACGAACGAGTGATACACACACAAAGAAGACGCACCAAGTGTTGGTCTTATTGACCTCGTCGATCGATTTTCCTTTCAAAAAAATGTTTTGGAGGATCCTAGGTATGTACCGGTATTGTACCAGTCCTCGTAAAACAAAAATATTTGACGTTCTTAAATTAGAATTTGGAATCATTGACATTAAAAAGAAATCTGAGTCCTTAATGTCACTTGTCCTTTTCAAAATGTCGAGCTTAATTGCAGGAAACGGTATACAACTGAGGACATTGTATTGATTAACAATATAACCGGTATTATTGTCAACAGTAGCTACGTTGATCAGTATTGTTGCAATCATTATCAGGCTACACAGCCACCTCAATCAATATATGAACTTTACGTTCGGTCGACGGGCTTAAGGTTTCTTTCTACATGTAGTCAAAGCCACCATTTGTTTAGTTACTGTACAAAAACACTATAGCCATCTTGACATGTACGTGTTGTATACTGTACTGCACCGGTTGCTGTACTTGCAATGCAATGATGCAGCTACTGGTGATCTCATTGCACTCTCAGTGTTTGAGCTTCAAACACACGGCAGTACTCTCATCCATATTAGTCATGATTCCTGCACCCACTTGAATAACCCATTCATGTCGTCAATAAACCTGGGCATCCCTAGCGCTCGCTCTTTTTTCAGCATGCTCAATCAAATAACAGCACCAGTAGGATTCCAGCACCTTGCAATGGATGATGCGCCTATTCCTGCCAGCTGGTTACGACCTGAGTCGGACGTGGTCAGTCTTTTGACTGTTAGAGAATGAAGCTCATGGTGCACTGTGTGGTCGTGTGGCACGATGTAGATCCGAATCCAGTGAAACAGATGGCATAGTTTCGTTGCGATATCACTTGAACCGCAAGAAACAATCTTAACCTTACTACCTCACCTTCCGTGGCTGCATCAATCATCATTATCCTTATCTTTCCGTTGCTTGTTTTTCCAGCACCACCTTTCGAATGGATGATCAATCTCTCACGAGCTGCGTACTTTGAAGCTAGAATTAGAAAAGTGACGTTGGACGTGGCGACTTGGCCATCTGGCCATGTGCGTCTAGGGCACGTCAGATGGTTCTCACGCACCTGATCATAATTGTCGGCAAGTCTCACGTCCTCTTCCGTTAGACGTTTTTTCACACTATATCCAAACACATTGCTTGATTTACCCACAACACTGAGCTCAAGTCTACCTTGGCACTCTTGGCTTTTGTAGAACGGTAGTAAGGCATTGCATTCGATCCCTGGTCATTCATATAGACAGTAGGTAGTTCTTTCCAATCAGTCCGATCATTATGCCGGAAAGTTTCAATCCGATCAGCCGGCAGTTCAACCTCTCCGCGTCGGGAGATAGAGAGTGCGTTAGTCTTGATTTTTTCGTGCACTTTGTACATCGTCATGAAGCTCATGTGTTTTGTGTCTTCATTTAAAGCGTGCCCATGGTTTTGTTGAACGACGACAACTATGACGAGGTGTCAACTCCTGTCAGACATCGCACGGGAACTATTGGCAGCGATAACTTTAATGACAAAGGTGCCAATCTTCGCATCAACGTGGACGAGGACCAAAAGAAGTCAATCAAAGCGCAAATGTTTTCTTGTAAGTGTTCCTTGTGAACTCTTTTTGATTGCATACGTCGTTTTCTAAAACTTGTTGACTTTGTTGGTTTGTAGCTGAGTTTCGATTCAATGCTGAGCTATCACTACGTATCGCCTGCGGTGTGATCATTGCTTCGTTTATCCAAACGCGTGACCCAGAATACGACCCTTCCATTCAACATGCTAAGAAGTGGTTTTTCTTTCCAGAATGGTACTACCTGGGTGGTCTCAGTTATTGTGCTGTGGCAGTCATCTTTTCTGCGGGGAAGAATATTGGTGCAACGTTGACTCAGGTCTGCCAGGCTTTCTATGGTGTTGGAATGGCTCTTGTGTACAACCTCGTGCTCTTCTTGTTCGTTGATGTGCACACTTTTAACGACACATACGATGGCTACGTCTTGATCTCAAAGGAGATGTCTTTTAACGGGTCTCAGTATTATGTCAACTCGCATAACTTTTATGCCGTGCTGCCGTATGTGGTATTCTTTACCGTCGCTATCCTGTTGATGCCGCTGGAGACGAATACGAAGAAGTTTGCGCTGGGCAACAACCTCTACTTCAGTACGAATTGTAATCTGAAGTTGAACGTACTACACATACTAACGTTTTGTTTTTTTGTGACCTGTAGCGTTGACGATTGTCAATCCCACAGACCCGTTGGACTCGTCGAAGCTCAAGGCTACCGGTGACGACTACTTTGAGACGAGCAACATCCTGAACAACCTTGCAACGTACTTCCTCGTGGGTTTTGTTGGCACTCTTATTTCGCTGCTCATCATGTTCATTCCGTACCCCATTTTGTACGCACTTGTCTGTACTTGTTCATCAGTGTCCATGCTTGACAACTAATGGCATGCTTCTTCTATTTGACAGTGCGACTGCTAAGCTGCGCGAGGAAACAACGAAGGCTGCTAGTGATGTTCTGGATTTGCTAAATGTCATTGTGGACTCTTACTGCTTTAAGAATAAGAACGTGGATCACATGAACTTCCTCAAACTCAAACTCCAGCGCAAGTTTGGTGCAGCAGCCGAGCGCCGCCGTCGGATGCTTACATTGTTAGATGACGTGTGGTGGGAGCAGCTATTTGGCTTCCATTTCATTTTCAAGTCCAACCGCTCCGTGTCAAAGGGATACGTGCGGCTTATCGGATCTCTAATTGCTGATCTGCGGTCATTAAACAATGCCATGCAACTTGAGCAATACGACAATTTGCACTTTATGTACATGAAGGTCCTTCAGCGTGAAATCCATGTCATTCAAATGCGATCTGGGGATCTACTTCACGAAATTTCTGCAGAGATTCATTCGTCATGTCAACGTAAGTACTATCTTATACTTTGTTGTTTGTGACTCGTTTGACCCACGAATATGTGTGTTGCAATGCCAGAACTCGATCTCCAGACTATTGAACAGCTACAAAGGCAAGTGGAAAGCACTCTCCGCCATTACCGAGAAGCCCAGATTCATTTGTTACAATCACAGAAGATCAAGATGAAAGACGTTGAAGGTAACGTACCACTCAACCTGTTCCTCTTCTCGCTAAATTCTTTCTGCAGTACTCTGATCGAGTACCAAGACATCCACAACAACAAGGACTTTGACGGCGCTCGTCGTGCGCGGTCATTTGTGAAGGAATCGATCAAAAACTTTTTTATGCTGCACCGGTACACTCGAGCACTGATTCTGGAAGCTGCACGAGTATCAGTTGCGATTATTCTGGGTACCTTGCTGGCCGTGTACATATACGGCTTCAGCTCTACTACGCCTTCAGCTGTAGCTTATGTGATGGGCACTCACATTGGGGGTTCATTCAGCGTCACGGTGAATCGTGTCGGAGGTGTTGTGGCCGGCAGCGTCGTTCCCTCGGTATTCCAGTTTTTTATTTCCAAAGTTTGCAATCCGCGATTTCTGAACGTGTTCCTTTCCGACCTAGTGCTCTTCATATGGGTCACGATATCTATGTATGTGCATTTTGTCCAAGGCTACAGCTCATACGCTGGTTTGGTGTCTGCATTCATTGCCGCGACAGTGTTGCTTAGCCAATCCGATGTGTGCTATGCCAACGGTTCTGACAGTTCATCGACGATCGCAATCAGCTCGTATTCGAGCCTCGCGCAGACATCTGTGGGTCTGGTATTGTTTATCGTGCTGGAAATAGCGATGTGTCCCGAAAGCGCAACAAGTTTGCTGCGCAAGAACATCCAACAGACACTCAAATTACAGCAGAACGCTTTCAGTACTTTGTTTGGCCACCACCTGTCGAATTCCGGAGAAATGAGCGATGAGACCATGGAAGAAGTCCGTGATATTCTCCAAGTGCAAATTCCTGCACAACTTGTGGAGCAACAGGCGTTGCTAAAGGAGGCTGAAGCCGAGCCGCAAATGTGGCGGCCTGCGTTTTCGAAACAAAAGTATGAGGCCGTGTTTGATAGCACGTGCCGGCTGTTGAACAACAATAACTTGCTGTTTAAACTCGTGCGTTGGTACAAATTTCGAGCGAAGCAGAACTTGGCGCAGGAAAACGTGGTCGACATTCGCGACACGAACACTGAAAATGAGCGTGTGTTTGATGCGAAGGGCGATCGGACGACGCACGCAAAATGGCAAGAGGCTAGTAACCAGTTCATGTCTGCCGTCGATGACACATTCAACACGTTGCAAATGCTTTTTGGCGAGTCCTTCTTGTACTCTGATCCAGACCAAACGGCAATTTTCATGCAGATGAAGGAAGCTTTTCGAGTGGCTGACAAGGACTGTAGTGGTGAGATCGATGCAGAGGAGGTAGCGGTTATGCTGGAGACGATCTTTGCTCAGTCAGGTGCAGTAAAACATGAGGAGATTACCAAGTACGTTGCGGACTTTATGGAAATTGTTGACAAAGATTGCAGCGGCAAGGTGTCCTTCGAAGAGTTCATGGAAGCTTTAGAAGATGGTCTTAAACTTGAGGTGGAAGTTTATCATCGCCAAAGACCGAAGACTACAGCCCTCAAGAAGGTCTTATCTAGAATCAACGAAGACAGTCGCGCTGGATCTCGCGGAAGTTGCAGCGTGACGGCTTCCGGCGATACCGGCATGTCAAAAATCACGGGTAGTATGGGTAACGAAAATACCCCGAAGATGTCTGGCCGAGTCGTGAGCGTTGTGTCTTCATCACAAAAGACGCCACAGTGGTCTCCAGGTTTCATGAAGCAGCCGTCAGCACTAATGTCTTCTTCACCCATTCGCCGTGAGCACGATGTCCTAAATGTCGAGGACTTTACCGCAAGTGATATCGCCGCTCAGATGAAGTCTGCGTACGTGGAGTGGCTGATGGAAGGACAGCGATTCAAACGAGTAACGATGGAAGAGCTATTGCTGCTAAATTGTTTGGTTAGCGGTGCCGAGGGTATTGCAAAGAACTTGACGCTCTTGGAAGAAATTGTCATCTCTTCGTAGAGTCGTGTAGATGAGTGAATGTCTGCGCATTGTGTGTGCGCGCGTAAGTATTTCTGCTGTCAGTCAGGTCGATGCAAGTTCGGTTCGAGACTAGCAATTACTTAATAACCGCAAATATATAGCAGTCTTTGGTAAGATTATCATCAAGAGCAATACCATCAATGATGGACCATCATCTACCATCTTTTCCATACATGAAGTGGAAAGCCACCGTACTCGCTGCAGGTTTTCTATATATTCAATCGTAGGTGACAGATCCGCTCAAGGCAGCCAGATAAGCTGTCACAAGGCGAGCAGCAGCAAAGATCGTTTGTTTGAAGTTGCTCATTCTGAAGTTGACGCAGTTAGCCTACGATAACCAATTGTCTTACATTTAACGTTCATTGGAGTGCTCACTACGACTCCTGCTCCCATATTGAGCTATTGAGCTATTGATGGCTGTTGAGCTTCCATTTGAACAAAGTAAAGCAAAGGCTGCATCTAATAGCTCAACATGAGACCAGGCGTGTCAGTGAGCACTCTTATACGAGCTTACAATTGAATTTGTCAGCTAGTGCGACCGAGGACAAAAGCAAAGTATTGTCAAGAGAAAAGTGATGAGTAAAGGCAGAGGTGGTGGATCAAAGAGCGGCGCGGGATCGAAGGAATCAAGTGGACCAAGTGGATCAGGAACGAGAGGAAGCGGTGGCATTCAGGCAACAAAAGCGTCCAGAGACAACCGCTCAAACCAATTGAATCCCAACAATGCAACGTACTACTCGTCGCGTGCACAGGGCTAGAGCACTTAGCTCAGCTCAATAAAGTGATACACAAGTAAGGATGCTAATACGACCTCTTTGATGAAGAAGACCATGAGTTGAAAAGAAGGAGGCATTGAGATTGAAGTAATGATGTTATGTAGTAAGAGAAAGTTGCTTGAATGCAATAAGAATGAGCTCTTTCATCGTTAGAAAAAAGTGTTCGTTCCTCCATCAGTTTGTTTACATTTAATGTGCTACATCTTAGTAAGTAAACTTCACGAATATCCACTCACGCTGTGTCTCTGGATTTGCAGACTTGGTAGCGTGAACATTTCTCCTTTTGACTTGGACCAGGGATCATCATCGATTAGCATCTAATGGACTTCTTTAACAAAGCCAAACAGGCTGCCGAGAAATACATCATTGAAGATTCGAGCAGCAGCAACAACTACAAGAAAAAATCAGACACAGGGTCATTGCTCACCAAGGCAAAGGACGCGGCCGAGAAGTATCATGCAAAGGAAAAAGCCGCCGAATACGCTCAGAAGCGAGTGGCCAAGCGGAATGGGGATAATAGGGACAAGTCAGCGGTTTCCAAGGCCATGGAAGCCACCGAAGACTTTTTTCGCGAAGCAGGGTCAGCCCAAGTGTGACCACCCTGGTGGAAAGAAGGTGAAGCAAGTGGACAACGTTTTAGGCAAAGCTATGGAGGCAGCCACAAAGTATTCAAAGAAGCACTAGTTTAAGAGTCGTAGCAATTAATGCAACCGCCTTGAATTATTCAAAAGTCTAGTAGTCTTAACGACCGCAGCCAGGCGATAACGTGTCAGCCTGAGTCAGTGCTGACAGGCCTTCGTTACGACTTCTCACGTAGCTAAATTTTTGTTCTTATCTTAGGCATGTCTTAGAGGTTACTACATGCCTTCAGAGGATCCGATCAGTAAGGTGATATGATAAAAATTCACTTTTGATTTTGCAGACTACAAGCAAGACATTTTCAATGACCACAACGACTACAACGATGGACTCAATGATGAACAAGGGAAAGGAGACGGCGAACAAGTACTCGGGAAGCAATTCGAGCACGGACAAGTCGATCTCGGACCAAGCAAAGGATACAGCCAACAAGTACACTGGAAATGACAAATCGATGTTGGACCAGGCGAAGGAAACCGTGGGCAAGTACACTGGAAGCAATTCGAGCACGGACAAGCCGATCTCGGACCAAGCAAAGGATACAGCCAACAAATACACTGGAAATGACAAATCGATGTTGGACCAGGCGAAGGAAACCGTGGGCAAGTACACTGGAAGCAATTCGAGCACGGACAAGCCGATCTCGGACCAAGCAAAGGATACAGCCAACAAGTACACTGGAAATGACAAATCGATGTTGGACCAGGCGAAGGAAACCGTGGGCAAGTACACTGGAAGCAATTCGAGCACGGACAAGCCGATCTCGGACCAAGCAAAGGATACAGCCAACAAGTACACTGGAAATGACAAATCGATGTTGGACCAGGCGAAGGAAATTGTGGGCAAGTACACTGGAAGCAATTCGAGCACGGACAAGCCGATCTCGGACCAAGCAAAGGATACAGCCAACAAATACACTGGAAATGACAAATCGATGTTGGACCAGGCGAAGGAAATTGTGGGCAAGTACACTGGAAGCAATTCGAGCACGGACAAGCCGATCTCGGACCAAGCAAAGGATACAGCCAACAAATACACTGGAAATGACAAATCGATGTTGGACCAGGCGAAGGAAACCGTGGGCAAGTACACTGGAAGCAATTCGAGCACGGACAAGCCGATCTCGGACCAAGCAAAGGATACAGCCAACAAGTACACTGGAAATGACAAATCGATGTTGGACCAGGCGAAGGAAACCGTGGGCAAGTACACTGGAAGCAATTCGAGCACGGACAAGCCAATCTCGGACCAAGCGAAGGACACTGTGCACAAGTACACCGATCAATGAGATTTGTACTAGAGGGTGTCAACTTGATCTTGGACCCGGCAATCAGCGGCTGCTTCGATCTTGTCCGGGGGACAAGTAGACACAGAAACGCTTACTCGACTAAACAAATATAAATTCAACTTGAATCATTTCCTGTGTCAAGATAGCAGTTGCAAACTTCTACGTGTGTTTCTCTTCTAAAAGCTTGTCAGACGTACGTTCATTCCGAACATTAGAATCTGGAGAGATAGCAATTGGAATTTGCTAAGCAGAAATACATGAGGAGCTTTTGGAACCTCGCCATAAGAAATTGATACCGTTTGAAAAGGTCAAATGCTGAAATGGTGCTTGTAACGTCTACCTCAAGCGATTTTTCACGAGCCTTTCAGTTTCAAAGTTTGTAGAGCATCTGGTGCGCAGGAAGACGACTTTGTCTTTCTTCATGTATGAGTTCAAATGCAAGCAAGCAGCAGATTCACCTGCTGGTCATGTACAGACAGATCCAGTTAATTATGCATTTTGAGGTCAAAGCGTCGCAGTTAACGTGAACATTGAAAAACCACAAGCACATCGAGGCTATTTTATGACGGAGCAATGTTCACCGCTGCAGTGAGCATGCAGTAGCCCGGTATTTGGTATATACGCTTCGTGTTATGAAACATAGGTCATGTTTGGTTTTGCTGACTACCATAACGCTTCAAATACTACCAGAACATTTGAAATGATGCACTCGGTGCTAACAAAGCGAAAGAGGCGACATGAGTATTTGCGTTCAGGTGACACGCCTCAAGGACGAGTCCAAGTTGCAGAGTGGATGTCATGAAGTATGTGTGGAGGACAACTTTACTCACTGAGAATATGATTCTAGGAAAGCATGCTAGACACAAGGTTTTCTCATAAGACGGTCCATGACAAGACGAACGAAGTGGTAGTACATCGGCCGGACAAGATTGTCATAAGCAAATCTTACAATTAAATTGCTTTCATTTGGCTTGGGACGCTATCTAACGGGCAAGAGGTCGATGGATACTACAGTTAAGCTGGACATGCCTGCGACCATGCGGACAAAGGCTAACAAAACCTTGTTGAAGTTTGCGTGAAATCAACGGCATGCACGGAGGCGGCCTGCTCCTCAGTATTTTACAACCAAACTTGACGCTTTGCTACTACTACTTGTAAGAATGGACACGATTCGAGGAATGATCGACAAGGTAAGCAACAAGTCCAAGACCAATGATGAGCACTCAAGATCCGGCCCGGACACAAGCTCAGCCTACCGCTCTTCTGATGCTGGTGGAGAGCCCGATGTCGGGACGAAAAGCTATTCACGTGACACGGGCGTTTCACGAGATGATTGGGATGACCGTCGCAAAGATGACTCGTCTTCATCTTACTCGTCTCATGCTGACGGAGGCGGTAGATACTCGACCGGGTCAAGTGCTGCAGTGTCGGGTCTCGGCGCCGAGAGAAGCTTATCGGGCAACTCGGGACGTGACTATAAATCACACTCTTCGACCATGAGCGGGGAAGAAAATCCATCGACCACGACGGCAACTGACAGCGACAGTTATTTCGGCTCGGCTCGTCACAACAGTTCCAAGGAGCACTTGCGATCGTCAGACAATGACGATAACGGACAATACTCGAAGTACTCAAGCCGGACTGCGGAGGCCAACGCCGGAGATGACGAGATCGATGAAATGAATGATGTCCACGGTAGGCGCGGGACGTATGGACACTCGATCCGTTAGGTATGACTACGGAAGTTACGCATCACCAGAAAATAACATTGACGAAAGCCAAGGAGTGTAGTCGAGTGAGGGCAGTGAGGCAAGCTGCGTTGGTGCAATAAGCACGTAGTTTTTTTCTTTTAACAAACCCGAATGGTAATGTAAGTGCACAGCACAACTAACGAACGATACTTGTCTAATCTGTATAATCTTTGCGTCTTGCAGTTTAAAGACACATGTGATTCAAAAATTGCTGTCTTGTTCCTGTGTTTGTTGACAATGTCTCAAACTAAAAGTGGCGTCAAAGAAGTATTGGAAGATGATTCAAGCAGTACAATGCCAGTGTAATGGCTCTAACACCCCTTTGTCAGCCATCGCTCTAGAAATCTTGACCGGTCTCAAAATGATAGAAAGAACTTTTTGTCGTCGAAAAAATGTGCAAGGCGGAAAACGAATGAGATACAACTACTATACATGTGCATTTCAAACCAAGTCGATAGTGGCACTTCAGTGCTTGGTCTCACTTGTCGCTCGATCTACAAGACAAGTGGTTGTCGGAATCCGTTGCCAGTTTTGGTGCTGGGCTTTGGGAAAATGGACCACCTTCTCAACCACTTTGAGACGAAGGGGACGAAGGACTACTCGGGTAAAGCGCATAAGCCGTCAACGGATCGTGGTCGCTCAGCACGGTATGAAGACGAGCAAGAGCAGGATTGACGCTCACGGGTAGCGACAACCAATGCACGTGCTGTGCTGTAGACACATTGTCACCGAACGTCTGCCGCTCCACGGTGACTTCCACCGCTGAAATGGTCAAATTGGGCGCGTTACGCACCGCTTGCTTCTCCTTGCCAAGTGTCTCGTTGACAGCCTCAACATTGTCAACGATCTCCACCGTTTTGGATGTCCTCACCACATTGCACTCTCCGGCTGCCTCCTTCTTCGTCACTTCCTCTGTCTCCTTAACTACTTTAACCACCTCATCTTCCTTGACTATATCATCTACTTCCTCTGTCACCTTTGCCTTCTTCATTGATGTGACCATCTCACACCCCTGCACAAAGTCAATCGTTTTACCATCATGTGCCACTTTGGCCATCTCATTTTGTTTTAGTGCCTTGGTCGTCTCCTCAGTCTGTAAGACCTCCTCAGTCTGCAAACCCTCCTCCAACGCAACAGCTCCCATCATTCCATTGTCCATCTCTGTCTCCTCGACCTTCTCTAGCTTTAACGCTTCGTCTGCTTCCTTGGCCTTTGTAATCTCTTCTACATCAGTTTGCCTAAAATCCGCTGCATGCTTGGTCACCTCGGTTTCCTTGACTGCAGTCTGCTCGAGCTTGGCCTGTGAAGTGACCTCACTATCCAGAGTCAGCTCCGTCATCTTGGCCATCTCAGCCACCTTTTTTTGTGAACCTCAGTCACCTTGGCCACTTCCGCCCCTGTTGTGGTCTCGACTACTTCGGACATCTTAGCCACCTCGGCATCATTGACCGTCGCCACCTCAACCTCGTTTGTTCCTTCCGCAGCTACCTCTGACTCGTTAACCTCTTCAGCCTCCTTGGCTTCCTTGCTCTCTGCAGCCACTTCTGTCTGCTTGACCATATCGATTACCTTGACCACAACAGTATCATCGTCTTTGCCTATTCGAGTGTCCAAACGCGCTTTGACTGCCTCGGTATCTGAAGCCAAATCTCCCTCTCTAATCTTCTCAGCCTTGGCTACCATGGTACGCGTAACGACATCAGTCTCCGTAGCTAACCCAGAGCCTAAAGCCACATCGTCCAACCTAGACACCTCTGCAGCCACCTCAGCTGTTTTGAACACCCCCGCCACTACAGTCTCAGCCTCTGTAGTCACTTCCGTCGGCTTAGCCATCTCGGTCTCCTGAATCACCTTCGATTCCTTCATTTCATCTGCCATCATAGCATCATCGATAGCCTTGACCTCTTCAGTCAACTGCCTAGCCTGCTCCAATTTAGCCTTCTCAGATGCCCATAACATTGTTCTCGCAAGTTTCTGCTTTTCAATTGCCGCTTGTGCGTCAAGCTCACTCTGCTTCTGTTTTTCCAACGCCTCGAGTTTTGCCTTTTCGGCTGCCACATGAATGCTAACTTCGCTTTCTGGTACGATAAACGTGTCAATGGTCCGCACGGCCGCCTTGACAAGCTTTTCTGGTGCCTCAAACTTTGCCTTTTCTGCAGACACGCGAACACTTGCTTCGCTATCTGGTACGATGAACGTATCAATGGTCCGCACAGTCGCTCTGACTTGCTTATCTGGTGCCTCAAACTTCGCCTTTTCAGCAGATACGCAAACGCTCCCTTCGCTCTTGGGAACGATAAAAGTGTCAATGGTCCGTTTAGTAGGGACAGACGACGTCTTGACTTGGTTTTCGAATTTTGCCTTTTCCGCAGACACACGAACACTCACCTCACTGTCTGCGACAATAAAAGTATCGATAGTTCGCACCGGAGCGGTAACAACTGAATTTGCACGCTTTGTTTCAAAGCGATACGCGATACCTCGGACATTTGGTACCTCCTCTCTACCAGCAACAGTATGCCGACGAGAATGAAGCTCTGAAGTGCGGCTGGTATCGAGGGCAGCCGTCTCGTTGGGTTTCACAAGTGTATAAGACATGTCATCCATTGAAAGTGTCTCCTCTGCAACCGTGTCCTCAGCAAGAGGCTCCACAATGGCAAAAGCCTTTGGTTTTGTCCAAGTAGTTGCCACATCGCTGCCAATTCTCGATTCCTGAAACGATCGCCTAGCAAACTTTTCTTCGGCTTCTTTGGCTGATTGCTTCTCTTGTTCGATTGCCTCGTACTTCTGCTTTTCCGCACCAACGTGAATGCTCTTTTCAGTTGGAAAAAAACTACGCACTGTGCGAAAAGAGAGATTATCCAAAGATTGGTCGGCCTTCTTTTCAAAGCGACTTGCCATATTACGTACGCTTGACATTGCGGAGCTCTTTCGAATTCGGCTGTGCTTCTTGGCAGGTGACCTCACTTGATCCTTTGTTTCGGCTTCTCTCTTGGCTCGTTCGGCCACCTGAGCATTATATTTTTCCTTTTCATGACTAACGGAAATGCTGCGTCTCTTCTCCGAAAAGAAATCACGTTTTGTTCGGATCTTTAGGCTTTCCAACGCATTATCATCTTCTTGTTGGGTTTCAAGGCGGTGCACCACATTCTTTACCGGTGACGAATCGCACACATCGAAACATTTAGTAGCCGAAGAAGTACAATCCCTTTGTGGTGATACCGCTTCATCGGCTTCTTTATGTACAATACCTTCAACAGGTGATGACGGATTCAGCTCCAACTTCGTGACCGGGTCAGTACGATGAGATCCAGACTTCGAAGCCAGTTTTTCAGCAAAGTGCGTTATCATGGATGAAAACCTCTTCGGCGGCGTCTTCTTGCATGTCTTAGCTTCATGCTCGGCCCTTAGTTCTTTTTCTCGGACTCCTCAGTTGCCGTATTCGGATGCTCGGACTCCTCAGTTGCCGTATTCGGGATAGCAAATGCGGAGTTAATCAAGTCAGTTGAAGCGTGAAAGCTATCAATCATCTCAGATGGAGCTTCCGTCAATGTTGCGTTGGCGGTGTCTACCTCACAACTGTCGGACGTCGTACCTATAGCAACTGCAGTCACACATTGATCAATCTCAGCTGTACCTTTCGTTTCTGAGATTAATACTTCATCCGAAGCTTCTTCAATCACTGGCTCAACCTTATAAACAGACTTCATCTTTTTAGTCACGTCAACAGATCTTTCTTCGGCAACAGGTTCCTGTGACGTAACATCAGTTTCAGTAGCAACGACCTTGATTGGAGCATTGTTCTCGGCAGAATGGATTAATATCGCAGCGCTTTTCGACATCGCTTGTTCCACCGATACGTCAGTCGTCTCTTGACCGTCAACATTCGTAGAACCACGCATGTCATCAAGGTACAACACACTGTCCGCATCAACTGAACGTCCCAATGTAGCATCAACAGAGCAGGTCATCGCAGATGATATCTCCTTCGTCTCGACGGCCTTACTCGTATTATAAACTTGTTTCATTGCTTTCATCGTCTCAGTACTTTCACCAGCAGTCAACTCATTCATTTTTTCAATACTTTCGTCCGCAGCAGCTAGTTCAGCAAAGTCCACTTCAGCATCTTTACTACTTTCCTCGATAAACGTGTTCTCTTCAGCAAAATCCTCCGTCTTCACACTCTCTTCGTCCACAGAACTGCCCAAAGTTGCAGCCACCGAATAGTCCATCTCCACACTACCATTGTCATTCATTGCTATCGTCTCGGCGATCTCTTCCATTGCATCAGCACTGAGACAAACAGTCGCTTCAAAATCCTCGGATATATTATGCTCTTTCATGGTCGCGACCTTTTGCAGCTCTTTAACTGTCAGCATCTCTGCTGTCTCTACAACTGTATGGGTCTCATTTACTATCACAATCTTCCTCTCGTCGCTCGCATCTTTCTCCTCAATGATCTGATCCTTCTCTTGGATTCCTCTCTGATGCTCATATTGTTGCTGTTCCATGTCACTCTCCATCGTTGTCCCATTTTTCAAGCCAGAAGACGCCATGATCGATCTATCTTCCACTTGACAATGTACAGTACGTATTTAATACTGAGGCAAAGAGACGTTCGAGAACCTCCATAAATACTTACTACAAATATTCGATTTCAAAGTTTCAACGTCATGTTATTGCATAATTGTTACATTTCCACGTGGCACAAATGTTCCAACAAATTGCGTAGACTCTAGAACTTAATAACGATACTACAATAGCGCTCTCTCTATCGAGATAGAAAAACCCAGTTGTTTGGGTTATTTATGAGCTGAAATCTTGAAGAAATAGATACGTTGCCAATTCGGGACCTACGTGAAAAATAGTGAAGCCATATTGGATGAGTCAAGAGTTGGCTACAGATCAAAATGGCTACAGATCAAAATGGCTACAGATCAAAATGGCTACAGATCAAAATGGCTCGTACAGTAGATTTAGTTTACGCGTTGCATGATACTATTGGATATGTTTTATCATACAGCGTCAAAACTGCAGCTCAAACGAAATTGGAACCATCAGTTGAGCCTCCTTTTCACGTTTACGAAACTAACAATACTTGCATCTCTACTAGCATTCGAATACCTTTGAAGCCATTGTCACTCTTGTGCTAAGCAGTTGCACCTGTTTTGCAAACAAGAGCAGATGACGTTGTTTTCAGCACGAATCGCTCCTTAAACAGGAAGAAAGCAAGTGTGATCCTTTCTCTCATAAAAACTCGACACTGCTGCTGTACTAGGACAGCACTCACCACACAGCATTGTTGATTGCAACTTGAGCAAGTGAGTCCACCATAGCTTCTTGAGTCCGACCCAGTTGACATGAATTGTTTGCGCTATTTGGGCAGCCTCACCACCACCCCGGTAAGTTCTCAACGAGCCGGGTTCAAAGATGTACTTACCTTACCTTCTAAATGTAATTGAGCCACGAAGGACCCAACAATACGGATTCAGAAATGCCCATTGAGTAGAAAAAGCTGCATTAATTGCTATCATGTCAGCACAAGAATTAGATAAAAGTACCACTGAGATCTAGGCATTTGGTCACATGGTGCACAATGCCCGTTTAAACAGCACCTTGTTTGTCTCCGTTTCGTCAAGGACCTTCGTTTCAAGTGGTCTTTCGTTCCTATCTAGCTTTATTTCTTCTCCTTGCCCATTGTTTTTGAATATGGCACAGCATGACGCAAGTCAATGCAGTCCAAACGCACAGCACCCAATACACGTTCAGGTAGCTCCATGACACTTTGCGCTTCAATCACAAACGCCAAGTCAATGACGAGATCACGAGAGTAGCCCAACAACATATTCAGGATACCGGTGGCTACCGTGCTGCTACCAATGTCGTAGTCTACTTCCAAGTAGTTGTTGCCCTGAAAATACTTTTGATAGATCTTGGTGCCTAAGATGGCAGGTGTCGTGCCCACACCCTCGCGAATAGACCATGTCCCTTGCACCACGCGTGGAATCAGCTTGATACGCTGCGTCCGCAACTCGTTGTCGGACCCACATAGAACATCATGATACAGATCGGTAAACACCGAGTTCTTCTCCAGCTCAGACGGATCTTCTGGTGTAAAGTACAGCACGAGCGAATGATGTGGCGGACCAGGGAGCATAAAATTGATGATAAAGAGAAACGGACGGTCTTCTACTGCTGGATCCGACGAGTCAAACTCATCAAAGCCATCCCCGACAAACGAGGAGACCCCAATGTGTTCAATGGCCTCATTCGACTTATACAGCTCCACGTTCACGAGACGACAAGCCTGCCGTGCTGATGAAATCTTCGTCTTGGAGATAAAATATTGTGGACCGCGCACCATGAAGCCTGCAGCGCTTGGCTCACTCCAGAACTTGGTCGGCAACCCATGCAGCACAGTGAGGTCAGTGCGATACCTTTCAAGCATCGGGAACTTCTTTTCGCTAACAATTTGTTGGCTTGGTACAGGCGGCTTTCCGCCAATACTTGCTCGACGACAGTCGGAAGCAGCAGTCAATGGCCGCACAGTTTGCATTCCTTCTGCGGCCGTAATGGCCGTGATCATTTCCAAAAAGAACACGCCGTATGCATGAACGTAGTACCATGAGCGCGCTAATCTCCAGTCAACCCAGCCATTTGGATTCATCTGAACTGTTAACGTCAACCAGCACTCGTCAAAGTGGTTATCACTGTCCTCTTGTACGCGAGGCGAGATGATAAAACCGCCGCCCAAGATGTTGGCACGCACTGCTTCCAGATTGTGAGGGCAGTTCGTGTGCGTGGTCGACTGAAAGCAAATAAAATACGAACCATCTGGCTCCATGCGCCAGTAGCGCAACAGACACAGCTCGCGCGCACTTACATATACCGGCCACAAATAAGTCGAAAAGAGTTTCCAATACACTACGTCGCTGTGATCCTCCGTCTGCTCTTCCAGTATGCGCGCATCCTCGATAACATGGTTAGAAGTGTAAAACGGACTGTCCATCTTCATGAGTATCTCAAACACCTTTCGTGGCGATGCATTCACCTTCAGACTCGTGCGAAGAGCCGGTGGGGGGTGCAGACGTTCGGAGGCTGCTTTGGTAACTCGAGCACTCCGTATCAACCCTTAGTTTGTTTGAGAACTCGTAAAGCTTCCATGATGTCTCTTGCGAAAATGTAGCAGATGTCCGGAAGCTTTTTGCAATGGATCGCGGCATCGACCCAAATGATCCCGATCGCTGTCTGTTGCCTGGATGAAGTGTAAAGGATCCAGTCTTTCCATAGGACTGCAATGACGCTGACCGTCCTTTTACGGCACCGTTGGCTGCTGCTGTAAATCCATGCAGCCTGCTTTCAGGCATGAAGGCGATGCCAGTTTCTTCCATGTCAGGGTCATGATCCATATACCAGTTTAGATAACGCTTCCACTGCTCTTCGGCCTGCGCAATACACTCAAGAATGCTGTTGCGCCACCACACTGCAGTCTCTAAAGATTCTGCAGCAAGAGCGATAGGGCCTTTGCTGCGGCTTTGGGCAATCATCGCACCCGCCGCACCAGCGCTAGCAGCAGCCGCTGCGCTCATACTCATGCCGACCATACCAATCCCAACACCAGCCAGACCACCTGTCAATACCACAGCTGTTGCCGCTGTTGCTGCAGCAGCCGCTGCCGCCGCACGATTTCGGAACTTTCGCGACGTGGCGCGCTTAGCGCTTGCCTTTGCGTCAAGCTCCATGTCATGAGATACAGCCGATGAATTTATTGGAGACAACTGCAATTCATTTCCAAGACGAGACGGTGTCGCTCTAGGGGTTACCTCCACCCCAGTTTCTTCCACATCATCATTCGTCACATGGTTCAAATGACGAATCCTAAATGTAAAGAGCTTCTTGGTCTCAATTTTACTTGGTGACTCTCTTACTTCATCAACAGTCGTACCAGGTCCCAGCACATACCATCCACGTGGTACCTTGTCTCCTTTCTTTCTCAAATAGTACAAGAAGTGCGTGCCATTAGGTGTCGAGCGAATCATAAAGTATCGCTCTCTCCACAAATTCACATGTTGTCCCTTCTTGCGAAGCCACCCTTCCATCCTAATTTCTCCAATATTAGAAGGCATCAATTCTCTCTCCATCTCTCCTACTGCGCCAGTATCAGTCGCTAGAACAGGAGCTGTAGTAGCTCTAGTCCACGATGTCACACCTCCAGATAGCATAACTAGACGGTCATGTTCACGATACATTTCTTCTACTATCTGCAATAGTCTAGGTTTCATAACTTCTCTCACAACGCTGTCATCAAAGTCTTTAGATGATGATGCAGCCAGAGGTGTATTGGCATCTGTAGCAGTCGCTACAGCTCGTTTCCGGGCGCGAAACTCCGCCATCAAGTCGTCATAGAATATACAAGCTCGTTCTTGAAATAACGGATCCTGTGCAGGCCTCAAAATGCGAGTATCAGTACCAGTAACAGGAGCACCGCCATGCACCGAGATGTAGAGCTTCTCCAGCGCTTTAAAAACCACACGCTTACCATTTTCACGACTGGCATAGCACGCCGTGATATAGTCGGCACACACAAGATCCAGTAGCATATTGAGACGGTCTCCATCCAGGAGAATATCAGGAATCATACCCGTTGGTCGCATAGTGACATCATCTTTACCTTCCATGTTTACGACACACAATAATTAGTACTAATTGTATTGATTAAAAGTGGCAACAACGAGACTATAATTTGATGCGAGTCAAAATCAATGGGATTTTGTAACATGGGTTCATGATTGAATAATATGGGTTCATTATACAAATGAAATGTATTAGCAAAATCATACAATCCATCATTCATACGGCATGTCTAGCCAAGTTAAAGCCAAGACAAATCTACAGTTATCGCTATTGTTTGCTTTGGGCGACACAATACTTGTTGATAACTCTATCGATCCAATGACGAGCTGAGGAGATCCGAGAGTAGACGCTCATACCACCAGCTTTACCGCATCCTTTGTTTCCACTTACTAGACCCACAAGCACGTCACGTTTCTTCTTCTTTACAATAACTGCACCACCCTTGTCACCCATACATGATCTAGTAGCTGAGACACCTCGAGAGCACAAATTGGTCTTGTCGATTGATAGTTCCGACGAGCACAATTTGTTGCTTACCAATTGCACCTCTACGCTTTGAAGGTAGCGTGAATGCACGGCTTCAGCTGTAGTGTCGTTCCAGCCAAGACGACAACCTATCATGCCAGACTTAACAATCGACTTGGCTTTGTCCAGGATAACAGGCTTGATGGTTGTTGCCTTTTCCAGCTCGAGGATGAGAAAATCGTTGTGGTATTGCGTGTTGTTTGGATGCACCAAAAGGGCTACGACCTTAATCTGTTGTCCACCGTCCTTATCACCCATAGAGGAGTTAGAACCGAGAGAGACCCAGCGAATATTATTAAGCATGCAGTCCGTCCTCGTGATGACGTGCGACGGTCCGATAAGAGCACCTGCGCAAAAGTTGGTACCGTCCTTAGTCGACCGAATACCCGCGACGTAACCGATACCATCCCGAATTTCCGTGACTGGGACAGTGATGAGGTCACTGTCGAGGCTGGAAGAAAGGTCTTGCGCCTTGACACAGATAAACGCACGAGCTGCGATCAGAACGAAGAAACCGAAAGAGAACTTCATCCTGCTGCTGCAAAGTTCAATCAACCGGTAGAAGTTCAAATGGCTTTGAATCGTGATGCATGGTGCAATGTAGACAAGTCTATCGTTGCGACGTTAAGTTTGTACGCAGTGTGCACACCAGGTATTCTGATTCATCGCGCTCCAAAGCTTGAATGGTTCGTGCAGCAGCAGTCCAACGCAGTCGGAACCAGAGCTTCGTATCTAGAATTAGACCTGTCAAATTGGCCCAAATTTTGCCCTGACATACTACTAAGATAGCCCTTTAGCTGATCCTGCAAAGAGCCGGTCAGCTACCAGCTAGATCCATTTTCTTGCCCGCCAGCTGATACTCAGAAAATCGAGATAGACGGTCATGCCCGACATCTGCTGAGACCTAGAGACAATTCTTTGAACGACACATGATCTTCTGCAAGGTATACGCAATCCCTAGCTCTGTTGCAACAGGCGCTGAGGTTGAATGAACGACTTTGTCTTGTTTTCATTCACCTGCAAGCGACTTTGAAACCAATAATACGGTATTGCTTAGCTTGTAAACTCTCCATTCTTTCACAAAACACTTTGAGCGCGCATCACACGACCAGCATTAGACTCCATCGCTAAGGTCGAGATGTCTCTCTATTTCACTAGGAGATTATTGGTCATCGCTGCGGAAACAAATCTGATACACACAACCTTGATAGTTCTAGTGATTATCAAAGTATTAGATACTTTTCACCCCTTACAGCTTTCCTGCAAACTTGGAGGTTCAACAACGTGCACATCTCAATGAAAACCTGTTTCTTGAAGCGGCTTTTTCTGGATCGGATTAGCGGTAGAGTGGTGTTGAAATCACGGCATGAATATTGTATCAATGCCATACCCAATCATGCAGCATCTAGACACCAGATCACTTCAAATTTTAAACTGCATATAAAGAATCATTGCAATGAAGTTCCTTTCAGCGTTCATTGCTGCTCTAACTATCACAGTTTCCGCTGACGCCTTTACCAACCATGTAGAACGCAAACTCATCCTTGGTGGAACCATTGTGCCCGAGGGAAGGAAACTTTATTACACTGGTTTGCGTCACACGGCTGAGGGCAAAAACATTTGTGGTGCTGCCCTCATCGCCCCCTTTACATGTGCTCACGGCCTCGCATTGTATCACGTACGACATTCGTTGGGCCTCAATCGGCTCGCAATATAACAATGGCACCCACGATGGGGAGCAGATCAAGGTCGTGTCTGTCATGATCCACCCTAACTCCTCAATACCGCTACCCTACTCCAACGATTTCGCCATCTTGGAGCTCGAGGTCGCGTCGTCGATCAAGCCTGTGAAGCTGGCAAAGGCCGATAATTCTGACTTCAAAGACGGTGCCACTGTAACTACCGTTGGAACTGGACACACATCGGAGGGCCTGACGGCTGTAGAAGCTCACGAAAGACAACGCGTGGACTCAAACCTTATCACTAATGAACAGTGTAAGGAGGACGGCAGGATAGTCGTAGACGACTCTATGGTCTGCGTTGCAGGTCAGATTAGTATGGGATTCTGCGACGGCGACCTCGGAGGTCCGCTTTTCATTGAGTCCTCAGACGACAATACTGACGACGATGCCGACGACGATGCCGACGACGTATTGATCGGTATTGCTAGCTGGCGCAACGCGCGAGACGGTAGTGTATGTGGTCGAGGCATGAGTCTGCCTATGGTTTACTCTCGCGTCTCCAGCGTGCGTAAATGGATGGACCCGATCATTACAACGTCATGCTTTGTCTAGTTAGCCCAAAATATAAGTTCTTTAGTTACATACACGATTTACACCTTTTTCAAATGCCAAAGCTTCAGCACACATTCAATTTGTCTGTTCATATTGCCGAAAGCTTAAGAAAAGGGTTGAACCGATAATCAACAAAATTCCGCTGCCACCTGACGATGCTAAAACTAGTACATGCAAGCAAATGCTAACACGCCCGAACCCGTGAACCTACGGTGCTTCAGCAAGGCAACATCGATATAGCCAACGTCAAACGGGAAAATAGCTGTCGTGCTAAGAGAATTTAGTGACGCCATGCTGCGCATATTGATGAGATAGAATGGATCATGGAAAGCAATGTGATTGCTGTAGATCGCCTCATCACGCATACTTTAGCGGAAAAGGAAGAGCATGAAGCGCTAAGTACACTATTTCACTATTTCACGGCTTACACGTGACGTAGAGTGTGGTGTGATCGTGTCACAACTTGTTTAGCTGGATGCACGAATGTAAGGGAATAGAGAATGACATGCATGTGTTTATGCTCTGTTTCATGTAGACGTACAGGACAGAATTACCTGGCAAGTAAAGGATGCACATCATTAATTCGACAAAATTCTCGTATTTTACACATGGATTTTGATAGATTACCGTTTTTTATTAATGTTTTACAATCCAGTATTTAGGTTTCTTACACAATATCAGGTACATCATCCTATAACAAGGTTTTTCTTACTTTGAGGTTATTTTCATTTCCCTTCCAAATTGCTCTCAAGCCAAGCAACGTGACGCGATCTCAAGGTAAATAAGGTGAGTGCAAGATGGCAGAGAAGGACGAGAGAGTGGGCGTAAGTCTTTCTTCTACAGGACAATTTGATCAAGAAATTTATGGTGATGATACCAGTGATCGATTTGATGGCTATAGTGCCACTATTACGGAGGAAAAAGACGACGAGGACGAGCAGCAACCGGTGGACCATCATTCATACTCGAAGAAGACGATAAAGCCACAGCAAGAGAGCGGAGATGGCTTAATTGACGATAATTATGACCCTTTTGCAGAGGCAAGTAAAGCAAATGGCTCGGGGATTGTGAACACGCGCATTGTGGACCGGGAGAACGCGTACCGCAAGCGGCGATTTGAGCGCATGTTGTCACCTGAACGTGGAGATGCATTTGGAGATGAAACACCAGTGCGAAGCTATAAGGAGATTATGCAGACTCAACAGCTGGAGCAGGAGAGAGCGGAAGTGGTGCGTAAGATCTTGCAGAAGCGAGAGGAGGAAGAACAGCGGGGACGACAGGAACAGAAACAGCAGGAAGTGGATGCGACGCCCAAAAGACGGCGTAAGAGAATGAGATGGGATCAAGAAGCACCTGTGACCGAAAAGACAGACGGAGAGAGCCAATCCGAGTGGGACACGGCATCAGAAAGCTCAGCAGTGAGCGCTGATGCTGCCACACCCACACGGACGTCGTCGAGATGGGATGCTACACCTGTGGCTGCGACGCCAGGAAGGAAGAATCGCTGGGACGAAACCCCAGTGGCAAGTGGTGCAGCATCGAAATGGGACGCTACGCCTGTAAATTTGGGTGGAGTGACTCCTGCAGGAACAGGGAAGCGGTCGCGTTGGGATGAGACGCCAATGCCCGGTCCAAGTGACATGGCAACACCTGGAAAGGGTGTACCGATGACCCCTGGAGGCTCCATGACTGATATCATGAGTGGAGCATTGACGCCAGAGCTGGCCCAACGAATGCGTTGGGAACGAGAGATTGAGGAGCGAAACCGTCCTCTGATGGACGAGGAGTTGGACGCGTTATTTCCTGCGACAGGGTATAAGATCCTTGACCCACCTGCTTCTTATGTACCGATTCGAACACCGTCACGGAAGTTGCTTGCTACTCCCACGCCGATGGGTCAAATTTCTGGCTTTGTAATGCAAGCTACGCCTGCGCGTGAGGATTATGGCGTCCCGGTTGGTACCCCGTCGGGTAGTGATGGTAGCTCGATGCCGTTTATTAAGCCAGAGGACTATCAGTATTTTGGCAAGCTAATGGACCAGGTGAACGAAGAAGAACTGGACGCTGAGGCTGCTAAAGAGCGTAAGATTATGCGCTTGCTTCTAAAGATCAAGAATGGGACGCCGCCACAGCGGAAGACGGCACTACGACAGCTTACAGATAAGGCGCGTGAGTTTGGAGCCGGAGCGCTATTCAACCAGATTTTGCCGTTGCTCATGGCGCCTACACTCGAAGATCAGGAACGCCATTTGCTGGTCAAGGTAATCGATCGTATACTTTACAAGCTAGATGATCTCGTCCGCCCATATGTGCACAAAATTTTGGTAGTGATTGAGCCACTGCTGATTGATGAAGACTATTATGCTCGTGTGGAAGGTCGCGAGATCATTTCAAATCTTGCAAAGGCTGCAGGTCTTGCTACTATGATTTCTGCTATGCGTCCAGATATCGATATTGACGATGAGTACGTTCGCAACACAACGGCGCGCGCCTTCGCTGTTGTTGCTTCGGCACTCGGTATTCCGGCTCTGCTGCCTTTCCTAAAGGCTGTCTGCCAGTCACGTAAGTCGTGGCAAGCGCGACACACTGGCATTAAGATTGTGCAGCAGGTTGCAATTCTTATGGGATGCGCTGTGTTGCCACACTTAAAGCACCTTGTGGAAATCATTGAGCATGGGCTTGAGGATGAGCAAAAGGTACGCACTATCACGGCACTCGCTTTGGCTGCTTTGGCTGAGGCTGCGCATCCATACGGTATTGAGTCGTTTGACTCAGTCTTACGTCCATTATGGCGTGGTACCCGGAAACATCACGGCAAGGGTCTGGCAGCGTTTTTGAAGGCAATTGGATTCATTATTCCTCTTATGGATGCCCAATATGCAAACTATTACACGGTGGAGGTGATGGAGATCTTGATTCGTGAATTCCAATCGCCTGATGAGGAAATGAAGAAAATTGTGCTGAAGGTGGTGAAACAGTGCGTTTCGACAGACGGTGTTGAAGCATCTTATGTCAAAGAGAAGATCTTGCCTGATTTTTTCCGGCACTTCTGGGTTCGTCGTATGGCGTTGGACCGACGAAATTACCGCCAACTAGTGGATACAACAGTGGAGCTTGCGAATAATGTGGGCGCAAGCGAGATTATATCGCGGGTAGTGGATGATCTGAAGGATGAAAGTGAGCCGTATCGTCGCATGGTTATGGAAGTGATCCAGAAGGTCATTTCGAATTTGGGTGCCACGGATATTGGCACGGATCTTGAGGAAAAACTTATTGATGGTATCCTGTATGCTTTTCAAGAGCAAACGTCAGATGATACTTTCGTGATGCTAAATGGATTTGGTATTGTTGTAAACGCTCTTGGGGTTCGCGCGAAGAACTATCTGCCGCAGATATGTGGTACGATCAAGTGGCGGTTGAATAATAAGCCAGCTAAAGTGCGGATGCAGGCAGCTGATTTGATCAATCGTATTGCTGTGGTCATGAAGTCTTGTGATCAGGAGCAACTGATGGGACATATGGGTGTTGTTCTGTACGAATACCTTGGTGAGGAGTACCCGGAGGTACTGGGTAGTATCTTAGGTGCGCTGAAGGCTATCGTGAATGTGATTGGTATGAATAAAATGACGCCGCCCATTAAGGACCTGCTTCCACGTCTAACCCCTATTCTTAAGAATCGTCATGAGAAGGTTCAGGAGAACTGCATTGCTAGGGGAACAATGGTTACCATGGCTGACGGGACGTCCAAGCCTATCGAATCTGTAGTAAAGGGCGACCACGTGATGAGCCCTCGCGTTATTAACGACAATTCTGTCGTTGCCGACTTGGACATGGCGTGTACGCGTGTTCTTGACAACGGAGAACGTGAATGCGTAGAGCTCAAGTTTGAGGACGGCCGTGAGCTTGTGTGCACGCCAGACCACCGGCTGCTGCGATTTGATGGAAAATGGCAAACAGCGGGAGAAGTCCCGGTTGGTCATCAAATTTCAGTTGCAGCACAGGAGGAAACCACTGCTGCATCGGGCGAGCTCTCTGTTAAGGTTGTCGGTCTTCGTGTTATTGAACGACGCAGCGTCGGCATTAAGCGCGTGTTTGACCTTACTGTTCCCGGCAACGATGCGTTCTTTGCGGCTGGCATTGCTGTGCATAACTGTATTGACTTGGTTGGTCGGATTGCTGATCGTGGCGCAGATCTGGTATCAGCTCGGGAATGGATGCGAATTTGTTTTGAGCTGTTGGACATGCTGAAGGCACACAAAAAGGGCATTCGTCGTGCTGCTGTTAACACGTTTGGCTATATTGCTAAGGCAATCGGTCCGCAGGACGTGCTGCACACTCTGTTGAATAACCTGAAGGTGCAAGAGCGACAAAACCGTGTGTGTACAACAGTAGCCATCGCCATTGTCGCCGAAACATGTTCACCATTTACTGTTGTTCCAGCTCTGATGAATGAATACCGTGTACCCGAGTTGAACGTGCAAAATGGTGTACTGAAGGCCTTTTCATTCATGTTCGAGTATATTGGTGAAATGGGCAAGGACTACATCTACGCGGTGGCACCACTGTTGCAGGATGCACTGATGGACCGCGATCTAGTGCATCGTCAAACCGCTTGCACTACAGTGAAGCACTTGGCACTTGGTGTTGCTGGCTTGGGCTGCGAGGATGCGCTGGTTCACCTGCTGAATTTTGTGTGGCCTAACATTTTTGAAACATCTCCGCACGTGATCAATGCTGTGTTTGAAGCCGTGGAAGGCTGTCGTGTGGCACTGGGTCCACATGTGATCCTGCAATACGTTTTGCAAGGTCTGTTTCACCCTGCGCGCCGTGTGCGTGAGGTGTATTGGAAAATCTACAATTCGCTTTACATGTACTCGCAAGATGGTTTGACTCCTGCCTACCCAATGCTTGAGGATGATGGTGTGAATGCATACAACCGCACATATCTGGAGCTATGCATTTAAGCTACATCACGTTGCGACACAAAGAAAAAGAGGACAAGGACGAGAGGTGAACAGGTGAACCTTTTAATCTCATTGTGCAGTAAAAGGATACACGGGCTAGTATATATATATTAAGTGTGTTTGTGTGGCAAAGTACATTTACCTTGAATTCAAATACCGACCCTACACGGCTGTAGTTCCGAAAAAACATCCCCAACATCTGAGCGCTATCTAATTCCAGCTGTTTTTCCGTAAAAGAACGGCCGAGATATGTAATAAATCTCCAAGAAAAGCATCAGTCGGCAATTTTTCACATCACCAACTACATCACCATCTCTTCCTCTTCCATGCTGTATTGTCTTATTGTATTGCTTCTGTCACCTACAACTTCAGCCTTACAGCCACGTAACTTTCGGATTCCATCCGTGGACTTTACACAGCTCTCGAGCGCCGTGAACAATGTGCACAATTTCAAGCTACTGACGACTTTGCAGGAAAATGGGATTGTTGCGTTGCAAAATGTCCCTAATTACTCCATTTTACGTCAAGAGTATCTCCAAACTGCTATCACTTGTGCCGTGCAAGCCCAGAAACAAGATGTCGAATTTTTACTTCATCGCCAATTGAGAGACGGCACGAATAGGTTCACAATGAGTCTGGAATCTGGCCATCAATTGAGTGAAACTCTAGATCAAAGTCAACAGCTACTGGCACTTTGCCCCGAGTACGTGGAAATACACGCTGCTTTTAGTGCTGTGGTAGAATTAGCTGTTGCAAATGTAGGAACTGCTTTGGATGCAACCCAGAAATTTCATGTTGTGGCAGAGCAAGGGGCTGTTGCAATGACAGCGAGGAAATTACTGGAAGATTCGGTGCATTTGGACCATTTCCATGCTTACGAAGGTGCCCAGGGACTGCAGCGGTTGGAGAATGATACAGAGATTAATGTGGCGGACATGTCGCTGGGACTGCACACGGACAACGGGCTCATGATTGCCATGAGTGCACCGGAGTACTTTGAGGAGTTAAGCAATGGCGAGTTGCATCGTAAGGATATGCAAAATAAAGACGCAGGTCTTTATATCCAGACAACAAGCGGAGAAATTGTGCGTCCGGTGTTGAATTCGGATGAGCTCATTTTGATGCTGGGATCGGGCATCGATAACTGGATTGAAACGACTCCACCTCTTCGCTCGGTGCTACATGGCATGCGTTATCCACGGAGCGTTAGTCTAGCTGAAGGCGATGAACAAGGTAGCAGACTGCTGCGGTCATGGTTTGGAAAGATGATTCTGCTCGAAGCACACCAGGTGATGGACAATACTGGTCTCACGTTTGGTCAGTACGCAAACCGAACTACTCGATATTTAGTAGAAAAGAAAGCCGAAGATTACCACACCTTTGCAGCAATCGCTTGTCCGCCTCAACGACATTTGGCGGCGTCAGACAATAGCTGTTCACTCAAAGCTTGCATGTTAAAAAGCTCGGCTTTGGATTCGGATCTTACGTTTCCGTGCCAGATCATATGTAACCACGATTCGGCCGAAGATACTGCTTTATGTGAGAAATACTGCGATTGCGAAGCCTCGTCGAGCAGTGCTACGACTTGCTGGATGCTGTGCGTGGAGAATTTTTCGTCAGAGGTGTGTCCGGGCAAACAGGTATGCAACACCGCTGCAACAAAAGATCAACTGGCTATGACGTGTGTTGATGGAACGGTCCCACCATCAACTTTCTTGGACCCAACAGCTCCAACCCCAGCAGGTGGAAGTGCTAACTCAAGTAGCTCAACGACGTCGAACTTACCAGGTGGAAGCGCTGATCCAAGTAGCTCAACGACACCAAACCCAGCAGGTGGAAGTGCTAACCCAAGCAGCTCAACGACGTCAAACTTACCAGGTGGAAGCGCTGATCCAAGTAGCTCAATCACACCAAACCCAGCAGGTGGAAGTGCTAACCCAAGTAGCTCAACGACGTCAAACCCAGCAGGTGAAAATGCTAACCCAAGTGGCTCAATGACACCAGCTTCAATTTCGGGTACTGCGGCTGTAACGCCAACTACTGGTACGTCGATTGAGTTACCATATACCACTGCTCCGGCTACTAATGCATCGCATACTGCTGCAACTGAGTCAGCCACTTTTGGTCCAACTTTAATGGACTCTAACTCTATATTGCCCGTTACGAATGCACGTACGGCTGCTTCAACGACAAATGTTGGAAACGAGTCCACGGATGCGACAAATACGAAGGATGTGTCCGATTCTGCTGCTCCAGATGACGATACTTCATTAACGTCGACATTGGAACCCTTATCATCTTCTTCGGCGTCGTCTCAATCGTCCGCGACAAGTTTGATTTCAGTTTTCAGCTATGTGAATAGCATTGCAAGTTTTGTGGCAATATTCTTGTGCATCTGGTAAGATTGATGGCTAGGATCAATTGTGCTTGATTGAAGTAACTTTAGGGAAAATTGCTTTGCAAAATGAAACGCTGCTTTGTTTCGTTTTGTGCATTGCCGTGATAACAAACTTTAGCTAACCAGTTGTACAATTAAAGACATGGCTGTCGCTCCAACCAGCTTGCCGGAATGAAGGGATTAACTGATGTTTCGTTATGGTCCATATATATTGTCGTTATCTACACTACAACCGATTGATTCTATCATCCCCCACCATTGTTGTAGTTTCGTCTAGAGCTTGTTGTCATTGTTGAAAGCTGAAGAGGTTAAACATGCAGCAACAAAGTTCCTGCGGAAAGCGTAAAAATAAAGCTTGATCAGTTTATCGTTGTCAGTCTTTCACCTGAGGATCAACCAAATACTACTGACTACCTTGATCTTTGAAGCAAGGTGTTTGTTGTTTGCGTTGTCTGCGGTGACAGCACACGCATTGAATACGTTGAAAGCACAATGGTGGACTTTAACCACTGTTGCGCGGTTGACGAGGATAACAACTTGTCATCTGCGGCTATTCTACGCCACTAAAAGACTGGTGGGTAGACGCAAATGAAGAAAAGGCAAGGCTGTGGTGTGAGTGTGTGAGCGAGCAAGTAGGAGTACAAGAGGAACGACTCACACGATAAAAGGTAGCTTATGAGTGACTTATATTTTACCCCTTTCTTTGATCGACCCACGCCCAGACTTTCAGCGGATGTACGCGACGACAGTGGGGACGTGCGATGCTCTGATAATGCGGCGTGGAGAGATCTTGACGGTGGTGATGTCGTTCTTGGCTTTAGAATTCGCGCCGTAGTGCTGGATATGTTGCCGAATCATGATCCGATCGTTTTCAGAAGAAAAGGTTGATTTTGTTTGCATTGAGGGAAGATGCGGAAATGCATCTTTATTCGCGTGGAGCATGGGTTGCCTATGGTGAATGACACCGAGAAGAAAGAGATATAGCACAGCGTGTAGCAAATCGACAGTATACAAGTCGTAGTCTGACGTATTGACTTTTAGTTGTTTAGCCATCATTAAGACCTGCCAGTATACACCATCATCGTTTGCATTCATTATCGATCTGTTCTGCAATTTCTTATCTCCTCATCGACCGTATAGTCAGTCAGTCATCCATGACCGCCCTCAATTTATCACGCTACTCTCACAAAGACGGGCTCAGTTTACGGCCTTACCACGTTGTTGTTTCACTCTCTCATTCAGTCACTCTGCTCTACCATACCGGTCTCTAGTAAAGACGCGTTCAAAGTCGCCGATCACAAGCCGTTTTGAAAAGAGTTTGGTGCAATGCGTCCGAGCTCTAGTAATTAATCACAAATGGCTGAGCAAGTCGACGTCAAGTCTAATTAGCTCTTATGGAACCTCCATCAGTGTACCTTAACACTTGCTCCTTGAGTGGCCACATTCCTTATGCCTTTGTCTTGATAATGCTAGAACTTCACACGCTTTATCTCAACCTAGTAAGCAATTGCGTATTCTCATGATAGAGGAGAGTACGCGCCACGAGCTCTATAGAGATGATGACAATGAAGTTGCTTATAGAGATAGCAACACCGAATGTTCTTCAAGTCGTGAATTCAAACGCCCAACGAGCGAGGAACGACAACCTTTGTTTAAAACACAAGAGGTAGAATAAGGAGAAAGTAGAAGTGAGTGTATTTAGCAAACCCAGCCTTGGTGCCTTGTGCTCTCACAAGCAGCACTGCTAAATATACCCTATGCAAACCGGAAAGTGCGCGACCAACATCGGTTTCGTAACGGTCCTTCCAAGACCAAAAGATCGCCAAAAGACCGATGACGGTGCATCCAAAACCAACACTCCTCTTTAATCATCGACTCGATGCACCATTCGACCAACCAACCCCAGCATTAGTGCAATCCAACAAGACCGCACAGCTACGTCATTCTCGGGGCTGGGAGTGCCTTGGTCAGCAGGTTAGCCTTCATTAGACGAGATTTCACGTATTCCGGCTTGACAATTTCCTTGACGGCGTAATCTCGAATGAATTTAACCCGTATGTACGTGTTTTGCGCTTGCCATGCTGTTCTCAGATTCCAACTGTCTAATTGCGGCTTGGTTATCCATCATCATGCGCATTGGTTCTGCCACCATAAAACCAACTTCGCGCCACCAGCTCCCTACACCCAAGAAGCTCACGACCGACATGCAAGGCAGACGTAAACTCTGCCTCCATAGTCGGCAAGGACACACCTATCTGTTTCTTCCATACCCAATGTACGATGGCACCATCCATAGTAATAACACCACCGCTTACTGATTTCCTGTCATGTTTATCAGCAGCGACGTCAGAGTCACTCCAGCACCTCAAGACGACAGTGTTATCCAAGGCTTGGGCACATCCATCCGCAGCTTTAGTGTCTTCGTGTGTTTGAGATAGCGAGCAATTTGTTTGGCAAGCTTCCAGTCCCTCAAGGTGGGCTGGTGTGTACGCCGCGTCGACCTATGTAACGCAAATCAGATGTCCGGTTTGGTGCAGCGAGCGATCCAGAGCAGGATACCCACGAGGGACTGGCATTAACGTATTGTCGGTCCCTTGCCATCCTTCTTATGCTCAAAAAGTCTCGCATCCCCGTAATTCGCATCGTAGTTCTCGTCACTAAGTGGTCTGTGTACACCGTTAGCTTTAGCGAGACCATGCTCTTCTAATAGCTCTTCAATAACTGCTTGTTGATCCAAAGTGTATCCCTCATCCTTGTCGAGATCATTGCGCATCCCAAGAAACTTCCGTACTTTTCCGAGGTCCTTGATAAACATTATACCCATAGACAGACACAATTCCTGTACCAGCGCCGCAGAAGACGCTGATATCAGCAAGTCACCAACGTAAACGCCAACGATCGTCATATCGCATCCCGAACGCTTAAAATATAAGCACATGTCAGTTCTGCACCGCGTGAAACCAGTCTCTTCCGATTTATCGTGTAGCACACGACTCCACAACCTGCCGGCCTGCTTTAGCCGTATAGCGACTTTACGAGTGGAAAAGCCAAAGCATTCTCGTTATCCACGCCGTGTTCCTTCGTGACTTCGTCAGATAATTCTATCCCTTGTGGAATACGAAGGTAAATCTCAATATCCTTGTTCTTGTATGCTTTTACGTATGCGTTGGGAATGTCTTCGTGCTTGGTCGACACTTCCCAACGTTGCGCAAAAACGAGAATGACCTTAACAGTAATGCTTAACTCCATGACCGCCGCAAATGTGAGACCGCAATCAACGCCGAAAAGCTGTTCGTTACCGCAGGCTACGAGTCTGGCCTTATATCGTTCAATGGCGCCGTCAGCGTCTGTCTTGGTTCTAAACACCCATTTAGTGTGCAAAACGTGACTGTCCTTGGGTGGCACAGCCACAACCCATACTCCATTCTTGTACAAGGCATCGAGTTCCTCCTTCATATCAATTATCCACTTGTCCTTTTGACGGCTGCGCATGGTTGTCCACAGTTCTTTGGGCCAGCATCCCTGACAATATTCACCACGGCCCAAGCTTGTTGATCAAGTTTGGTACAAGTAAGCTAAACCTGAGCCTGCTTTTGTGCCTTTTGTGTCACTGCACGAGTACTGTAAGCATCGCGCGCTCAAGAGCTCCTCCGACCTCGAGTCTTGCCACAAAGTTTCATTTCCGTCTCACTCACTGGAGTGGTCATTGTATTCGGTCCGGTGTCATCCATGAGAAATGGACGTCTTAGCTGATCGTTTTGCGTAGACGTAAGTGTCTCGACATTCCTGATATGCTGAGTCACAATGACAAGCCTTTCCTTTGGAATGTACACTCGTCAGCCCTTGATTTCATCACTTCTTCCAATAAGTACACCAGACGTACCTCTATCGACCAGAGATTTGTTCCTCGCGTCACGGCGTACCGTACATGGTGATCCAATTGCCACAATCTTGCTGAGTCCGGGGTGTTGTTCGTGAGCATTTGCAGTGGCAATTGCCTGCCTCTGTTGGCCTTAGTGGGACTTCTATTGTAACGGGTTACACGAAGGTGTGTATTGTACATACACACCTGCCACACCAATGTGGTGTGGCTGTACCTTGGGTACAAAAGTAGGACCTGAAGTACGGTCACATCGTACGTGGTCACTATACTTATTTAAAGTATAGTGACTATGCATGTTTGCAGACTAAAGAGCCAGTAAATAGTGACTAGCACTAAGAATAGAGTAGGTGCTTCTATATTCAGTGTTAGAAGATAAACATAAATATAAATCAGTTTCAAACCTGCTCTGTATGCCTTACAGCTTAAGCGTTCGATTCCTTCTAAGGAATCAATATCTTTGATACTAGTCTCTCTGAAACTCGGTTGTTAATACCGATAGGCACAAGCTTACGAGCTAGCCTAGGAGGGTTAAGCACCCTAAGACGCAAAATTTCTCTGAGCTTGTCTTCCTCTGCACACAGTGCATAAGTAGCTTTGCTACAGTAGTTTGACTACTTCTTCTGCACATAGTGCATAAGTAGCGTAGCTACAGCAGCTCGGCTACACCTGGTAGCATTTGTAGGCAATCCTGCACCTGGGCCTGTGACTGCTTCTCTGTGTGAGAATGGACATCGATGAGATGTCAGCGGTTGGCCTGTCACAGGCACAACAGGAAGGGCTGCAGAAGCTGCTCCCTATCCTTGGCTCTAAGAGCATGAAATACCTCATCGCCCAGGGCGAAGAAGAGATTAACAAGCATATTCATGTGCTTGATGAATATAATAAAGCTCTAGTCGAGCATGTAAAGGCACAAATGCCTTCTTCTGCGCCCTGCCAGGACATGAGTCCAAGTGACATGAGTGACGAGGAACTGACCCTGGAGGGCCGGGTGAAGTCACAAATGGATGGTGTCTTTGAGGACAATGAGATGCATGCACCTAACGACGAGGTACTGACCCTGGAGGGCCGGGTGAAGTCACAAATGGATGGTGTCTTTGAGGACAATGAGGTGCATGCACCTAACGACGAGGTACTGACCCTGGAGGGTCGAGTGAAATCATCAATGGATGTTATCTTTGAGGATAACGAGGTGCAAGCACCTAGTGACGAATTACTGGCCCAAGAGGGTCGGTTGAAGTCAAAACTGACGGGTGTCTTTGTGAACAACGAGGTGCGAATACCTCATGACGAGGCATGACCCAAGAGGGTGGGATTCAGTCAGCAAATGAAGTGGTCTTTGACCTTGAGGTGTGTACACCTGTGGACGCTGATGCGTCGGATGCTGAGTGCATCATGAGTAGCGATGATGATATCGTGAGTGACGGTGATAGCGAACAGCTATATACAATCGTCAATGGTTTGACTGAAGATGTTGAAGAGCCGGTGGCTCTTTCTGCTATACCCGCAGTAAGTGCTCTATTAGAGCTGGACGAGTTGACCTTTGCCGAGTTTGGCAGTGCCTTACAGTCAGGCAACATCGCTGAAGTGGTCGTTCTACGACCTGAGGAGGAGTTAAACTCCTCATCGATTTTGGATAAAGCAGTTCTTGAGAATACCAAGAAGGCGCTAAATGCGCGTAGTGGATCACAGATCCTGAAGGACCCTTCGGATCCTTATTTCCTTTGTTGAAGGAATATGAAGATGTTGTCTCCAGAGAACCTCCTACGAGGTTATTTCCGGATAGAGGTGTACGTCATGAGATTGACTTGGTCTAGAAACCAAATACTGCGTGACGCGACAGTGGCCACTGCCACGAGAACAATGTGACGTCATTGACAAGTTCTTTTGTGCGAAGCACGCGGTTGGCATGGTGCGTGAGAGTAAGTCTTCTTACTCTACGCCCACGTTTTTTAGAGAAAGCCTAATGGGAAGCCGTGAATAGTGCATGCTTACAATAAGCTGAATGCAGCCACTATTCCGGCTCAAACAACGATTCCTCGCAAGGATGCTCTTCAGAACAATATGGTTGGATGTAAGATGTACAGTGCCTTCGACTTAGTCGATGGATTTTACCAACTGCTCATGCGAGCTAGTGATATCTCGCTGACAGCGGTCAGTACTCCGAGCGGTATGCTCTGGGAGTGATTAGTGGTGCCCCAAGGGCTATCTAACGCACATGCAACGTTTAATCGTCTAGTGAAGCAGTTGTTTCGGCCCCATAGGCCGTATGCACAGACATACTTTGACGATATATTCGTCCATAGTCAAGCCGAAAATGGCATGAAGAATCACATCGAGCACCTGCGAGCTGTGCTCGTTTGCATGAGGATGAATAAGTTATATGCCAATATTGACAAGTGCATCTTCGGTGCGGAAGAGATTCCCTTTTGGGGAAGCTTCATTGGGAAGCGAGGAATCTGGTAGGGTCCAATGGGCTCATATTGGAGCTTCGTGGGCACAGTTTTTTGTTAAGTATATGTGTATATATATATATATTTTAGGAAGGCTACAGAGCCAGTTAGGTATAGTGACTAGGGATAAGTATAATATATAAGGTAATTCTATAGTAGTGTCAGAAAATAACAACAAGTCTTCATCTGCTCTGTATAGTATTTGCTGGTTAAAGCGTTGTTTCCTGATAGGGGATCAGTATTTGTTGATGCTTGTCTCGTTGAGGCATTGGCATGTAGCCAATAAGGCTTAAGCTTGTGTAGACAGCCTTGTGAGGGTCAATAACTCGAAAGACGTAAAACCCGTAGATCTTGTCTTCCTCTGCATTTTGTGCATTTTTATTGCGTGTACGTAGCGCAGCTACAGGCTACATATTCTGATAACAATAACACTTTTATCATCAATGATGTGCATGACATTTCACGTTTTGTGGATGATATCTCGTTACACAAAATATGTAAGACGTAGTTTGATGCACATGTGCAAAGGATGAAAGAAGTAGCGTAAAATATATTATGCGCTAGCGTGTCCTGTAGCACTACAACATGGAACCCCGACCGTACTTTAATTTAACCAGGTCTAGTCACTATAGCGTCCGTCTGCCCCCATCACATCTGATAGCCCGACCGTATCTCTTTGTCCTATCTCCTCGTCGCCTCATCTCATCTGCCAAGTTATCAAACTTATCAGCCAAACAGAAATGAGGTCGCACCTTATCTTTCACTACAAGATCGAAACATTGCTGACCTGTCAAAAACGATCGTTTCTGACAGTATGTGTCGATCGCTTAAACATACGCTAAATAGAATAAGCAACTGCAAGTTGTCTAAATTTCCACCAATTGAATCTTCTTATTTGCTCTCATTTGAACCAATTACCATCACCGACTTTCTACTCTATTGCATTACGAAGAGAAACGATATGGACGACAAACGTGCGCGTAATAGCGGCCATTTAGTCACTGTCACGCCTTTGCGCTCCTCCACAGACGTCGATGTAATCTCTACAGATATTAATGTCAACCGAAAGCGTCGCATGGACGCACTTGGTGCTCTCGCTTTGGCTGTAACACGTGCTCCACCTGGTGCCCTGAGCTATTCAGCAATTCAGACCAGCGCCTCTAACTCACCTTCCGTGCTGCAATTGTTTAGAGCTGAAAATGCTGGTTCAAGGATAAGCAGTAGCTTTTCTTCTGTCTCATCTGTGTCCACATCGACTTTGTGGGATGTCAAGAGCGCACGGGACCTAGAGCAAGAACCGGACGGTGGAATACCTAATAAGCGCTCTAGATTCGCACCTTATTCTCTTCAAGAGACGGTGGTAATTGGTGGAATAGATAACGACCGTGTTATGATGGTTCATAGCTTAGGAAAAGACAACAGAGACGGAGACAAGAGAGTGGAGCAGTTTGAAGCCATGAGGGAAGATTCACAAAATATGATGGAAATCATGAGTATTTCGCAACAGAATACACAAGAGTGCACACAAACCTTAGAAGACAGTCCGTCGCAATATCTTATGAGGCTTGTACTGCATCCAGAAGTGGACAGAGCAGTTACAGCTTTCCAGAAGAATGCACTGGAGAAGAATGGATTATACCGCATCGAAATGCAAATGCTTAAGCCAAGAGTAAAGCTAGGGAGGGAAGAATATGTGAGCATTTTTGACAAGAAGACGTCTGGAGTGGATCCAGTAAAACTAAGCAGGACACACTGTATTATTGAAGTGGCGTTGGATCCAGAGACACATCGACATGCAGTTTTTATTACAGACAAAAGCACGAACGGGATAAGAATCGACGGCGTACAGGCACAGAAGGACAAGAAGTATAAGTTGGTGGATGGTCAAAATATCACACTATTATCGTCTCGTCAGGGAAATGTGCTGCTTGGATATGTCGTGGAAGATCCTCATGTAAGAGGTGCGCAAGAAGACACGAAGAGCAACCGGAGACCAGGTGTAGCTGAGTCGCAGGATGAGTCTCAGCAGGAACCAAACTTTCAGGGTACCGCTGGGAGTGCTGTTTTCGGCTCCTTTAGTCGGAAAAGACATTCATGGCAAGTACCATCCTATCGCTGCGTTAGATGTTAAGCGCGAGTACTCGATCCTACAGAAGAGTTTGATAGAAGCATCTAAGTTTGCAAAGCGACCTGCAACAGGCAACGACGGACCAGACAAGAATGGCTCTGGCGCTTTGTCCAGGGTATATCATTGCCCACGTCGAATTAGTGTGGTTGCCAAATTTGCCAACACGGACGCATTCCGTGCCATGATCACATTAGGATGTAGAGCACTTCATTTTTCAGGCCATGGTGACGAGAATCACTTGTACTTCGAAGATGGAATGGGGTTGGTGCATCCGATCCCCCATAAAGGTCTTCAGGAACTGTTTTCGGCAGGAGGTGGCAGGGATGAGTCAACACTACGTCTTGTGTTTGTTTCTGCTTGCTCCTCTGCACCGCTGGCTTATGCTTTCGTATCGTGTGGAATTCCGCACGTCATCGGTGTTCGAACCAACCAAAAGATTGAAGACTACGCGGCTATTGAGTTCACGCGCGCGTTTTACCTGGCACTTGCAACTGGTAAGTCTGTGGAGGCAAGCTTTACCATTGCTCAGCAATCAGTTGCAAAATCGCCAAATATTCGAGGACCCATGGCAGTTGCTGAGAAATTTATGCTATTACCAGAGGACGGTGACCACTCGGAGATTATTTTTCCATTAGCTGCCGTTGAGTCATCTAATATTATCAATCTTGAACCAATGAAATTCAAGCGATACCCTAAATTATGGCTTGATGACTTGCCAGCGATGTGCCAAGGGTTTTGTAACCGCTCTGTCGAAGTGTACAAGATCTGTCTTGCTTTGATGATGACGCAGTCTCGGATCACACGTCTTGTGACAATCTGTGGTGAGGAAGGTATCGGAAAGACTACAATTGCCCACGCTGTAGCAAATTACGTTGGACCGCGTATTACTTCAGAGGGAGGGGTTCGCATTTTTTCGGTGGCCAGGCTAGCCCAAGATGAAATGGATGAGCACGTGGGAATGTTGCGGCGAAACATCAAAATTGCAAACGTTCGTTGTCGTGTACTGATTCGGTTAGAGACGATGGTCTCGGATCATCTCAAGCAACACAAGGCTCGAATTGAGTTCAACAATCAGCAATTGCTGATGGTCATGGATGGCTGCGACTATCTTCTGCGCAATGATGGTCGCCGCGACCGTTTTCGCGCATTTCTGTCCGACATCCTGACCAATAATGTTTCGTTGAAAGTCGTGCTGACGGCAAGAACGTCTATCTGTACGGATGGTGCTGTCCGCGGTCACGGAGAGCGATTGTACACGCTTTCAAGGTTTGACATGAAGAGTGCGACGATGATGCTAGTGAGTCTGATGAGCCGGCCTATTCGTATGGAAGAACTGAAGCTCGCGCGCGTTACCAACTCGTCGGATAAGCTAGAGCTTATTGCTTCTCACCCGGCACTGAGAGCCACGAAGGGTATTCCCAAATGCATAGCTGACCTTGCTGGCAGACTCAATGAGACAACCATGGACAAAATTTCCGTAGACGAACCTGAACTGAATCTCATGGAATGATGCATCACGCGTTTTGAACGATGGCAACCGTATACAAATGTAGAGAGGGTGATTCATTATGATGCAAGAAACTGACTACTAGCATTTGATCCGTCAGCTGTGTGGAAGCCAAAAGAATTGAATTGAAAATGAATGCAAGCAGAAAAACGTAGAATAAAAGCTTTGCTACGGTGGATAATAGTCGATCTCAAGGAATCCAACGTGTTTACCAGGATAGATGAAAACTTTTGGGTAGTTGTCGAGACGCTGTGTTGAAGCGACGTCCGCTGACCGCTCGCATGCGAATGATTGTCCTTGAAGCGTGTCCACTTGAATCTTTTAAGAGATGCAACCTAGAGTTTGCTTCTCTTTGCCTGTTGCTGGTGCTGCATATTGGCAATAAATGAAATAACAATTCTTATTCATTTCGACCTTGCTGAAATGAGAACACCACGTTGCAGCAATGACAATTGACATGGCCACATATAAATTGGTATTTGCGCAAGTAAGTATATGATCAGGTGGTATAGAATTAACCTCGTTAAGCTTTTTCCAGCTACGAGCAGCAACACAGTAAGACAAACTAAAAGAACACACAACGTTACTTGTAGTCACCGACGTTCGTTTCTTGTCTTGCTCCCCGCTCCGATCAATTATTAGTTATGTGTAGTCTTGAAGCGTACCGGCCTGTTTCGTTACCATCGAGTTCCCTAGCAGATATCCATCGGGGTTGAACCGTTGCTCTCGTTCTTTCTATCGATGGCGTGAAAGTAGATGCCACCCCATGCTTCGCTCCGATTGCGCTTAAAATGCACGTCAGGGTCGTAGCCACCTGCAAGCTGCTGCTGACGACGCAGCTTCTTCGACTCGTTGACGCCAAAGTTTGGTCCACGTTTGCCTCCGGGAACCGGAATTGGTTGAGGCCCGCCAATTACTCCAGGCTGAAAGCCCATCATCGCAGCTTCCATTTCCGCTGTAACTGCCTGATCGATCGGAATTGCAGTTGTAGTAGCACGCAACTTAGCGACGTCACTTTCGTCACGTTCGCCTAGAGCCACCTCCATTAACTGCTCTTTTTGAAGCTCCAAATCCGCTTCAAATTGCGAGTCTTCACGTTGCTGCAGCTGTCGACGTTCTTCAGCCATTCTCTGCTGTTCTGCAATCAACTGTGCGATTCGTCGCTCCTCATCCGCCTTTTTGGCGTCATTTGTAGCAATCAAAATTGCATTTTCCTGTCGATACTGCTTCCACTGCTTTTGGGCCGCAGCCTTTTCGCTTTCATTACCATACGCCAGGTCAAAAACTACAACAAAGTTGTTAACAAACTCCGCAGTGTCCTCTTTCTACTTGGTACACAATTCCATAGTCTCATACCGAGATTCTCTAGCGTCTCTAGATAATCATTATACTCGTCCAGCGTGTCAAAGTCTTCTTCCGTCTTATTATAACTACATCCACCAAACTATTCATTAGTATACATAACTACCTCTTAAACGTTATAACAAGCACATTTTCTCACTCTTTGATCACTTTCTTGCGTATTGACGTTTCCTTCGCAAAATTGAGCTCCTCAATGGTTTTATCTTGTAGCTGTGACTTTTTTACTGGCTTCTGACAGGCATGACATGCAATCTCACGTTGATGCTGGAATTCACGCTTAATGCAGTGGTCACAGCTGCAAGAATGAATACACGTGAAGATTACCTCTTAATTGTTACAACTATTATTTGATTGTTCGTAAAGACACGCACAATCGATGGCCACATTTGGATATTAGCATTTTCATCTTTGTATTGAGGTAATTGCTGTCATCTTCAGCTGATGTACCGCACACGCAACACCGCAGCGCTAGCTCCTCCGCCTCATCCGCTGCCGTCATAATTTACCCCTTTTTTACAATATTTAATTCTACCAGAGAGGATTACAGAAGCTATAGTCGTATCGCTGTATACAAGGGTACATCTCGCGTAACCTCGTATACAACGGTTTACGCATTTGGATACATTAAGACACAGAAGATGGCGACAGTGGAGCGTGTCTTGGCGGAGCTGATGCGGCTCAATGAGGAAAATGTGGCACCTTTTACTGGTTCTATGTCACAATCTTCATGTAATTCATCTCTTGGCCAATTCTCCATCGTCTCTGCATCGTCCTTAGCCCCCGAAGCGGTTAAGATTGTACCCTACCGTAGCCCCACGGATACTTTCGCTGCGTCACCTTTTGCGTTACCGCAAGTACGTCTCACATCGCCGTATGGAGATAGATCAGTAGTACAAAGAGATCTGGAGAAGTTTGCGAATCCTGTGTTTGCTTTGGAGCGCCTGGGACCCTTTCCTCGTGGCTGGGGAAGCAGTGACCCCACGACGACCACGAAGAAGAAGGTTATGATTCTACAAAGCCGTCTCTTACCACAGATGCCCATGTCTGCACCTCGAAATTTGCTGCGTCCTACATATAAATCGATGGTAAAAGATCCTTTGAAGCTTCAATACGAGCTTCGAGCGGCAGACGTTTCTAATGTTGAAGCAGGCGCAGGATTTAGCAGCGCACTGAGCAAGCAGGATGAGTACGCTCGAGGAAAAATGAGCAATAAGCCGTTCTTGCCCGGTGGTAACTCGCTGGTGGAGCTAAACACAGAGGAGAAAGAGGAACAAATGAAGCCCATGCAACGATTGCTACTAAAAGAAGAGGAGCAGAACCGGAATATGCTTGTGCTGGGAAACAACAAAAACATGGATGACAAATTGTTGGAGTGTCTGGTGTTTGATGTGCCTGGCATTAATGGCTGTTTGAGTGCAGCAGATGTGAAAAAGATTGAGAAAAAAGATAGTGAAGAGGAGGTGCAGGAGGAAACTGAGACCGTGGGAGTGAACCCCAAGTTACTGCTCTTACCTTACATCGAAGCTGCAGCCGATAAAGATCATATGGCTGCAATTCAGAGTGCTATCTTGGACAGGAAGGCCGCAAATGCAATGAGACAAAATGATGAAATTACAACAGTTGGACTCGACCAGTTGCTGCGTGATGTGGAGAGCGATAGAGAACTTATCGAGTTGGGTTTTGGGATTGAAGAAGATGAGCAAGAAACTGTACAAGACAATAAGCAGAATGAAGTTGGCTCAGAGCTGGTGGATGTAACAGCCAAGGCAATAGAATTTGTGGATGGGCTTGATGAGGAGGGTACTGATGAAGATTTTGTTGAAGACCCGGCAACCATACTGGAGTCAATTCTTGATTCAGCTTCCAAGTCGACCAAAATTTTAAGCTTGCATAAAAAAACAGACTATATATCGGAATGGGCAAGCATAGTAAGCATCGATGTGCGCAACTTCCATGAGAAGGTCCCGGAAATGGCGATGAAATACGACTTTGAACTGGACGTGTTTCAAAAAGAATGCGTCATTCACTTAGAACGGCATGAATGTGTGTTTGTGGCTGCACATACGTCTGCTGGTAAGACTGTTGTTGCGGAATATGCCATTGCGATGTCTCAGAAGCACATGACTCGAACCATTTACACATCGCCCATTAAAGCGCTTTCGAACCAGAAGTACCGCGACTTCCGCACCAAGTTTGGTCCTGACAATGTTGGCTTGATTACAGGCGATGTTAGTATTAACCCTGACGCAAGCTGTCTTGTCATGACAACGGAAATCTTACGTTCGATGTTGTATCGAGGCGCGGATATTATTCGCGATATTGAGTGGGTTATCTTTGATGAAATTCATTACATTAATGATAGCGAACGTGGAGTAGTATGGGAGGAAGTGATTATAATGCTTCCCGAACACATTGGTATGGTGTTTTTGTCGGCAACCACTCCAAACCACTTGGAATTTTCAGACTGGATCGGACGTACGAAGAAGCATAAAATTCACGTAATATCGACTAACAAGCGGCCCGTTCCTCTTCAACACTTCCTTTATGCTGGAAAGGAGTTATTTAAGCTGTATGATGCCACTTCTGGGTATCTTCCAAATGCTCATGGTGCAGCTAAGGCAAAACTTTACCCTGTGTTAGACAAATCAAAGGCAGGTGGTCGAGGCAGTGCAGCCATATCTCAGGGAGGTGGTAGTAGTGCGAACGTACGTAGCATTCGCAAGTCGGGAGGTGATCAAGGAGAGTGGACGAAACTTATTAACACTTTGAAGGATAAAGCACTTCTTCCGGTGGTAGTGTTTGCCTTTAGCAAACGTCTGTGCGAGGAAAGTGCAAGCAAGTTGGCCAAGCTTGATATGAGCACGCCATCGGAGCGGTCTGAAATTCACCTTTTCCTTGAGAATAGTGTGCATAGACTTCAAGGATCCGACCGTGAGTTGCCACAGGTGCTAACAATGAAAGAAATGCTCAAACGTGGCGTTGGTGTTCACCATGGTGGCCTGCTCCCGATTATCAAGGAGATGGTCGAAATTTTATTCGGCCGAGGTCTTGTCAAGGTACTGTTCTCAACAGAAACGTTTGCAATGGGTGTGAATATGCCTGCGCGTACGGTTATCTTTAATGGCATTCGTAAGCACGATGGTAAGAACTTTCGAGACCTTTTGCCTGGCGAGTACACACAGATGGCTGGTCGAGCTGGTCGTCGTGGTCTGGACTTGGTTGGTACCGTTATCATTGCATGCTGGAACGATGTTCCCGAGCCCACATCGCTGAGAACAATGCTAGCAGGAAAGGCAACATCACTTTCCAGTCAGTTCCGCCTGACATACAACATGATTTTGAACCTTTTACGAGTGGAGGTGCTGACGGTGGAGGATATGATGAAGCGCTCTTTTTCAGAATTTCACACACAAAAGGCTCTTGCGTCGAAGAATATTCCCAAATTAATTCAGAAGGGCAAGAAACTGCTTCAGCAACTTGAGCGGTCCCTTGTTGAAGATTATCCGCACTTGGAGACGAGCGGACAGTTTGCACAGATGCAGGGATTTTATCAGCTAAAGCGCGATAAGCGTGAACTGGAAAAGATTTTGACAAAGTGGCTGCTTGCAAACAACATTCAAGCCGCCAAAAATGCAATTGCGCCTGGACGGATTGTAGTTATCAACGTGAAAGGGCTGTCGTCTGGACAATTGGCACTAGTGGTGCGTACGAATGCTGCTTTGGTGGGTGAGGGTGGATGTGCTAGGTCAAAGCGTTCGTTTGAAATCGATCTTCAAAAATCAAGTGTTACCGACGGAGGATACAGGGGAGTATTCAAGTCAATTATGGTCATAACTCTATGCCCAGACGACTACCAGCCTCCAAAGGTGGAAAACCTATCAGCCTCCACGAAGAGCTGTCGCACTGTCTTGGACAGCGGGCGTATGTTGCGTAGCAAGAGGTATGATGATGACGACTGTGTGTTTGGAAGAGTGGTCATGCAAGAAAAATCAAAAACCCAAGAGAGCTCTGAGCTCATGGCTCCCTCCACGGCTACGCTCTTAGGAATAAAGTACGCCGTGCTGGAAGTTCCTGAAAGCTGTCTTGAGAGTATCACCTCTGTTGTAGCATCGAGTGTAAATACTAAAACGCTCGTGGCCTTCTCATCAAAGAAGGAGCTCGCCAGTAGTATTGAGTTCCTGGTAAAGCTCGAAAAGAATGCCTCCGCAACGCAAAAGGCAGCTATCGCTTACGTGGATGTAAGGGGGTGAGCTTAAGGTCAATGACCTAGAAGTCGTGACAGGCTACACCCAGTGGCAGCAGTTGTACTCGAAGGTACTTAGCCATCCTTGTGCAACGGACTCATCTTCAGTTTCTCGTGTTATGGGCAAAGTAGAGAAAATTATCAAGCTGAAGGCCTATTTGGCACAGCTGACTCGAGAGCTGTCAAATGATTCGTTGTCGCTCTTCCCTGACTTTCAACAGCGACTGAGTGTGTTGAAAAGACTCGGTTACATCTCGGACGATGGTGTCGTGCAGATTAAGGGTCGGGTTGCGTGCGAAATCAATACGTGCGAAGAGCTAGTATTGACAGAGATGATTTTTGAAAATGTGCTAGCCAACCTGGAGCCTGAAGAGATTGTTGCCGTGCTTTCTGCGCTTATCTTTCAAGAAAAATCACTGTCTGAGCCTACGCTCACCCCTACACTGGAGATAACTCGTGATGTGGTCAAGAACATTGCGGAAGCACTTGGTCTCATCCAACTGGAGCAGCGACTGGACATTGACCCTGCGGTCTACTGCAAAGGTGCTCTCAACTTCGGTTTAATGGAAGTCGTATATGAATGGGCAAGAGGAATGCCATTCAAACAACTATGTGAGCTCACAGACGTCCAAGAAGGCTCTATCGTTCGCTGCATTACGCGTCTGGATGAAGTTTGTCGTGAAGTACGCACTGCTGCCCGCGTTATTGGTGACCCGCAACTTTACCGCAAGATGGAAGTTGCCTCTGAGGCCATCAAGCGTGACGTTGTGTTCGCCAGCAGTTTGTACCTGTCTTAGTTTGAGAGAAACATAGCCACTAGAATCTAATTCCGCGGCGCTTGTCGTTCGTACTACCAACCGTTAATATCATCAAACAGTATTCGCCATTGAGCTAGCCAAATCGCACATGCGATTTAGACCACGCTTCCGAAGTAGCAGTCTTCTTTGCTTTCGGGACATGTTTGCTCGCAACTACTGAGATTGTTTCTTTTGTAGACGCTTGTCTGGTGTCGTGGCTAGCACCAGTTGATTCGCCACTATTCATCCGGCGATTCAGCTGCTCTAGGGATTGACGACAGTTGTTGGCATATTCTTCGACCATCATTTTCCGCCGCGTTGTCAAATGCAGCTTTGAACAGCCCAACACAACGCCAAGTACGCTTTCAAGGCACACCAGGCGGTCTCGGCGCTTAACCTGATTTACTACCTTTTCCACAGTCTCCACCAGCGTGAATAACGCCGTGGTTAGTAGAATAACTTCTGAATGCTCAAATTCTAACCACAGTGAGTCTACAATCGTGACAAGCCGACTCAAATTGACGTCATATGCGCCCAGCTCAAACTTGTCACGCAACGTGCGTACCTCACGGGAGCAGCGTTGCAGCAGAGCTCGAGCGTTTTCAGCAGATTGGCCTTTTTTCTTCTCTTCATTGCTACAAAATTTAGCGTTCAGCTGTCCCGTGGACAGGATACTGCTTCTCGTAGCCATCTCGCCAACATCAGAAAGCAAACTTGTCCGCTTCTTTTTATTCTTTACGTTCATAGCAGGCGTCAACTTTGCCTTGGCAGCAATTTGGGTGTGCACGTTTCTATTCAACAAAAAGAGTGTTAGATTACAAACTCACCACCGTTCAAAGCTTTGACGTACGAATGCCATTGCTTGAGTTCTGGACACTTGTTCTCAATCTTTTGAAGCGTCCTCTCGAGTCGTATCACCAACTTGCGCTCGGTTTTATCAGTTTGCAGCAATTTAATCGCATGAGCCTCAACTTTAAGCAAACATTTCTTCCACCGCGTTTTCTTCTTTTTCTCGTCTTCTTCCGCCAGTATGGGCATCAATCGCTGTAACTGCCTAAGCCCATTTACTACAGTCTTTATATCCTGAGTCTGCAATATTTGTCTTGAGATTGTCTTGGCCTGTTTGATTTCCATCGTGTCCGAGACTTCAACTTCGTTGCTTGCGTCAGCCGTAGTTAACAAGCTTTTGTGTGGCTTATACAACTTACTTAGGGACGTTTCTAATCGTGTTTGTAGCGTTTCTAACTCGAACAGTAGTTCGCTGGACACGACGGCACGTTGAGTAGCGTGCAGCTTGAGCGTCGCGTCCTGTATCTGCTTTACTTCCGCCATGGCAGTCTTACATGCTCGCATCTGATCTTTGACATGTTGAAGGTCTTCTTCTATTGCTTCACAGCAGTATTTTCGACGGGTATCTTCGTCCAAACGTATAAGAAGGCACTTGAAGCCACTTGAGCAAACCTGCTCGTTGGTCGGAGCCATTGATAGATGCAGAAATTTAGAAACTGATAAGTATTAGCGTGAATTTTGTATATCACATAAAACTATAATTAAATTGCTGTATATTTCATTACAATTTTATAGCCTGTTTCTTCCAAGAAGTTACCTCTTTCGCCGTCTAACTCCTTCAAACTCAATCAGGTAGACTTTTTATTGAGTAGAAACTTTTCTGTAATTCGCTGACGCTTTACGATAAAACCTCTTACTTGCTTTAGCAGACAAAGGTTTTTTTGAGAAGCGAAGTGATGATAACTGCGTTATACCGTCTTTAAAGGATTTCGCGTAACCAGAATTTCGTTGAAACGTCTCAAACTGTGCTCTTTCTAGCGCATTCGCATCGTTTGCCTTGACTGATTTATAATGTTCAATCATTATTGCAAGCTTTACGACGCCGTACGTTTCTACTAGCTTTTCGTAGTGTTCCATCAGTCTTACGACATTATCCACATTGTTTTGATTGTGTGCACCCATTACGGGGATGTGTTCGTCTGACATTTCCATGTATTTGGAAGTCACCTCCTCAGATTCGACATCTCGTTTAAAACGCCGTCCAACCTTCCCGACAATAGATTCCGCATCCAATAGGTCACTAAAGGGCATCCTCTCTTCAACTTCATTGATATCTTTGCTTGTGACTGCCACGTTTGACTTCAGGTGCCGCTTGACTGCACCTTTTTCATGAGGTGAATGCAGTGTACCATCTTGCATCGCATCATCAGAAATATATTCTGCGGTGGCCCGTGCTAAGCACGACCCAAGGATAGCGACACCGAACAGCACCTTCGCACGTGCTATGCCGGTGAAAGCCATCTTCAATGCTTGAGAAGATGAGTGAGACGGAAGTAAAAATGGAATGTGATGAAATCTGACACCTAAACTACCACCGCTCAGTGTGATTTATTTGCATTATTAGGACACCTTAATCCTTTTCTGTAACCGCGCTTGAATGCTTCAAATCCTTTTCTCCCGCGTATTGACGACAGCTGTCTCCTGAAGTCTAATGCCTGAATTCGCTTTATCTGACAAAGTAGAAACAGTTTCTTCGGAAAGGCACCACATTAGATTCAGAACGTGCTTTGTTCGGTCGGACTAGACAAAATAGCGACGGGATTAAATGCAAATTTTGGCTCGTGAACTGTTTGTGAATAGGTCAAGCGCAGTGTCACATGCGGCTACTAGTCGGTTCATAAATTCGGATACTCGGTCTGCAACAACGTCTCTCGCACTTCTCAGTCCATGGTCATCGTGAAGCTGCTTAAGTGCTGTTGTATGAGTCCTATTTTATGAGTCCTCAAGTATCGCGTAAGAATGCAAAAGTTGTCGTGCTTGTCTATGAGGCCATTCAAGTTTCTTCATACTGATGACCTAGACAGCTCTCAGTGAATCTGAATACTTTATTACGTCTCTTTATTGATAAATCTCTGGCTTTCTTGCCAAACGTCTGCTCTCGTGGAACCTGCAAAAAGTCCCCACCGCAGCAGAAAGAACGATAGTGTCAGAATATCGCCCTGTTTACTCACTACATGCGCCGGTACTCTGCTTGAAAATTCCTTATAGGAATTGGGATTCTCTAGCACAGAAGCTAACCTTTCGTAACGAATGTATAAACTTGCTTTAGCTTCATTGTCACAGCACATCCATGTTTTGTGTAACTCTTTGTCTACGATTTCAAAGAGCGACACGAGTTTACTGTCGCCTTTCCAATGCCAAACAGATAGTAGCTGACATGTCTACAAAAGCGCTTTGAAGCAAAAGAAAACAATTTCTTGAAGCTTGCTATGGTTGTTAGCTATGTATATAATACTAGTCCAACGTAATCTTGACATGCATATCTAGCGTTCCGACGAAGCAACAGACACCTGAACTCATGTGACATCAACGAGCTGCTTTTGTTTGTTATGACGCGCTGGATCGTTGATATACCACTTACCATCTCTTGGCCTGAGCGGCTGCAGCGTGTGCAGGATCTTCTGCAGGTTGGCTCATACTCCTGCAAAGATACGAGCTATGTCTTTTTGGGAGCCATGCCATCAAGTGGAAAACCGTGATAAAGATGCCGACTCCGGTAGCCATTGGGCTGGTATGGTGGCCACCAAACAAGTGTTTGCTGAAGAATCATTGATGAACAGTAATTACTCCATTGGCCGTATTGTAGTGTGCTATCCAAGCTACCAACATCCACTATCCACTTCAATCCTTTGCAGACTCTTGGAATGCCTTTTTGCTAGATGTAGAGCGCGCCAGTAAGTCTGGATTGCTACCTCATGACGGTCTGTAGCCATATTGCAAGTATGTACATTGCAGCCATTTTATGGTGTTAACGTAGTCCTGTCAAGGTTTGTTATGGTGTTAATTTGTCATTCCTGCTAGCTTACACCTCCTAGTGCAGCATTCTCTTCGACCAGACCGTAGCTGGCTGCGTTCATGGTTACTTCGCCTAACCTCGAGGAGGGCTTCTTGCAGCACGTTTTCTTGCTTTCAATTCTATCGCATCCGTGATATACCGTTATAGAGCTGTCGGTATTGTGGTGCAGCCATTACCATTTATCAGTGAAGACCAATACCATCAATGTTTTCTTATACCTTTTTGGACTGCGAACTTTTGTATCTTCCACCTCTTCGCCCTGGAAGCTCTGTTCGCATACTCCATCCTTTACAAAGTGTAGCTTTCGCAGCTTATCATTCATTAGCAGTACAATATCAGCAATTTGGCACAGATGTTTCGTCTTATCTGAGCATGTATTTCTAACATTTACCGTAATGCATAGCTACTACCAAAGCTCAAGCCTATGCTCGAGCTTTGGCGGTGTACCTGGCCGTCATCGGTTCCTTGATATTATTATTCCTGTAACTGGGTTACACAAAGTTGTGTATTGTACAATACACACCTGCCACACCTTTGTGGTGTGGCTGTACTTTGGGTACACTGGTAGGTTGATGTGACCGTATCGAAGGCACACGGGCTTACATTGTGGCAGTGAGCCACGTGGTCGTTATACTTAGTTTGAATATTATGAATACATATACTTGCATATCAGTAGGTACAGAGCCAGATAAATAGTGACTAGCACTAAGTATAGAGTGGGTGCTTCTATATTTAGTGCTAGAAGATAAACATAAATATAAATCAGTTTCAAACCTGCTATGTATAGCATTAGTTCTTGAGCATTAGTCCTTGAAGAAAGGAAGTGTATCTTGGATACTGGTCGCTTGGAGACGTGGTTGTTTACAACCAGAATCACAAGCGTATAAAGCTAGCCTGAGAAGGCTGTCAACCCTAATACGTAAAGCTCGTAGAGCTTGTCTTTTCTGCGCTTGGCGCGTATGTAGCTTTGCTACGGTATCTTTGCTCCATCTGGGCAGCACGCATAGTCAATCCCGCACCTGTGCCTGTGACTACTTCTCTGTGAGAACGGGCACCGAAGAGATGTCCGCGGCTGGCCTGTCTCAGGCACAATAGGAAGGGTTGCAGAAGCTGCTCCCTATCTTGGCTCTAAGAGCATGAAATACCTCATCGCTCAGGGCGAAGAAGAGGTTAACAAGCATATTCATGTGCTTGAAGAATATAATAAAGCTCTAGTCGAGCATGTAAAGGCACAGATGCTTTCTTCTGCGCCTTCGTCTATGGCGACTATGGTGCAAGAAGTGATCCGCAGACCAAAACTCATACATATGGAAGTCGATAATTTCAACGGAAAAGAAGGTGACAACCTTATGCTTTGGTTCCGACATGCGGGGTGGCTATGCTTATAGCTGACGTCACCTATGAACCGTACCGTGTGGGCTTTGCCACGGGCAAGTCGAGTGGTTTAGCCAAGCAATGGGCATTCACATGCGATGTATCATTGCAAGCTGCTTTCCCGACATGGGCCGATCTGAAAGTTCAGATGACCCGGCAGTATGTACCGCTAAACCAAGTGCACAGAACTCGGTCGCGATTTTTGGCGTGTCGCCAAGGCAAGCGTGAGCTTGCGGCATATGTGCAAGAGCTGAGAACTCTTATTGCCGCCATGGTCATGGACCCTCTCGATGATGCAGTGACCGTCACGGTCTTTATGGAGGGTCTCCGAGTTGGCGTTGTCAAAACGAAAGTCTTTCGGGTAAACCTGTCCTCATTTGAGAAAGCTGTTGGAGTGGCATGGAAAGCCAAGACCAACTTTAAGGCCGCTGTGACTGCCACTCATTACGACTCGTCTGATGGGTCTTTTCCCACGGACTGTAGTCAAGTGGAAGATGAACAAGCTCATCTCATGTTGTGGAGCAGATAATTTTTCGCAGATGTTATATCTGCAAGAATACAGGATATTTGATGGCAAAGTGCCCTGCAAGAAAAGCATATTTGGCCTCGAAGGGCCGACGCTCCATGGGCAAACCTTCTGGTTTGCCGCGGGGAAACGGCGGAACCCAGTTGGCGCGGGGCGCCCTACTGGGGAAGAACTGAGTTCTATTGAACCTCTAGGAGGTAGAAGTAAACAGGGCCCAGCCCCAAAGAGACCCGAACTCTCAAAAACGGAGCGAGAATGCAAGACAGGCTTGCTAGTCGTCAAAAAAAGGGACCATGAAGGGCTTTGATAAGCAATGGATCATTTTGATCAGTTTGGGGTCATCCGGCAATTATGCCCGTGAAAGGTAGTCGGCAATATGCTGAAGCGCTTAGAGCGCGTAAAAGTGACACAGTCACTGTTTCTTGGCGACGGGTACGCGTGTTACGGTGCCCAAAGTCCCAATTGACTTAAATGTAAAGTTCTTAGACTTTAAAAGCATGGAGCGCTGTCCGATCTTGAACGTGGATGCGAGGTGTATAACCTCATCTGAGGCATGGCATGGCTCGAACGCCATGAGCCATGGATTGATTGGAGGTCGAAGACCTTAGGCGCAACGCGCATTGCACCTGGTGGGGCTCTACGGAGTCATGAACATACCTCCTCTAGGAAGATAAAACGCTTTTGGCGCGGATATTTGACCAAGCCGGTCAATATGCTATCCACGTTCGTACGACACATAGGAGCTCAAGATACCTCTCCGGCAAGATTGCCCGGACATCGTGAACACTTTTTATCGGACCAATCAGAAGCGGCGACAGCAGTTGCATGACGCTTCACTAGGTGCTGAGGAAGCAAGGTAAGTCGTTGGACTTTGCCTTGACCTGCTTGGGAGTAGTTGCCGGTACCTCGATCGCGTGAGAAGTACAGGAAACTTTTCAGAAGCTGTTATTTCACAAGTTTTCGACTCATGTGTGGAAGATAATCGACGCTTTGCTATAAGCTTTGCGTATTTAAAGCGTAAGCGACGTTTGAACGAAACGTTTTTCACCCTAAAGCTTTAGCTTAAGTCATAAAAATTTCGAGCTTACAGGCTCGTTTAATTCAGCGGGTGAACTGGTGATCATTGTTGAGCGATGTCTCACCTGGTGCAAGGGCCACTGATACGTTATTTGAGTGGAACCGGTAGTCTCGACAGTTTCTTCTGATACGATTTAATCGTGAAATATAAAGGAGTAAGGAGACGCTTACGGAGAGCAGTGTAAGTAGAGATCCTGCAAGAGATATAGGCCTCGGTACCAATGAGGTAGGAACGAAGTGACTGAGAAGCAGCTCGTCGAGCTTCCTCATTCGCGTCACGAGCCACTAACCCATAATCACGACGTAAAAACGTGTGCTTGGGGCGTACCAAGGCGGCCTAACTGGACTTGTCAGCAAGCCGACGACGTTGGGCAGTGGAAAGAGGGCTGGATATTTACCTCCACGAGAGATAAGTGGTGGCGCTTGGCGTAGAACGGTCGCGATCTTCGGGTACAAGGGCTGAGGTAGGGTTCACCGTTCTTTGCTTGGTTGGCGTTGGATGTCACAGCCCAACGGACACTAGGTGTCGCTGGCTCTAGAGTTAACTTTACAGTCGTCATCTCCGAATTGTCGCAGTGCGTCATCTCATCCATGATTAGAAGGCGCAACTGATGCAAAGACTGCGAGATCTCAAGGAGCATGTGTAAGTACGTTAAAAGGCTTTATTATTAAGTGCTGGACTTTTAGGCGCTCAAGGAGTAAGCATTTAGAACACTAAGGGGCTTTATAAGCGAGTTCTGGGCACTTCGGCGCCCAAGAAGCAAGTGATAGACACTTATAGGCTCAAAAACGCCTTACAAGTAAATATTATAAACTTCGGTGCTTGAGCAGCAAAGTGAAGAATGAAGTCGTTGGAGTTCTCACTATAAGCTCAAAGAGTTGTGTACGCCGGTTACCATGATTGGTAAGGAGAGTGTAACGAAGTTACACAAAAATTGTATTATATATACACACGACTGTACTTTGGGTAAATCACACCCAGTTTAATGTAACCGTATCCAAGGCAACACATCGTGGTAGAAAGCCACATGGTCATAGCACTTGGTTACGTACTGTGGATACAAATGTATAGTAGGAAGGCTACAGAGCCAAATAGACATAAAAGCTAGCACTAAGATAGAGCAAGTGTGCTTCTATAGTGCTAGAAGATACGCAAATAAATAAATCAGTTCAAGGCATGCTCTGTAAAGCATTACTTGCTAGAGCATTAGTCCTTGAAACAAAGGAAATAGTGTCTGTTAAAACTGGTCTTATAAAGACGTGGTTGGTTTTCCAACCAGAAGTCACAAGCGTATAAAGCTACCTTTGAGAGGGTCATCAACCGTAAGACGTAAAGCTAGTAGAGCTTGTCTTCCTCTGCACTTAGTGCGTAAGTAGCCTTGCAACGGTACCTCTGCTACACAAACCGCCACTGTCAGTAGCTATCACATTCCAGCCTCCAACTGGGTCAATATGGCTTACATGGTAGTTTATACTCACTAACACCCATTTTTATTGTGGAGTTTGACGTACACATGTGACCTATTCTTAGCTACGAATACCTAGAGCTCACAATAATTCCAAGCTATGGTGGCGTTTCCATTTGAAAGATCAAATAGCTCTATTTTATTACCAATTCACTTGGAATGACGCATGAGTAACTGAGCAAGCTCAAAGCAGAAATGAAGAAGGAAAAGAGAAGGAGAAACAATCGAAGAAAGAGAAGAGGCATATTCTCCAACATTCTATCAAGTATTCTGACCAATGTGCACAGATAATAGGGAGCGTATGTCTTCAACATGGGTCGGTGTGAACTACTTGGTAATAAACTCGTTTTGTGCCACTTTAAAAAAAGTGCGTTTAGATTTGATTTGGTGACAATACGTTTCTTTCTACACAATCACTTTAAATTAACCAATCTCTTATGGTGTACCATTTTTACGGTACTATCAAGTTCCTCCAGTCAATGTAATACATGTTGTCAATGAGTGGGTTCGAGCGCATCTTAGCGCGTGTTGGCGGCGATGCCTTACGTTCTTATTGCTCATCTGCTATCGAAGATGAGCTGCATAATTTAATAACGTGTATGCAAACGTGTCTTGAAAAGGCCGAGCAAGCTATTAAGGTACAGGAAGCTGTGGCTAAACTAAACGTGCCACTCAGTCGCGAAAACGCTGCTACCTGCGCTGAGGTTAAGCGTAAGTACGCTTCATTCAGTTCAGAGCTCCAGAACTTTGTGAATGAGCAGCGCAAGCTACAGTCAGAGGCACTTGAGCTCAATCCCGACGCCCAGCAAGAGCAGAGTGAGCAGCAGATACGAGAACGCGTGACCAAGTTATTAGGCAAGATCCAGCATCGCATCACGCGCAAGCGAAGCGACGCGTGGATCGACAAGAACTTTGCTGATGTAACTACGATCGCTGATATTATTCGAGATGACAAGTTTGCAGGCCCGGACAAGACGCTACGCAATGAGTTGGTGCTCGTGCTGGATCATTTGATCTCTGCCGTGCTGTTGAGTCCGTTGACGACTCAATTGACGCTGCAAAACATGGACGAGGTGCTAAACAAGCTTTCGGGTATGCACAGTGATATTGACGAGTATATCAAGTGAGTAAATCATTTGTTGCTGGTTAGGAGCATGTGGAGCTACTTGTTATTGACAGACGATTGACGGACGATGTGTCTTGTGGCATAGGTCTTCCAGTGACTTGTTCAACAAGAATAGATCAACATATGCGTTGCAGTATGAAGAGAGTACGAGCACGGAGTCGAACAATATTGTTGACGCGGCGGACGAGCCGCGAGCTAAAAAACAGAAAGCGGAGGCCGTCCCTCAGTCCAACTATTTGATCAAGGCGGAGTGTGCTGCAGCAGCGGAAGCTGCGGGTTGCGACGCGATTTACGAGGTCTTTGTGTCAGACCTGCCGTGGGGAACCACAAAGGAGGCTGATGTGGCGTCGTATTTTGGTATCGCTGGCGCAGTCGTGTCGGTGCAAATGCCTATAATGGCTGATGGAAGCACTGTGGGTGTAGCAATTGTGCGTTTTGCAGCGCTCGAAGGGATGACGCTTGCGCTGCGGATGGATGGGTATCCCTTCAACGGCAAAAACATTCGCGTGGCTGTACACAAGTCCAAATAAAGCAGGCTTAGTACGCGTGTCAGCGCTACGTATTATAGACCTTAGAAGCAGTACGACCATACTTAATCGATATTCGCGTTGTCAACTCTAGAAAATTGCTTGGGTGTCCACTCTTTTATGGTAGGCAGCGATGACACTTCAGCAACGGCAAAAAGTAGCCAGGAGTTGGTGGGTATGGACAGTTTAGTGGAAGCTAAGAGCCATGAACGCAATTTGTGTCGCTAAACATGACAGCCATTCCTGCTTGCTCGCTGCTGCAAAATATCCAGGGCTTCCTGTTTATGACTAGAGCGTGTACTTGCTGTCCAAGAGGTAAGCATAACATTGGCGTCCAAGACGAATGCGCGGGCTTAATCCATTGCCATATTTCCAGGCAGCACCAAAACACTACCTCTGACTCGGCAGAGTACGAAAAGCATAGGGCAGCAACAAGACTGGAAAAACATTAGCGACGATATTTAATTCGTATTCTACAATCCTACAAACACAAGGTATGTGAAGCATGTTTGAAGTCATAGACAATATACTTACGTAATATGGAAACAACAAGATTCCAGACTGATGATCAATGGAGACGAACTACACATGAAAGACGGCAAAGCGAGCCGCACGGTTTTCAGCAGATATAGTTTCCATCTCCGATGAAAAATAACTCGAGAGCTTCTTTATGGCCCTGCAAAGATAAATAAATCAAAACTATTATTAATAGCAACATCATCAGCCAAAACTGATACAAAATCGTGAGTGTTGCTCAGCTTTACATAAACTTTACTTACGGGCGTAAGAACTCTGGCAATTTGCCTAGGGTAAACTCAAGTTGCTCAATGGTCGCGAGCAAGTCGCATAGTGCAAGCTTGATCCTCAGCCTTTTTGGCAAGTTCATGGCCACGGAGACGATTTTCTCAATCGTATATCCGATCTCGTTAATTTCCTTATCGGTAATGCGCTTGTGCGCAAATAAATATCCGTCCGCCGCGGCAATGGTCAGATATTTACGGTCAAACAAATAGGTACGCAACTGGTCCACAGCGGCTGGAACTCTGACCAGCTGAGTAGAAAACTCTGCCTTCTGAAGTTTAGCCACTATTTCTTGAACAGGAGAAAACTCGTCATCAGACTCGGAATCTGGCACTTCCAGCTCTACCGCCAACTCTGTCAATCCTGACGCCTCCAGATTCGCCGCAACCTCGCTAGGCGATTCGTTTACCTCCATCTCGATAGGTGATTCCACAATGTCAGCTGCTATTTTAGATTTCCTGATACTGCTTCCAGCATCATCAGGCAAAGCTTGTACATCATCTACCGTCACCGGCTCTTCTTTCACGACCACAGTTGCATCGAATGGCATTTCCACCAACCTATTTGACAGCTTTTCACATTCATGCCTCATATCATTGAGCTCTTTATTACCACGTCCTGTCTGCATTTTCAACTCCACTCCAACTATTCCCTCATCAGCTGTGACCATCTCTAAGCCCACCTCGTCCTTCTTGCTGTCTTTTACATGCTTCTCATCCATCTCACTCTCAGCATAATCCACTCTTTCACACTTTATTGCCCTGTTTATCTCTGGCCTCTCACTAACACCTGCCATATCCAGTACTTCGACATGAGACTCCTTCTCGTCCTGCAGCGTTTCACTCTTGTCTCTCTCCACTGTATCAACACTACTAAGCCTTTCCTCAATTATCTCTACTTTATCTGTTCTTTGTACATAACTGTGTATTTCTTCGTCAACAATAAGAATCTCGTCCCTGTCTTCTTTCTTCATTGTCCTCCTCGTCCATGGTCGTTTTCTCTTTTTCCTTTTTCTATCCATTTGCATATGGTCCATCACAATATCTAAGTAATAATTCGTCTCCTCAATGCTCTTTAACTGTGTCTCTAGCGTCGCGGGCAGCCAATCGCCATTCGGTCGCAAGTGTCCTGCTGCTGCTTGCAATTGCCGTAATGCGGTCAAAGACGACGACGTGTAACGCACGTGACGTTTGATTATGTTCAGTTCCTTCTTCAGTACATTATTCATCTTATTGTGTAGCTCAGAGTCCTCTACACGAGTCAAAATAGACGCATACACGACGTCGTCTCCATCCAAGTCCGTCATCTTGTTGCGGGATGAAACTACACCAGATCACCACAATTACACGTACATATGGTGTGACACTGGTGTATTTGTGGTTAGTGTAGGGTATCACACTAAATAAGGGTTTAGATGAACCAAATTCGTGTAATACAGTTAGGGGGCAGTTTTGGTGTGGGATTACTTTTTGTCAAAAATTTATGAAAATTCGTTTATTGGTAATTTTTAGCGAAAAAAAAGCCCAAAAGACGTACGATTAACAAGAAATTTTCGGTTATAAGGAATGAAATTCTTGATAGACAATATTTACGTGATCAAAGAGACGTCAAAGCCTTGTCAAGTCAAAATATCTGTCCACTATTAGCTTTATCTATCGTCATTCCTTGGCTTCTATCGTCGAATCTTCAGCGCTGACACCACTAGACTCTAAATTCATCGGTAATGTCCAAGTGCATGAGTTATCACCGTCTTCTTCTTCTAACGCATAGTAGCTGTAAGATGGTACAATACCCACAGCCATCACCATCAATACACTACCAAAGATCCAACATAAGACAGGAACGGATAAGATCCAACATAAAAAACGATAAGATCCAAACATTAAACATATAAGGGGACAAATAGCATCCACCCACAGCAACGAAGCGACTGAATCCAACAACGTAGCCCATTCCTCGGCTACAATGAGCTGTAGTAAAGTGTCCCGGTGTATACGTGAAAATGCAGCTCCAGCAAGCCGATAGTAGAGCATTCACCAGAAAGGAGACGGTGATGACTATCTCTCGTGACCAAGTCATATGGCCAAGCGCAATAGAGGTAACAGCCGTCAATGTTGCAAAGACAGCGAATGAGCGGTGCGGTCCATAAGTGTCCAATACTGCTGCAGCTGTGAACGAACCAACCACTTGAGCGATGTTAAAGACTCCAATACTGCTCCAGGTCGCAAACAGATTGAAACCAAAAAGACTAACTAGTGTCGGAATATAGGTCCCCAAGATATAAGCTGACAAGGCCATCACAGCCCACAACGTCCAGAGTATGATTGTGGGAACTAGTTGCTTGTATCGTGAAGGCTTTATTGAAGACGACGACTCTGGAACTGAGGTAACATTGATTTCTTTCTTCTGAATGTGCGAACGCTCGATCTGTTTTACAATATCAATAGCTTCCTCTGTACGACAAACACTAGCAAGCCAACGCGGTGATTCAGGAATGGTGAAAGGCAGCACTACCGTGTACAATACAAGTCCAGATACGACCAAGTAAGTCGTGCGCCACTTTAACCAAGGTGCCACAGCATACGCAAGAGCCAAACCAATCAAACTTCCGATACCTGCAAAAGCGTCGAGCAGTGAGACGATGCGACCATGAATTAATTGAGGGGCTAGCTCTTGAACCAGTACAAATGTCGAGGAAAGTTGTCCACCATGTCCAAGACCAGTAATCTTACGGCCGACAATTAGCATATAATCACCGTGCGCTTGAGCAGACACCGCGAGTCCTCCCAAAGAGAATACGATAGAAACCAACAAAGCAATCCGGCGTCCAAATTTGTCCGCAAAGTAGCCGAGAATTGGCCCTCCGACCATCGATCCCACGAAAATACTGACTCCAAAGATTTCAAGGGCAAATGTCCCCATTCCAATGTCGTTGGTAACAAGCACTCGCGAGAAATTGAGCAATACGAGTTCTGCCGCTTGAATAGCCCAACTCACACCAATGAGCAATAACAGTCGAATGTAGAACCACGAGAGTCGGGGTTCAAGCGAGTTTAGTCGATCGTCAACATTCATGTTGAGAAGTAAAGATCTTGGAGTCGAAGCTAGTTGCTGCACGCTTAGCAACCCAACGGCTTGATATCGCATGAGTCTGCAGCTTTACGTAATCTGTTTAGAATAAAGCAAACTGAATGAAGGTAACACGGTTGTTCTGACTTCTTTGGACGTTGTGATAATGTCCAGATATTTCACTGGGTAACGGGCGTATGTACTTTTTCAAAGTACGCTAAGCTTTGAAAAAGCAGCATCTTCAGATTGTATCATCATATGATGCCTTTTTATTCATGTCATATCGATGCAGCACACAGAAGATGCTCATGCTGGAAAACCGTCATTACTACGCAATGTTGTAGACACATGAAGCAGTAGTTGTAGTGGTTGTCCAGACGGTAAAGGCCATGCATGCAGTAGCCAAACTTTACTATCGCTACAGTCATTTTCGCAGCACAATACTGTCATATGTAGTCCCACCTTCCTGGAATTTCAGGAAGCGACAGTATTGAGCAAAGCTCACGTCTGGTGCCTGATGACAGACGTTATCGTAGGACATACGCCGCGGTACTCAATTGATTGATAAAGATTACAGGGTACCAATCCCATCACGTAGTCACTATACTTAACTGGCTCTGTAGCCTTCCTAATATATATATACACATATACTTAACAAAAAACTGTGCCCACGAAGCTCCAATATGAGCCCATTGGACCCTACCAGATTCCTCGCTTCCCAATGAAGCATCCCCAAAAGGGAATCTCTTCCGCACCGAAGATGCACTTGTCAATATTGGCATATAACTTATGCATCCTCATGCAAACGAGCACAGCTCGCAGGTGCTCGATGTGATTCTCCATGCCATTTTCGGCTTGACTATGGACGAATATATTGTCAAAGTGTGTCTGTGCATACGGCCTATGGGGCCGAAACAACTGCTTCGCTAGACGATTAAACGTTGCATGTGCGTTAGATAGCCCTTGGGGCACCACTAATCACTCCCAGAGCATACCGCTCGGAGTACTGACCGCTGTCAGCGGGATATCACTAGCTCGCATGAGCAGTTGGTAAAATCCATCGACTAAGTCGAAGGCACTGTACATCTTACATCCAACCATATTGTTCTGAAGAGCATCCTTGCGAGGAATCGTTGTTTGAGCCGGAATAGTGGCTGCATTCAGCTTATTGTAAGCATGCACTATTCACGGCTTCCCATTAGGCTTTCTCTACACAAAAACGTGGGCGTAGAGTAAGAAGACTTACTCTCACGCACCATGCCAACCGCGTGCTTCGCACAAAAGAACTTGTCAATGACGTCACATTGTTCTCGTGGCAGTGGCTACTGTCGCGTCACGCAGTATTTGGTTTCTAGACCAAGTCAATCTCATGACGTACACCTCTATCCGAAGGTAACCTCGTAGGAGGTTCTCTGGAGACAACATCTCCATATTCCTTCAACAAAGGAAATAAGGATCCGAAGGGTCCTTTAGGATCTGTGATCCACTACGCGCATTTAGCGCCTTCTTGGCATCCTCAAGAACTGCTTTATCCAAAAGCGATGAGAAGTTCAACTCCTCCTCAGGTCGTAGAACGACCACTTGGGCGATATAGCCTGCTCTAAGGCAATGCCAAACTCGGCAAAGGTCAACTCGTCCAGCTCTAATAGAGCACTTACTGCGGGTATAGCAGAAAGAGCCACCGGCTCTTCAACATCCCCAGTCAAACCATTGACGATTGTATATAGCTGTTCGCTATCACCGTCACTCACGGTATCATCAACGCTACTCATGATGCTCTTAGCATCCGACGCATCAGCGTCCACAGGTGTACACACCTCAAGGTCAACGACCACTTCATTTGCTGACTGAATCCCACCCTCTTGGGTCATGCCTCGTCATGAGGTATTCGCACCTCGTTTTTCACAAAGACACCCGTCAGTTTTGACTTCAACCGACCCTCTTGGGCCAGTAATTCGTCACTAGGTGCTTGCACCTCGTTATCCTCAAAGATAACATCCATTGATGATTTCACTCGACCCTCCAGGGTCAGTACCTCGTCGTTAGGTGCATGCACCTCATTGTCCTCAAAGACACCATCCATTTGTGACTTCACCCGGCCCTCCAGGGTCAGTTCCTCGTCACTCATGTCACTTGGACTCATGTCCTGGCAGGGCGCAGAAGAAGGCATTTGTGCCTTTACATGCTCGACTAGAGCTTTATTATATTCTTCAAGCACATGAATATGCTTGTTAACCTCTTCTTCGATTTGGGCGATGAAGTATTCCACGCCCTTGAGGCCAAGATAGGGAGCAGCTTCTGCAACCCTTTCTATTGTGCCTGAGACAGGCCAGCCGCGGACATCTCTTCGGTGCCCATTCTCACAGAGAAGTAGTCACAGGCCCAGGTGCGGGATTGACTATGCGTGCTGCCCAGATGGAGCAAAGATACCGTAGCAAAGCTACATACGCGCCAAGCGCAGAAAAAGACAAGCTCTACGAGCTTTACGTATTAGGGTTGACAGCCTTCTCAGGCTAGCTTTATACGCTTGTGATTCTGGTTGTAAACAACCACGTCTCCAAGCGACCAGTATCCAAGATACACTTCCTTTCTTCAAGGACTAATGCTCAAGAACTAATGCTATACATAGCAGGTTTGAAACTGATTTATATTTACGCTTATCTTCTAGCACTAAATATAGAAGCACCCACTCTATACTTAGTGCTAGTCACTATTTATCTGGCTCTGTACCTACTGATATGCAAGTATATGTATTCATAATATTCAAACTAAGTATAACGACCACGTGGCTCACTGCCACAATGTAAGCCCGTGTGCCTTCGATACGGTCACATCAACCTACCAGTGTACCCAAAGTACAGCCACACCACAAAGGTGTGGCAGGTGTGTATTGTACAATACACAACTTTGTGTAACCCAGTTACAGGAATAATAATATCAAGGAACCGATGACGGCCAGGTACACCGCCAAAGCTCGAGCATAGGCTTGAGCTTTGGTAGTAGCTATGCATTACGGTAAATGTTAGAAATACATGCTCAGATAAGACGAAACATCTGTGCCAAATTGCTGATATTGTACTGCTAATGAATGATAAGCTGCGAAAGCTACACTTTGTAAAGGATGGAGTATGCGAACAGAGCTTCCAGGGCGAAGAGGTGGAAGATACAAAAGTTCGCAGTCCAAAAAGGTATAAGAAAACATTGATGGTATTGGTCTTCACTGATGAATGGTAATGGCTGCACCACAATACCGACAGCTCTATAACGGTATATCACGGATGCGATAGAATTGAAAGCAAGAAAACGTGCTGCAAGAAGCTCTCCTCGAGGTTAGGCGAAGTAACCATGAACGCAGCCAGCTACGGTCTGGTCGAAGAGAATGCTGCACTAGGAGGTGTAAGCTAGCAGGAATGACAAATTAACACCATAACAAACCTTGACAGGACTACGTTAACACCATAAAATGGCTGCAATGTACATACTTGCAATATGGCTACAGACCGTCATGAGGTAGCAATCCAGACTTACTGGCGCGCTCTACATCTAGCAAGAAGGCATTCCAAGAGTCTGCAAAGGATTGAAGCGGATAGTGGATGTTGGTAGCTTGGATAGCACACTACAATACGGCCAATGGAGTAATTACTGTTCATCAATGATTCTTCAGCAAACACTTGTTTGGTGGCCGGCCACCATACCAGCCCAATGGCTACTGGAGTCGGCATCTTTATCACGGTTTTCCACTTGATGGCATGGCTCCCAAAAAGACATAGCTCGTATCTTTGCAGGAGTATGAGCCAACCTGCAGAAGATCCTGCACACGCTGCAGCCGCTCAGGCCAAGAGATGGTAAGTGGTATATCAACGATCCAGCGCGTCATAACAAACAAAAGCAGCTCGTTGATGTCACATGAGTTCAGGTGTCTGTTGCTTCGTCGGAACGCTAGATATGCATGTCAAGATTACGTTGGACTAGTATTATATACATAGCTAACAGCCATAGCAAGCTTCAAGAAATTGTTTTCTTTTGCTTCAAAGCGCTTTTGTAGACATGTCAGCTACTATCTGTTTGGCATTGGAAAGGCGACAGTAAACTCGTGTCGCTCTTTGAAATCGTAGACAAAGAGTTACACAAAACATGGATGTGCTGTGACAATGAAGCTAAAGCAAGTTTATACATTCGTTACGAAAGGTTAGCTTCTGTGCTAGAGAATCCCAATTCCTATAAGGAATTTTCAAGCAGAGTACCGGCGCATGTGCGATATTCTGACACTAGCTGCGGTGGGGACTTTTTGCAGGTTCCACGAGAGCAGACGTTTGCAGAGATTTATCAATAAAGAGACGTAATAAAGTATTCAGATTCACTGAAAGCTGTCTAGGTCATCAGTATGAAGAAACTTGAATAGCCTCATAGACAAGCACGACAACTTTTGCATTCTTACGCGATACTTGAGGACTCATAAAATAGGACTCATACAACAGCACTTAAGCAGCTTCACGATGACCATGGACTGAGAAGTGCGAGAGACGTTGTTGCAGACCGAGTCTCCGAATTTATGAACCGAATAGTAGCCGCATGTGACACTGCGCTTGACCTATTCACAAACAGTTCACGAGCCAAAATTTGCATTTAATCCGTCGCTATTTTGTCTAGTCTGACCGAACAAAGCACGTTCTGAATCTAATGTGGTGCCTTTCCAAAGAAACTGTTTCTACTTTGTCAGATAAAGCGAATTCAGGCATTAGACTTCAGGAGACAGCTGTCGTCAATACGCGGGAGAAAAGGATTTGAAGCATTCAAGCGCGGTTACAGAAAAGGATTAAGTGTCCTAATAATGCAAATAAATCACACTGAGCGGTGGTAGTTTAGGTGTCAGATTTCATCACATTCCATTTTTACTTCCGTCTCACTCATCTTCTCAAGCTTTGAAGATGGCTTTCACCGGCATAGCACGTGCGAAGGTGCTGTTCGGTGTCGCTATCCTTGGGTCGTGCTTAGCACGGGCCACCGCAGAATATATTTCTGATGATGCGATGCAAGATGGTACACTGCATTCACCTCATGAAAAAGGTGCAGTCAAGCGGCACCTGAAGTCAAACGTGGCAGTCACAAGCAAAGATATCAATGAAGTCGAAGAGAGGATGCCCTTCAGTGGCATATTGGATGCGGAATCTGGTGTTGGGAAGGCTGGACGGAGTTTTAAAGGAGATGTCGAATCTGAGGAGGTGACTTCCAAAGCCATGGAAATTTCAGACGAACACATCCCCGTAATGGGTGCACACAATCAAAACAATGTGGATAATGTCGTAAGACTGATGGAACACTACGAAAAGCTAGTAGAAACGTACGGCGTCGTAAAACTTGCAATATTGATTGAATATTGTAAAATATATATGTCAGACTATACGAATAAGCTAGAAAGAGTACAGTTTGAGACGTTTCAACGAAATTCTGGTTACGCGAAATCCTTTAAGGACGGTAAAAAGCAGTTATCATCATTTCACTTCGAATCTCTGTCTGATAAAGAACGTGAGAGGTTTTATCTCAAAGCGTCAGCGAATTACGAAAAGTTTCTACTCAATAAAAAGTCTACCTGATTGAGTTTGAAGGAGTTAGACGGCGAAAGAGGTAACTTCTTCGGTATTTGGAAGAAACAGACAGCAATTTAATTATAGTTTTATGTGATATACAAAATTCACGCTAATACTTATCAGTTTCTAAATTTCTGCATCTATCAATGGCTCCGACCAACGAGCAGGTTTGCTCAAGTGGCTTCAAGTGCCTTCTTATACGTTTGGACGAAGATACCCGTCGAAAATACTGCTGTGAAGCAATAGAAGAAGACCTTCAACATGTCAAAGATCAGATGCGAGCATGTAAGACTGCCATGGCGGAAGTAAAGCAGATACAGGACGCGACGCTCAAGCTGCACGCTACTCAACGTGCCGTCGTGTCCAGCGAACTACTGTTCGAGTTAGAAACGCTACAAACACGATTAGAAACGTCCCTAAGTAAGTTGTATAAGCCACACAAAAGCTTGTTAACTACGGCTGACGCAAGCAACGAAGTTGAAGTCTCGGACACGATGGAAATCAAACAGGCCAAGACAATCTCAAGACAAATATTGCAGACTCAGGATATAAAGACTGTAGTAAATGGGCTTAGGCAGTTACAGCGATTGATGCCCATACTGGCGGAAGAAGACGAGAAAAAGAAGAAAACGCGGTGGAAGAAATGTTTGCTTAAAGTTGAGGCTCATGCGATTAAATTGCTGCAAACTGATAAAACCGAGCGCAAGTTGGTGATACGACTCGAGAGGACGCTTCAAAAGATTGAGAACAAGTGTCCAGAACTCAAGCAATGGCATTTGTACGTCAAAGCTTTGAACGGTGGTGAGTTTGTAATCTAACACTCTTTTTGTTGAATAGAAACGTGCACACCCAAATTGCTGCCAAGGCAAAGTTGACGCCTGCTATGAACGTAAAGAATAAAAAGAAGCGGACAAGTTTGCTTTCTGATGTTGGCGAGATGGCTACGAGAAGCAGTATCCTGTCCACGGGACAGCTGAACGCTAAATTTTGTAGCAATGAAGAGAAGAAAAAAGGCCAATCTGCTGAAAACGCTCGAGCTCTGCTGCAACGCTGCTCCCGTGAGGTACGCACGTTGCGTGACAAGTTTGAGCTGGGCGCATATGACGTCAATTTGAGTCGGCTTGTCACGATTGTAGACTCACTGTGGTTAGAATTTGAGCATTCAGAAGTTATTCTACTAACCACGGCGTTATTCACGCTGGTGGAGACTGTGGAAAAGGTAGTAAATCAGGTTAAGCGCCGAGACCGCCTGGTGTGCCTTGAAAGCGTACTTGGCGTTGTGTTGGGCTGTTCAAAGCTGCATTTGACAACGCGGCGGAAAATGATGGTCGAAGAATATGCCAACAACTGCCGTCAATCCCTAGAGCAGCTGAATCGCCGGATGAATAGTGGCGAATCAACTGGTGCTAGCCACGACACCAGACAAGCGTCTACAAAAGAAACAATCTCAGTAGTTGCGAGCAAACATGTCCCGAAAGCAAAGAAGACTGCTACTTCGGAAGCGTGGTCTAAATCGCATGTGCGATTTGGCTAGCTCAATGGCGAATACTGTTTGATGATATTAACGGTTGGTAGTACGAACGACAAGCGCCGCGGAATTAGATTCTAGTGGCTATGTTTCTCTCAAACTAAGATAGGTACAAACTGCTGGCGAACACAACGTCACGCTTGATGGCCTCAGAGGCAACTTCCATCTTGCGGTAAAGTTGCGGGTCACCAATAACGCGGGCAGCAGTGCGTACTTCACGACAAACTTCATCCAGACGCGTAATGCAGCGAACGATAGAGCCTTCTTGGACGTCTGTGAGCTCACATAGTTGTTTGAATGGCATTCCTCTTGCCCATTCATATACGACTTCCATTAAACCGAAGTTGAGAGCACCTTTGCAGTAGACCGCAGGGTCAATGTCCAGTCGCTGCTCCAGTTGGATGAGACCAAGTGCTTCCGCAATGTTCTTGACCACATCACGAGTTATCTCCAGTGTAGGGGTGAGCGTAGGCTCAGACAGTGATTTTTCTTGAAAGATAAGCGCAGAAAGCACGGCAACAATCTCTTCAGGCTCCAGGTTGGCTAGCACATTTTCAAAAATCATCTCTGTCAATACTAGCTCTTCGCACGTATTGATTCCGCACGCAACCCGACCCTTAATCTGCACGACACCATCGTCCGAGATGTAACCGAGTCTTTTCAACACACTCAGTCGCTGTTGAAAGTCAGGGAAGAGCGACAACGAATCATTTGACAGCTCTCGAGTCAGCTGTGCCAAATAGGCCTTCAGCTTGATAATTTTCTCTACTTTGCCCATAACACGAGAAACTGAAGATGAGTCCGTTGCACAAGGATGGCTAAGTACCTTCGAGTACAACTGCTGCCACTGGGTGTAGCCTGTCACGACTTCTAGGTCATTGACCTTAAGCTCACCCCCTTACATCCACGTAAGCGATAGCTGCCTTTTGCGTTGCGGAGGCATTCTTTTCGAGCTTTACCAGGAACTCAATACTACTGGCGAGCTCCTTCTTTGATGAGAAGGCCACGAGCGTTTTAGTATTTACACTCGATGCTACAACAGAGGTGATACTCTCAAGACAGCTTTCAGGAACTTCCAGCACGGCGTACTTTATTCCTAAGAGCGTAGCCGTGGAGGGAGCCATGAGCTCAGAGCTCTCTTGGGTTTTTGATTTTTCTTGCATGACCACTCTTCCAAACACACAGTCGTCATCATCATACCTCTTGCTACGCAACATACGCCCGCTGTCCAAGACAGTGCGACAGCTCTTCGTGGAGGCTGATAGGTTTTCCACCTTTGGAGGCTGGTAGTCGTCTGGGCATAGAGTTATGACCATAATTGACTTGAATACTCCCCTGTATCCTCCGTCGGTAACACTTGATTTTTGAAGATCGATTTCAAACGAACGCTTTGACCTAGCACATCCACCCTCACCCACCAAAGCAGCATTCGTACGCACCACTAGTGCCAATTGTCCAGACGACAGCCCTTTCACGTTGATAACTACAATCCGTCCAGGCGCAATTGCATTTTTGGCGGCTTGAATGTTGTTTGCAAGCAGCCACTTTGTCAAAATCTTTTCCAGTTCACGCTTATCGCGCTTTAGCTGATAAAATCCCTGCATCTGTGCAAACTGTCCGCTCGTCTCCAAGTGCGGATAATCTTCAACAAGGGACCGCTCAAGTTGCTGAAGCAGTTTCTTGCCCTTCTGAATTAATTTGGGAATATTCTTCGACGCAAGAGCCTTTTGTGTGTGAAATTCTGAAAAAGAGCGCTTCATCATATCCTCCACCGTCAGCACCTCCACTCGTAAAAGGTTCAAAATCATGTTGTATGTCAGGCGGAACTGACTGGAAAGTGATGTTGCCTTTCCTGCTAGCATTGTTCTCAGCGATGTGGGCTCGGGAACATCGTTCCAGCATGCAATGATAACGGTACCAACCAAGTCCAGACCACGACGACCAGCTCGACCAGCCATCTGTGTGTACTCGCCAGGCAAAAGGTCTCGAAAGTTCTTACCATCGTGCTTACGAATGCCATTAAAGATAACCGTACGCGCAGGCATATTCACACCCATTGCAAACGTTTCTGTTGAGAACAGTACCTTGACAAGACCTCGGCCGAATAAAATTTCGACCATCTCCTTGATAATCGGGAGCAGGCCACCATGGTGAACACCAACGCCACGTTTGAGCATTTCTTTCATTGTTAGCACCTGTGGCAACTCACGGTCGGATCCTTGAAGTCTATGCACACTATTCTCAAGGAAAAGGTGAATTTCAGACCGCTCCGATGGCGTGCTCATATCAAGCTTGGCCAACTTGCTTGCACTTTCCTCGCACAGACGTTTGCTAAAGGCAAACACTACCACCGGAAGAAGTGCTTTATCCTTCAAAGTGTTAATAAGTTTCGTCCACTCTCCTTGATCACCTCCCGACTTGCGAATGCTACGTACGTTCGCACTACTACCACCTCCCTGAGATATGGCTGCACTGCCTCGACCACCTGCCTTTGATTTGTCTAACACAGGGTAAAGTTTTGCCTTAGCTGCACCATGAGCATTTGGAAGATACCCAGAAGTGGCATCATACAGCTTAAATAACTCCTTTCCAGCATAAAGGAAGTGTTGAAGAGGAACGGGCCGCTTGTTAGTCGATATTACGTGAATTTTATGCTTCTTCGTACGTCCGATCCAGTCTGAAAATTCCAAGTGGTTTGGAGTGGTTGCCGACAAAAACACCATACCAATGTGTTCGGGAAGCATTATAATCACTTCCTCCCATACTACTCCACGTTCGCTATCATTAATGTAATGAATTTCATCAAAGATAACCCACTCAATATCGCGAATAATATCCGCGCCTCGATACAACATCGAACGTAAGATTTCCGTTGTCATGACAAGACAGCTTGCGTCAGGGTTAATACTAACATCGCCTGTAATCAAGCCAACATTGTCAGGACCAAACTTGGTGCGAAAGTCGCGGTACTTCTGGTTCGAAAGCGCTTTAATGGGCGATGTGTAAATGGTTCGAGTCATGTGCTTCTGAGACATCGCAATGGCATATTCCGCAACAACAGTCTTACCAGCAGACGTATGTGCAGCCACAAACACACATTCATGCCGTTCTAAGTGAATGACGCATTCTTTTTTGAAACACGTCCAGTTCAAAGTCGTATTTCATCGCCATTTCCGGGACCTTCTCATGGAAGTTGCGCACATCGATGCTTACTATGCTTGCCCATTCCGATATATAGTCTGTTTTTTTATGCAAGCTTAAAATTTTGGTCGACTTGGAAGCTGAATCAAGAATTGACTCCAGTATGGTTGCCGGGTCTTCAACAAAATCTTCATCAGTACCCTCCTCATCAAGCCCATCCACAAATTCTATTGCCTTGGCTGTTACATCCACCAGCTCTGAGCCAACTTCATTCTGCTTATTGTCTTGTACAGTTTCTTGCTCATCTTCTTCAATCCCAAAACCCAACTCGATAAGTTCTCTATCGCTCTCCACATCACGCAGCAACTGGTCGAGTCCAACTGTTGTAATTTCATCATTTTGTCTCATTGCATTTGCGGCCTTCCTGTCCAAGATAGCACTCTGAATTGCAGCCATATGATCTTTATCGGCTGCAGCTTCGATGTAAGGTAAGAGCAGTAACTTGGGGTTCACTCCCACGGTCTCACTTTCCTCCTGCACCTCCTCTTCACTATCTTTTTTCTCAATCTTTTTCACATCTGCTGCACTCAAACAGCCATTAATGCCAGGCACATCAAACACCAGACACTCCAACAATTTGTCATCCATGTTTTTGTTGTTTCCCAGCACAAGCATATTCCGGTTCTGCTCCTCTTCTTTTAGTAGCAATCGTTGCATGGGCTTCATTTGTTCCTCTTTCTCCTCTGTGTTTAGCTCCACCAGCGAGTTACCACCGGGCAAGAACGGCTTATTGCTCATTTTTCCTCGAGCGTACTCATCCTGCTTGCTCAGTGCGCTGCTAAATCCTGCGCCTGCTTCAACATTAGAAACGTCTGCCGCTCGAAGCTCGTATTGAAGCTTCAAAGGATCTTTTACCATCGATTTATATGTAGGACGCAGCAAATTTCGAGGTGCAGACATGGGCATCTGTGGTAAGAGACGGCTTTGTAGAATCATAACCTTCTTCTTCGTGGTCGTCGTGGGGTCACTGCTTCCCCAGCCACGAGGAAAGGGTCCCAGGCGCTCCAAAGCAAACACAGGATTCGCAAACTTCTCCAGATCTCTTTGTACTACTGATCTATCTCCATACGGCGATGTGAGACGTACTTGCGGTAACGCAAAAGGTGACGCAGCGAAAGTATCCGTGGGGCTACGGTAGGGTACAATCTTAACCGCTTCGGGGGCTAAGGACGATGCAGAGACGATGGAGAATTGGCCAAGAGATGAATTACATGAAGATTGTGACATAGAATCAGTAAAAGGTGCCACATTTTCCTCATTGAGCCGCATCAGCTCCGCCAAGACACGCTCCACTGTCGCCATCTTCTGTGTCTTAATGTATCCAAATGCGTAAACCGTTGTATACGAGGTTACGCGAGATGTACCCTTGTATACAGCTGATACGACTATAGCTTCTGTAATCCTCTCTGGTAGAATTAAATATTGTAAAAAAGGGGTAAATTATGACGGCAGCGGATGAGGCGGAGGAGCTAGCGCTGCGGTGTTGCGTGTGCGGTACATCAGCTGAAGATGACAGCAATTACCTTAATACAAAGATGAAAATGCTAATATCCAAATGTGGCCATCGATTGTGCGTGTCTTTACGAACAATCAATAATAGTTGTAACAATTAAGAGAGTAATCTTCACGTGTATTCATTCTTGCAGCTGTGACCACTGCATTAAGCGTGAATTCCAGCATCAACGTGAGATTGCATGTCATGCCTGTCAGAAGCCAGTAAAAAAGTCACAGCTACAAGATAAAACCATTGAGGAGCTCAATTTTGCGAAGGAAACGTCAATACGCAAGAAAGTGATCAAAGAGTGAGAAAATGTGCTTGTTATAACGTTTAAGAGGTAGTTATGTATACTAATGAATAGTTTGGTGGATGTAGTTATAATAAGACGGAAGAAGACTTTGACACGCTGGACGAGTATAATGATTATCTAGAGACGCTAGAGAATCTCGGTATGAGACTATGGAATTGTGTACCAAGTAGAAAGAGGACACTGCGGAGTTTGTTAACAACTTTTGTTGTAGTTTTTGACCTGGCGTATGGTAATGAAAGCGAAAAGGCTGCGGCCCAAAAGCAGTGGAAGCAGTATCGACAGGAAAATGCGATTTTGATTGCTACAAATGACGCCAAAAAGGCGGATGAGGAGCGACGAATCGCACAGTTGATTGCAGAACAGCAGAGAATGGCTGAAGAACGTCGACAGCTGCAGCAACGTGAAGACTCGCAATTTGAAGCGGATTTGGAGCTTCAAAAAGAGCAGTTAATGGAGGTGGCTCTAGGCGAACGTGACGAAAGTGACGTCGCTAAGTTGCGTGCTACTACAACTGCAATTCCGATCGATCAGGCAGTTACAGCGGAAATGGAAGCTGCGATGATGGGCTTTCAGCCTGGAGTAATTGGCGGGCCTCAACCAATTCCGGTTCCCGGAGGCAAACGTGGACCAAACTTTGGCGTCAACGAGTCGAAGAAGCTGCGTCGTCAGCAGCAGCTTGCAGGTGGCTACGACCCTGACGTGCATTTTAAGCGCAATCGGAGCGAAGCATGGGGTGGCATCTACTTTCACGCCATCGATAGAAAGAACGAGAGCAACGGTTCAACCCCGATGGATATCTGCTAGGGAACTCGATGGTAACGAAACAGGCCGGTACGCTTCAAGACTACACATAACTAATAATTGATCGGAGCGGGGAGCAAGACAAGAAACGAACGTCGGTGACTACAAGTAACGTTGTGTGTTCTTTTAGTTTGTCTTACTGTGTTGCTGCTCGTAGCTGGAAAAAGCTTAACGAGGTTAATTCTATACCACCTGATCATATACTTACTTGCGCAAATACCAATTTATATGTGGCCATGTCAATTGTCATTGCTGCAACGTGGTGTTCTCATTTCAGCAAGGTCGAAATGAATAAGAATTGTTATTTCATTTATTGCCAATATGCAGCACCAGCAACAGGCGAAGAGAAGCAAACTCTAGGTTGCATCTCTTAAAAGATTCAAGTGGACACGCTTCAAGGACAATCATTCGCATGCGAGCGGTCAGCGGACGTCGCTTCAACACAGCGTCTCGACAACTGCCCAAAAGTTTTCATCTATCCTGGTAAACACGTTGGATTCCTTGAGATCGACTATTATCCACCGTAGCAAAGCTTTTATTCTACGTTTTTCTGCTTGCATTCATTTTCAATTCAATTCTTTTGGCTTCCGGTGTGCACACAGCTGACGGATCAAATGCTAGTAGTCAGTTTCTTGCATCATAATGAATCACCCTCTCTACATTTGTATACGGTTGCCATCGTTCAAAACGCGTGATGCATCATTCCATGAGATTCAGTTCAGGTTCGTCTACGGAAATTTTGTCCATGGTTGTCTCATTGAGTCTGCCAGCAAGGTCAGCTATGCATTTGGGAATACCCTTCGTGGCTCTCAGTGCCGGGTGAGAAGCAATAAGCTCTAGCTTATCCGACGAGTTGGTAACGCGCGCGAGCTTCAGTTCTTCCATACGAATAGGCCGGCTCATCAGACTCACTAGCATCATCGTCGCACTCTTCATGTCAAACCTTGAAAGCGTGTACAATCGCTCTCCGTGACCGCGGACAGCACCATCCGTACAGATAGACGTTCTTGCCGTCAGCACGACTTTCAACGAAACATTATTGGTCAGGATGTCGGACAGAAATGCGCGAAAACGGTCGCGGCGACCATCATTGCGCAGAAGATAGTCGCAGCCATCCATGACCATCAGCAATTGCTGATTGTTGAACTCAATTCGAGCCTTGTGTTGCTTGAGATGATCCGAGACCATCGTCTCTAACCGAATCAGTACACGACAACGAACGTTTGCAATTTTGATGTTTCGCCGCAACATTCCCACGTGCTCATCCATTTCATCTTGGGCTAGCCTGGCCACCGAAAAAATGCGAACCCCTCCCTCTGAAGTAATACGCGGTCCAACGTAATTTGCTACAGCGTGGGCAATTGTAGTCTTTCCGATACCTTCCTCACCACAGATTGTCACAAGACGTGTGATCCGAGACTGCGTCATCATCAAAGCAAGACAGATCTTGTACACTTCGACAGAGCGGTTACAAAACCCTTGGCACATCGCTGGCAAGTCATCAAGCCATAATTTAGGGTATCGCTTGAATTTCATTGGTTCAAGATTGATAATATTAGATGACTCAACGGCAGCTAATGGAAAAATAATCTCCGAGTGGTCACCGTCCTCTGGTAATAGCATAAATTTCTCAGCAACTGCCATGGGTCCTCGAATATTTGGCGATTTTGCAACTGATTGCTGAGCAATGGTAAAGCTTGCCTCCACAGACTTACCAGTTGCAAGTGCCAGGTAAAACGCGCGCGTGAACTCAATAGCCGCGTAGTCTTCAATCTTTTGGTTGGTTCGAACACCGATGACGTGCGGAATTCCACACGATACGAAAGCATAAGCCAGCGGTGCAGAGGAGCAAGCAGAAACAAACACAAGACGTAGTGTTGACTCATCCCTGCCACCTCCTGCCGAAAACAGTTCCTGAAGACCTTTATGGGGGATCGGATGCACCAACCCCATTCCATCTTCGAAGTACAAGTGATTCTCGTCACCATGGCCTGAAAAATGAAGTGCTCTACATCCTAATGTGATCATGGCACGGAATGCGTCCGTGTTGGCAAATTTGGCAACCACACTAATTCGACGTGGGCAATGATATACCCTGGACAAAGCGCCAGAGCCATTCTTGTCTGGTCCGTCGTTGCCTGTTGCAGGTCGCTTTGCAAACTTAGATGCTTCTATCAAACTCTTCTGTAGGATCGAGTACTCGCGCTTAACATCTAACGCAGCGATAGGATGGTACTTGCCATGAATGTCTTTTCCGACTAAAGGAGCCGAAAACAGCACTCCCAGCGTGTACTCCTGAAAGTTTGGTTCCTGCTGAGACTCATCCTGCGACTCAGCTACACCTGGTCTCCGGTTGCTCTTCGTGTCTTCTTGCGCACCTCTTACATGAGGATCTTCCACGACATATCCAAGCAGCACATTTCCCTGACGAGACGATAATAGTGTGATATTTTGACCATCCACCAACTTATACTTCTTGTCCTTCTGTGCCTGTACGCCGTCGATTCTTATCCCGTTCGTGCTTTTGTCTGTAATAAAAACTGCATGTCGATGTGTCTCTGGATCCAACGCCACTTCAATAATACAGTGTGTCCTGCTTAGTTTTACTGGATCCACTCCAGACGTCTTCTTGTCAAAAATACTCACATATTCTTCCCTCCCTAGCTTTACTCTTGGCTTAAGCATTTGCATTTCGATGCGGTATAATCCATTCTTCTCCAGTGCATTCTTCTGGAAAGCTGTAACTGCTCTGTCCACTTCTGGATGCAGTACAAGCCTCATAAGATATTGCGACGGACTGTCTTCTAAGGTTTGTGTGCACTCTTGTGTATTCTGTTGCGAAATACTCATGATTTCCATCATATTTTGTGAGTCTTCCCTCATGGCTTCAAACTGCTCCACTCTCTTGTCTCCGTCTCTGTTGTCTTTTCCTAAGCTATGAACCATCATAACACGGTCGTTATCTATTCCACCAATTACCACCGTCTCTTGAAGAGAATAAGGTGCGAATCTAGAGCGCTTATTAGGTATTCCACCGTCCGGTTCTTGCTCTAGGTCCCGTGCGCTCTTGACATCCCACAAAGTCGATGTGGACACAGATGAGACAGAAGAAAAGCTACTGCTTATCCTTGAACCAGCATTTTCAGCTCTAAACAATTGCAGCACGGAAGGTGAGTTAGAGGCGCTGGTCTGAATTGCTGAATAGCTCAGGGCACCAGGTGGAGCACGTGTTACAGCCAAAGCGAGAGCACCAAGTGCGTCCATGCGACGCTTTCGGTTGACATTAATATCTGTAGAGATTACATCGACGTCTGTGGAGGAGCGCAAAGGCGTGACAGTGACTAAATGGCCGCTATTACGCGCACGTTTGTCGTCCATATCGTTTCTCTTCCGAGTGTAGAAAGGATAATGCAATAGAGTAGAAAGTCGGTGATGGTAATTGGTTCAAATGAGAGCAAATAAGAAGATTCAATTGGTGGAAATTTAGACAACTTGCAGTTGCTTATTCTATTTAGCGTATGTTTAAGCGATCGACACATACTGTCAGAAACGATCGTTTTTGACAGGTCAGCAATGTTTCGATCTTGTAGTGCAACAGATAAGGTGCGACCTCATTTCAGCTGGCACGTGCTCATCGACGATTATACTCTTCGTTTTGGACCTAGCGTCCCTTACTGTGCTAAAATGAAAGGTACTTTCGTCAAAATGACAAGTACTTTACGATGAGCACGTCACAGGATAATCTCTACACTATAAGAATCTGCATTTCACCACATGCCAAGCAAATCATGTGGGCGATATCGTAAAAGCTGTTTGATTAAAAAAACATTGAAGCGGGGTCCAAGGCTTCGGTCATGCCAATGCATTTAACCAAAGGAGACCACTCCGCCACATTCACAGCCTAGACTCATATAATTATTTTGGCTGCCATCGTCTCTCTGACACGACTGCTGTAGCTATAATTCTGAGTACAGCACCTCTTCGCTGCGCACTACATTAATGTCGTCGAAATGCCGCTTCCAGCTGCGAATTACATGTCGTTCATCGCTGTCTACCGTCCACTCGACCACTCGTGCGCGTCGTGAAAAACCGGCCGCACTGTACGCCCGCCCGAAGCCAGCACCTCCTCCATAGCATAGCTGCACCCCATCTACAAGACAACAATACTCATTCACGTGATCATGGCCTACAAATACCGCCTTAATCTCATTTATCTCTGATAAAGCCGACAACAAGCGCAAATTCATTCCTTGGTTGTGCACTCGCTCTAGCTGGTCGCCGTTGCAACCATCTTTCGAGTACGAAAACTCGACTAGCGGGATGTGGAAAAACATGACAGCTGGTAGCACCGAGTCAGCATTGCTATGTCTCTGGACACGTCCAGTCTCCGATAGCTGCCGGTAGTAGTCGATTTGACTCTGCTTGATCCAGTCGTATTCCGAAAACACGTACGGGTATTTCTCTGTCGAGGCTTTAGCACCGGAGTCCAAGAAGTACATGCGGAACACTGTAGTATTAATATCTCCCCACACCCCTCTGATTGGTGCCGTCACGTTAAGCATGTAATTGCCGACGCCGTTCACGGTCTTTGGTCCGCTGACCGTGTACGAGTGGGTCTTTTGGGACACCATGTCAACAATCTTCTCTCTTGGAAAACTCCCTTCTTCATCGTGATTGCCTAATACCATACCGTACGAAATGTTCCGCTCCTCAGCAGCTCTTGTGACGGCATCAATAGCCCTTTGATGAGAGCTTGGATCATACACCTGCATGTTATCTCCCGTAAACGCAATAAAGTCGGGCTTTTCCAGGTCCAATAACTGTTCGACAAACGTGTACGTGAGTGTTTCGGAGCAGTCTTGGCTGGCCATGCCAGTTGGTATACTGCTGCCACAGCCAATGGTCGGGATGCCTGTAATATGGAGATCTGCCAACTGAAGGATTTTAAACACCAACGAAGTGTTATCCAAGCTAGTACGGGCCTGAATTGGCAATTTGTCTGCCGTTGCCGCTGCAATGAATGCAGCACTTGTAATTGAGTACCACGTCAGTCCCATGCCAACCATGAACTTTACAAATAAATGCTCGGAGGTTGCTAGAAGACAGGTCCAAGACTCCAAAAGACGAGAGTGCTAACGATGTTGTCGTTATGAAACAATTTCCATACTGCACCATTTATTAACAAAGTGTCAGCGGCTATCATTACGCAACGTAGGACATGAATGAAGCAGCAGTTGATGATCTGCTGTACTGATTGTCCCATACGGTATAGACCGGGCAATAACTAACCATTGAATCGCCTGGTAAGAAAATTTATAGAAAGGGGCACTCGTGCTTCCGAAAGACGGTTCGCCAGCTTGGCTTGTATCAATATTTTCTGGCGACTTATGTACCAGGTAATGTCAAAGCTTGGTGATGTTAGCCAGATCTGAGTGGCTGACTATTAATGATGCTTCATAGCGGACAACTTTTTCCACTCATGTTGAGAGTGCTTGGACTCAAGTCGTAGCATAACTACTTCAACTTGGACTCAAGTCGTAGCAAAACTACTTCAACTTGGACTCAATTCCAAGTTGAAGTCGTGTTGCTTCGAACCCCAAACCTGACCAAGTCGATAAAGCAAAGCACTGTAACGTATAAGCAATTTACTTCCAAGGGATAAGCATATATAAGGTAATTCTATAGTGTCAGAAAATACCAACAAGTCTTCATCTGCTCTGTATAGTATTTGCTGGTTAAAGCGTTGTTTCCTGACAGGGAATCAGTATTTGTTGATACTTGTCTCGTTGAGGCATTGGCATGTAGCCAATCAGGCTTAAGCTTGTGTAGACAGCCTTGTGAGGGTCAATAACTCGAAAGACGTAAAACCCGTAGATCTTGTCTTCTTCTGCATTTTGTGCATTTTTATTGAGCGCAGCTACAGGCTACATATTCTGATAACAATAACACTTTTTATCATCAATGATGTGCATGACATTTCACGTTTTGTGGATAATATCTCGTTACACATAATATGTAAGACGTAGTTTGATGCACATGTGCAAAGGATGAAAGAAGTAGCGTAAAATATATTATGCGCTAGCGTGTCCTGTAGCACTACAACATGGAACCCCAACCGTACTTTAATTTAACCAGGTCTAGTCACTATAGCGTCCGTCTGCCCCCCCATCACATCTGATAGCCCGACCGTATCTCTTTGTCCTATCTCCTCGTCGCCTCATCTCATCTGCCAAGTTATCAAACTTATCAGCCAAACATGGCGCGTGTAGTCTTGTGTTTAGCATATACTCGCGTTGCATGGAAAGAAATACACTTGAAGTTTCTTGCTGTAGAGGTTGTCGTTGTGCAAGCAAAACGTCATTTCAGCTTATATTTGCTCGAACGTTGCGCCAAATCCGATTCGATCTGTCTTTTCAGCTTGACGGCCTGTTTTCAGTCAACAAAGCTTGCTTCTTCTAGAGAGAGCTATATGGTATACTACCCACAAGGCAAAGCCATGTGAATCTGTAAGAACTCCTTACAGGATATTGCTTTGATTCTCATTTTTGAGAATCTTAGGATTGTTGTGGCTGCAATAGTGGCAAAGAGCCTGAGCATTTCCGCGGAACTAAGTGGAAAAATTATCGCCAAAGTCAATATTATATTTCTCAAGACGCCGCTTGATTTACACGTGTACATACAACGCTGTAGGTATTATTATGGTTGTAAGACTGAAAATAGTAGTTGACGTGGCCACATCGGTACATCATGTGCGAAAGGATCGTAAATCATATGCGTTTGTTACGAATTGCTCACCTAAAGTTAGTCAAGCAGCTTCCCAAGTGGACGTAGGTGCACGGTCTCGCTTGTGCGTATAAATGTTGGCACACTTCTTGGCAAATATCGATCAGCAGTTGATGGTTCGATCTGTCGCTCCAGTGTCTATTTTTCGTTCCGTTAGTAAGCAAGTAATTCAATTTCTCAAGCTTTCATGCCCTGGCGATATATCGTTACTAGCTGCTGCTTGAGCTTCCACAGTATTACAAAATATGCAGAGTATTTGAAGGCAGCTTCCTCAATCGTTTGATATACTATCCTCTTCAATCATAGCACGGCTTTGGATCTAGTAGGTTGTTTTATCTTCTACGCTAGTTCGTGCGCAGTCTGAAGCCTTATTGAATCCTTCTGACATGTTTTTTTTTGCTCCAACGAAAGCTTGATGCGACTAGCAAAATCTAATTGATGATAGCACAAGGTCTTACCGTGCGCATAAGAGTTTGCTAGATTCGGATTATTTCAATAACCACATCATTCACAGTTACATGTCATTAACGAAACAACTGCAGGTGTTTGGAAGGATCTAAAGTTGACCAGCTTACGCTCCCGCTGGAGACTCGACTTCCACAAATTGAGGCGACTTGGCTTGGTTCTTGCTAAATAACACCAGCAGCAAGCCTTTAGTTTCCGGGCAGTATAAAAATACAAATAAGCCACAAATGCAACACAGACCCGCAAACAGGAAGAAAACCCCATTGATGTTTAGATGTGGAAAGAGCTTGACCACCTCCGTCATGACAGCACCCATGGCCCAGTTAGAAGCCGTAGACAGCGTCACACCGGTAGCACGTACACTCAATGGGAATATTTCAGCGGGGTAGATCCAGCAAACGGGACCCCACGGATAGCAAAATTAAAGACGAAGAAGGCCGAGCCAATGCAAATAAACCAGCCACCCACACTAGGACATCTGGCGTCGTCCACGTTGCCGTTGCAGATTGCGGTAAACAAGATGGCAGCGAATAAGTGGCCAGCTACCATACCGACGGTACCAATCAGTAACAGCTTACGTCGGCCAGTAGTGTCCACCCAACGCATAGCCGGGATTGTACTGATGAGGTTGACACCAGAAAGAAAGAAAGCTGAGTAGATACCAGCTTTAGTAATATCCTGAAAAATAAGGCCACCATAGCTCATGATCGGGTTAATAATACCTGTGACCTGCTGCAGAATTTGGAGTACCACCGCAACGACAACACGCTTACGGATGGACGGATCGAGCAGCTTTATAAGCCCTCTCTTTGCGGCTTGCTCTTCTTCAACCTGTTGACCGATGGCTTCAAGCTCGTAAGTAACGTTTTCCATCATTCAAATACGCTTGAGATTTTTCTCCGCTGCCTCCTTGCCCTTGTGCAGGTACGTCCAGCGGGGACTCTCTGGCACGAAAAAGATGCCAATCACGACAATCAGAGGAGCGGCCATGGCCACTCCGTTCGTTGTACGCCAGCCTCGCTCACGGTGCTCCACTATGATGTTTACGACGTTGGCCAGGAAGATTCCCGTCACGACAGTCATCTGCATGAAGCCTGAGAGTAGGCCACGCAACTCCTTGGGGGCCACTTCAGCACCGAAAAGCGGTAGTGAAAACGATGAGTTGCCCACACCGAGGCCTTGTATCACACGAGAAATGTACATGAGCACATGATCCTGTGCACGGTTGAAGCAAAGCCACAAAGTACCGACACAAAAGAGCAAGCCTGCACAGAAGATAGTCGCTCGACGGTCAAGCTTGTCGGCCACAAAACCTCCGATAAAGGCACCGCCGAGGCAGCCCAAATTGTAGGTTATATTGTACCATACCGTAAAGTACGTCCACTCGGCTGGCATCTTAGATGATGCAGATGTGCACTGCTCGTACGTGAAGTTGTGCCACCCGACACAGTAGTCGTTAATGAATGAGTCCATAATGAGCACGCCCGAGGCCACACCCTGGTCATAGCCGAAGAACAGACCGCCAAGTGCAGCGAAAACGCATATAACGATAGCGTACGTGCGTTTTCCCTCTGTACGGACGTCGTCGACGGCCTGAGTGCTCATGATTCTACGAAAAGCTTTGATGAGGTGACTTGATCGATAGCGAAAGAAATTGAACCTCGCAGGGTCTCAGAGGCTGGGCATATATGTATTAAGACATACATAGTACGAATCTGCATCACTGTGTTACCATAGCAACGCAGCAAATGCTTCATAACAAGAATTGATTACAGTTGCATTACTGCTCTAGCAAATTCTACTCTCAATATCAAGACATGAACACCGACTTTCAGTTGGAGGATTTTATTCCAAGACAATATGAAGCTTTGAACTACGCGAGTGCTTCAAGAATAAAGGTACGATCGGACTTATACGTGACTAAGCACTAAGGTAGCTAAGTTTTGATTGAGGTAGGCCTTGGTCTTATCATAAAGGAAATCATCATGTCATGCTATGGTCTCACTGTCAAGTAAGCACTGTGTTTGCTGTCTGCGTAACTTTTCATCGCGTGAATATTCAATGAGCTTGAGCGGCAGCAGGAATCACATCACACTCGTAGTAACGATAGTGTCGTAGACGAAAGATAAGAAGGTCCGTGCAACCCGATACAGTCTTACTGTCATAAGACAAGGTCAATGATATAGATACAAAGCATATACATTGATATTGATTGCATCGACAATGCACCCTAAAGTTTCCGCTACATCTGACTTGTGCAACAGAACAACTACCAAATTGTTTCATTGTCATAATGATGTTCTAGCAATTGAAAACACCGGAAGTCACAAACCAAGACTGCAGCCTTCGTTGATGAGGATGCTGGCAGATAGCAGCTATATGACCCTTTTTATCAAGCTCCAAACCCTTATTGGCCAGTCGGTCTTCAAGCCAATCAACTACCATGATGTCGTACATGTGCTCACTACTTCTTCTGATGGTTGACAAAGCGCAGAGCCAGCAAACCTAGCAAGCGTGTGACCACGATGAAGCCCAAGACAAAAGCAAAATTCTTCCAGATCTCACTGTGTTTCATCATGAAAACATCCTCCAGATACTCCTTCACTGTCATGTTCTCGGCAAGAGATGGAGGCAGATCCGCCATAACCTGACAACCAACCTCCGAACCATCTCCGTCGCTCGGGCAGTCACCAAATACGAGGGATGCAACTAGCGCCAATGAGTACTTGTGTGGCGTGATGTGGTACAGCCACTTGTAGCCGCTCGGGATGGAACCTGCAGGAGGATTGAAGCCGTTGAATAGGAAGAAGATCATCTGCAAAAGCATCCCAAAAACAGTTGCGACTTCAACCGTCGGCAGCAAGTACGACATCAGCTGACCGAAGTATGCCTGCCACAGCACGTGCATCGATAGATGAACCCAGTAAGCAAAGAACGTCGTCACGCCGGTAAACCCAACCATCGGATAGTACAGCGCCATGAAGAGCATCGTGCCAAAAAACACGTATGGTATCTCTACCACTGTTGATGCCACAAAATACCACAGCGCGTTGTACGTCTGAGACGCACGCTCGCGGTAAAATGCCAAGCGGTCTTCCGATGCAATGGGCACGATACTGCTGAACGCGACGAAGCCAATAAAGCCTGTCGTGCAAAACAGCATGCCCATACCCGAGTTGATACCGGCGTACGAGCTGTATTCGGCACTGATGTACGTGATGCCGAAAAGAAGACCAAGAACTAGAAAAAGGCTGAACCGAGTCAGGTTGTACGAAGCTGTACGCCAGTACATCCGAAAGAAGCGTTGCATCAGGAGCGTCATCTGGGTGAGCTCACTTGCAGCACGCTTGTCGGTGTATGCCAATTCAGGCAAGGTGGTCGACGGTCGGGACACACCGTCGCGGTCCAAGTTTGACTGCAAGAACTGGAACTGCTTGCTGTTCTTAAAAACCTCTACAAAATCCGTCTCGCCACCGTTGCTGTTACCCACGCCCGCACCAATCACTTCCAACATCCACGTCGCCGGATTGTAGTTGTCCTTCAGCGGCGTCACACCTTCGATGGACTCAAAGTACGCGATCATCTGACTTGCATTTTTCCCCAGCTCACCCGCAAACACTGTTTCACCACCACGCTTTAGCAGCAGCAGGCTGTCGAACACGCCAAAGACTTTAGTCGAAGGTTGGTGAATCGTGCATACAACGGTGCGGCCCGTATTCGCCACCTTGCGGACGCCGTCCATGATAAGCTTGGCAGAACGCGCGTCCAGTCCGCTCGTGGGTTCATCAAGAAACAGCACGCTCGGCTGCGCTGCCAGCTCCACACCGATAGTTAACCGCTTCATCTGCTCCACGGAGCTGCCGCGGATGATTTGGTCGGCGATTGGGTGTAGATCTAGCAGTTCAAGACATTCGTTCACTGAGTCATACTTGTAGCTGTCAGGAACTTCGGCACCCTGACGAAGAAACGCGCTGAATGTGAGTGCCTCACGAATTGTTGCTGACTCAGAGTGGACATCTGTCTGCTCGCAGTATCCAGTAGATCGTCGGATGGCAAGGTCAGTGGCTGGGTAGCCGTTGAGCAAGATTTGCCCGGCGATCTTGCCTCCTGTCTTGCGTCCGGCGATGACATCCATGAGCGTGGTCTTGCCGGCACCAGATGATCCCATCAGTGCTGTGATGGTACCTGGTAGTGCGTATCCGCTGATGCCCTTGAGCAAGTCGATGGTTTCCTTGGGATTGGCTGGGTCTGGCACGCTGTACCATAGGTCCTTGAACGCAACCGTGATTGGAATGACGTGCTTACTACTGTCTGGTGCTACGGACAGAGAGGTCGACGCTTCGGCGGCAGAACTTCGTGGTGTCTGAATGAGGCCGTAGTCATCAGAGGTCTCGTTTGCGTTCAAGGTCACGTTCTCAGGAGTTTCGAACCGGTAGTATTCCAGTACAACGTATGACATAAACATGAAGAAAAGGTATGCAGCCGCCATGTACACTACACCATACCACAGCCAGAACTTCTCGGTTGGTACTTCAAACGCTGTCAGCGAATATTCCCCCATAGTCATGTTGTAGTCGGCGCAGTAGTCAACCTCATTGTACACGCATGTTTCGAAACTGGAGTCAGTGTACTGGTTCACAGCAAGCGCACGAATACTCCATGCCACGGGGTTGATCCAGTAGATCCAAATGAGATAGTCAGGAATCTGGCCTTTTGTGATAACGAAGCCGGCAAACACAACGAAGAAGATGATGGAGACCATAGAAACTGGGTTGGCCACGTTTAGATCAGGCGATACACACGACAGAAAGAAAAACCACGCTGCCATGGCGAGGTTCGTCATGAAGAGAACAAGCTCAAACATCAAGAAGGCTTCAATTGTTGACACATATCCGCACATCCAGTATAAAATTGAGCCGAACACCAAACATTCAGCCACCCCCAGTGGAATTTGGCTTACCGAATTGGAAAGCACGAAAGATGAGGTACGAAAGAAGTTAGATCGGCGTTGCTTGTAAAACACTTCGCGAGCTGCAATAAACACTGGAATCTGCGCTTGCTGTCCCATTGATACAAATAGCGCAGCATTGAAAATGATGCCCATGACAAGCTGTGAGTTGGTCTCATCGAACTGGTAGTACACACTTGAATACAGCAGCCCCATCAAAATTACCATGACGGAGCGACCAACAAGGAACGCTGTATCGCGTTTTGTAAGCTTGATCTGACGCTGCACCACAGCAATCGTGCTGTCCCAAAAGTTCTGGTGAAATTCCGGGATCGGATCAATGTACGTCGCCTTGTCTTTGACCAAACCTGGATGGACAGGGCCATTCAGCTCTTGCACCATACGATCATATATGGCCGAGCGGGTGAACGCATCGGCATACTGGCTGGTCGAACGTGGGATGTTGGTGAATGAAATCGATTCCACTTCGTACTGAAACTGCTTGTCTGTGCCCAAATCCAACAAGAAGTCTGCCACATCTCGATGAGGCGGACATTTGAAGCCTAAGCTCTCAAAGTAGCTCAGCGCCAGATCTTGCGGACCGTGGTACATCACGTGACCCTCATTCAGGATGATCACGTCGTCGAACAGCTCAAACACCTCAGGCGATGGCTGCAGCAGAGAAATTACGATTGTCTTGCGGAACTTCTTGGCAAGGCTGCGCTGCGTGGTAATGATGTCAAAAGTGGCGGCACTGTCAAGACCCGTGCTAATCTCGTCCATCATCATGACGTACTTGTTGCCAAACTCCATCTCACCAGTGGTCACGCGCTTGCGCTCTCCACCAGACACACCACGGGTCATGGCGTCCCCTACGATAGTATTCTGGCAGTTTTCAAGTCCAAGCTGCTGGATGACAATGTCCGGGTAGTGCTTGAACATGGCTCTGGCAGCGTCGAGCGCAGCCTTGTTCTCTTCGGGTGTACCGCCAGTGTAGTGTTGGGCGTCACGTTTCAAAGAGCCTTTACCGCAGCAGACATGTGCAAACTCAAGTGTCTCCTTGACCGTAAGTGATGGATAATGCTTGTCACGCTGTGTGACATAGGAGACAAACTGAGGCAGGTGTTTGACTAACTCATTGGCATTTGTGCCATTGTACGTCACTTCACCTTCCACCGTAATGTTCTTGTCCATGGGAAAGCGACCACTCAGTAATTTCATGAGTGACGACTTTCCAGATCCAGGCTGACCCAGCACAAGCGTGATTGTACCAGGCTTGAAGACGCCACTAATATCTTTCAAGATCTGTTTCTTGACTGTGTGTTTCTTAGCACCGAGAGCTCGAACACTTTTAATGAGTTCATTCGTGAGTGTAGGAAGCTCGACCTTGACATTGGTCTCGTCTTTGACGATAATATCGGCCGAGATGGAGATATTCTTGAATCGTACTTCCATTTGTGGTAAAGCTCGACCCAGTGCTTTTTCCATACGTGATGCAACATGATCATGTAGTGCCTGTGGTCCTTGAGCCATGAGTGTCTTGCCATTATCGTATTTAATCGTAGCGCGGGCTAAACCGGTAGTATTGGATGATGGCATTGGGGAGGTTAGTTACGTGATGCGGAGGCTGAAAATTCGCTACTGAAGAGAGTGATGATAAAGTGAAAGGAAACCTTGCGTTGGGTAGATATTGTTGACGTAGGCGAAAGGTGAAGTTGACCTAATAATGTTTGCCATGTCGGTGATAGGTTACTTTATGTTGACGTAAATAAATGATCGGACAAGCAAAGTGAATGACTAGGAATTATTATTACATTCAAGTAGGTGACTATTGAGATTAGTGGAGTAAACATGCTGACGTCTGTACCATGATGAGAGATACTTGCTGACGTAAACAAGGCTTCTTTTTTTTCTTGTTTATTAGCATCTTAAGATACACCTAGTCACTACTCACTAACGTCTGGCACTTTTTGGCACGTCAACTACCCCATTCCTCTGATTATGCAACAATATGCACGACGCTGCACAGAACCTTACGTCTAGCATAGTTGTGATTTTTTATGTCAGTAGACAATGTGCTGTTCTGTAAATTTAAAACTTCTTAATTTTGTACGTCGCCTATTTATATAAAACATGACAAACTGAACAATTCCATCAAATCTATAGGATTATAATTTCATTTCTTATAAACTGGGCACATCCATGGCATTGTCTAGACCCATAAAGATGCAAGTAAATAGTGGATCAATGGACATAAAAGTCGGTTCTATTTACCCTCTTGTTTCGTAAAACGAGCGATTTGCAAATCGATAGTAATGGCTGTGGTGGGAATGAATCGATTGGAACGAAACACCAGCAAAAAGCTGATTGTTCACAAAATCAATGTGATCAGTAAAAGTAGTCGACTTAACAATTCGTTACGTTAGCTTTGTAAATGAGAAGCTTGATACAAAAATCACAAAGAGAGACATTAGTTTTACTTTTCGAGTGCTTTGTTATGATTACATAATCGTACGGTTTATGTAAAGATGGAAAAATGTCATTTTAAAATGCGGCTTTTTTGATCGGACTTAAGTGAAGGTCCCGTATTCCAAGCACTATTTAATATGAAACGACACTCGATAAGTTGTCAGTTACCAATACTCTATCTCCATCACAAAGTCCTTAGAAAGGTATTCAATATAATGAATGAACTGATAGATGAAGAAGACATGTAAACACATTGAACCTTATGGTTCCAATGATTTGTACCCTCAATAATGGTGTCATTCTTATAAAAGATATAAACTATGTCAATATGTTGTCGCTTCTAACCTATATATACGACTGGATAGTGCAGCAGCTCACGTGAGAACAAAAAAGAATCTACCAAACGAGATAAAATATACTACAGCACCACTAAACGATTATCTTCGTCTCTTTTTTTGTATCGATGAGATCGTTATAGCGCGTACATTGGCCACCACTTGTGACTCTCGATACTACCACAACCCAAAATTAACACCACCAACAACAAGGAAGAAAACAAAGCGATATTAAGAAGAAGAGAAGGAGTATGTATACGACGATTAAATACGATAATGGCAAGACACTCATGGCTCAAGGACCACAGGCACTACATGATCATGTTGCATCACGTATGGAAAAAGCACTGGGTCGAGCTTTACCACAAATGGAAGTACGATTCAAGAATATCTCCATCTCGGCCGATATTATCGTCAAAGACGAGACCAATGTCAAGGTCGAGCTTCCTACACTCACGAATGAACTCATTAAAAGTGTTCGAGCTCTCGGTGCTAAGAAACACACAGTCAAGAAACAGATCTTGAAAGATATTAGTGGCGTCTTCAAGCCTGGTACAATCACGCTTGTGCTGGGTCAGCCTGGATCTGGAAAGTCGTCACTCATGAAATTACTGAGTGGTCGCTTTCCCATGGACAAGAACATTACGGTGGAAGGTGAAGTGACGTACAATGGCACAAATGCCAATGAGTTAGTCAAACACCTGCCTCAGTTTGTCTCCTATGTCACACAGCGCGACAAGCATTATCCATCACTTACGGTCAAGGAGACACTTGAGTTTGCACATGTCTGCTGCGGTAAAGGCTCTTTGAAACGTGACGCCCAACACTACACTGGCGGTACACCCGAAGAGAACAAGGCTGCGCTCGACGCTGCCAGAGCCATGTTCAAGCACTACTCGGACATTGTCATCCAGCAGCTTGGACTTGAAAACTGCCAGAATACTATCGTAGGGGGACGCCATGACCCGTGGTGTGTCTGGTGGAGAGCGCAAGCGCGTGACCACTGGTGAGATGGAGTTTGGCAACAAGTACGTCATGATGATGGACGAGATTAGCACGGGTCTTGACAGTGCCGCCACTTTTGACATCATTACCACGCAGCGCAGCCTTGCCAAGAAGTTCCGCAAGACAATCGTAATTTCTCTGCTGCAGCCATCGCCTGAGGTGTTTGAGCTGTTCGACGACGTGATCATCCTGAATGAGGGTCACGTGATGTACCACGGTCCGCAAGATCTGGCGCTGAGCTACTTTGAGAGCTTAGGCTTCAAATGTCCGCCTCATCGAGATGTGGCAGACTTCTTGTTGGATTTGGGCACAGACAAGCAGTTTCAGTACGAAGTGGAATCGATTTCATTCACCAACATCCCACGTTCGACCAGCCAGTATGCCGATGCGTTCACCCGCTCGGCCATATATGATCGTATGGTGCAAGAGCTGAATGGCCCTGTCCATCCAGGTTTGGTCAAAGACAAGGCGACGTACATTGATCCGATCCCGGAATTTCACCAGAACTTTTGGGACAGCACGATTGCTGTGGTGCAGCGTCAGATCAAGCTTACAAAACGCGATACAGCGTTCCTTGTTGGTCGCTCCGTCATGGTAACTTTGATGGGGCTGCTGTATTCAAGTGTGTACTACCAGTTCGATGAGACCAACTCACAGCTTGTCATGGGCATCATTTTCAATGCTGCGCTATTTGTGTCATTTGGACAGCAAGCGCAGATTCCAGTATTTATTGCAGCTCGCGAGGTGTTTTACAAGCAACGCCGATCTAACTTCTTTCGTACCTCATCTTTCGTGCTTTCCAATTCGGTAAGCCAAATTCCACTGGGGGTGGCTGAATGTTTGGTGTTCGGCTCAGTTTTATACTGGATGTGCGGATATGTGTCAACAATTGAAGCCTTCTTGATGTTTGAGCTTGTTCTCTTCATGACGAACCTCGCCATGGCAGCGTGGTTTTTCTTTCTGTCGTGTGTATCGCGTGATCTAAACGTGGCCAACCCAGTTTCTATGGTCTCCATCATCTTCTTCGTTGTGTTTGCCGGCTTCGTTATCGCAAAAGGCCAGATTCCTGACTATCTCATTTGGATCTACTGGATCAACCCCGTGGCATGGAGTATTCGTGCGCTTGCTGTGAACCAGTACACTGACTCCAGTTTCGAAACATGCGTGTACAATGAGGTTGACTACTGCGCCGACTACAACATGACTATGGGGGAATACTCGCTGACAGCGTTTGAAGTACCAACCGAGAAGTTCTGGCTGTGGTATGGTGTAGTGTACATGGCGGCTGCATACCTTTTCTTCATGTTTATGTCATACGTTGTACTGGAATACTACCGGTTCGAAACTCCTGAGAACGTGACCTTGAACGCAAACGAGAACTCTGATGACTACGGCCTCATTCAGACACCACGAAGTTCTGCCGCCGAAGCGTCGACCTCTCTGTCCGTAGCACCAGACAGTAGTAAGCACGTCATTCCAATCACGGTTGCGTTCAAGGACCTATGGTACAGCGTGCCAGACCCAGCCAATCCCAAGGAAACCATCGACTTGCTCAAGGGCATCAGCGGATACGCACTACCAGGTACCATCACAGCACTGATGGGATCATCAGGTGCCGGCAAGACCACGCTCATGGATGTCATCGCCGGACGCAAGACAGGAGGCAAGATCGCCGGGCAAATCTTGCTCAACGGCTACCCAGCCACTGACCTTGCCATCCGACGATCTACTGGATACTGCGAGCAGACAGATGTCCACTCTGAGTCAGCAACAATTCGTGAGGCACTCACATTCAGCGCGTTTCTTCGTCAGGGTGCCGAAGTTCCTGACAGCTACAAGTATGACTCAGTGAACGAATGTCTTGAACTGCTAGATCTACACCCAATCGCCGACCAAATCATCCGCGGCAGCTCCGTGGAGCAGATGAAGCGGTTAACTATCGGTGTGGAGCTGGCAGCGCAGCCGAGCGTGCTGTTTCTTGATGAACCCACAAGCGGACTGGACGCGCGTTCTGCCAAGCTTATCATGGACGGCGTCCGCAAGGTGGCGAATACGGGCCGCACCGTTGTATGCACGATTCACCAACCTTCGACTAAAGTCTTTGGCGTGTTCGACAGCCTGCTGCTGCTAAAGCGTGGTGGTGAAACAGTGTTTGCGGGTGAGCTGGGGAAAAACGCAAGTCAGATGATTGCGTACTTTGAGTCCATCGAAGGTGTGACGCCGCTGAAGGACAACTACAATCCGGCGACGTGGATGTTGGAAGTGATTGGTGCGGGCGTGGGTAACAGCAACGGTGGCGAGACGGATTTTGTAGAGGTTTTTAAGAACAGCAAGCAGTTCCAATTTTTGCAGTCAAACTTAAACCGCGACGGTGTGTCCCGACCGTCGACCACCTTGCCTGAATTGGCATACACCGACAAGCGTGCTGCAAGTGAGCTCACCCAGATGACGCTCCTGATGCAACGCTTCTTTCGGATGTACTGGCGTACAGCTTCGTACAACCTGACTCGGTTCAGCCTTTTTCTAGTTCTTGGTCTTCTTTTCGGCATCACGTACATCAGTGCCGAATACAGCTCGTACGCCGGTATCAACTCGGGTATGGGCATGCTGTTTTGCACAACGAACTTCATCGGCTTCGTCGCGTTCAGCAGTATCGTGCCCATTGCATCGGAAGACCGCTTGGCATTTTACCGCGAGCGTGCGTCTCAGACGTACAACGCGCTGTGGTATTTTGTGGCATCAACAGTGGTAGAGATACCATACGTGTTTTTTGGCACGATGCTCTTCATGGCGCTGTACTATCCGATGGTTGGGTTTACCGGCGTGACGACGTTCTTTGCTTACTGGGTTCATCTATCGATGCACGTGCTGTGGCAGGCATACTTCGGTCAGCTGATGTCGTACTTGCTGCCGACGGTTGAAGTCGCAACTGTTTTTGGAGTGCTGTTGGAGCTGATTTTCTTCCTATTCAACGGCTTCAATCCTCCTGGAGCTTCTATTCCGAGCGGCTATAAGTGGCTGTACCACATCACGCCGCACAAGTACTCATTGGCGCTAGTTGCATCCCTCGTATTTGGTGACTGCCCGAGCGACGGAGATGGTTCGGAGGTTGGTTGTCAAGTTATGGCGGATCTGCCTCCATCTCTCGCCGAGAACATGACAGTGAAAGAGTATCTGGAGGATGTTTTCATGATGAAACACAGTGAGATCTTGAAGAATTTTGCTTTTGTCTTGGGCTTCATCGTGGTCACACGCTTGCTAGGTTTGCTGGCTCTGCGCTTTGTTAATCACCAGAAAAAATAGCTCAAATAGCAGTGAACTGCCGTTGAAGGATGTCGCTAAAATTTATATGCTATCAGTCACATATACTCATGCTTTCTCTACTCGTAGTCACGAATAACATGTCCGAGCCTAGTAAACGGGGCTATAAAAGTGTTGGTTTAGCCTGTCGTGAGGCTAGATTCAAGTATAAGTCACTTAAATTGCTAAGACTATTTTAGTCTGTGTCCGTGTGATGTGGAGCCCATGAACGACAGATGATTGTTACAGTGATGATGATGCTAGCCTATTAGCGACAGCAAACGCCAAACTGGGGTTGGCAAAACTACCGAGCCGAGCGATCCGACTGCTCGACTTTCGAGAAGCGTACGACAGGCTTCATGAGTATAATCCGGAAAATCCACAACGGTAAGCACTCTTTGTTGTTAACGGAGAACTCTCGGAACCGCAGGCGGTGATATTCGGTATACGTCAAGGCTGCCTGCCCTCTTGCTTTTCCTTCTTTTTCGCGCGAGGACTCCAACAGGATAGCCAGATCATCGAATTTTAGTGTGCTTCGGAGAAAGGGGGGGCGCAAGATTTCGGCGTTTGTGACGACTCAACGGTATTTCAACATGAGGCGCATCAACTACCGAGAGTGATGAACATCGTGGAGAGGTTTGGGCGCTCATCTGGCTTAACTGTTTAACCGACCAAAAGCAACATCATTTTCTTGAACACAGCAGTGAAAACAAAAGAATTTTATGGGATACCGGTTCTGCAGCATGGCGACATGGTGCGATATTTTAGGGTACACCGTGGAACATCTCACCGATGCGAACTGGGCTGCGCGTATTCGAAACGTACAACGGCGACTGACAACAGCGACTCAACTTGCAACCAGCGTCGAGACTAGAGTGTTACTCTTGAACGTAATCATGCTCCCACCAGTGCTGTTTACGGCGGCAGTCTTTGAGACACCACCTTGGGCGGACCAACAGCTACGCACATTCAGAGGCAATTTATGTGGCATATTCCACCAAAACAGAGGCTGGCCGCCATAAGGTCAACCCAGCATTGCTGTATACGCTTAAACAGGCGGGCGAGGTCGGTCTGGCAAAGCTGTGCGAATAGAAACATAAGAGCGTAGAGAATAACATATGACGTTGAACAAATCGACTTCTCTATACGCATTGCGTGCAAGATGCAACGGTTGAACATGCCATACTATGGCTCACCCAACGCAGAGACATCTATTTTAGAGCATGGCAAGCTTGGGTCTTTCGTGGTGCCACACAATGTCCCTCGCTACGCCAATCACCACCGGATCAGGAGGAAGGGCAGTAGCATGCAAGCGCTCACCAGCCTGACTTCGAGGTGATAAACTGGACGACCCGGAGGAATGGGTGGTGATGCTCTCTCGGCCACTTATGACTTGCCACCGGCAATGGCGCCAAAAGACGAGGCTCTCTGGCCGATGTACTCGTGGACAGGCAATCCGTAGATTTCAGACCAGCAGGTCAGCGTCTTGTCAGCACGGAAGTACAACACAATGCGGCCTACGCCATCGCGGAGCTACAAGTGCAGCAGGTTGGGGTCCGAACAGATTCGTTTGTCATTCCTATCGACGCATGAACATACATACCAAGCCGCGACGCTGGGGCATTGCGATTTTGCTTAGCGCCCCGAGTTTAGAAACCGGGGAAACTGCTCCAAGTATGACAGGTCACTCCAAAGCATCTCACTCATGCATATGTGTGAGAGTATATCACAAGGTGCTTGGCAGCCTCTGTCTGACCCAGGCCAGCGTGGAGGGATAGAAGTAGAACAACAGAGCAATGGGATCCATTGGGAACTAGCCGCGACCACCACCGAGGATCGGTATAAAGCAGCCGACTGCCAGAAGCTACGGAGGACACAAGAGGCAGGGGGTATCGTCTTCCTCGCGCATCCGCTCCTTCATGGGTTTCGATGGTGAGTGCCTGATTCTGCTGCCAACAGAGATGTACTCTTGGCACTAAAGAAACAAGCGTTTCAGCGGCGCAAAGATTTGAAATACATTCATTGCAAACTTCTTTAAAGGGGCTACGGGTCGCGGCGCATAGGAGTGCACGGCAGTCCAAAGCTTTACAGTAAACACCACGCGCAGTGTGGGACCATGGCCGCGTGTTAACGGACTACCAAGTCTAGGTCGTGTATCGAGTGGCCGAACGGCAATTCAATCTCTACCATGGAACAAGCAAGTGACAACAATTGTGCCATGGAACGAAAAAGACGTTAAAACAAGCTTTTTGGACAGGTCCATGCGCACAAGCATGCTAACAAAAGCTCATCTGCCACCGATCTCGAGAACAACGAGAGCTAAGACGTCTTTAGGGCTTCTTAGCCAAAATCGGTAAGCGCAAGAGCCGACACGCAGACACTTCCATCAACAATACACGTCTATTACTATGCCAACACACAACACAAGCACGATAACATTGAGAGCCTTTACTGCAGGTGACTAGTCACGTACAATCACGGACTCGACCGAGGAATTGACGTTGCTAATAAATTAGGCTCAGGATCGATTAGATATCTCGCGAAACAGGTCGGCTTGTCTCTCGTATTTGTGTATAAGTATTAATTGATACAGGATATCAAAATTCCAAAGATATCAAAAGCCTGTGAAAACGTATTATTGACCCAATGGAACTCGAAGCTTCGCTCAAATCGGATGCATTGGCTACATTTTCTCAGTCCATTGAGCAGGTGTTAGGTCCAATTCAGGCATACAGTGATCAAATACTTCTTGGTATTGATATCTCACAGCTTATTATCTTTGAATTACTTGCTTATGGCTCAGGTGGTCATGATTATTACCATCAACTTGGCATCTCTCGTCTCCTTCGTCTTGACGTTAAAACCGATGACGTTATCCAGCTTCAATTTCAATTGGCTATTTCTCACGACATTTTGACCAATCAAGCGACAGATAAGAAGCACCCACGTGATCTAGTAATCGTCGCGCCACCTCTTCCTACGGTGGCAAAGCGCTTAGCTGACGTTCTTCGACCACTAGAACTCGTATCTACTACCCGACGTTGTGCTGTATTATGGCTACCTATGGCGACACCAGATGTGACGCTAGAGATGGAACGACAGGGTGTTGCAGGTTTTATTCGTCAAATGAATTTAACATTAGGATTGATTCCAGTGGACCGTGGAGTTGCAGCATTGTGTTGTGATCGTGTCTTCGGTGAACTTTATGTAAAAGGAGACAGTCGCGTCTTGACGGATGTTGTGAAAAGTATATTAAGTCTGGAAAGACAGACAGGACGGAAGATGAGAGATATCAAGTGTTACGGTGTTTTTGCTCACCGGGTTAAAAGTATGGTGGAAAGTGCTCATCGACAACAGCAAAAGATCAAGATGAGACAGATGGACGGAAGAATGAAACAAGAAGAAGAAGGTGGTGCAGATGTGGCCATGTCGATGGATAAATTGGTCGTGATTGACCGAATGGAGGATCCACTGTCAATGCTATTGACACCAATGACGTATGAAGGGCTGCTTGATGCACTTGTTGGTGTCAATCATGGTATCGTCACGTACGAGAAAAAAGAGGAGGAAGCGGACGATGTTGCGAAGGAAAGGGGACGCAGTAGTAGTAGCAGCACTGTGAAAGAGGAAACGAGACACACAACGACGACGGCACAGAAAGTAGTATTGAACCACCTGGACGCACTGTTTGATGAGATCCGAGATGTAAACTTCAACTTGGTTTCTAATTATCTGGTGGAGGTTGCCAAGGACTTGGCTACGGAAGTTCGTGGAAACTCTGCGCGATCTAATTCTAACGAGCCAATTGATAGCAAGGCGGAGTTTCAAAAGGTGAAAGCGTTGCTGGCTAAAGCGCCTCACTTCGTCAAAAAGAAACAGTCACTGGCGCATCACTTACAGCTTGTACAGCGTATTCGAGAGCTTAGTACGCAGCTAACTCTACGTGGTTGTGTCGAGACTGAAATGACTATCATGACCGCCGGCCCAAGTGCATCATCAGCTGCAGCCAAGGATGTAGATAGATTTTTGGAGGAGGCTATTCTGCGTGAACCTCCCTTGAACTTGTATGACGTGGTCAAGCTCCTTTGTCTGTGCTCTCTTGTCCGCGGTGGACTCAAGCCGAACACTTTGGCTTGGTATCGCCAGCAGCTCTGCCACACTTACGGCCATCAGATCTTGCCATTGCTCGTGCAACTAGAAAAAATGGATTTGTTATCCGCGGAGAATCGCTTTGACTTTCCAAAAATGCGGAAGCAGCTTCTTCTTATGCGTGGTGCACTGGATGACGAGGATACACGGTGTCCCAAAGATATTCACTTCATGTTTCCCTACACGGGCTATGCACCAATGAGTATACGGTTGTTGCAAGAATCGCTAGGCATGAAATACAAGACTTATGCTAAGGATCCGACGTCATCGATGCTAAGTCGTGGTAGTTGGCATGGCAATGGGAATGAGCATGACTTCAGCAGCCACCACAGTACGTCTGGCGAAGCTTTGGGTTTCGACAATAGCACCGGTCCCAAACGCATCAATGTGCTGGTATATTATGTTGGAGGCGTCACGGTCGCAGAGCTTACAGCTTTTCGCTTCCTGAATAAAAAGCAAAGCGAGTATTATTTCTTCGTTGCTGCCACCTCCGTCTGTAATGGCAGTCGTCTTTTGCGTGCGATCTTCTGAGCAACCATGCCAAGCGACCGTATGGAAAGTGTAAACCGATCTATCGCAAGATTTTGCCAGGAAGCCATGTTTGTTTGTTCTTTTTGAGTGAGGTCTTCACAGAACGATCACCTTCAGCTGCAACGTAATCTACACACCGCGGAAAGTGTGACTGTGTTTAAGGACAATGATTGTGACCTGGAGCTTGCTGTTCGACCAGAAAAAAGCACGAAACGTGCTTTGCCGAAACATTTATCGTCGACTACCCATTACATTTTTCTATGAGTAGTAAACGTCTTTTCAGGTGCATTGGCCGCTCAAAAGACTTGGCAACGAGGTCAGTGTCAACTGGTCAACTGGTCAACTGGTCAATCGGTACTTGCCGTGTGAAACAAGGTCTGGTGGCCAATGAGGTGTTTATCTGTTCAGCTTCAGGCGTGTCTTCGTATGCGAGTCAAATTCGGAACTACGAACTAAAGTTTGGTGAGATATTGTATCCTAACTACCCGATCAAGAAATGAATGGCCTGTTGTGCAAGTGCAATGTACTTTGGCAATAAATGAGGGCGCTAGTGATGGAGCTGGGTCTATCTATATCTCTATTCAGATGATAGTCTCAAAAGTCTCTTTTCCATTTGAAAAGCACAAACTCGCATTTTCACGACAAGCTTGCTATATCATTATGACTAGTTTGTCTCGGATAATGTAAGTAAGAGCAGCAACGTTGGGCCATCATTTCCAATGACCCATGTATCTTAGTACGGTGCTCACAAATCTTCTCTACACTACTCGTCTTCTTCAGCGTCATCTTCATCGCTTGAGTATTGACCATGAACATCGTAATACGTAGTATCAGGAAGTTCTAATAAATATTCGAGATCGTGAGTCGACAAGATCGACCCGCTGCCATCTTCACCGCCACTATCCTCGCCGATGGCAAGGATGCGCGCCGCAGCGGCTTCGTCACTCTCATCGCCTCCATCCTCCTCTTCTTCCTCGGAGCCGTCAACTTCTTCCGAGCTAGAATTGTATTCCTCCTCGTCCTCATTCTCTGTATCATCATCCTCGTCGATTTCATCGTCTTCATCACTAGAATTTTCGTCGTCGTATTCGTCATCGTCTATTGTGTCCGAGTCATCTTCACCATCTTCTGCATCGGAGTCATCTTCAGCGGGACGCTTTCGCCCGATGTCATAGAGGCGACAAATGGAATCATTGTCATCTACGTCACCAGCATCCACGTACCGTCCTTCTACAACAGATAGCACTGGGCTCTTAGTGTTCAGACTCAGATCGAAGACGGGGCGACCAAGCTCGATCGTTGTAATGTCCCGGTAGTCACGGGCATCCAGCACGCGAAACCACGACTTGAGCTTCGTCTTTCTGCGTTCCAAGTAGTCACCCTAAATCAATATCAACAAAGCAGTCAGGATCATGCATACGTGCCAAACTCGGATATAGCAAACTACTTACCCCTGCATACGGATAATATGCAAACAACACGCTACCAGAAAGATTGAACTTGATACTGCACTTGTCTAATGCAGGCACCATTCGTAACAGCCGGTATGTACGAAGATCCCACACGGCCGAGTTGACAATCACTTCATTACCATTTGGGTGAAAAAAGCCGCGGCCAACGTTGGACAACTTATCGAACTTGTACAATGCCCGCGTTGGAATACGCGCATCCCACAGCATACCATCCGTAAGAATAGTGCCGTCACAGGGTGAGAAACAGCAATTAGTTTCTACGCCATAACCATTAGAGCGCATGACATCCTGTAAGTCACACAACACATCTCCTGTAGCAACATCCAGAACGACAGCACCATTGACGGTGCAACCTGGCCTTCCAAATCCAGAATCTACGTCATTGAAACGCCCGTCAAGTGCAACAATACGATCTCCGTAATGATTAAATTGAGAATGAAGGCCACCCTTGAAACGCCACCGCTCTACAAGCTCGCTCATGTTATTTGCATCCCAAAGGGCGATCTCGTTCGCGGCAAGATCAGATAGAGCTACGGCCCCTGTAAGAATCAATCGGCTTTGAACACCCAGCGATGTTCTTTCGTTCGTTTCCAAATCGACAATAGCACTTGATGACGAATGGCAAGTCCATTCTTCCACGACTTCGTCAGATTCGATATTAAATTGGCGAAGCTCTCCATCATGATTGCCAATCAACATATCTTGCTGATCTTGGCCGAAAAATCGAGCGACGCTCACTCCACCCCATGCAAACGCCCCAATATGTGCCCCTACAGTACGATATGGACGGTAGCGGCTAAACACGTAACGATCAATTCCGGCATCGGCATAGTATGACGAGAATGCCGATACTCCAACGTGATAACCCGTCCGGCTACGCCGCAATAATCTCGAGCAAACATTTAAGTTTGATGACGCGGTTGCGGGTGGATCCGGGCAACGATGCTGTGTTCCTTCCCCCAACAGCTTAAACGGTGGCACTGTCGTAACAGGGTTCGCACACTGGCGGTGCTGCTCTCGCAAGTAATGCGTGATGATGTCATCTAGCTTGCTTGTTGCAGACGTCGAGCGGGCTTCACTAGTTGAACTCCATCGCGTATTTATCGGAAGCTTTTGCAAAGCATCGGAGCGGGCTGTCTCAGTCACGACTTTCGGAGATGTCGCCGAATCTGTTAGAGCACTATCTCGAAAGAGATGCGGTCTGCTAAGTGCCTGTTGCATCCTATTCTTCAATTGACGGTACGGAGTAGCTGGTATGGAGGACTTAGCTTGACCATCTACAGAACGAAACAATTTAAGAGGGTTTTGCACCGAACCCATAACATGAGCTTTTTCCAACTCGCCAGTGGAACCCAAAGATGAAACTCGCTGCAATTTCTTCGGTCGTGGTGCATCTCCCCCACTTGAATAGCCACTTTCGCGTTTATTCAGCATATTGAACGGAAGTTCGTGATCAAAATCTGCCTGCCTCTTAACCAATGTTGCCCCCTTTGAAATCAAAGGAAGTGTTCCTCCGTTGTCCTCGGTTTTATCGGGCCAACAAGGCTGTGTATCTCCAGCAAATGAGGCTTTTCTTGCCCTATCAGCTGGAACTTTCGCTTCATCCACAAGTGCTGATGCAGCATGATGGAAACCTTTCGTAACTAGGTGGTCGTGAATCAGCCGCAGGAGCTCATTCTCGTCGTAAAATATCTTGGTATTTGCAACAATACTTGCTTTCTCAATCTTTCTCACCGTAGGGTCCGTCGCCTCATTAATTACAACGCAGGACGCTCGATGCGTCACATGAGAAATCAAATCCAAGGCAGATTCTCGAAAGCGTACGTGAATATCAGCATTCTCTTCCAGAACTGGGTCGCTTCGAATCATATCTGACAGTAATTGGCCGACTTGCATTTTCTCAAGAATTTGAGATATATGACGATCACGAGACAGTCCTAACAATGCGCGTGTTGCCAAGAGTCGAATAGCATCTGCGTTTTGAACGGAGCGCTTGTAGCGAAGCAGGTATACACATACTTTAATTGCGTTCCGCTCACGCGCCAACTTTCGTACCGGTCTCAGCATTTTATCGTCCTTAGCCTTCGGACAGCAGTTTGAACAGCTGTCCGACGCAATTGTGCTCAGTCCCTGGTCTGCTGTATCGGAGCTAGAACGCTGCAACTGATCATCCTTCTTCGTCCGCATACTTCGAGCTGTCAGGGTATACTGCCGAATGTCCTTGTAAGGGTGCTGCCAACAATCCTCGTGGTGAGGAGGCGATACGCAGTTGCAAAATACTCGTAGCGCATCGCGTACTAGCTCAGAGTCTCTAGGATTGCTACTCATGGCAACGTCCAGCAAAATGGTCATTCCTAGCTGTTTGAAAGCATTTCCTTCATCACCTAGTACTTCTGTTGAGCACACTTCGTTAGCCAAGAATGGAACCACCAGCGTCAACACCCGAAGTGAGTCCAAACAAAACTGCGCGCGTTCTGCCGTCCATATCCGAAAAGTGGTGGAGCTCGCGTCTGGATCGGTGTTGTGCATCACTGAGCACATCTTTGCTACAACCTCCAAAAGTACGAGAATACCCCGCAAATGCCTCAATTTTGCCGCGGGAGGCCACATCCCACCGCCTGGACCAGCAGCTGCAGACCACGAGTTGTTGGAATTGCCACTAGTAGCACTGAAACGATACTTTTCGTAAAACACCATGTTTTGTTCGTGAGTTTTGTCGTCGAGGTCGATTGCTTTCGACCACGTGATTTTCGGGACTCGTGCTGGAAGACGCGAATCTGCAGTCGCCGCTGTCAACACAGGCACTGTGTTCGGCACCCTGTTCGATGGATGATTCAACTGAGCAAGCTTTCTCCTAAGCCGATGAGTTACCAACGCCATATGCATGCGTACATATTGACGCAAACACAAACACGCATCTTGCGCAAGTTGTCTTTGTGCGGATGACTTTGGATGGTTGCCAACTCGAATGATATTCAGCACCGTGTACAAGCCATTGTGCTTTTCAAAATAGTCGAGAATCACCCTGAAACCCAGGGTCAGGCTGAAAAATACCACAGCATTTTGCCTTGCACGGTCATTGGGGCTAGAAAGCAGCATAAATGCTGCCGATAACATGTTATCCGCATTCGTTACAACAAGCCGCTCAATGACTGCCGACGAGGAAGCGAACCCATGAAGACACATTGACAAGCTTCGATCTAGTAGGCCCACTTGCCCAGCCGCCTGCTGCAGTCTGAATACAGTGAACAGCAGGTCCACTCCTCCTGCCTCAACCAGCAGGAAAGAGAACTTCTTGTGAGCGAGAAAATGTGACGTCAATGTCATTGTGTGAGATATCACGGCAGGATTCTTGCTGTGCAGGAATGTGATAGTTGTTGTAATGATATCTTCTTTCAGCGCAGGCGCAAATATCTCTAAGTACTCACCCATCGAGCCCAAGCAGTCTAGGGTATATAGTAGCTCCAGCATTACCAGACGCTTGAAATCCTCTTCATGGTGTTCAGAACTTGGCGTTACAATCGATCCATCTTCGCCAAAACTTCCCATGACATCATCTTCATGGATCGAGATAGACTGATTCGGCACCGTAGCAGCCGCCTCTTCTTCGTCAGCTTCCATCCCTGAGCCAGTATCAACATTCTCAGCGTTATCATTTCCGTGACTAGCCGCACGGTTGCTTATATCCGTGTGCTTACGCTTCAAAGACCGCGGTTGGGTTGAAGCCTTTGTCGTTCCACTTCCTCCACTACTTGCTGCCTTCTTGTGGCGAGATGTTGCAAGACGAAGATGGTCCTGAATATACTTGACTGCCTGCTGCCGTTCTTTCTCCAATTTCGACGCATACATGCGTGCTCTCTTGAGTAATTTCAACGGCGTTTCAGTATTAACGACAGTATCTGCAATTGAGCGATCTCGTAGTCCAACAGATAAAAGTCCAGTTGCATAGCATCGTAAGCCTGGATCGGTATCCGTAGCAAACCCACAAACTCGCTCTAGCATCTCTTCATCAACATCCAACATACGCACAATAGCTCTGCTATTTACAGGCACAGTTGCCAATAGTAATCGACATGTCGCTGCTTTGACACGATTTACGCTTGAATTGAACATTTTTTCTTCCAACTAGAGACAAAACAAACAAATAAAGCACCAAAACCACCAAAATAGACAGTAAGTCATGAGTCCGATCCGTTCCTCAAGCCCATCAATATCTTCCATCACGAATCATCGTCATGTTTGCATTTACCATTGGATAAAACTCTTCATTTTGCTCAAGTATCTGTAATAAATTACCAATCAAGTGACCTGCAAGAGAGTTTTTTTTCAAAACAACAATAATAAATTACCAAAACACTCAATATAAATGACCGTATCTGCTACAAAATATCTTACCATCACGACGATACGGAGACGACCGTTCCTTGCGAAAATTCGTTTCAACTTCTTCAAGTGTTTCAGCAATTCTATACAACCACAATGACAATGGCAACCACAACCACATATATATATATACATTGTGTTTTTGGTATCAGTATGACTCGACACTGTTCCATCATAAAATTCCATTGTCTATAAATCATTGTGTTCACTCACAGATTAAGCTTCGTAATCACTTCATCGTCTGTGAGTGCAGGAATGGATGAATCCGTTTGTGCAAGTTCTTGTGAAAGTTGAAGTACACGTTCTTCTAATGGATGCAATAATAATTCCTCTTCTTCTGTAGTAATAATCACGGACTCACGATGTGAACGTGGTGGTGACGCTAATGGCGACGACGACGACATGGACAAATGAAGAGATTCCGTCACTTATTGACTGTGATAAACAAGAATGACAACGATTGGTTAGAATTCAATCTCACTCTCCTTCTCAAAAAACAGTGGAGAGCGAGCGAGCGAGCGAGCGTTCTCTTGATTCGAGAAAAAAAGATGTGGGCTAGAATGACATAAATTACCGATATATTTCCACGGGTGAATATATTACATTATCACATTGAAAGGAGACACTATTATTGTTTTGAATAGACCAGTGTTATGGTAGGTAGAGGTTTGTCTGAATTAGCTCAATTGGACCTTGTCTGGAGGCTACTTAGTCACTGCAAGGTTGTTGATAAACCCAAGAAGACTGACGTTGCACTCACGGCATCACGTCGATGCGATCAAGAATTCCTTGCTTCATTAATTCACGTTGACACACGCCCACACTCCATCTCCTAGTCGACGTCTAGAAAGTTCTCCATTATGTCACATTCAAGTATGTAAGCTGCATAATCTCGCGGATATTTGACCGATAGTCGCACTCTTCCCATACAGTTTCAGCTTGAAAAACTCCGTCTGCTTCCACAAGACTGACAAAGTGCTGTACACTGCCATTTGTACCAAAGTAGTACTTCTTGGCAGCAATCAGTGCCCGAGCGTTTGGTACGTGACGCAAGTGCCGCTTGATCGTCTGCAACACACAACAACAAAAATGAATGGGATTGATCTAGAAACTAATTGGGAGACTGCCTTACCTGGTACAGCTCTACTGCCACAGCCTCCGTGTAGATGGTCTCAGCCGTCAAGATGAGATCATATTGCATCTGCTCATACGTTTTCTGCTCCACTTCCTCCATGTATCGAGATATGTTACTCCATGCCCCTGCATAGAATTTGGCTCTCTTGAACAAATACTCGTCCACATTTCGTAGCACGTTCGGGCATGTTGTAAGCTCCAGTACCTCCTTATTATAGTCACTAAACGTCACTTGTTGTGCACCTCGCACTAATGCGTGGATACCTGGTAATCCGTGACCACAGCCTAGTTCCAGCACCGTCGCCGGCATTGGAGTACCCTGTGTCTCCATAAACTTGACGAGGTCCACAGCGCACTCCCAGAGCTTAAAACCGCCTTCATAAACCCCCCGTCTGCACGTCCGACGTGGTCAAAATGGAACTAATGGCACCTGTACGAGTCATAAAGTCCGCGTGTGTCGTGTTGACAATTTGAAACGTTTGATCACCTACTCGGACAGTGGAAAAGGCGACGGACGTGGCATTTGGATGATAGATAAATCGTTCACACTTGCGCAAACGTATAGAGGAATTGGACGGGGTAGAGACAGTAGTCGACGCTAATGGCATTGTCGTGGAGCTACTATCCACTGCAAAGTTAAACGAGAAGGACATGGTAGTCAATGGCTGAGAAATGACTTGAGCCGTTTTGAATTTGAAAGGCCTTCATGTATACTTATGTAAGTAGTAACATGGACAGCAAGAGCGGTCTTATAGCTTCACGTGGAACTGGAAAAGTGGTCGATCATGCTTTGAAAGGAATCATGTTGTTTTTAAAGTTGGCGATACATGTCCATCTATGCGTTTGAAAGCCGATGGATCACTTTGTTATGATGGAATGTCATTTAATTGACGAGGGTTTGCAGGCATGAAGCGTTGGTCATCACCGTTGTAGTACTGCACGCATTAGCACGAATCAAAGTCAAGCACTGCTAGGTGCACTACTAGGGCTACGTGCATGCGTGAAAGGCTCAAAATGATTATACATCGAACGCTAAGAGTTCGGAAATAGACACATCCAAGTACAATGCAAGTCGGTCCTTCAAACACGAATCGGGGGCATGAAGCACAAGTGAGAAGCACAAAGACTCCAAGTTTCGTAACTATTGCTCTATTTATTTGATGCTGCAGTTTTGATAAGAAAGTACAACGCGACCAATGTTCTCTTCAGCCAAACTTTTTGAGAGCAGATATCCACTTGTTTACCGTCTTCAAACGCTTGTCACGGTGTGTTTTCTTAGTAATCATCTGGATGCAAGCAGTCAGCATCTTTAAGCCTTTGCGCACGGTATGGTCCGAATAAGGATTCCAATCCTTTGACTGGTAGGACACTACCTTACTAAATGTCTTTACCACCTTGTCCACTTGATCTAGAGAGAAAAATACCATCTTGCATTCGTTCCAGTTGGTCCATTGCCAACACCAGTTGCTCCTGCTTCTTTTTTGTCGTACTTGAAAACCTCATATGCGAATGAATAGCTCTTGCCGGTTGAGATGAGTTAATCTTTTCATCCAGCAGTGTGAGGATGCTGGTACCAAGTCTGTGGCAAACACAAAATGAGTTAATCATGGATCAAAAAAGGTTATTGGGGTCTCTACTTGTACCTTTGCCACTCCATTTGCTTGGGTTTACTCGGAAAGTTTTTACTATAAGCAATGATGCCGTTTGCATAGCGCGTATATTCCTTTAACAGATTGTTTTGAACTGGGGTCTCAGTCTCGCCGATCCAACGACTCACGTCACTAGTAGAATACCGCACATCAATTTGATGCACGCCAAAGACATCTCCTGCCACCACTTGCTGCATTGCTGTAAGAGCCTTGATGATCTGGTCCGTTTTGGCACCAGGAGGGTGTGCATCCATGTCGCCAGCAAGATCATGATAAGTCTGCAGCTGATGCTCCACCGATTTACGTGCGCTTGCAGGCTTCGTATTTACAGACAACTGCTCAAGAGCAACAGGGATGCTCATTTCAAGGCGTTCTAGTTGGGTTCGAGCTCTGTGCCATGACAGTATACAAAAACAGAGTCACGGTCCTCGTAAGCATACAACAAGGCGCGCGTGTGAGTCGTACCGGTGAAAAGCAGCTCGTAGCGTCTCGTTCTTTGAACATGCATCAGTCAGTGCAGCGATAACAGAGCGCACATCCTCAATGTGTTCACCCGTCCACTCTAAGTTCGTAAACACATCAGCTGCAGCCTCTAACGCACGAGCAGCAACATCAGCTGCTACGTTGTCGGTAGTTTCATCGCTGCGACTAGATTGGTGCTTAAGGACACGCTTAATGTTAAACAATGCTATCACCCACGACTTCCTCGACTCGAACGGCATCCTCTTGTTAACAGTCTTTACCTTCATTATTTCTGTAAGAGCTTCGTGAGCAATCAAGAGATCATTGCGCTGTTTCTTCGTCTTCAATCCATTTTTCTCGACTCTTGTCTCGTTCTCCTCAAATACTTCTCGTTTCTGCTTCTTGCATCGACTGTCTTCTTCTTCTTCTTCAGCCTCATTGGACACGTATGACGTCGACTCTTCATGTAACAACAACGACAGTCCTTCTTCTCCTTTCTCCTCTTCCTTATAAACATGTTTCTTCTCCTTCCGTTTCCGTTTATCATGTCTTTCGTCCTGTTCTCTTGCATACTTAACGTCTACCACTTCCATTCCAGTCGCTATTTTCTCCAATCGATCGCCTAATGTCTTTTGCAATTGCATGGTACAATCCATTTGATCCATTAGACTCGCACTTCGATAACTAGACGCTTTGCCCTGTTCCAATTGATTCACTGCATCGCGCACTTCTGCCACCTTGACAAACGACGCCAAGACGCAATCAACGGAGTTCTTTAGACTGTTGAAATCGTCTTGTAACACGTCGTTTGAGCTGTAATGAAGTTCCGCGGGCTTTATGAGCGACAGGATCCGCTCGTACAGTGCCATCGTATCGTCTTGATCCATATTAATCCGGTGGACAGAGTGCGAGGGTAGCCACAATGAGTTTAGAAACGTAACCTCATGATTAGAAACAGCCTTGTAGAGTATATTTGAAATATATGAAACCTTGACAAACGTGGTCAGTTTGGTGAAAATAAAAGAAGCAAGTCAAATAAGTGAACCCAAACTAATCTGAAACGCTAAAATAAGAACTGAGAGAGATTGATTACTTATCAACGTAGACATCTCTGTCTGACTGTAATCGAGTTACCGGTCAAGTTTTGGCAACACACAAAGCAAAAGTGAACACCACGTAGTCATCTGATAGAAAGACCAGCGTACATGTTTTGGCAATCAATGGCCGTAGATGGCAACTTGAACACCACACAAGTCGTATTTTCCAACTTCTCCAAGAATGCAACAAGACGGCAGAGTGCTACATCAGATATATATGCTACGACAACTCTTCAAACAAACAGACAACGCTTTGTCTGTCGCCAGTAGCTCGTATCTTGTCATCCGTAAGCCCTGTGCTTCATGATCGAAGAGCTAGTCATGTGTCTCGCTAACATAACATCAGAGCACTCAAAACATCCTGATATTGCAGCTACAAGGTTTCAAGCACTTGCTTGAATTAGCAAACCTGTCGGTTGAGGCTGAAGCAGAACCACTCACATGAAGACCAGCTTTGTCATCTTAGAAATATGAACAAGTCCTGCGAGTTTCCAGCAATGACTACATTGTCCTTTTTGTTTGTTTGCGCTAGTTCAAGTACCAAGTCAAAAAGAATCAAGCTGACCGTGACAAATCCAAAATGCTGTTCAATGTACTTCATACGTTGAATGCAACCACTTTCTTGCTCCAAATGATAGAGCATTCTTTTTTCGTCTTGAAAAAAAGTCTGTAATGAAGGATTTGCCAGGAATGGGATGCCTGTTTTGGGGTTGAAGTTGTATCTCATTCGTCCAGTATTGTAATCCTTGGAAGTAAGATCCACACTCGTGTCGAGAAAATGCGTACGAGTGTTAACAATAACAACAGTTGCTTGGCATCATTTAAAAACGTCATAAAAGTACGAGAGAATGGTCTGAAGGTGAACATAGAGGTCTTACAGTCACTGACGTAAGGCCCCCAACATAATTGCAAAAAACGAAAGCAAGGTTCTAGCAGCCGTATCCTCATCAAGGCAGGGCAATGGAAGCAATGACGATGATCGAAATGGACATAAAGTGGATGCGATTATCAGTTTTCTATCAAATACAACACGTCTCTCACGAGAATTGCTGTCTGTCATCCCACGCTAGATCCATCTAAAACCGACGGAAAACGGCCATTCCTGTGACTTCAACAACATGTTCAATGTGTCGTATACACGACGTCCTGACTGTGAAACGATTTTTCACGTGCAAGATGAAGACTTTGTATAGTGATTTGACTGCTAGAACCCAACGATGGACAAAAAGGTGGCAATGAAGGACACAATTGCTATTCAACTATTTCAACTGTTTCACTCGTACGAATGACTATAGAAATTACATAAGTCTTACAAAGACAGATTCAAGTGATTCGATAGAAATGATAAAGTCTTACAGAGTGAAAAAGTCTTTTTGTTTCTCGAATAGAATGGAATAGCTCAAATCTGAACACGATAAAAATATGTACAGCAACGAAGTCAGTTGTTTACGTCTTCCATTGTAAAATCACCCCGCCACCATCTAGTCGGACACTTTTGTCGGACACTTTTGAATCGACACAATCAAGTCAGGCATTGTTCTCGTTTGACTCTCTCTACTTCTCTACAATGGACGTTACTCTCTCTGATCGCTTTAATCTGGAAAAACAAATGACGTTCTACCTTTCCTACCACTCGAATAAAATCAATCAGTATATTCACTTGGCTTGTATCTGGCCTACATTGGTATCAGGGCTTATTCTCCTCGCTCACACAAAGCCATTGGTCGAGACTCCATCTTTTCTGTCTTCTCTCCCTTATGGACACTTGGTGGTACTCAACTGGTCGGCCGTGACGACTGGCATCTACATGCTGTGGTACATGACTCTGGATATGTTTGCAGGCACTTTAGGGGCTGCTCTCATGGCAGTGTGCTTCCTATTTGCCAACTACTTTGTCATGGAAGGTGCTGACGTCCTGAACGTGCACAGCATGCATGTAGCTCTGGCTGTTCAAGCGATAACGTGGACTCTGCAGTTCATTGGCCACGGAGTCTTTGAACGCCGCCAACCTGCGCTCTTGGATAGCCCGGGCCAGGCCTTCATCACTGCCCCCATGTTCGTGCTACTCGAGATCTTGTTCCCGCTTGGCTATCGCCCGGACCTCTACCAGCGCGTGCTGAAACAGGCTCGGATCAATATCAAGAACTTTCAGGCCACCAAGACCATGTAAGGCCATTCATGCTTACGATGTAGGTTTCAGAAGAAGTACAAGTGTTTACCTGGCCAATACATCGACCGCACAAAATGAAGTGGCGTGAATTAGTGTTATGGTGTTTCAAAGGGATGTGATAATGATAATGACCATGTGTTGTCCATAAGACTTTACTCTGGTAGTGTCCGTGGCAGCATTATTGAATCAAAGATGGTGTTCATTCTCTCTAGGCAAGTATTCTTATTGCTTCAGTAAGCTATGTATGATGTCAACGCTCTAACTAGATTCCTCCCTTGTGTTAAGTGTGAGTTATCAAGAGTTCTTCTACGTTCATTGCCACATCACACTGTCTTTTTCATCTGTATGATTGTCTCAAGACAACTTATACTAGCGTGCTTCATAGTGCTAGTCATAGCTAACAAAGACTACTACGAAGTGTCGCTTATAATGCATCTTTGGATGAGTGTCCAAGCGTGCTTTTTGTAAAGTATTGCTTAAGTACGTTCCGCTCTGTAACTGAAACAGCGTGCATAAAAGTCATTTTACGCACGTTTGTTAAAGCGATCTAAATCCTTTAATTTAATCATTAAAAACAGGGTTTTATGTTCTATAATTAAGATATTAGCTTCGCTACCTCAGTTTTCGATCTTTCGTATTTCGAGCAAATGATGAGACTGTGGCTACTGCTGATGTATTGTATTCATACATCCAAGGACGTCGATGGTGCTACTACTACTGTAGAAGACCATCACTATTATCGTCCTTCAGGCACTGACGTGTCTGGATATCCTCCACCCAACTTCGCTGCCAATCATCGTAGTCCATGCCCGGCCCTGAATTCGTTGGCAAATCACGGTTATCTGCCTCGAGACGGCAAGTCATTGACTCCAGAGCTAATACAAAACGCTGTCATGGAAGTTTTCAATATCGATAAAGCATTGGTCAAAGAGTTTACGAGTCAATTGCCACAGCACCTGACGCTCGCACACCTGAGTATCCACGGCTTGATTGAGCACGACGCGTCGCTGGTACATGATGATTCATACTTGAAGAACAACCCTGCGCAGATCAATGCCACGTTGGTGACTCAGTTCTTTGATCATTGTAAAGATCACCAGTTTGACAAACGGTCCTTGGCAGCAGTGAGACGACAGAGAGAAGCACAATGCAAGAAAGAAAATCCAGAGTACGCGTTTTCGATCAAAGAGCAAGTTTCGGCGTATGGTGAATCGGCGCTGGTGCTTCTAGCAATGGGAAATTATGAGTCAAAGATTATTTCAGCAAAGCATGCCACGTCCTTTTTAGTGGACGAGAAGATTCCGGATGATTTCCAGCGGAGTAACAAGCCGATCAGCATGACAACAACACTTTACCTGGCTGCACAGATTAAACTGATAGCGTCATTGGGTGGTTGAGGTGAGAGAGAGGGGAGAAGAAGAAGACAAGAGGAGAGGGGAGGATAGGATAGGATAGGAGACGTATTATGATCATTGCAATGCATACAGTTCTTCATCTTTATTGAGCCTTCTGCATATTGTTTATCTGTTCGAAGTGTACCCATTGCCAAGGGCATAATGGCTAGTTCTGTAATATTGGAGCTTGTCCAAATCTGCGACGTGTGCTCTCACTCTCCTGATCGATCAGCTTTCGAACCTGAGGCAGAAGATATCTGATCTTCGTTTGTCTCGATGATTCTTCCGTCGCTTTTTCTACATCGTGTGCCTCGTATTGCTCACGTCCTACGCAATTTCTCAGCATCATCACCATCTTCTTCGTCTTCTTCTACTTCTTTGTATTCTACATCGTCGAATGATTCCATGACACATTTTGGTTTTCAACAAGTGCCTGAGAAGGATAAAGAGCGAATGGTGGCGTCTGTTTTCCATAATGTCGCTGAACGGTAATAGGAATACTTGTCATTGTTGATATTGACTCTTGGCAATGGTTCATAACCTCCACTTTTGTATTTAGATATGACGTGATGAATGATTTCATGAGTGGTGGTATGCACCGTGTGTGGAAGGATTCATTTGTAGAGACGTTACATCCTGTAGGTCCGTTGAAATGTCTGGATGTGGCTGGAGGCACTGGAGATATTGCGTTTCGTATAGCTGAGCATATATCCAAGACTTCTAGTGGCACTGAAGGATCACAGATTACCGTATGTGACATCAACTCGTCCATGCTTCAGGTAGGAAAAGAACGTGTAGCAAACGTTTTGCCACACGTAGACCCGTCGCTCTTCCACTGGGTTGAGGGCAATGCCGAACATTTGGAGTTTGAGAGCAACTCTTTTGACGTCTATACTATCGTCTTTGGTATCCGTAACGTTACTCACGTTGATCGAGCAATTCAAGAAGCTTACAGAGTACTCAAGCCTGGAGGTCGCTTCATGTGCATGGAGTTTAGCCAAGTGCCTAACCCGATCATTCGTCAACTCTACGACGCTGTAAGGATGGTTGAATCATGGTTGCGTTGGGTGATAGCTTACATTTAATATTTGCTGATTGTGATTGTGATAGTATTCCTTCAATGTGATCCCGTTGTTAGGAGAAAAGGTCGCGAACGACCGTGCATCATACCAGGTAAAAACAAGTATGTTTGCAGTCTTGATTGAGTTGTAATGTTCACTCATTGGTTTGTTCATGATGCAGTACTTGGTTGAAAGTATCCGTCGATTTTTACCTCAGGAGAAGTTTAAAGCGATGATAGCGGACGCTGGCTTCACCCACGTGACTTACACGAATTTCACTTTCGGTGTTACGGCCATGCACTCTGGCTACAAGTTCTAATCATGTGGCATCATATGCCGCATTAAGTGGTTGACTGCTTGTTCGAGAAGCTGTGGCTGCTTGATTTTGAATGTTGAGCAATGTGCAGCAAGCTGAGAGACAAGCTCAATTTCTCATCATCCAATGCACTTTTCAATGTTTCTTGTCTGCGTCGTCACCTGCAACGTTGTCTATCCTGAAGTAAACGGTTGTGATGTGGATATGAGCATTCGAAGATGAACTACGAGCGTAGATAAGCATGAAATACATCTGTAACTAGTAGTCTCAGTGTCCTACGACAAATTGATCGCTCATTTATACACTGGCCGACTCAAGTACTCTGTTTCGATGACAACGAATCCACGCTTGTGGTAAGAGTTGAGGATGTTTGTATGTCAATTCTTTGACTTGGACAAACCGAAAGCAAATGAACATGAAGTTTGCAACGCTTAGCGTGATTTTACGTGCACAACTACAGGACGAGACGTTGATATCACATCATTAGTTTGCAGCTTTGGATCGTGAGGAGCATGAGCCCAACAAGTTTTGAAAAGCACCACTCACTATAATGGTAACAATCCGTTAATACAATCTAACTATGGCACCGCGCATGGTGACTACATAGCCAACGCGTTCGACTCAACGTTGATGAGGTTTCATAAGTCACATTGCAGCGGTATAACGTCGCCCAACTGCTGCGTTCAGAGCGAGACACCAGACCTTCTTCACTAACGAAAGCATCTAGCAAGTTTCGGATATATTTGCGTTTGTCCTCATTGAATATAAGGCGGGTGAGCTTTTCAAGCACTTCTTGCGCCTTTGCTGGGTCTTGAGCATTCAATTGCTGCTCCATCGGTCCAAGCTCGACTTCAGTTACGGGGTTGACAGTTGCTAGCTCCATGTGTTCCAATGCACGATAAAATGTTCGAAGTTCGTGCCACGGATGGGGGCCAGCAAGTCCGCCTGTTTTCTCAATGCTCGATCCGGAAGATACGATAGCGCGGGCCTCAAGGAACAGCATTGTCTCTCGTACTAGCGGCATCACAAGCGGCAGCAAAGAAGCTGTGACGCTCACACCAAACTTTGGCGTAGTGCAGACAGTGCACGGCACGGCAAAGTTTGATTCATATGACTCGCACGTGAAAATGAGTGGGAAACGCAATTCTTCTGCCCGTTGTTGTTGTAGATGCTGGAGCTTGGAGACCCATTGCTCTACTGAGTAGAAGCTGGTACGCTTTGTTGAATCGAGCGCCAGCTCTACTGGAGCCAAGAAGAGACACAAACTCGGCGGTAATGACTCGAGTGCTACGTCGCCAAGCTCGTGAACATCATTTTCAATTCTGTAGGAACCTTGATCCCTGCCACTAGTTTCACGCTCAGGTTCACCTGAAGATGGTATATCTTTTGACGTACAGGACGTGACTAGACCTTTCCTGTTTGTCATTACAGAATGCATGTGAGGACCAGTCGAGTTTGCCATCGTGAGTAAACGTGACACCTCGCATTTATTTGGCTGGAAAAACGCGTGGTTCAGGATTGAGTCAACGGAAGGTCTGGATGTCCAACAGCGCTGGAAACACTGATGCAAAATGTCTTTCACATCGTCGTTTTGCACGAACTGAGCAATCGATCGCTCAAAAAAGCAAGGGCTTGCTACTTCTCTATCAATACCTGAAGCGTTTAAGCGTCGGAATACATCATGTCGTGTCGTGCAGCCTTGAAACTCTTCAAGTTGTCGATCCAAGACGTACATCTTTAGAATAATGACTCCGAGACTCCAGACATCCAACGCAGGAGAAGTACGGCAGCTATTTGCGTTTTTCAGTGCAAATAAAGCATACTCAGGAGCCACGTACTCGGCTTGGCAAACGCCAAAAGTATCCACATCAGTAAACGGAATGCTGTGTCCTGATTTTGAAGCGTGTTCAAGACCCCAGAGCTTCAAACGTCCACCAGGTGAGTATGCTACAAAGCTGTCCGTATGCAAAGCACCATGAACAAGCTCTCGGCTGTGGAGAGCACGGACTGCTGTCACCACATGAGAGATTTGCTGAGATGATGGCATACGTGCGGTAGCAACGTAAGAACTTAGCGTAATGTAGCTCGGCATTTCCAGCACCAGGATGCAGCAGTTTATGGTCACAATGTTTGGTACCATCATGGAACTCTCGCTGACTAGTTCGTATTTGAGAGCAGTGTCGTGGATACATGGAGCAAAAGCTCGTGTGGAGTCGTCATATTGCAAGCAGGAAAGCGCATAACTCTCTTGTTCTGCCAATTCAGCGTCATCTTCGATAAATATCTTGAGCAAAAGCTTGGAGGATGAAACCAGCATGGAAGTTCGTGACCCTCCACAGCTGTTGAGTTGGCAATCGATAAAAAATGCGAGCGGTGTTTCTTTGACCCTTGTCCCTGACGTGAACGAATACTCGTAACCATTTATAGTGAGCAGCGAGGGGAAAGCAATACTGCTGACACTGAGTTTAGCCTCAAGTAACGCCTTGAGTGTCAATCGATGCTGTTTTCGGGTTACAAGACGCTTTTGGGCTGGTGTCGTGATAGGAGAACTTTTAGCGCTGAACAACTCTTGCAAGTGATTGCTGGTGCCGTCCTTGCGACTAGATGTTGCTTTTTTCGAGTGGGCTATTGAGATGTTTATCGAGGAATTAACATGGACGTAGCATGCTGATGTTGACGCAATTTTAATCGGGTGCGTTGACTCGACGTTTGCATCAGCGTGCGTGACGTCTAGCATCACGCAAGAGTTTCGGTCATGTGCATCAAAATAGTGGTTATCACCAGATGACAGTCGGCTTCGAGAAAGGTCGCTATCGGCAGTTGTAAAATCGCCTGACGTCTCCAAACTGTCGCGTGATATCTTGCCAAATGGGTGAGGTAACCCAAGTATGGCGTCCGTTTCCCGGTCTTGCATTCGCCTACGTTTTCTTTTGACGTAAGCTAGTACGAAAGCTACAACCAGCATGGCAAATACCGCAATGGCTACGATAGTGACAGGTAGTGCACTCTCGTCGCTGTCAATTTGAGTAGCTGTAACACTGTCATCAGTTCCTGACAATGAGGTTGGTAGTGCAATATGAGCTTTCGTCCTTGTCGGTCCAACGTCAGGTTCATGCTTTTCTTGGCTGAACAAGCCAAAGGTTGAAAGCGCAACGCTTTCAGCCTTTAGCACTTGATCATTTATCCAAGCCGCCAATTGCTTTGTGTGAGCAGAAGTTTCCACTACTAGGTTCAATTGATCATTGCCTCGTAGGTCTATGCTTGATACAGTGCTTGGTAGAGCGTAAAGAGACGTTGGGACATTCTTGAAATGGTTGTGACGTAGGTCGCTATCTTAGTGGAAACAAGGATGGTAAGCTGGTGTTGTACAAGAGGAAATAGTGATGGCTATCTAGTCAAGTAGAACTTACATGAAAGAGAGCGCAGAGTCACCTATAACAAAGCCATCTTCAAACGTGATTGAAATGTTACTGAGGCCGCAATCAATAATTGATCTGGATGCAACAAGGACAATGTGAGAATGGTTTGATCTCGTGTGAGCAATGAAGTATAACGTAACGTACATTTGCTGAATGGAAGATGGAAGCAACAAATGAAGGTTGCTATCAGCTAGAGGAATTGATTCCAAATGTCTAGTACATAGGATCGATAGAACATGGATGGTCAATCTCGCGTAATAACATCCTATGGTTGTCTTTACTTACAATGTCTCGAGGGCGGAGAGGTTGGCAAAAGCCGTAGATGCAATACTTACGGGAATAGTTGGTTTGAAACCTGAAGCAGCCGACAAGGAGAAGCTGGTGATTGACGGTGACACAAGGGCATGAACGTTTGAGAAAGTTGAGGACAGGTTCATGTTGGACATGGACGCTGTCACGTATATGCCATCATCCACATAGTAGTCTTGCACTAGTGATGGATCGAACGAAGCTGACGAGACAGTGATTGTATCGTTAGTAATGCAGCTTACGACCCACTTTGTCGATGAGTGTGAACTGAGTGCAACGCTATTATTGCAAGCGAGCGTGTTTGATGAAGTCGGAGGTGCTGCACTGATAGTTCTGCTGTAAAATGCCAACAGGGTTGCAGACAACCGCACAAATTGGATCCGCATCGAGCGCACCAGCTGGAGTTAAAGGTAGCAAGCTTCTCTTGAATGAGTGTACGCGCTGAGCGTGGAAATGCCTTCTTGGAACAGCAAGTGAGAATGAAGCAGCAAAGAGACGAGCAGGAACGAGGAAGGAACTCAAATGAAACAGCTTGACGGTCCGTAATGAGCTTGTAAACCTCTCATCTGGATAGCGACCGCACTCGAGGGGTCAAGGATACCTGATTGAAACTTGACCAGATCTTCCGTTTCAGCGGCCAACTGACCTTCCAAACAGCTTTTGCAAGTCCTTGACTGATGCCTGCAGGCAATGCCTTGCTCAAATTCGTTTGCGTCGTACAGCATGAAATACCTGGGCACGAACTACGAGTAGAAACCTAAGCAGTAAGCGCTTTATTAGACGCGCAAAGCACGGGTGCTAAAAAACGATATTACATGAAGTAATTGCCAAAACGTTCACGCACTTCTTGAACCATCAGGTCGAAACCGATCTGGTCCGTCGTGTCGTTTCGTGCACAATGTTTGCCCGCCTTTTCATCAGAATACTGACTTCTTGCTGGACGTAGCTGGCTGAGGCATTCGGCTCACTCCTGTCACACGCACCTCATAGCAGTGTATTATAAGTGGTTGATAGCAAACTCACACGAGTGTATTGAGCTTGAGTAATTTGTGTTCGTAGCTTGAAAAAATAGTCCTTTACATATGTCTCGCCTCTTGCTGGCTTGCAGTTCAGCTGCAGCCTAGTAATTCTCTGGATATTATCGAGACCATTTGCCCGGACCTTGATGCTGATTTACACCACACCTTGGCGGAACATAGCAGAAGCCACACTCATGAAAGCCGTAATGTTGGCGCCCGTGTGGAGATCGCCGCTGGCGTTAAATTCCTCTGCGGAAGCTGCCACGCGGTCGTGCAGCTTGTACATGTATTCTTTACAGACAGAAACGTTCACATGCACGGTTAGAGCTTCTCAAACGTTTACGTGCTGACAAAGTCGTACCTTTAACGATCTTGTCCAGCTCGTGGTCGGATAGTTGCGTAGACGCTCCGAGGTTTTTCGTGATAAGTGCAAAGGAAGCACCATTGGAAGCCTTGTTGGGACCGAAAGCCAGACCGTGCTGCTTAATAAGACGGACGGCTTCGTCGGTGCAGGGGAAGTTAGCACCTTCAAAAATTCCCTTGCATCCGTTCTTCACAAGCAAACGGACTGTATCGGCGTCCACATCGTTCTGGATTGCGCACGGAAAGGCGTAGTCACATGGCGTTTCCCACAGACGACCTTCCTCACTCGGGTGATAGTTGGCCGTGGTGGATGACATAATGTAAGCGCCGAGACGCGCATTGCGCTCCTCCTTGATACGCATGAGCTCTGCGAGACTCTTCTTCGTCAATCCCTGCTCCTCAATCACGTAGCCAAAGTTGTCGCTCATTCCGATAGGAATAGCACCCAGGTCTAGCAGTTTATGTGCCACGTTAAGAGCCACAGTCCCACTGCCCGAGATAAGGCAGCGCTTTCCCTTGAAGGACTCTCCACGCAGCTCGAGAATACGGTTAGCAAAATGCGCCACACCATATCCAGTTACCTGTGGGTAATGATAAGCACCTCCACTCAGAATACCTTCAGTACCTCCAGGGTGGAGCTGACGCAAACGTTTGTACTGCCCAAACATGTACCCAATCTCCTGTGGTCCGACGCCAACACCAGACGTCGGTACATCAGTGTGTGGACCAATGTAGTTGGCCAATTCTGTCATGTATGACTGGCAAAAGCGCATAATCTCCGACTCGCTCTTATCCATCGGGTTAAAGTCCGATCCACCGTGCGCACCTCCATATGGACCAGCCAGTGCATTGCGAAAAATGGTCTCAAAGCCCAAAAACTTGGCAATACCGTGAGTAGTTTCCGGATGGAAGCGTAATCCACCCATATACGGACCTAAAGCACTAGAGAACTGCACACGAAAGCCGCGATTCACACGACTACTGCCCTCATCGTCAATCCATGGCACACGGAATTGAATTACACGTTCTGGCTCCATGAGCGTTTTCATAACCCACGCGTACTTGGGATAACGATCAAAGACAGGTACAACGGAATTGACAAAGTTTTGCACGGCTTGCACGTACTCTTCCTGTAAGAAGCGGTTGGTAGAAATTAATAGCTTGTTAGAAAGAAAAGATAAATACCAACATTTTAAGATATGGGGGAGTTTCATACCTGATTGGGATCACGACGAATTACCTCATCCATTAGCATGTCGGCAGCCTCTTGACCATTGCGGAATCGTTTGTCACCTCCGCGACGAAACAGCGGCTTGTTTTTCCAGTGCTTTTTACCGTGGGTTGTACCGTGTACGTCCGACATGAGTGATGATCCAGCACGTGTATACAAGGGCGTCACATGGAGTTGAGAGCGGCGGACGAGGGATGCCAGCATGATGAAGGATTACAATGTTGATTGGACGTTAATACGTGACTGAATGGCACGGAAGACTCATGGGTTTTAGGAAGGTAGATTGTGCTACTAAATACTAATTGATACAGGTTATTAGAATATGTAAGATATACTGATCAAGTTGCTATGTTATATTTTGTGGTACACATAGCGATATAAGAGGGTATATATTATAAAAGCTGGTTTGTCCTGCAAATGGTGCGCAATGTTTGCTGTCTTTGATGTTTGATATTAAGATAAAAAGATCTAGCGCCATCAAGTTTATTGGATCATCGTGAAGCAGCTCAAATGATGATCATTTTTCATACTCAAATACTACTTAACTGACTTGAATACAGTATTTACCTTCGTAGCGTGTAACTTTACTCAGCGTTTCGCTTTCCTTGTAAACTCACCTCGAAACTCGATTTCATCATTCCTTCATGCATTTCGCTTGTAAATTCATCCATTCGCATCAAAGGAACAATAGGATATATTAACAAAGCTCTACAAAATGAATAAGCTTATTAAACACGGAACAAAAACGCAAAAAAGGACATTTGTCATCTGTGCATGGAACACCATAGAGTGCCTCAAATAAAGATGTTACACCATATAGAAAATGGCCAGCACTCACCTCCACTCGTGGCAATACACAAGTATCCGTGCGTTTTGTGAAACGACCTTGGAAGCACACGCCGGTTTGTCATAACCACTCCACACGGTAAGAGGTTTTGCAGCTTTGCTTGTGAAGCTAACAGTGCTGCTATGAATTTTGAACGCGTATGTCTTCGTATAGCGCTTGTATTCTACACAAGGAATACAAACCAATTACCAACAACAAGAAAATGTTTTTCAAGAATTTGCATTTTGATCGTTACCAAAGATAAGCTCTAAATGCTTTTTTAACATGTACGGGCAGGCTACGTACTACCTTTACTTCGTCATTGACTCTATTCGCGAAAGCACGTTACGCAGCACTGCGTTTCTTGCAGGTTTGTAGCTCCAAGCACTTACAGGAAGTAGGTGACAACAACGGCAGTGACAGCAGCAACGCTGCTAACAGCCACGGAGGCGGCACCAGATGATCCAGACATGTCAGAACCGGAGCCCACACCAAGCGATTCAGACATGTCAGAACCGGAGCCCATATCAGACGATTCAGACGTAATCGTAGTCGGAGCTGAGTTGAGGGTAGCAGAGTCGGGGGCGTTAGCAGAGTCGAGGGTTGCAGTGACGGTGGAGGGAGCAGAGTTGGAGGAAGCAGAGTCGACGGCAGCAGAGTCGACGGCTAAAGCAGAGTCGGAGGCGTTAGCAGAGTCGAGGGCGTTAGCAGAGTCGGTGGCTAAAGCAGAGTCGAGGGCGTTAGCAGAGTCGAGGGTGTTAGCAGAGTCGAGGGCGTTAGCAGAGTCGAGGGTGTTAGCAGAGCCAGTGGAAGTCGTGGTCGTTGCAGTACTCATTTCACCAGTTGAGCCAGCTTCCTGTCCGGCAGTGACAGCGATGACAAGAGCAGCAGCAGCGAGGAAACCGAAGACTTTCATGATACTTGGAGTAGAGATAGAGTGTAGAGTAGTAAGCTGCTTGGCAGTTGCTGGTAAATGTGAGAATGAAAAGATGCTTGTCGTACGCTTCGATGCTTCTTTTCCAACCATAACCCTACGTCACCCCTTTATGCTTTTTCTCTTGCATTACGACCGACAGCAAACAGATGGAAACAGGAAAGGCAGGGACAACCGAATGTTGTTTGCTATCGTATAATGTTGTAGTATTGAAAAATTGCTATGAGAAATTTATATCAAACAATCCAATAGTATAATCAAGTGAGCAAGCGTAAGACCTTGAGCTCGTCTAGCTTGAACGTAGTATTGTCTCTTTTCTACTTCATTACCAATGCGCTCTCTATCACCTGACCTCGCAATGAATGTGTGGATATCATTATAGAGGCTGGCAGCTTTCAACGGTACATTCCCACACACTCAAGTCTATGCTGATAAATAAAATAGCTACGCATTTAAACATAGGGACAGTGAAAAGTACTAATAATACTTGGGTCTTCGCTTCTTGTCACCACCACAGCTGGACAATGGAAACCAACACTCTACCAATCACAAGATAGGCTTAGCTTCAGCGCGGCATAATTCCCACCGGCTGTTGGCTAGCAACTCCATGCTTTTGCAAGAACCTCATATAAGATCGTGTCGACCGACGACAGACGATACTTGTCGCTTAACTCGCTAATTTTTCCTTGGACTCAAAGCCTATACAAAACAAAGTCGATCAGACTAATGGTAGTGGCGCATCTGGTACATTTTGAATCAAGTAGATTTGTGGAGAAAATCTTATCTTCTACCTAGAGTTCAATGAAAATATATAGACACACACATCTGTTGCACATTATAAGCGCTTTCTTGCAAAAACAGCATGTCCAAAAAATAGGCAATTGCTTCGTACAGCTTCTCTTTTGTTTTATTATTGGAGAAAAATGCATTGTTATTGGTCAAATATGAAACAAGTGATAGAAATTTTCAAAAAAGTTTGTTGAGAGATTAGGTGCGGGCAATGAGCCAGACCTAACAAATGTCGCTATTTTTTAAGCTGAAAAAAAACTGATAGAAAAATCCATCGCACCCAACGTATTTCGTGTCTTGTCGTAAAAGTGCGTGCGTGCGATATCTTCCTCATCATAGCATCGTGACAAGTCCGAGCAATCCCGCAAAGGTCCAGGCAGTAGTGGTAGCAATCGGTATTGGAGCGCTTGAGGTTTCCGATGGGATCTTCATTGAGTTTGATTGGGATGAGTCTGTAACTTTTTTGTGCTTTTTCATTACGGGAGACTCGACATCATCCGTATCGGCAAAGCTACCACTGTGACTATCGGTCATTGGAGCAGGGTTGGCTGCCCATACTGGACCTGGGGCTTCCGTTGCTGGAGCAACATTGGAAGGAGGGGCTAAAGTAGCAGGATCAATTCCATTTGCTGCAGCAGTCATTCCTGGAGCTGTAGTTACTGGAAAGTCACTAGGAGGGGCAGTAGTATCAGCAGCAGTAGTGTCTGTCATGACGCTACCTGCTTGTCCTCCAGTATTGGTGTCTTGAGCACCAGCGACAATTATCGCACACACCACCACCAAAGCAGCAAATACACTAGATTTCATTCGAATCGAAGCTGGTAGTAAAGAGTAGCAGGTAAATGGAGATATGTGATTTGTTTAGTGCCAGGAGAATGTGATCTAGACTGGTTAGAGGTATATGACGCGACTTGGACTCGATTGAAAGGTGTCGAGTGATGGTAGAAGAAGCTGACTACGGATTGCTACGTCCCATGTATATTCGATCAGTCTCTCAAACACCTTGATTGATTTTGGTTCTGTTGATCTCATAAGAGATCGTCTCGCTTTCTCGAGACGTTTCGATGGAAAAGATCAAGCCGTTTGAGAGAACATCAACGCTATGATTGCAATGCAGATATTTATGTCGAGAGCTATTACATTACAAGTATGATTTGGAGCTGAATAGCGACGACACTACTGCATTAATTCTTGGATTGCGATAGTGCCGATATATCTTGAAATATGGATACTGTAGAAGACATGTTGCAAGTGTTTCTAGCATCATTTCATTTGTATAATGTTTGTGTCAATAATGGTAGGATGTAGATAAGCAATGAACAATCACGTCGTTTGCAATAGTGAGTAGCGCGAGTACAGCATGATGGAAGAATGCAGTAGCTGTAGCGTCATACATAAACATTGAGACCTCATTGCTATGATCGAAAGATTATGTTCTACACGAAGCCTCATACATTTTTTTTTCGCTGCTCGATATTGCCATCGTACTTGGTTGCCATCTACACTTGCAGGGCCAGGCCATTGTAAACATGAAACAACCGTCATGTGATAAAATTAACTTGCTCATTGCTACGTTTGAACGTCTCTAATTTATCGAAACAGTCGAGTAGAAAGCTCAAGCTCACGTGATAGTCGGCGCTCACGCAATTGGATCGTATATAATTGGTGTGTCTGTTGGTACATAAATGTAGCTACGGGTATAGCAAGGGACTACCAAACCATGCTAAGTCTCTTGATTACATTCACAAATCCAGATTCTGTGCCAGATACAAGAACAATTAGAAAACGAAACGATAGTCTTTTTACGAGGCGTTCTTCATCCGATCTTTGTAGACACAAAGTTTAATACATCTGAACGTATTAGAGATCCATCGAAACTCGGTGGAAACAACAATTACTTACCAAGTAACGTAGGAAAGCTTCTCCAACAGCAAGCATTTAGTTTTTTTTAAATAACGTAAAAGTCCGAATCGAGTCATTTTCACATTACTTTATGCACCCAAATGTTTGGTGTCTACAAGCACAACCGAAAATGTCGTTTGTTTTCAGATAGTCTAAAGCCATGGGTCCTCCTTTTTCGGTAGTCTCTCGTTGGCTTTGATGCTAATAACTCGTTTGCCAAAGATACTGAAGTGGTAGCCAGGTTCAAACCTGTCCATGGGGTTCGTACGAACAAAAAATAAGATGACGGAACCCGTTACGATGATAATGAAAATGTCCGTCACTGTCGAGATATAAGCCTCGCTAACGGAGACACCAACTGCGATTTTGCTGTTGTATGCATTGTGAAAAGTAATACCACCAACAACACCTCCAATGGACCATGCAGTGAGAATTAATCCGTGCATTGCACCGATGTTAAAGGCGCCAAACATGTCCGTGAGGAAAGCTGGGATGGTACCAAATCCCCCACCATAGCTTGCCGTGAGAATAAAAATTTCCGCCACAAAAGCCGTGTATTGACGGTTGCGAATCAACATTGGGGTTGTCCCTACGATGACAATCTGCAAGAGCAGGGTCGTATAGAATACGCACTTGCGTGCAAACGAGTGCTCGATATTGAAATAACGAGCAGCGACGTCGGATGCTAGGGAGAAGAAAAGCCGACCAAAGCAGTTGAACACGCCGTTGATTGATACGATGTTAGCTGCATGGTCACCTGTTTGACCGAAAATGTCAGTGCACATGCTGGAAAGCTCGGATAGGACGACCAACCCGTAGATCTGATTGGCAAAGAACATGAGGTACATACACAGGAAGTCCAATGTCTTGATAGCGTCGATCAACGACAATTTGCTCACCTGGGCATTTGTACTGATGATAAAATCAATATCATTCTCAGATCCAGCAGATTCGTAACGATCCTTTAGTACCACAATGTCTGTCGTTGTTCTAGAGTCGTCGACAACTTCGCCATGAATGTTCAGTCCGCCAACAGTAAAGTCAAGGTGAGGCGTTCGCAGGACGATGGCGCACAAGTACATTGTGCCAGCCATTGCAGATCCAACAACCACAAACGTCGATGAAACGCCGACCGTTTTAATGCACGGTCGATAGACTTTTGCCCATACTACAGCTCCGGCGCCATATCCTGCAACAGCAAATCCTGCCGCAGTGCCACGGTAATCCGGAAACCACTTCTGCAACGCTGATATGGGAGCGATGTAGCAAAGTCCCATGCCAAAGCCACAGAACAGACCATACCCGACGTAAACTGCAGCAATCTCCTTGTACGCAACACCGATAGCCACAATCACGTGACCCAATAGGAATGCCGACGTACCGAGCACCACACCGTAGCGTGGGCCGTGGCGTTCGATCCAAGGACCCATAATAGCCGTCGTCGTACCGAAAGTGCCTACTGCAAAGTAGAAAGCGTTCACAGCATTGCTAGCCTTTATGTCATTGTAGACATAATTATCGATGGGCTTGTTGAACACTGACCAAGAGTAGAGTGATCCGATGCAGAACTGGACCAGAAAACTTGCGAGAAAGAGATACCATCGCGAAAATCGAAGACAGTGAGACGAATAGTACCGGTCCTTACCCAGGTAAAAGGTAAAAAGCCATTCTTCTGCGTCGTACTGCTCTGGCGAGCAAAGCTTTCTTGGCGTTGTCCAATGGTTTGCAATTCTTTCTCGGATGGTTTGCATGCACGATTTCTTCATCTCCTTTGTCGTAGCCATTGTTTTATCAACGAAGACAAACGGCTTCGGGACCAAAAGAGTTTCAAGACTTGTGCTTTAAGTGACAAGGACCTTAGCTAGTAGCTAGCCGAAAGAAAAATGCAACAGCTCTTTGGTGCCTTGCACTCAACTAGCTCATCACAGCCAGTGTGAAAGAATCAACTGTCGCGTAGTTGCAGATGGCAAAGCTCCATATAAACGAAAATGCAGAGAGAGTCATAGAAAAAATGACAACCTGACCAGACCTACGGCGCGTCTTATTCAGACTATAGTGGGTCTATCTACTGCAAAGTACAGTTTGTGATGGAGGCTGCAACAAGATTGGATAGTAGAGCTATCAAGATGATAAGGAGCCATCTTTAACGTCACTAATGGATACTGTGTCGTTTATTTCTCGACTGGAAGCAGCTGGACGCTCGTCGTAAGTCGTTTGTTGGTTTAACTGGGAGTCACATGTAAAGCTACATGGCTTTCAATCTACAACTCAAGGTGTCGTTTGTCAGTGGTTCACGTTTTGCCATCAAGTATTACTAATGCCACAACTTCGGCTTGATCGAAACTATGAAACACATGAATTGATCCTCATCATTACAAAGTCAAAGAGTTCGACCACTAGACTGAATCAAGCAGCGGCTCCTCCTTCGTTAAACTCGGCTTGCCCTTAACGTTAACAATGCGTCTGCCAAAGAGGCTAAGGTGGTAGCCCGGAGCAAAACGATCGGCGGCATTGGTACGCACGAAAAAGAGAACCACGAAGCCAACGATTACAATGATCAAAATACGGTGAACTGTGTAGATGTACGCTTCATCGATCTCCCAACCATCCGTGATATGGTCACTGTACGTGTGATTAAATGTGATGCCTCCTACAACACCACCGATTGACCACGCCGTCAGGATAAATCCATGCATTGCACCGATATTGAAGGCGCCAAACATGTTGGTCAAAAAAGCCGGAATCGTTCCAAAACCACCGCCGTAACTAGCTGTTAGGATGAACACTTCCGCGACAAACGCAGAATAGTTGTTGTTGCGCATAAAAATCGAGATCGTACTGAGGATAATTGCCTGCGATGCCAACGTGTAGAAATACAAGCATTTACAAGCGAAAGCATGTTCCATGTTGAATTTCCGCACGACAAAGTCGGACAGGAGTGGGAACACTAAGCGGCCGCAGCAGTTGAACACACCGTTGATGGACACAATATTCGAAGCTTGACTGGCAGACTTGTTAAAGATATCCGTACACATACTGGAAAGCTTGGACAATACGATGAGACCGTAGAGTTGATTCCCAAAGAACATAATGTACATGCATACAAAGTCCGGCGTCTTAATGGCATCAATTAATGTGAGCTTTCGAACCAACGTGTTCGTAGCTATCATTGGCTCGACACTCTCTTGACTATCTTGTCCGGTTGGTGTCGTGATAAACTTGTACTCGTTAGACGACCGAATACTGACCTTCTCATCATGTTGAATGAGTTTATCAGCTTGATCGATGACTTCTCCGTGCATATTAAGTCCGCTTACCTGAAAATCGAGGTGCGGTGAGCGCAGAACGATAGCCGACATATACATTGCAAAAGCCATCACCGAACCAATGAGGATAAATGTAGATGACAATCCAATAGCATCAATGCATGGAAGATAGATTTTGGCCCATACGACCGCCCCGGCACCATATCCACCGACTGCAAAGCCTGCAGCAGTACCACGGTAGTCAGGAAACCATTTCTGCAACGTCGATACGGGAGAAATATAGCAGAGTCCCATGCCAAAACCACAGAAAACACCATACCCAATGTAAATAGCTGTGATTGCCTTGTAGTGCACGCCAATCGCAATGATGATATTACCAATGAGGAAAGACGAAGTACCAATGAATACTCCTGCACGAGGTCCATGACGTTCGATCCATGGACCCATTATTGCTGTGGTCATTCCAAAAACGCCAACCGCAATGTAAAAGGCGTTAACTGCACGACCAGCTTTTTCATTGTTGTAAACATGCAAGTCAATGGGCTTATTGAATACGGACCATGCGTAAAGCGAACCAATACAGAATTGCACAAGAAAGCTTGCAAAAAAGAGATACCATCGAGTAAAACGTAGCAATGGCAACGTAAAGTACTTGTTCTTGCCAAGGTAGCATGTAATCAGCCATTGTTCAGCTGCATCTTGTTCGGCTGTCCGGTGTTTAAGCGGTACTGTCCAATGACCAACAATCATGTCTCTTGTACCTTTCAGACATGTTTTGTTCTGTTTCGAGTCAATGGTAACCGGATTTTCAATCTCCATACCAAGAGAGATGAAGAAAGCAAATAGTTGCAAGAAGAGTAGGAGTTTACACTTTGAAAAGTGAGTTACGAGATTGTTGTCAAGAAGACGCCTCGACTAGCTACCGGTAGGACCTTCACTCAGTAGTACCGCAATCATTCCTGTGATTATGGGACAATGTTTACGCCACACGTGGGTACAAGATTGTGGGTACATGATGGGGGCACTCGCTGATTAACTGAAGTAACTCAGTATCCAGTAAAGACCCAGTAGAGTGTATCCAGTAGGTAGGACAAGAGGCTTAGAGGTAGCAAGTAGCTTGTGAACTAAGGACCTAAATAAATCACTTTGCATTTTGCACCAAACTACAAAGTGACCTTTTCTTTAGAGATTACAGTCATAAAACTCAAGCTTCTAGCATAAAAGCCGTTGAATTTGATTATGAGGAGGCTAGTAGTAAATAACGTCATGTCGTTTTGCAAAGAGCTACAAGAGATTTAATTCCTGAACTTCAATGTGACAAACAAAAAGCGATATAACCGCCGAAAGTGGTATAAATGCTTGATACATTTGTACCCTGTCAAAGTTGTACCCACTCACCTTCACATGTCACAATTGTATCTGTATCCTTCTTGACAGCTTTGCCGTCCATAAACTCACCTTCACATGTCACAATTGTATCTGTATCCTTCTTGACAGCTTTGCCGTCCATACTCCTACTTGTTTCAACTCTATGGCAACAACATACGAACATTTCATGCTATCCACGTAACGTTTCCATGTGATAACAAAGCGTTTCTTGCCATTGTGAGGCCACAAAATCTTGCTTTGCTATCGCACACATTTGATTCAATGCAAATGCAATGCAATGCACAAGTGAGATGGATGATTCAGAAATAAGAATTATCATGCACATCTTAGTAGAATGCAATGCAATGCACAAGTGAGATGGATGATTCAGAAATAAGAATTATCATGCACACCTTAGTAGAATGCAATGCAATAAACGACCAGCATATGTCGATGCATTATTGTGTTAATACTAGTAGACACAAGTTGTTGTCTGCTTAAAGGGATCTGTGGTCCAGTTAATGCTTGCTTAGCAACTCTTTTTTGCAGCGATACAATTACATGCTACCACGATCGAGCTTGACATGTATACATACATACATCAGCATCTCTCTCTTTGGTTTTCAATAGCCTACAAAAGCTCGAAGAGATACTTCTTTTTGGCACAAAATAAGTAGTAGGCGTTCACATGAATATCGAAAACAGCTTGGCAGCGATGTTCAAGATTCTTCGCCATCACACACGTCGTAGCATGTTTTCCTCACTTGTTGCTATGTCGTCACCTGAGCCTGCGTCAAACATGGATTTACGACACGTTGGGCATGTCGAATTTACCAACAACCATTCGTCGACGCATTCTTTGTGAAAATGATGCGCGCACGGTAGCACGCGAAGGGACTGTGAAGCTTCGTAAGCATTCAAGCAGATACAGCAGCATGCATCTTCAAACGGGAACATATTGTTCGTGTACGTCTTGGTCTCTAACTGATCAATAAGCTACATCATAGCAAGAAAAAAAACTAACCATCAACATTTGCTTCAAATGAACAAAAAGAGAACAACATGATGGAATCCAACCTCTCTCGTCGCTCCTTTTCCTCTCATTGGATCCTGCAATCTGCTGAGTAGACGAATCACACAAGGTAGACAGAAGCACAGTATCGGCAGGAGTGAAAGGAGCAGCAAACAGGGAAGAAAGATTTTGGCATATGAGATGATAATCATCCATAATGCCAATTGATACATCGCCGATCCATCATCACAACGTGCACCATCACTAATGACCCACATATTACCCACTAGAAACCAAAAAAGACCTGCTAGATCAAGTCCATATTTCAATTGACTCAATGGAGTCATATACTGTTCTCGAAGACGAATTGCACTATTACTACGTGCACGATTTAAATAATAAAGTGTCCATTCCAGTACTAGTGTCAGTATCAAGTAAATTGTATGAGATAAAACCCAAACTTGAATTCGAAAGCATAAAGTCTCATGCTGCCAATATAACGTTAGAATAACGAGCGCTGCTAGAATTTGTGGAAAATTAACCAATGAGATTGCCCACATAATCAGACACGAATTCCGGGCTTCACGAGCTTCTTGAACACTGCTATTTAGTACATTTAGACGTACAGCATGTGCTTCATCAGGGACAGCAACAACACCAGCACTTGCAAGTAAACGTGATTGAGATGGAGATGGAAGGGGTGCAGTATGATTACTCGTAACGTGATTGGAATCCGAGGACCGGAGTGCGATAGTTTCATCGTGATTGAGCATTTAAACGATGAGCTTCCAAAGTCTTTGGAAATTTATTATTTAAGGACGTTTATGGTTTGGTAAGGATTTATAACCAATCAAAACAAGGAGAGAAGTGTATGGTAAATGACGAACGCATGGAATGTTCCCAGAGAACATCTGTAAGATCAGGAATATTCATGTTTTCGTGTCATATTTACAATAGATTATGACTTTAGTCATCGCAATTATCAGTACAACGTAGTAAAGCAGCCAGATTCAAGACTCTATTGTCATACAATATCACACAAAACAACATACAAGACGACTACAATCGAACGGGGCTTGACCATTCTTCAGCACGAACTTTCATCTCCATCAATTGTGTATCTCGCTTGCTTCGTTACACGAGGAAAAGCAGCAACGAGTCGACTAAGGAAGAGCCCACGGAATTGCCCACAACGCGTCGACGCTTCTTAAACAACAATTCCGTAGGACTCTGAATAGCACCGAGAGCCTTGCGCACATCTTCAAACGATATATGCTGGAGATCCTTCTCGCCGATAGCTATGAGCAAATCATCTGCCATCGCGGTCTCCAAACCGGGCGCAGACTTTGGGTCCGTCACGTTTCGAATTGCCACAGTATAACCGTTCACGCGATGACTCTTGTCATTGCTTTTTGTGAGATTCTTGTCGTCCTGGGTGCAGTCTCGGAGCTGCAAACCCACTGCACCGCCACTGTAAACGACCGTATACAAACTCTTGTCGACTCCGTTCGATCCAAAGTAAGGCCTGCCATCGTTCGAAGTGGTAGAACCAGTGTTGGGTCTGCTGTGGCCTGGTGGAGGCAAACTCGGTACCGGTTTGTCAATGCGAAAGCTCTTTCGCATCGAAATAGGGATGTGCTTCCGTAGAGGACGCAGACCGGATCTTAAACGAGACCTGGGAACCAACTGCTGTGGTCTCTTCAAGAATGGGGGGTTAAAGATGTCTATTGCTTCACTACCTTGGTTGTTGGAAGAGGAATCTGTGTTTGGACAATCCAGTGGCTTTAATGGGTATATCACATGATTCTCTTCTGATCCGGACAAGTCTGACGGTGTATCCTCCACAAGTCTTACAAAAGTAAGACGACAAGGTCGAGGAAACTGACGCAGCGTCTGGATAATCTCCTCAAAGCACATTTCATCAAGACGTGTGACTTCTTTATCATCGACCGCTCGGGAAATAGCGATCAAAACGTCACCGAGCATTGGCTTAAGGTCCTGAAACGCTTGTGCAATCTTGTTTGAGTCAATCGTTGTAATTGCAGCATGCAAAGAGCACGGATCCATGGCCAATGACACACCTAGAGACGTATGAGCCTCCCATGTGAAGACGTAACTGCATATCATGTCGGACTCGTCGACTCGTGGAGGAATCTCCTTTTCCCGAGATTCAAAACGTAGACGAATTGGCAGCTTAGCACAACGCAAAATGGTCACTAATTGGTCAAAAGCTACAACTGGTTGAATACGTTCGAACTCATGAGTACATTGTAGATCGTAGGCCACAAGCACGTCGCCAACGGCCAAACGGGACGCAAGCACAGCAGAGCAGGCGTTGGATGGTACTTGACATACAACGGGCAAGTCATTTTCATTAGGTGTAAAGCGTACACCAAGTGCATCTTGGTGCCAAATAACGTCAAATAAGTTTGTAGCCATTATCATTAAAGGGTCTCTTTATGTTAGTTTTCTTTATACTAATGCAGTGAATCGTTTGGATTAAATCCCATCTCTCTATTGATTAAATTATCCAGCTGTTGCATTTAAATATCCAGCTGTGCATTTAAATCGACGAATAAAGCAACTGTCTCACAGAGCTGAACTGTCCAATAGACTTGAAGAATTGAGACCTTACTGAACATATTGAGCAATTTCAAAAAGGGCAAAAAGCGATTCATACACTTTAATTTGCTAGGAAAAAATACAATTTAGTAGTAAAGCTAACATACCCTAATTTTCGCATTAACAACGTATGCAAAAACTTACAGTAGTGCTATTAGGTACATTATATCAGCTCAACAACTAGTTATTCAATCGAAAAATGTCAAAATTTATGCTGATAGCACGATCACAATACGATGGTGAATATCAAGATCGTCACCACAATCTTCGTGCAGTGGCACAAACTTAAATGTCTGCACAAAAGGTACGTGACTTTATTGATAGTAACACAAGCCACAAGCTGACAAGAATATCAATTGACGTCATAAAGTATGAGAATTAGCTTAGACAAAAGCTGGTGATAAAGCGGGCAAATATTGTTTCTTGGCTACAGGGTTATGGGGTATCATCAATATAGGATGAGTATATAAAGACTTGTAGGTCTTCTACATGCTCATTTTTAACCACATGTCAGCACTCTGATACTGAAAGCGAATATTTCGATGAAGTTTAAATATTGCAAACAATTTGCGTAAATTTGCGCGAATCAAAAGGCTTTCATATTATTCTATATGGACCATGTTCAGTAGCCACTTGTCGTGACTATCGTATGTCTGCGTGTAACCCATTCCAAGGCTAAGCGCCTATTGATAGACATCTGTCGAGTCGCGTTTATTTGTTTACCTGCAGGTAAAATGCTTTTGTCACAATCAAATGGCTCAGCCATTTACTTGTTGACATATTTTTGTATGATCGTACTGTGTACATTCTAGTTATTAATGGATCGTTTTTTATGTGACGGCAGCTTGCAGCAAAGATTTGTCACGATGACAAGAGGTTAAGAAACTGGGCTTTAACGATAAGAAGCATCGTCAGATCGTGGTAAAAAGAGATGAATCGTAAGTAGAAGAAGAAGAAGTAGGTGACAAAGTACGCGACTTGATCGAAGCTGAATAGATTTGCCGATATCCATAGCCGAGTTATAGGTGTAAACAGCCGTCACTTTTCGATAGTCGAATGCATCAGATCCATTGCTCTTCTGTGCTGTCTCTTAACAACTCTGGACGAGGTTAAGATTGGTAATAAAGATAATGCACTGTATAAGAAGAACAAATCTTGATGATTGTTTGACTATGTATTTTCTTGACTCATGGAAACTGCAAATCGTTGTTACAAGTGTACATAACATTAGGTGACGCTAGATACTTTTTCACTTTGAATTACACTTTGCCTCAATGTGTCTAATGTTGAATTAAAAAGGATAAAAAGTTGGTTTAAAACCCATGGCAAAGTTCTTATTTTGTCTATCATTTCTACTCATGATAAAAATAACACTAAAAAGGGTCGTGTAGTCATTATCAATCATAACACGATGGAATTTGTTTGCTTCTTATTCTAGATCAAACTTTCAGCACAATACTACAACATGATTGGTCAAATATTCACTAAAATCAATTTGATCAAAGTAGAAAGGCTCAAGAAATTCAAAGCATCTTGAGACTATTTGGATCGAATAATGACACCGTCTGATTCTGAGTCAAACACTCATGGATCTACACGTAGTCGAAAAATCACACCACGGTCTCGATATAAGAAGAATGATACAATACTAATGGATTCTAAGAAAGCATCAATCAGTCGACGTCGAACAAGTCGTCGAACTTGTCATCAACTCCATGAAAAGATCAGTGTGAATCAGAAAAAGGATCCGAATCAGAACAACAAGACGCAAGCAGATGATCATCAAGAAACTTTATTAGTAGTATCAGATATTTCTGATCCCGATAATAATAAAAAAGAAGAAGAGAAACAGGAAGAGAAGAGTGAAAACAAGATGGAAGGATCAGATATACAGTTACAAACGGAACTTGTACCTGCTCAAGATACTCAATTAAGACGAATGTATCTACAAAGGATGTACGTAGTGAGCTATAGATGGATACAGTATAGCTATAGTAACATTTATAGATAGGAAGTATCGATATAGATGATAACGATGTAGGTGTATATCTATCTAGATACTAACATTTGTATGTATGTGATGTAGATATCGACAATTGCAGAGTACCCATCCACATCAAGAGGACATAATGATACGACAAGTGGCTACAAATATTGAGATGAAAATATGTCAAAAATCAGTCAGACGGGTATAGGAATGAGTTGATGTGGTGATTGTTTTCATTCACGATCTGTTGTGATGATGAGTAGTAGGATGAGTAGTGATTGTTGTTATTTATTTGTTGTTGTTTGTTGTCATGTGTGATGGGGATGTAGAGTGAATACATTGCTGCCATGGATCAAGAAATACATCAATTGATGCAGATTGAATTGGCACAAGCCAATGCATCAATTTATACCAACGACGGACAGAGTTTTGAAAATTTGCAGAACAGTAAGACTCAAGCGCAACAATTGGCAGTATCAAGTGAAATGTCAAGTACATACTTGCCTCATGAGATTTCACAGTCACGTAGTTTCGAGTATGCACAAGCACTAGCAAAGGCACAAGCTCAGGAGACAAACAGTGTGTCAGCAGCATTTACGACGCCACGTTATTCAGACATTGGTGACAACTCATTCCAGTCCCTGATGAAGAATCAGACGCAAGGATACGGACTTAATGGTGTACAACAACAGCAACATCAGACGACTCCAAACCGATCCATCAGTATGCAGAGTTTCCCGCAACGTGGAAACCAATTCTACTCGACCACTTCCAAGATGCCTTCAAATAGTCAAAACATTTTAATGCATGGCCATGTTGGAAACATATCAGGACAAGGCGTGACTCGGAACATGATGGAGGCACAACAAAAGCTGAACGGTTTCCAAATGCAATCTCAATATAAACAACAAGCCAGACCAACCCGCCCGCAACAACGTGTCTCGACATTCCAAGCATTTTCAGCTCAAATCCAGCATCTCGACAAGTCTGTGCTGATTGAATTATTGTGGAATCAACGGAGTGCGTTGGCCCAGTGGCAACGGCAAGCAAAACAACTTGAATATCAGCTATCTGCCCAACAGAGCAATGCAAACAGCATGGAAAATCCTGTTTTTCATCCCGTCTACAACTCACCGAAGGTGGGTGGAAGCAAACTTGTGTGTCCAAATGTCTCGGCGGAAGCCGAGATGCAGCGAGCTCGGGAACGCAACAACGCGCGGAATGTGATGTCGCAGTACTCGTACACGCAACATTCCAACGAAGGCAGTCCTGCGTGTTCTCAAGCGACTGACAATGAAGTGACCTGGGAAGAAAATGTGCAAGCGTATTGGGATAAAGTTCAATCTTTAAAGACGACGTACACTGACCACTTACACATTGCAAAACGTGCGTTGGAAAACAACAGTGCTCCTCCTAACACGCTATACAGTGTGAAGGCCCAGTCAGTGATGAATAATATTGGTTTGGTGCTCGATATCCTGGACGAACAACCTACAAACGTACAGCCACGAAAGCTCAACATACTAAACTCCATCGAACGATTTCTTCAGATAACAGTAGTTCCTATCGTACGCAAAGTCCAATCGTCCTTTACGACCTCAGCACCCCAAACACAAGTGACGTTGGCTTCTACTCCAGCAGCGACAGCGACAGTTGCTACAATCTCGTCAGAGATGTCATCCCCTCAGGGTGGTGATCCGGGCAGGACTGGGCAAAGAACGGAAGACTACTATGCTGCGAGTGAATGGTCTTCTAACACAATCTCCGACATGTCTCGGCAGTCATCACGTGAAACGTTTACTGATTCAGCCGAAGTGAAAAGTTCTTCTGGTCGAATGATTGACGATGGTACAGATACTCCATCAAAAATGATGGACGAGTTGTCCCCGCCAGTCCAAAACAGTCCGACAAACAGCGAGTATATGCCTTCTCAATATGCACCGGTAAAACCGAAAAGTAATGATGCTGTGACGATGCAAACCGAGGTTCCAGAAGGTCGGACGCCGGATGTGTTTGAAGCCAGTGTGACGCCGAAAGAGCCGTCTACTCCTACGTCTGAGTTCCATCTACCTACGGTCTCCGAAACGCGTCCTCCTTGTTCGCCAGGTGGTGTTATGAAGGATGGCAAGATGTTGCAGTCTAACGTTGATGTCTTAAACGATTTTGCTGACTTTTCCGAACTGGATTTTGACGAAGACAGCAACAGTTTTGCAAAAGAGAACAAGTCGTCGAATATCTCAATGAAGCGAGGACTCGAAGATATGTGATGCAACTTGCCAAAAAGAAACGCGGATACACTTTGCCTTGACATTTGAGATTCTATATGGCAATTGCGCAGACGTTTACAGCGCTGAAGTCAGTCGAGTACGAAACGAATGGAGACCGTGAAATGAGTATCTTATCTGGTACATGTTACGTGAATATTCTGTATCTGCATTTACTATTTCTTAAATACCTCGCATTCGCTTCTCTTGTGCTCCTAGTTTTTACCGTTCTTGCTTGTGTGCAGAGTAGTGCAGAGAAACCAAATCGCGCAATGTTCATATTGATACCTCATCGAGCAAAGCCCAAGGCGAGATTCACCTGATGTGCTTGACTGAGAATATATCGAGCACGATCACCAGCAGCAGCGGTACGTCCCTTTGGAAAAATAGTATCGGGCAGGTCATTCCAGGAACGGTACGAGATGTTCACTTCCATGCCAGGTTTCTTCTCGATGGCCGTGTTGAGTTCCGTCGCGAGAAAATATCGCGTCGCCGACGCTACACAACTCTTTGCAAGCTTCTCATTACTAGAACTAGTGGAGGAAGTCGGTTGTGCAAATTTAATGCAATTTCCACGCCGGCCTTGTCGTACCGATGGCGTATTGATTGTGTATCCAATAAAGTAGTAGCCGATCACCGATCCACTCTCGTGTGGCTCAAGACTCTGCGGACGCACGAGTTCCGGCAATGGATGGAGTGAAGCAATCGAAGGCGTATGATGCAACGTCTCCACTAATTTGCGAGTACGACTGGCAACAAAACTAGACCATTCAGCCAAGGATTCCTCGTCTGGTGATCGTAGCTCAATCGCAACGTGGTGATCGTATCGTAATAGCACTTCAGTCGGAACGAAAAGCTGGCTCCATGATGACGGATAGCCAAGATTGTGACGGCATAAGTCATTCAGAACGCGTTGCCCACGCGCAAACTCTTCCCGCATTACGCGTAGCGTCGACAAATTTACGTTCACAGCAGTGTTGACGGCAGGAAAGCCCGGAGTAATGATTGGCATAAGATGTGCTCGGTCATGAATGTTGTTTCGGGGGTCCCATTGAACATTGTCTGCACCAAAAAAGCTCGACGGGTGTGCTACGAGAATGGGTGTTGGCCAGCGCCACGACGCCATCACTGAGAAGAAACGATGTACGAGCACAGCCACACTGGCACGTGGAAACATTTGACACACAAAGCACACGAGTAAAGCCCATGAAATGCCACCTAGAAAGCCAGCCTTGTTCGAATACAAGCCACGAAGTTTGGCCCACTGTCGAATCACTCGCAGGCACGACCTAAACACGCTGTCATTCGGCACGAGCTCTAGAATGAGAGAAGCCACCCGAGCAACAGACAGCGATCGCACTGATGTCGTGTCCATACCACGCATCACCTCTATGTCATCTCCAGGCACGAACGGCAGGTGCTTGGGCACCACTTGCTTCTGGGCATACCGGGCAAACAATAAATCAATACGCACTGTGCTGAGCTGAAACGATAGCACGGGGACGGCAGCCTTCCGTCGTGCTACGAGCTTTGACACGGACGCTTCTCGACTAAGGTGTTCACACAACGAACTAAAGAAAACATCAGCTGTCACATCGTGTGGCATGAGTGCCACAACATCTAGATCTGACTCGGCCGTCCCAACTTGAAGATGCCAGCTACCTCCCAGTAACAAAGTAGCTGTAGTCGTCGATTGATTTCCGTGATCTACCACCCCATTCATCTTGTCAAGAGTGCGACGTAGCCAGAGATCCACAATCCGTTGCAATTCATGAATGACCAAGTGTTTGACTAACAACTCATTGGAGGTGGGCAATGGAGCAATTGAATTGACCAGTTTCATGAGACCGTTAGTACTCCGCATATCGTATTCGCTAGGTGGCAAGAATTCAGCAGGTACGACAATAGGCATCACTCGACGAAGTCGAAGTGTTGTGGTTTGTAATGTCTTCATATAATTCTCCTGGTCCTTCATCCTGCTATTCGTTGGTGATCCGTCTACTAGCGGTTGTTGATTCACTTGCGTCTTCTCGTCTTCATTCATTTTTTCCGTCCAATTGGCCTGATATACGTCCAATGCAAGCTGCAAAGATGCCTCTTTCTTAGAAACGGGCGAAGGACTTCTACTGCAGTTTGGGGTTCCAATCGTCGATACATCATCGTCATCCCAGATATCGTCATGGCTAGTGGAACAACTTGTACGTCCTTCCGAGCAAGTATCACTTTCATTCTTCAGCGCATCCGAGTCAACAGATGCAACATCGTTTACTGTAGACAAGGCTTGTTTCAGCTTTCGCATACGTTCTTCATCTTCCCAACACAAACCGTTCATCTCGTTTGGATTCAAACTTTCGATTCTCTCCTCTCTCGAGCCACCTTTCAAGTTCCAAGTCGTTCCAAGTCGTTTCAAACACACTGACAATGACAAAGTGATTTGAATGGAATTGACAATGTCCTGTTGCAGTCTCAGTGTTACAATGAAGAATAGCAAACTGTTGTTTGGAGGAGAAAAACGACGTGAAAAAATTGGGCTTTCGTCCGTCGTATGGTGATGCAAGCCGACGATTTCAAATAAACGGCTGCTCTGTAGAATGTGCACTCGAGTCAACAGGTGCAACAAACTGTTGTGTAAGGGTTGCAACAATAAACAACAAGAGAGGAATGTAAAATACAATGCTAGAGCTCAAGCTTTTTTGCTTTGGCACCGCTAGTTTACCAGCAGGCTCTTGAAGCTGATGAGGAGGACGATCAAGGAGATTGGAAAATGGATGAATCCAAACAACGCTCAAGTCATGGCTTTCAATCTAAGATGGAAGAGGTCGTAAAGACTCTATATTTCATAACGAATTACTGTTGCTCTCCATGCAAGCGACTTGCATGGAGACAAGTCACGAAGCTTGGTTTGGGATCTCACAATCCAGAAATCTGAAATAGGATGGGTTGGAAGTGGATTTGAAGTGATATGGACTTTGCTCCTCAGTCTCGAGTCGCTCGAAGGTTTTGACTCAAAGTGACCGACCAACAGAACTTGCATACTGAGTAGTGTGAATGCAGTTAGCCCCCACCTTGCAGGTATTTCTCCTGTCTGTGCTATACCTTCATATATGCAACAATGTAAAGCTCATGAAAAACCTACGACTTCAGTGTTCATGAGCTTTCTTTACATGACGAAAAAAACGCTGTTTGCCGTCCGTCTGTTCCTCAAGAGTCTTTATAAAGAACGTACGACGTCGTGGTAGTAACACTACAGCCTCATTCAGAAAGCAGAAGAGTCTGCATGGTTGTGGTTTTATGTGATCCATATGGCAGACAATGGTGATGGACTTGATAGTACACTTCCTTTTTGCGGCTACGGGTCGTCGCCGCAAGTGCAACCAAGGACATCATTTCAGCGATGCAACGAGTGACGAATGTTGGACTGTTTGTCGATTGATCTGGTGCATACGTAAGCAAATGCGATGCAGCAATCGACAGCATTGCGATATGCTTTGGATGTACTCACGAGCGCTTTTTCTTTCCAGCTTTTCAAATGGTGAGAGGATCAGTCTAGAATGTGGCCGTCGCCTATCGTTACAATGCTTGATTGTTGGTCGTCAATGTGGATGTGACGCAATCTCGACGACCATTTTCATGCTCTTTAACGAGGATTTGAGTCCGTTGAGCTTTTGTTTGAACAAGAATAACAATTTCATTGAGTGCTAGTGCAGCTGTAGTATCCTCGATATGCTTCCTTGAATCTAAAACTTGGTGGTCAAGCAGGGTCTACATTAGTTCAAACTTCATAGAAGTCGCACAGGTAAAGTACATTTGGCACATCCGAAACAAATCAAGCCTAGACGCTTACCACCCAGCTTTTTCCTGCTCGACTTGCTACCACTTTGGCTTGAGTATATTCGTCTTTCTTCCGTTGTTCCTCCTCTAAACGCCTTAATCGTTTCTGCTCCTGTGTAAATTGTTCCAACTCAGCAGTAGCCTCCGGGTGAAAATAGCACACGTCTTCAAAAATGAGGCGACGTAATGTATTCTTGTCCATATTGTCCTTGTTATCCCGCTCAAACGAAAAGTCAAACGCATTCTCTGCTAGTCCCTCCGAGCCCATTTCTAAACCATCAACACGACACGGTGCAAGAAACGGATGAGCGATCGCGTCGTCTACTGAAATTCGCTTACGAGGGTCAAACTCCAGCAGCTTCTTCATCAGATCCAGTGCCTCGGTTGGGGCATTAGGACAAACCGAAATAAGCGGTTTAGCCTCCTGCGGCTGTTGACGCGCCATCCATCGTTTGGCCTTCGTGTTGGTGACAAACTCCATATCGTCTGCCGGTGGACTTCCTACGAGCTGCAGGATCAACTGCAATTGATGCACGTGATCGTGACCCGGAAAGAGAGCTTTGCGTGTAAACATCTCAGCAAGGATACAACCCACCGCCCAGACATCAATCGCTGTAGAGTATCGACTCGCAAGCAAAAGCTCAGGCGCGCGATACCAACGGGTCACCACGTATTCTGTCAATGCTTCGTCTAGTGCAGAATCCCCATCTTGACTGTTTGTCGGCGTATTGCTCCCATCAACACTGCTTGGTGTGACACTGCGGATATCAATACCTCGTGCAAGACCAAAATCGCACAACTTGACTAGACAATCGCGATTGACCAAAATATTTGATGGTTTGACGTCACGGTGAATAATATGTGCCGAGTGAGCGTAGCGCAACCCGCACAATATTTGATACGTGATGAAAGCTACATGATCACTCGATAAAGCTTCAGCCGAGTTTATGACTCGGTGCAAATCAGTCTCCATGAGATCTGTAATGATGTACGTGTCTTCAAAATGGGCAAGCGATTGAGGACGCATTATATCTAGTATCGATACAACATGCGGATGGCGCAAATGCCTCATCAGCCGAATTTCGCGCACAATGCGCTTTGCATCTACGAGATCATCGAAAGTACGCGGTATATTTTTGATCGCGACTGAGTTTCCTGTAATTTGGTCACTTGCTGCGATCACTACTCCGTATGCGCCATGGCCTATCGCACGAATTAGCTGATAACGCCTGTGCACACGGAACTTGGTAGAAGCCACCGTGAATGAGTGCATTTCTTCGTCTTCTGGCGAACTTTTCTTGTCCTGGCTATCGCCACCATCCGTTGTTTCCACCAGCTCGAAACCGCCAAGTACATCACTCCCTGCGAGCGAATAACGCTCGAAGACCCGCTGGTTTTGAACAGTCTCCTTGTGTAGCTCCCGTAGCCTGTCAAAACTGTTGCGATTTTTTGGCGTCCGCACGCATGGAATGGAAGAACTTCCACCAGTTGATAAATCCGATTGTTTTCCATCCTCGCTCATGCACACATCATCATTTTCACACATTAAATCATTTTCCTCCGTACAGGGGGCAAAGCTAATGCTAAGCTCTAGACGCCCACAGCTTTCACGATCATTCCCTCGTATACTCTTTTCAAAACTCTCAGCTCTGTAGATGTCGAACCACTTCGGTACAGACACAGATGCAATTTTCTCTTCTGACCCCTCTGACGAGCCCAAATATTCCGCCAAGTTTACTTTGGCGCAACCAATAAGCTCATCACTAATCATACTGATACGCCACACGTCAACGCATAAAGTGGCTGTCGAACCAGGCACAGCTCCAGAAAACTCAAGGTACAGTGTCTCGGCCCACAACGGTCCTTTCCCTCTACTGCACTTTACAACGCGAGTTGAGTACGATTTCCACGAGCCAACGCGACTCAATCCATCGCTATTTGTGGTCGTCACATCCCTACTGCTACTTCTGCCAGTACGATTCGTACCTGAAATCTTTCTTGTCGTGAGATGCGGAAATTCGTTTAGACCGATAATCACCTTATATCCGCTACCTGTACCAGTTAGAGGCTTTCGATTCCGAAACTTCTCGCCAGATATACATACTACACGAATCTCACCTGGAGGACAAGTACTAGCTTGCCGTTCGCGCTCACGTGGAAGTGCAGCCAACGTTGGTCCACGCGCTTCACCGGCTACTGAACCTGCTCCACTTTTCCCGCTATTAACAAATGCTACAGCTGCTGCGGTCTTGTCCGCCAAAAGATTAATGTGGCTGATACGACCGTCAGCTTCAAACCGCAATTCATGTTTCCACAAATGTCGAAAGCGTTTTCCACTCTTCGTACTTCGAATAGTCTCGCGACCAGAGACCACAGCAAGATCTCCTTGCCGTGCCACATGCTCGAGACCATAGTGAAACACATCTATCGAGCTATGAAAATTCGCGAAAAAAACCAAGATGCCTGAAAGTCCATGATATTCACCTGCTATCGGAACGGTCGGTGGGTAATTTGACGTTAATGTGATATTCGGGTGGAAACTCGGCATGAGCAATGCAAAATTGCCTTTTCGCGCCTGAATGCGTCCCCATGCGTCGTAAAATATGTTCAAATCCACACACACTGGCGTTCCTAGCAATGTCAAAGCTTGTATTCTTGCTCTTTGTGGCGTAGACAAAGGTGCATGTGCCAGTGTCTTCCTCAAAGAGTTTTCAAAGCTTGAGCCTGCTGCTTTCAGTCGTTTTTGTGCCCTTGGCAGCAATTTTTTCACCTGCTTGACTGCTGCACCTAGCAAATGAATCCACAATACTCTCTCTAGCTCACTGTTCACCACAAAATGTAACAGTTTGTTTCTCTCCGTAGTCTTGACATAAAAACCATGAGGACGTCCGACATTCTCCTTGTCCACAGCTTGTACTGTATAGATATGTTTCTTATCAATCACAGATGACTTGGTATCATCTTCTCTTTGTAATTGGTCTTGTAACTCCTGCGTCTCCACAAATCGTCCTCTTGACTCGAAGACACGAAGCGTTACACCATCTAAACTCAAATATACGTCATCCCAGCGTGGTAACCAATCACCTTTCTTGCTTGCAGGTCCATGCCAATAGATAGGGATCAATTTCATTAATAGATCAGCGCCTACAGTGTCCAAAAGCGAGGTAGAAGCAGGTGAGAACGCACGCGTATGTCTACCTTTATAAAGCTGCTGTGAGTCTAATATTGGCGTTATTGAGGCTGAAATTATATCAGGCAATACTTCTTCGTCTGATGAAGAGAATGCACGGCTTTTTGCGGAAGAAAACGCATCAGAAGCTTCCATGACACGTCGCCAAGTGCGTCGTTACAGCCGACGTTCGCACCAAATAAGGTGGAATACTTTCAAATGTCACAATTGAGAGGGATGATACACCTCGGAAAACTGACTTTTATTCCCTGGCATAATGTAGCCATCTTACAACATGCTGTAGACGACTGTAACAAGTAGGATAGCAGACACTGTGGCAGTCCCAGCAATGACCTTTTCTGGATAGCGCATGCAATAAAGTACAATATCACCAAGCATCTTGGATTCGAAATGCTGTGCATCTGGACGCATTGGCAATGGAAAGCCAGCAACTGCAAAGAGGTCCACGACGGCACGCAACGTCAGTCCCCACAGCACGAAATCGTGCATGTTACGATGCGTTTGATGATCTTCATCTGATCCTGCATGGTTTGGTATCGGCAAATAGATGCAGTCAAACAACATATTGCCAAGAAGCCACTTGGCAACTGCAAGCACGCGCGGACGTATCCGAAGACTCGTCAGACTGTCCTCTAGCGGGTAAACTAGGACGTGGTATCGTTGCGCGTTGAATAATTCCTGCACATCCACCCAAAATACATTAGCAACCTCGGATTCTTGCAATTTTGGCTTGTAGTCGTGTTCGTCTGCCGTCTTATCGATGAAGAAGACTACGTCATATCACACCATCACAATGTCAGCAAGAGCCAGTCGCTTATCAATACAAAAACACGTATGATCCTCCTCCTCATACCTTGGACACTAACACTTAACGAATGCAAATGTGTTCGAATTGGTGGCAAACTGCCAATCCAATGCACGTGTCTAGCAACATTCGACACACAACAGAATGTTCAATGGCACAATTCTTTCGCTCAGCCAGATAGATAAATCGATACGAGATACACATACGGGGTCGTTAAATAAAGTCCAACTTCTTCCATTGTTTCACGCTCTGCTGTTTCTCGAAGTGACTCCCAATCTGTCCATTCCTCAGACACGTCATCCAGACTTGAAAGGTTCATCTTGGTTTTCTTCTGTCGACGACCACCAGGAAATGCCACTTGACCACTCCATGTATCCTTCTCATTTATACTTCGACGTACAAAAAGAAGTTGTAATGACGTCTGTTCCTTCTCTTTCCATCGAAAAATTGCCGCAACACTTGCACGCTAGAGAATCAAAGTCATGAGATATGGATAGTCAATGGATTAATAAACACGCTCGAAATAACTATGGAATGTGAAGATATACTAGAGATTATACTCACTACAAAGGGTGCATCATAGCGTAGTTTATGTGGCTGTTGTTTAGTTAGATTACGCTTGAGTAATGGCACTAGAGACGTGATCACACTTGGTTTTACAAACCTTCGGGTACTCTCATTAATAATACTCATTTTTGTCTATTTAAGGCAGTAATGATTAGTATAATATAGGATGGGTACAGACATAATCCAAGGTTGTTGCTAACCCTACCCGCAATGACTTGTAGCTTGAATGCATTTGACTACCAATGGTAGTCAACTTAAAATTGATTGCTAGTACGAATCAACTTTGTCAACAAGTGGCGACATAATAACTTGCCAGCAATTTTGTGGCCAGATTTTCCGGATATTTTTGAAAATTAGAACTAGGTACAAATGTTGTGGTCATCTTGCAATGCATAACATTTGCTGCAACTTTGCTTGTTTCGCTATATTGCCACCGACACGATCCTACACGCACGTGCGTCTTGACGGTACAGAAGATTACTCACACATGTTGTTTCCTTTATTTGTCAGTATCATGTTATAATTACAACGTGACTACAAGTTGAACAGAAAAATCTGTTACAGCCGAAATATTTTGTATTCTCGTTAAGAATATCGCATTATAGAATATTTTCCGCAAGTCTCAGACCTCTGCCGTGTCAGAAAAAAACGTCCACTTGATTTCAGTATTGTTCAGTCCATAATCAAACAAGAAGACGAAAGTTCATACCTCGGACATTTTCCCCCTCTCTGTTGTCATTATTCGTGCTCATTGAATGATCATGGACCTGAATAACCTCAAGATTATGGCAAATCGTGCCGGCAATACGCTGTACTTTGCTGGTGCAGCGGCTGCAGAGATTGGTAAGGAAAAAGGAACGCAAGCATTGGCAGTTGCATCAGGAGCGGCAGCAGTCGGATGTGAAAAGATGAAGAGCTCGACGACGTTTCAGAGTGCGACAGTAGCGGCCACTGCGGGTCGTGAAAAGGTTAAGACATTACAGGCTTTTCAAGTGGCCTCGTCAGCTGCCGTTGTTGGCAAGGAGAAAGCATCGACGGCTGCGTCTACCGCAGTAACCGTTGCTACTGCAGGTCGTCTAAAGGCTGTCAGTGCGCTGGTTTTGGCTAAAAATCGCATTACAGGAGTAAAGACTGGTGATTCTCCTAGCTCACCAAATCCTGGCAATTTGCCGTCAGCTGAGAAGGAGTTTTACAAGTATGAAATGTCGGAAGAGGAGAAGAAGAAGAAGCGCGCACAAGCTCGTCGGCGCGCCGAAAAGAACAAGCAGCCGGTGGCGAGTTCGAGTTCCAGCTCAAACAAGCAGCGAGATGGCAGCTCCAAACCTGCTGCCGGATCAAGCTCCAGGTCTGGCACAAGTGCCGGATCAAACTCTAGGTCTGGCACAAGTGCCGGATCAAACAGCAAAACTAGCAGTAGTAGCGCCAATAGATCGGGCGGTAGCAGCAGACGACCTGGTGCTAGCAGACGCACCAAAGGATAGCATTGATTGTAGGAAGAACAAGATGCTAAAAGATACAAGTCAGAATGTACTGGTCAAATCAGAGTTTGTGTGCCGTCCATACGCACGCGATTTTCATCTGTTTGCTAGACTAATCAGTCGTCAAAGGCTACAGACAGTGGCCTGCCTCAGATCTCGTAGAGACCACGTACAAACTGCACGTAGTCCAGCTCATCTTTGTTTCTTGCGGTTTTTTCTGCAAGTAGCACGTCCACCACAAACTCACCCCACAGCTTGCCCGGCCGATCGTACGGGTTAAGATTACGAGAGAGGAGCGGTGCATTGGTCTTACTGCTGCTGGTGCGACCATTGGCCATCAAATGGTCGCTGATGCTCGATTGCTGGACGCGTCGATACTTCCTAGTCGGGTGTTGCATTGCTGTAACGCCGTCTTGTATTCCATTTACTGACCCACTTTGGTCCACACTATACCGACGAGAAGAAGTTTGGAACCTTTCAGTTTGGCAGGAAGACTCGCGCATAGGTGCCGCCTCTTGGCGAGGAGGAGCTTGTCTTGATAATGATAAGTCTTGGTGAACAGTAGCTTGTTTGTGGCCTAAATCTGAAGAAGACCATCTTTTATCCGTCGTGTCTAGAGGAAGAAACAGCGGTGATCTACCTAGAGAATGTTGGCTAGGAGCAGTCGGTGTTCCGCCACCTTCTCCTTGCAAAGACAGCAAGTCAGCCGTTGCATCCTTTGTACATATACATTCGCCCAACAAAACAGATCCCTCGGTACTACCACCAGCGTCCTCCAATGCTTGCGCTTGTGTCGCCCGACGCGTCCATTGTTCATATTCTGGAGTCATAGTCATGGAAGCCACCAGAAGTGTGTGTTGTTTAGGCTCCATGGTCGTATTACTACGTGTCGCTCTATTTGAATTCAGTGTGTTTCTCGCTGTAGTTTCATACCGATACGCCACGTCCGACTCGATCAGCAGCAATGTCCGCTCAGGAATGAATTTTTCCGCACGGGCTGCAAAGTCCTCAGCAGTACGGTCATGAATATTATATGTTGCGTCTTTTACTGTCATACTATGTATAAATATCTCAAGCTGCGATTCCCAACGCACTGTTTGGCTCTCGTCATCCACAGCGCGTCGCATCTGGGCGCCAAGCTCATGCATCTCAGTCAACGACCAGTGCGCGTATCCTTCAGAGCTACGTGTTGCATTACTGAGCATAATACTAACCGAACCTGTTCTTATTGCCTTTAGCGTGGCAATACAAGCCGCTCTTGAATTGCACGGCCACTTGCGGTCACAACAAATGGCTGCAAAAGCTTTATACGTCTCTTCGTGCCAGCTCCAAGTCTTGTCATGACGGTAACCCACCCAGCCCTCGTCCACCTCAAGTAATAGACGTGTCACTTCTACCGATAACGGTGTGCCATGTAACGTGATGCTGGTTTCAGCAGCGTCAGACGTCGGTGCAGTGACGTCCGCTGCCGTCACTTCCATGAGTCTTTTGCTTTGAAAACAAGTTGAATAAAGCAAATATTCACAATAGCAAATGTTTTAATTATATTTGCTATTGTAAATTTCTTACCAGAAAATACCCATCTAATTGCATGTCTTCGTTTCGTCATAAAAAAACCAACCGCGTATTGTTAATGCCTCACCACCATCTTGGTGACCTGCAGTTTTAATGCACTAACTTTCTTCTTTTGCTTCACGTATTGGCTCGGTCTGAAGGTTCTTGCGCTTGTAAAATAAAATGTAGGCTGCATTGGACTTGACTTGATTGGGCATGACTGGTGTCACGACACTGTCATCGAATGAATACCATCCTGGATACAGCTCACCATCACCGTCTTTCCAGCTCTTCGCAAAAGCGGTGTAATGACCAAAGCCCATGCTTCCGTAATGATTGCTTACAGCAAAGAGATCATAGTAGAAATACTCCTTGTCATTCTTCTGCTCAAGACTGTACGGTGACATGTCAAGGTCTTTGAGAGGAAAGTCGACAAAAACGTTCAGTTTGTCGCGTAAAATCTCATTGCGGTACTCAAACCGTTTGAGTGACAAGACTAGTACATCCGGTAACCGCCACATCTCCATAGTCTTGCGCGCTTGTCGATGCTCTTTGCACTGACTGCAGTACCACAAATTTGCACGGTCAAGCGTCTCAGCCTTTACAAAATTCCGAAAGCAGTCATCCAATGAAATACCCTCGTGTGCTTGAGACCCACTAGCCTTTGCGTGCATACTTTCGTGGTTGACAATTTGCTCAATATCAGGACGAGGAGATGCTGGCGAGGACAGAAGTAATGATGACCAGGCAACCGTGACAAACACCAGTGTATCTGGCGAGTTTTCACTGTGCAACGTAGCAAAATCCAAAAACTTTGCGTCGGCAGCTTGAGGAACTGGTTCATTGCGCAAAAAAACACCATAGCGGTCAGTTAAATAGACGCATTGAGACAACATGTTGCTCGGAATCTTGGCGCTCGACTTTTGTACGACATGCGTGCTCAGCATCTCACTCCACTTTTCCATTATCTCAGCACATGTAGTTGAAGCAGTATAGGTAAAGAGCAACGGGTCGCCCGTCAAAGCGGACCCGATTTGGTGATATAGAAAGCCGTGTAACACAGGCTCCTCAGTTGAGATGTTATCGATTTGGTACATAAGAATACGGTCATCTTCTCGTAGTCGATTCAACCGCTCAGTATCTCCAATAATCCGGTAGGTCATGGAGTGATAGATATCAGCTGCCATCAGATTACTAGGGGTCACTCTGCATAGCTTGCTCAACGCGCGTTTCAATACGAGGACGGTCCCTTTCTTGGGTACTTCTACAAGGTAACGAGTCATGGACTTGCCTGGCTCGCTTGAAATGAAGATGACTTCTATCTGGAGATTTAGCTGCTGAGGTAGCTCCAACTGAATGCAATTGAACGGATCAAAAGTAATCGAAACTTTGTTGCAAATTGGGCACACAACCGTAGACTTGAACTGGCCCTGAACATGGTCCACAAAAATACTGTCGTTGCGTAGCAAGTGGAACTCCCATGCTTCTTTCGCCACAGTAGCATCGTCCTGCGAGCCATCAGACTCCTTCGCCTCAATGTAGGGCTTATGTTTGATGCGATTTAAATCTTCATGCAAGCCATCGATAATGTATGCAAGCAATTCTTGGGCGTCGTGCTGCTGGAATCCAGAAAACTGCGGGGCAAACCGACTAATCGCTCGCTTGAAGTTGGCGGGTGATGTGCTGGGCGCTGTACCGAAGTGAATCTCCTTCAGCAAGGCATCGTATTCCTCAGCCAAGTTACCACCCGTTCCTAATGGGTTGTCGCGATTTAAATCCTTTTTGTACTCATTGCTTAAGAAGTAACGCGTCAACAACTCCACATGGCTCAAACACTGTAGTGCTGAGTTCATAAAGCACGTGTTGCCAAGGTTGCGAAGACCCGTCTTACCTCGCCGCTCTGTTTGCAATCTTTGTAACGTTTCATCTTCTTTCTCTTCAGCCGACAGCTTGGAACGACACACAACCTTGTGATATTTCCAATGAGACATTTGACAGCTCGGGCCACAGTACCAGACAAGTTGGCAGCTGCCGCAGCGTTTTAGCGATCTCATTGATTTTCGACAAGCTCCGCAAAGTTTTGGAATCAAACTTGACACCACGCTAGGTTTCCACTGTAACGATATTTCGGTTTCTGTCGCAGATTCATCCGCCATACCATTTGGTGTAGTCGTCGAAGCGTTGCTCTTCTTCTGTATCAAGATGTCTTTCATACCATTCGCAGTAGCCTCTGGTTCTTCTTCCGTCTGCTCCTAAAGTACAAGCACGCAGCTCATACAATTAGCCTCATACCGGCAGAAACAGCAATTGCATCAACAAAATTTACACTTACCGGATAGACCTGTACGCGGTTGAAAGCATTACCAAACTTTTGATCTCCCACCTGTACGACAAATCGAGCTATGGTCGGTCCGCCATCATACCAGACCATCAGTGCGTCCCATACTTCTTGTGGGATGAGCACATAGTGATAATTCTCTTTCAATTGTGGCCGCAGTGGTCCTCCCATTAACTCGTCGAGGGGTGTATCCGGACCCACATTTAGCAGCGGAAAATTATCAATACGACCAGGTGGAAGATATCTCAATCCATCCGCGAGCGGTTCTTGTTTCTCATCGAATCCTACAAATTTGCACCAATGCTCCCACCACTTGGCGGAAAGCACGAAACGCGTGTCCCCAACCTGCAGTCCCTGCTGTTCCGCCTGCATCATCAGACACTTTACAATCTTGCGCTGTTTGATGCAATCCAATCGTTTATCTTGACCATTGAGCATGAGCTTTTTTTCCGCTTGTTTTCAAGCTATTAACACGAAGATTTTCGTTATCAATTGACCCTGCAGTTAACTCGTCAGTAACTGGAGCAAGTGTCCCATTTTGTTTCAAAGGATGTTGCTTGTGTCCTTTTTTCAATTGCTTCTTTTTATTCTGATACATAATTATACAACAACAATATATTATACAAGTGTCAATGGAAGAAGAAGATGCATACACAATAGCAGTAAATCGAGAATAAAGAAGCCTGCCATACCTTGCCCATTCTTGTCGTTAAAGGTACTATAGCTAATCTTACACTTATCATGTATACCACATAAATTTGAGTGCTGAACGTAGCTGATTGATGTGGGTTACACTAAACTTCAACTTATGACATAATCTTTTTGGATTCTAAAAAAAATCAAGAGTGTAGGTCATTCATTCAACCAAGTCATGGAGTCATCTCCCGTGCCGCGCTTAGAAGAGTTAATTCTCTCCGGTATTGACGTAAATGTATTGAATCATACAGCATTATCATTATGGCATTTTCAACAATTAATGATTGAACTTCTTCCATCTGCTGTGACGATTGAACTGGAAGAAGAAGACGACGAGGATGGAGTCAAGAGTCCCACAATGTTTCCAACAGAGCGTGTACCCATGTTGACACGTGGTATAATTAGATTAGGTGAAGGAATGAATGTAGCGATTGTATTATATGAACAACCTGTAGATACGATAATGGTAAAGGACGATAGAAAGCAGAGTGGAAACACTTTGAATGGGACACAGAACGAATCGGTGGTAGTACCACAAGGGACAGTAACAAGTATTAAGGGACACTTGACTCCGGACACTCGAGTTGCTGCTATTTTTCATCGTTATCGCTGTGTTTTATGTCTCGATGCATCACCTTCGATTCTATCCATTGATCCATCATCTGGACGATTGTTTCTGGATTTATTATATGAGAGTGTTGAACTTTTTATTTGGAGTATCTTACGACCGATGGAAATTGGTGGTAAATCATTTCTACCAGAGCTTCATGTGTCAGTATTAGTGCAAGGAGCTCTGGTTGAATCGCTCTGTGTGCTCATGCAAGGATATATTGTCACACAGACAAATGCTGCTGGCTTTTTGAGATTGATTAAAGAACGATTTCAGTTGATTGAAAATAATTGGGCATCGCAAGCACAGAAACGAGGGCAGTGGGGGGTTGTTGGGCAATGCAACACCGACCACGCTTGATTGGATTTTGCAAAGTGCTGTCTTTGCACTTAACTCATTGCCTACAGACTGCGCACCGATGATCGTACTTGTAACGGATGGTGTGCTTGATGCACGAGATGTCTTTTCATACGATAACTTGTTGATGCAACTTGTGCGTCATGATATTCAGTGTAACTTCTTGCGCATTGGAGGAGGTGGAGAAGATGAACTTAACGCCACGTTTGGTTTTGTGCCAGACACGCATTTATTGCGCTTCGTTGCAGAGTATACCGGCGGAACTGTGTTTGACTATGCAGCTATTCACGAAGCTTGCTATGGTACAACTAGCACAAGCAGCAACACTGTTAAGAAAATGACGGGGTTACAGGATGCGCTTTTCTTGCGCAAATCGAGTGTTCATGCAAACGCAGCACCTGTGGTCAAGCTGAACGAGATGGACAGCACGTCTTTTGATGGTAGAACGCTTTTGCCTTTACGCCCTTACCGCATGTGGCGTGATACGGTACATGAATATCGCATTTTTGCAGATGTAAATCGTATTGTGGAAGCACGGCTTCGTGAAGGCTTTTCGATTAACAAGGTTCATATAAAGACTTACCGGCAGCCACGACTGATGGAAAAGGGATCTGTACAAGCTGGCGTAGACTGTCCGAGCAGCGGTGATGTAAGCAGCACGAATGCGATATCGAATGAAGTCACCAAGATTTTGATTGTGTTCTTACTGCAGTGGAAACCTAATGTTTGGCTTGAATATGTGGTGTCAACGACCACCGAGGACTCAACAGCGCTGGCATCGTCGGTAGTTCCGGCACCCTACAGCAGTCGACGAGTTAGTGGACAGGGTTTAAAAGGTTCGATCTCGTCAGCAGCACCAAAGAAACCTGCAAGATTTTTTTATAAGGATCAAAAGACAGCGTGGAGTGAGTGGTACGTCAAGATGAACATCTTGGGCTGCGCAGACTTCCTTCGTGCGTTTGAAGATACAATGCAGCGCTCTTCGACAAACAAAGACCGAGGGGCTCCAGCCAGGGGAGAAAACTCCATGGCATCACCAGTCTTTGTGCACGACTTTATTAGAAATGTTCAAGACGTTGACCGTGTGCTGTTACACTTGATGACTGCAACTGCTAGTATCAACGAAACCAGCGATTCGGTCGCTAATCAGTTTTCCTTTGGTATAAACTCAACATCAGCATCTGCAATCCCAAGGATCACAAGCTCTCACCCCGTATTTAACATTATTGGTGACCTTTCTACTGTGCTCTGGCACCGCTGGTTTTATGTTGAACGATTTGAAATTCTATCGGTCGTCAAGAGTGACGCATGCACGGACCTATTTTACCGTGGTGAAATGCACGATACAGTCGGGCGTGGAAGCGCAGGCTTGCAATTGCGCGACCTAGGAAACCCTTACAGAATGATCCACAATCATGGAGCAAATGTGTATGGAACAACCAATGGACACATTGCCATCGGAGTTGAGAGCTTTGCTGAACCTTTGGTTGCAATTCTTGTCAAGTGGTCATCGCAAAAGCTGTCTCAGGATTTATTTTTAAGGTTTCTTCGCCCGGTTGATTTGGACAAAGTCCACGCCCCTCCAAGAGCCAAGGCTTCAGCACCAAGTACTGCCTCTGGTGGAATCGCGCAACGACGACGACAGCGCAGTTATACCAGCGGCATAGGAGAATGTGCCACAAGAGATGACGAGAGTAGCAGTAAAAGAGAAAGCAAAGCAGCTCTTTGCTTTGTGCGGCTTGAATTTAAGAACAAGACGTTGTGTGCCGTTCATGTGGCATTTTTTGCGACTAGTGCATCGAGACGCCGGCAGATTTTGAATGATTTGAAGAGTACAATTTTTACCGGTATTAATGAGGTGGCTGTAACGCCTACCCCAGCTAAGCTGCTTTCGTCATCTCTGCCGGAAACTCAAGTCATTCTCTGTCACCGTATGTTGAGTCGTTTGCTTGTCACACACGACACCCTTCTTCTCCACGGAATTAATCAAGAACCTGGACTCTTCAATTGCTATCTTGCGTCCCCGACGCTGGATGTTGAGAAAGAAAATGCAGGCGTCATACCTCCGTTAAGCACGTGCTGTGGTGGTAGTGAATTGCAGTTACATCGAGTGTTTGGTGCATATGTGTGGCATTCTAGTTGGAAATGGGAAGTGTCGAACTTAGCGGCATTATTGGAAGCAATGCGGCGGCTTCATGATGCCCGCATCAGCAGTGGTTTCTGGGTTTTGGACTGGAAAGTGGAGGAAGGAGATGATGGTCAAGGTGCACATATTGAGAGCGTAATTTTTGGGCGAGAAATTCTGATGGAAAACGAAAACGGGCACACAAAGACAGCCTTAGTGCAATATGCGCTTCGTCGTGTCTCAGATACCTGTCTTATGACGTCTTTCTGGATGGAGCCCCAGCATGGCGTTATAAAAACATGTTTGTCGGATAAAGCAGATAAGCACGATAAGTTTCACTGGAGACTGAAGCAAGCTATCGGGCACAACACGCCGTTTGAGAGTTGTGAGACTCGTGATCCTCATTGGAATATTGCTTTTCAAGGAACTCCTGGGTGGGCTTCTGCATCTTCTATGGGCTCACTAGATGACGAACATAGGTCGATACAGCAAGAGGATGTGAGCATTGACTGGAGTGGGAATTCTAAGTATCTGGGAGAAAGTGAACTATTGCATTTGATTCGCGGATACCTGTTCAAGAGTGACCGTCACTTTCTTTCGTGTCTGTACACGTTTGACTGTATCATTAATTTACGCGGCAATATCGAATCAAGCAAGAATGTAGATGGCATTGTTGGTTCTAATTGGAGTATGAACAGGCAACTGGCGGCGGAAAATGGCATGATTCTTCCTCCATTCAGCACTGCAAGGCTTTTGGCGGCTTCAAGACGATCAACAGAGCATTTTTTGATGTATTTGCAAGACAGTAAAAGCTCTGCAAACGGGATGAATGAGTCGACATTTGGACTTGCGCCTTCAGTCTCTTTAGCCAATGATAATTTGTATTCTATGCTTGAACTTACTTTGAGGGGCTTGAGTGATTGCGAGGTGTCATGGACCGACTACAATGGAGACGTTGTGACAAGTCCTTGTATGGCTGCAAACGGCAATGAAGATGATCGGTTTTTTAGGGAAGGTATGGATGGACAGTTGCCATTGTGGTTGAAGCAACACTTGGCATTTACTTTTAAAGACCGTGTGCCGCATCATGCATTGAGTAAAGGCAAGTGCTATGCAAAACTTGTTAGCGACGATTGCGTCGTATTGGCCTTCTTTCCTTCACTTGATACTCTGCAGGTTCAAAATAAAACGGGCAGAGATGGGTTGTTTCAAAGCAATGATGAGATAGAAAGCAGGTCACCATTTAAAGCTAGGTTAAATGAGACAACCACGGCACCTGGGAAATATGAGGGACATACAAAAAGACCTTCGCAACAATTTTCAGTACGCTCAGCGGACGAAGATGGGACAAAATCCCGAGTAGTGCGAATGTCCGTGTCTGCGGATGACATCGTGCTGTATCAAGAACGCCGGCGCAGCTTCCGTGAAGGCTACAAATCTTGGAGAATGGGGCATTACCAAGGATCTCGTGATGAAAAGCATAGTTATGGTCGTGACTTTCAGAAACTCCGTCTTCCTTCAACACCAGAAGATCATGAGTTTTGTGAAGAAATCAGTCGCCAAGCACCTTACGGCTGCGATTTTCATCTACTTATTGAAAATGCCAATGGAGCTATGGGCTCAGGCTTCTTTCAAGTTGCGTTTTATGAATGCTCGCTTTCTAGATTATCTATGGACTTGCACGATACGAGTAATCCGATGTTTGATCATGCGGATTTACCTCACACTATTCTGAGGCATTTGTTTTTCTCAAAGCATCATGATAAGCCAAAAGAAAACCGGTCAACGATACCACTCGGTTGCGGCCTATGGAAAGCATCTCGAGCTCGATCACCATTCGACTCGACGGTGAATCGACTGAGTTCTAGCAGTATTCGCGCTTCTCATCGATTCCGCAAAAAGATTAAGCGTGCACATGAGCACAACTTTTCTCGCGGTGTTTATATGGCGCTTCGTGAAGGGGGAACAGTTCAGCACAGTGATTTGCTTCAGGCGCTGTCGAGCTGTATCGAAGTTCCAGTGGATGTTGATATTACGCTCCTGTACCGTATGACGGAGACTGCCGCGTCACACAAAATATTACCACTGAGTCCTGCAGCGGCAGCTGTGGTTTCTGCTGGTATGGGCGCGGACATTCTTAAGGACAAACTGACGAAATCTTTCGAAACAATCCTATCCAAAGTTTTTGTTCCTATTGCTGGTACCAAGTATTATTACTTCTCAGGGAGCGAAAATGCTGTCTACGAAGACCTGTCTGCAAGCGAGTATGATTTACATATTCTCATGGAAGATTCTGATGATGGTAAACCTATTCCTGAAAGCCGAAAAAGGAAGCAATCTCATCTTAGCGATGACGCTAGTTCTACTGGAGAGGAAATCGGGAGTTGCAGCGTTGGTGAGGGTAATAATATGACTCTTCGTCATTGTTTAGGAAGAGGATCACAGCAAGATTTGCAGGAAGGCGACGATAGTGTCGAAAATAGTCCCCATCGGAGCAGACGCGATAGCTTGGGACGTGGCTTGCCTTCTCCAGTAATCACCTTGACTGAAGAGCGGTCGGAAAACGAGCAGCACAATGCAACTGTTGAAGAGGACGCAGAGTTCAACAAAGATGTTGCTGTAGCGACATCCAGCTTCTCTGTACCATTCTTTTTTAAGTTTGAGTGCCGTCTGCTCAATAGCACACGCGAGACTCGGTCGAGTTCTGTCGATATGCACGCTTTAGAAGTGGATTCTGATCTTTTACGCTGTTCGTCAAGTAGTGTCGTTCGCGAAGACAGGCGAAAGATCATAGGCGTACAAGCACAATTTTCCTCACCAAGTGGTTGGCAGAAAAAGTATGACGTTTTCTTGGAATCATTGAAGACTAATCATGGATCTCAGTATCATCTAAATTCAACCAATGTTTCACACATTGCCGAGTCGTTTTTGAAGATTCCGCTAGGACGTATCGCTTTACGCTTAGTAACATTGACGTTGCCCAATGAGCAAGTGTTCGAGGACGGGCGCGTGCCACCTCATGTGCCATTTGAAATGGATGTTAGCAGTGGACAAGTGTGTGAAACCAACGCCTTGCCGTCAGCTCTGCACAATTTTTCGTCGCTGCATCTCTTTCAGCGCCAAGTGCTAAGTCGCGTTTGCAAAGACATTAAGGAGTGGTCTAGCGTGGAGATTCTTGCAATATTGAAGTCTGCAAACGAGATAACACCGGCAATTGGGACGCTGGTTCAAAGCCTCTTTGATGACCTTCCTGAGCTTGCTGTGACGAAAGCAAATTACCCGCTTGAGTTCGTCGCAGGCAGCCAAGAGACGACTGTCAAGCCGCTTGATCTATTTAAGCGCGAGTTTGAAAAGGGCGATTTGCTCAACGTTTTTCAATGCAATGGGGTGTACTTCGTGGTAGAAACTACTATTCCTACTGACACGTATGTGGACAAAGGTATCGAAAACCTGTCGATACCGAGTTTCAAAATTCCGTATTGGGCATTTTTTGAGCTTGGAGCAGACCAAATTACTTTGCAGTTCCATCACCCAGACCACTTTGGGATGTCCCCTACAGGGCTCAATCGGTTAGAAGTCTTAACTCGCCTTCAACTAGGAATTCGCGCGGTATGTCGTCGTGTAAACCAATTCTTACTTTTGTTGCAACTTCATGAGACACGCACGTGCAATTGTCTTCTGCTTCCGCCAAACGACAGCTCGCCATCAAGTCCGCGATCACCTGAACGAAGAACTGACTCACAAATAGCTTTGGATGTGATGAACGGAAAGGATAGACGGATAAAACAAGGTGGCTTCTTTTGGCCTGGGCAGTTTGAGTGTGATTTGCGCTACTGCGCTGTTTTCAGGCTTCACGAGCGCTTGGCTCCTAATTTTGCGCTCAATGTATTGTGCACTTCAGCACTGGAGCAGTTTCAAGTTCACAATCGACGCCATGTTTTCGTGTACCGTGATCGCGATGGCCATGTATTTTATATGAAAATCAGTATCTTTTACGATACAGCGTTGTCCCATGAAGTGGGTAGTCAAACTGCCGAAGAACGGCTAGAGAGAACTGTTTTTTCTAGGTCTAGTACTGGAGGAAACAGTGGTGCAGGTGCAACCGTTCCCGTAGCAACGACAACACCAGCAGGGGTCCCCGGCATTCGTTTGGAAGTATTCGGTGTATCTGAAGCTGGTGAAGAAGTAACCCATGAATTGTGCCGTCTTCTGGAGCGAAAGCTAGACGAAGCAACGCAGTTGGTTCTGATGAAGTTGCTGGCACGCAATACCAAGTTCCAGCTGAGTCAGTCCGACCTAGCGTTTTTGTGTCCACATGCAACTGAACCTTCGAGTAAGATCCATTACACTCTTCCTGGCGACATAGCTGATGATTGCTGCACATTATTGCACTACTTTTCCCAGACACTTAAGTTAGCGGCATATGTACGTCCTGTAACAAGTGGCGGATCCTTACTTCCACGAAGTTCGCGAGGTTCAGCTAACAGTAACACGCTACGGCCAGTTCGGCTCGAGAGGCTGGCGTCTGCGGGAAATTATGTAATTTTGTCCGGTGAGGAACCTGCGAAAGTGACAGCTCAAGTTATGTATGGAGAGGCAAAGCTTGAAGAAGTAAAAAGAACACGTGCTATGCAGGACAGTGCTCACATACACCCTGCTTGCTTTGGAGGCTACCCGAAAGCATTTGAGCTCCAGGAGGAAAGTTCCTCAATCTTGTACGACGCAACCACTCGATCACCTGTTTTCTTCTTTTCCGAATGTAAAGCGGGTGGGGAGAGTGTAGCTTCTGGTGAAGCGCCCCCAGCTGTTGCACCGATTTATACAGCACCTGAAATTGTGGCGTATGCATTGTATGTTTTGAATTTGAACCCAGACTTACGGCTCTCACCAGGCTTTTTGTCGCGGGTAGGTAAGGGGCTTGCTCTCTTGCGTGTCGATATTGTCCGCAAGAACACCGCCAAGACCGAATTTGAGGATGAATACAAGGAGGATGGCAAGTTGGGTAGTATTGCTAGGGTGAGGCAGATGCAGGACATTCCAGGACTTGCGGCGTTGTACTCAACTTGTGTGAACACATGTGATACAACACTGGTGGCTAGATGTCAGGTTTGGATTCGTGGATCTATCCACTCAGCAGAATTGAGTCAAGTCGTGGAGGCATTTATGGATGAAGCTCTGTATGATTATCACATTGAAGCGACCATCAGAAAGTTGCGTACATGGAATGGACGACTACATACTTGCACAAGTAGTAATGGAACTCCAGATTTATCAGGAACTCAAGGAAATTTGCTCATCGATGTGGATATGCTGGTGTCGCTCTTTAAAAGTGCGTGTCTTTTGCCTTCGTCCTCTGTTACAAACCTAGACGTGGATGTATCGATCGCGCCATGGGACCTTAACAATGCTGTGGCGCAGGTTTGGAGTTTTCTGTGCTGCCTGCCTCGCCACCTGCGACCTGCAGTTTATGCGAAGTCTAAGCTTTCAGGCAGATATGAGATTGTTTCGAGTCAGAACGAAAGTCTAAATATAAGTTCTTACTCGAATGGACCCCCACCAGATAAGTTTCGGATGGTAGTTCAGCATGCTGGCGATCCGGACGTATACGAAGAGTCAAGCGACTCCGATGCAGAAACGACAGCATCAATGAGCTCAGCGAATCATCATATTGAGCCGCTAATGCGAACCAACTCCATTCATTCGGAGACTTCGGATATTGACTCGGTTTCAGGTCGAGTGCCGTTCACATTAACGTCAACTGGTGTATGTTCAGATTTGAATGCAATTTCACAAACCCAAATTGCGCCGTCTGTGTCGTCCACAACTTCATCAATGGTTGGACAGATAGGCGGTCTGTCGCACCAACCACATCTCTCAAAAAATGTAAACTTTTCGGAGAGGGACGTATTATTATATGTAAACAAAGGTATTACTCGCCATCCCAACCAAAAGTCACACTCCCATGGAAATCGGCAGGTGACACGATCATTTTATTACGTGGTGGATCTGTCTACGAGTAAGGGGTTACGGTTGTATGGATACAATATGAGCAGGGTTTTAGTGGAGGCTCTATCTACTCACATCGCGCGGGTACTTACGTGGAGCATGCTTCGCGAAAAGCTGCTGAGAACCCTGCTGCTGGAAAAGTCGGGGCTTTCGACCGCCGCTCCTGTTGGGTCCATGGTGCTGCAACCCTCCAGTTTCTTTGTGACCATCGGAAGGATGGAACAAGCTGGGAAGGGCGTCAACACAAATTCTGGTGCTCTCTGTAAAGATTCTGCTGTACACTTTATAGAGTATCGACCTCCCGTGTTGTCAATATTGCAGTCCAACGATTGGTTTCCCAGAGTTCTCGATGCAGGTTGCCTGCGCTCAATTGAGGGTACTTCCCTCGGAGTATATTTGCGTGAAGCACAGACCCAACCAATCGTAGCAGCACTGGACTCTCAGTATCAGCGCCCTCGAGGGCAAAGCAGCACAAACTTGGGTGTTTCAATGGCACCCCCAAGCATCCCAGATCTTACACGGGAAGTATCAGGAACGTTATCCCAGCGAAGCCTTAACAGCTGCGGAGATGTTTCAACAAATTTGCTGGGAGGACAAGTACCCGGGAGAAACAGGAGTGGTGGCATCATCAGTAGCAGCAACGTATCTGATAGCACATCGTCGTCTCCAGGTAAGCGATTAGGTGGATCTAGCCTAGCCTTGCAATATCCAGGTAATAATCGGAGCGAGGCCACAGCTCGGATGCGAGGTGGAGCGGGAGCTGCAACAGCATTAATGGCAGCACGTGCCCGAGCTAGGGGTAGTGGCGGCTTTCATAATCATGCAGGCAGTGGATCAGTCATTGGTGCAGTACAAGTTGGTGGAAGTTCTTCGGTAGTTTCGTCCGGTGATAGTGTCGCGCCGTGGGATTTGCCGTTGTCGAATATGAAAGGATCACGTTTGCAAACATCAGCGGACGAAGCTGATGCTAAGCTGACTACTGGACGGGATGGCAGTCAAGCAGATTCCTGTGCAAGGACCGACTCTAGTTCCACAGCCACAACAAGTGCAGTTTCGAAGAGCAAATTGAGTGGAGTGAATCGTCTTGGGCGGAGAGGGTCCCGGGGTAATGGTCTCGCCGACCTAGTATCATCGTCGTCTTCGACTTCGTTGTCCGGGCTTTCAGCTGCGAAAGCGTCTGCCAATCGCAGAAGCGGTAACGAAACATTTTCTTTGGATTCTAACCGAATCCATAGTTCGTGGAAGAAACGCTTGGAGTTTGCATGGGGACCTCGATTTTTATTCCCTTATAGCGCGGATCGACGGACGACAGGGAGTACGGCGGAAGAGAGTCAGCATTTTACAAAGCTCGAAGATGAAGAAGATGAGGATCAACCGAAGAAAAGTGTAACACCTTTATCGTTCTTTTGTGCGGCACTGGATAAGCGTTGGGAGGCGTTTGAAACACGATCGACAAGTCACACGGTATGCATGAATCTGCTAGAAAAGCTTGCGTCGTTGCAAACAGGTGAAGAGATGGAGGAGCCTGTTGCAAAGGATGTTGTGGAGCATTTGGTGGAAAGCGGACACCTTTTGTTGTATCAACGCTTTCGGGCTGCTTATGTGGAACGATGGATAGCCGCAGAAGTGGTAGGAATACCTGAAGAATACGGAATTGTGAATAGTCGCCTTCGCGCATTGCAGTCATGCATGGATTTGGTGCATTTGCTCAGCTACAAACGGGAATTTGTGTTTAATCAAGACGAATGCTCCGTGGCCAAACTTTATACACAGCACACTGTTTTCAGCATGGGAGCTGGTGCTGGTGCAGATATTTTGAAGATGAAGCAGCAGGTTGCATCCAATTTGGAACCATTGCGCCTGGCAGTGGCAAGCGAATTTTACGAAGAATACGCAGTACATTTGCGCACGCTAGGATTTCGGCGCCTTCGAACACTAAACACAAGTAGAAGCTGTGCACGCGCATTCCCGATTGACGCCGACATGGCCACAAAAGACACTGAAACACCAGGTCTGGAGGGCTTTACCGAATACTTTTATCACCCAGAAAGAGCAGCTGCAGAAGCTGGTGGATGGAAGATAGACTCGACTAGGAGCAACAATGATGCTTACCCACTATCAGTTGTGATTTTAGAAGTGAAGTGTGACCAGTGTGGTGTGCGACTGAATGCTGTGCTTGTGAGCTTACATGATTTGGAGCAGCAAGACTTGCGTTTTCAAGACCGTCTGGCGGTAAAAGCCGGAGAGCCCGTAATCGTGACGTCGGGATCACGGATTCAGAGCGTAGCGTCGTGGTTGCGAGCCCAATTGCAAACAGAAGCCCTGATTTACGGGTTTACTATTCGCTACTTTCAACAGCATATACTTCAGTGGATTGACGCTTCTCACAATTTTCGCGACGGACAGAATGGGCATGGACACAGTGTTGAAGAGCATCCTAGCGATGATGATGCTCTTGCATCTGCTTTGCCGTTGCCATGGAAGAAAGCTTCTACGTTTCAAAATATCGTTAAAGGACTTCAGTGCTTTTTGCATGCATTTCCGGATCCACCGGACGCATCTATGAATCCAAGCGCCGCAGTGCCAACTTTATCAACAGTAAGTGAAAATTGCGATGGTAAAAACACAGCAAAGACCAGGTCGAGTGATCCAAGAGTATCTTCAATCTCCCCGACGTCTGCAGCACCTGATAGCGATGGTTATCGAATGACTTCGCGAGCTGCATTAAGGTTTTCTCGACGGGTTGTGACCCACCAACATCAACACAAACCAGTATCTCACCTTCGTACGACTTCACCTGCGCCAGACACTAACCTAAAGTCTGCAGCACCTTTATCTTTGCTCTGGCATGACTGTGTGATACGAGTGGCGGCAGTAACGTTGCGACCTACTTCAAGTCAGTCAAATTGCTCCAAGTTGATTTTAGTGCAGATTTTATTGCGATACATTGCATGCCACAGCTTACGCTACGAGGTGCTAGACTTATTGCAGTTCGGTACGCCGGATGCTGTCGTATGTCATTCTTCGTCCGGCAGCTTCTTCCATCGACCTTCATCCACCAACATGACGCCGACAATGCAGAGTCGTTGGGTCAAACCTTCTGGAGGATATTCGCTGGTGATCACGACGCAACCATTGTTGACCCGCAAGCCAATTGACAAGGATTCAGTGCAGCTATTGATGCTCAAGAGTACACCCTCGACGCTTGGTGTGGGTAATGACGTTCTGCCGGTAGAGCGGGCGATGCAGGAAGCCCAGCTATTTACCAGAGAGTTGTTTCGTGTTGCTGCTCAACACTACGAGCGTGATTTGCTATGGTCTCGATTGCTGTTCGACAGCTCGCGCGGTCCCGAGGTCGATGTAGCTTGCACGTTGGCGCTTCCAGCTGACTCTTTCCGCGTGGAAGTAGGTCCGCAGCAGTTGGAAGAGTGTCTAAGGCTGTCAATTTGTACTCCCTTAGAAACGTTGGACCCGCGCCTGGACGAACTGCTATCCGTATCTGGTGTTTGTTGGCAAGAGTTGGCACTGCGGCTACGTGATGTATATGCCCACCAGCTTCGAGAATTTCAGTTTCAAGAGGAGGACGAAAACAGCAGCCACCTGTTGTTGCTATGTCCCGACGCGTTTGACCTCATCATCCACTTGACATTCATTACACCCAAAGACCACATAGCGTCAGAACAAGCACAAGACAGAGAAATGATCAATATGAGGGGCGACAAAAGTACAGACAGCCCAAGCAGAAGCTCAAGTATCGACGGCAGCCAGATTAGCAGTATTGGCGAGCAGTTGACTGAGGTCAATTTTGAGAAAGGGGATGGAGGCGACGTGCACGTGGAGATCTGCCGGCGCGAGGAGCCGACAAACAAGCAGTTTACGTTTGCACAGCGGCGCTCTATCTCGGAGTTTGTCAACAGCATCGTGCACTGGCAATGGCGGAGTCTCATTTACGATTAAAGAAGTCGTTCGGAGATGTACGTATTTGAGAATTGAGATAACAACACGGGCGATCCACATGGCTAAGCTTTGAACAAACACGTCAAGCAATGACTGTGACGATCTTAGTTACCATAATAAATATTTTCTAATAAGTTGCTGCACAAACTACAGTGACCAGGTCCATAGCCAGCGTAAATACTCGACTTAGCCTTGTTTCGTAACAACATGCGATGGTCTTGATAAGTGCATCCATCAGTCATATCGTCGAGATTATTTGAAGTCATCTCAGCTCAGTGCTTTTGCCATGACAACCCACTCCGGACAAATTCGTGCTTGCATCTTCCCCGAAAACTTCATTATACCGTTCTCAATGTTGACATATTGTACCAAGGCGACACATTGCAGACGATGCATTACAACGTTGTTGACGCGAGCTCAAATGTCATGTGCCGCCCTCTACTCCTTGAGACCAGTTGGGCTGAAAACGTGTGAGAAGTCGTTTGAGCTCGTTTCGGACGTGTACTTGATCCACACGTTTGGCTTCCAATTTTGGCAATGGTACTGCCTTTGTCGTAATGTGAATGTCCTTGCCAAATGTGAGCACAGATGTGCCCTCTTTTTGCTTGGCATTGTAGAACTGCTGGGCCAATACCACAATCGATCGCAGAGACGGAATTGCATCTAGCACAAAAGCCCGCAGCTCATTCTGGTAATACTCGTGTTCATGCTCCGCTTTACTCATAGCGAATAACCCATTTGCCGTGCGTCCCGAAAAGTAGCTCAACTCATCGACGTGATTGCTCAGAATATCTGCGAAGCGCTGACGTTTACCGTCCGTGCACATTAGCAACTCCCACGCAACGTCGTTCTCCAAGAATAGCTCAGCCTGACCGGATCCATCGTCAATGATACACCGAACTGTTGTCCCCATGTACGTTCGAGCTTGAAACATAGGATCACTTGGTGCCATTTGCTGCCATTTCCACGTGCAATCTTGCAGATACTTCGAGTCGCTTTGTAGTTCTGCATGCTTCCAGCAACCACGACGCGTATCGAGCTGTAACGACTGGTGGCATAGTACACATTTTCTCTTAAGCAGCACATAGCCTATGTGCATCACTCCAACCGCGTAACGATGCAGCATTCGGTCAATATTTGATGCGTAATAGAGGTCATTTAGGAATGTCGTTGGCATAGACCCAAACAATTCAGCATCGCGTGCTGGAAAGCAAGCTCTGTCGGAAACTAGCCGAGCTGCTGTCAAGTGACCCCAACTTAAAAACACCTTGTAGCTCGAACGTGCAATGAATCCCTGTAGTTTTGTAAACTCTACGACATCGCCCCGCTGGAGCATGCCCAGCACACCAAAACGTGATGCATCTACACGAATTTCCACAGTATCCAGATACTGGAGATCGCGAACATACACGATGCCTCTTAATCGTCGTGTAGAGCCTCCCGCAATGCTGCTGTAACATTCTCGTGGACGTTTCACACCAATTGTTTCAGCCTGCACCGCACTACCAAACGACTGCTTTTGCGTATCGGATCGCCAGTAGTATTTCTTCTTGGTGATAATTCCCACTATAGATACAAGATGAGGCTTGTGTAGGTTTGGCTGCACTGTGTTCATACTTGGCTCTTCGTCAACGTTTTTCCAATCACAATTGGACTGTTGCGACCGGCTTCTAAGTGAATGTTGAAGCAGACTCGAGACTTGTGCAACCTCTTCTGACTGTTGAAGGAAATGCCCGAGAATGCTCATTGCCATATATTCCGAAACAGTTATTCCCATTAGCTCGTGTTTTACAAGATGCTTTGCATCGAGAATTCTTGTCGCCTCCCAACGCCTTCTGTTATCTTTCACAGGAACTACCAACAAGCCATTACCATCTTGATCTACTTGTTGGCATATTTTATGCAAATTGCATCGCTTGTGCTCAAAGCTCTTACATTCCACTTTTATCGAAATCATCTTGCCGCGTTCTACTCGATACACTTGGAATGGACGTTCGCTTATGATCGGTTCGCCGCCGATTTGACCGCGAAATTTTTCAAGTGAGTCGAAACATAGAAAATTGTTGTCATCAGCAATTCTTGCTCTCCTCCAGTAGTCCATCGATGTTTCAACTGCCAGGTCTTCAAAGCCATACTGAGAAGAAATGCGACTTCTACGATCTTTGCTGACTTCAAGTGCTTGTACGCGATAGCAACCGCCTTTCTGAATATGCCACGTGGTATGCTCTGTATTGACCAGTATATCAGCCATGCAAATCGACTTTATGAAGCACCCTACTTCAAGTCCCTCACCGATTGGACACACCACGCCATGCAGAACTCGGTACTCAGCCAGCAGCCCTGCTGACCGAATACTAGAAAGCGGTAGCGCATCAACGTGTGTGACTAAGAATACAAGTTCCTGCGGTTCTTGTGCATCAGGTGCGGTCTTTTCTCCTCGAGAATCGGCAACGGGCTCATCTTCATGAATGGAGACGAATTCAAGATCCGCTACCGAACAGCTCATGCAAAACACCATCGGTACTCTGTCTTTGTGTTCAATCTCTTTGATTTGATTGTAATCCTCGACCATCAAGTCAAAGTTTTGAATTACATACATGCCACGTTCGCCGGTAAGATTCATACCCGTTTCCGTGCTATGTAATCGCAAGGGCATTGACCCAGTGCGGTCACAAACTTCCAAGTCCCCACTATCTATATTTCCTCGAATACATGCTAGAAGCAGGCACCAATCAAGGCTCTCGGCCGAGACCCTCATCGATTGAGAGTCATCACTTTTTCTCATTCCGTCAGATCTCGCTTCAGTCTTTTCACTTAATTTGCTCTCACCATACATCTGCAGCTCATAAATTGTTAACGCGCGCTTGGATGTCAGCATTCTTTCACGAGAGGGAAGTTGTAAAGTTGTGCAATTGTTTGCGTTCGCAGAGTGGCATTTCAAAAAGAGAGCACCAAGGGTCATGGCTACCTGGGCGCGGTCGTCGCTCAGCGATAAGCCCAATTTTTTTGCCACTTGAGCTGCTGCTTGCCGGCGTCGAATCCGTGGAAATGACAATATTGACGGTTTTTCCCGCACGTGATTAACTTTACCAAAGAAAAACTTTGCGTTCAGTAGCTCGAGAAGCTCTAGAATCCATATGGATAGCAGTGTAGACTGAGCATGAAATTCACCCAACCACGCCCATTTTTTGTGCGTTTTACTTGGACGAGAACCAGTCCCCGTGACAAGGCATGGTTCACTCGGATCTCCATATGCCGCGATAACAAAGTGGCTCCTAGGGCACAACCCAATCACTAATCTACCCCCAACTGGCGTTGGCCATCTTAAAACGTGAGCATCACAGACTCGCACGATTGCGCCTTTGCGAAGCCGAACGAGTTCTTGTTCGTACGGAAAGCGGAAGAGTGAAACAATAACACGTGTTTCATCATGTCCTTGAAGTTCGATGCACTCATCCCACAAAAGCCGACGCACTTTGCCTTCATAATCCAAGAGCTTCCCACTGCATCGGTTCATATTTTCATTCGAGAAGTTATCAAAGGAATCATTGATCCATTCTGAAATATTCGTTCGTAAAGATTTTGGCTCATCCCAAACCAATACCAACGTTTTCATTGGTCCCTTGTCAGCATCAAAACGAGGACCACAAGTGTCTTCGTGTGTTGTTTGAAGTAAAAACATTTCGCATTCTCGAGAAAACACCTTTACTAGATCTGTCACAAGCACCATTTTACCCGGGCGAAGAAATAAATGCCAGCGCATGTTATGAACGCCAACAAACATCACGTTGACGGCACTTTGCGTCGTCGAATCCATGCCACTCCGTTGACCCTCGATCTCCACGAAAAAATGGCTACTGTCGCAATCGTGTTGCCGCGAAATGGGACTCACGGTCGTGACACGACCAAACACCACGTGAACACGTTTTCGTCTTCGATGCTTCGTCACTGTCACCACCTTGTGATTTCCTGTTGTTGACTGTACAATTTGATCATCACCTTTGCTTGTGTTTAAATGAGCGGCACTAACAGCCCAAGACTTGGAGCCCGTATACATTGGTGGTTCTTTCATCTGGTAATTGGTTTCAAGTACTTGTAGTACGTTGTTTTGTGTATATCTCACATCAAAATCATTTCTCGGCAGTAAAAGCACCGGGTTCTTGTCATGAATCTCCAGAAACATTGAATCTAGAGTCCCATGTACGTTATTCTCCACTGATTTTTTGTCCACGAGAACCCATTTTTTGACTAGTATTAATTGATCCATTACAATTGGATTTGGATCAAGCAAGGAACTTGGAACCATAGTATTCTTCCGATCACATAAATATAAAGTATCACCATTGGATAATTGAGTACCACAATGAAGAAAACCCGCTAGATTCACAATACTTGAAGTATAAATGTCAATGTCCATACTTGAAGACGTATCTTGCAATATTACGGGATTTGTCTCCATCGAATTCGCAATATAACGATAAATTCCATGCTTTCTTAATATTTCAAGTGAATTGTCAGCAGATTTTGACAATTTTATGACACGTAATAATTTGCCAATACTCCATAAATGTAGAGAATGCGACGTGGAATAATTGTTTTCATTTGATTGTTGGTGGCTTGTTTCCCTATACGTTTCATGCAAATACAGACATAAAGAGATGGTTTAGTAGACAGATAAGAACAATAGTATTGTATTCATTCTACCATAGTTGTTGCTGCTTTTGTAGCTGCTGCTTTATATATTCCTTATCAATATGATGTTGCATTGTTATCAATAGAGCAATTATTGTATTTCTAAAATAATTGTGACCATGTCATTTCTAACATTACTTTGTTTCTATTTTTCCTTTTTTTTCTTTTCATATCATCGTTTTTGATACATGATATTTCGATTACGGATGGCGTGATTGAAATATTTGGAAGCGAATAATGACGACAAGCCGAAGGTGATTGTATTATTAGAGCCATTGCTACATGCTTGATCCTTGCCATATCCTCCTAGCCCAATGTATTATGCTTGCCATATCCTTGCCAATCTTACATGAATGCCATATCTCAATGATATACTCCATCCACAGACATTACGACTTTGGTATGTACGCTGCCGCTGCGACCGCTCAAGTGTGTCAGTTCACGAGCCTTAAGTGTGCCCTGTACCTTGTTGATGCCTTCATGCCTCTCAGTTCCAAACAGATTTCAATGCTAAGATTCGATTCTCAATCTAGCAGATGATCAAAGCGGCTACAACGCGTGTCTAGTTAATCTTGGTATCTGCATCTTACCATCAGATCTCAGTAGCCTCAGGCACGTTTGCCCACGACAACATCCACTTCATTCATCATCCATTGAGAATGAAAGCAGTTTCTTGTTACTCAGCGTTGCTCGGTCCATACGTTTGCGTTTTTTCTTTCTCATCGCGTCCGGAGCTACAGTTTTGCCCATCTCGACGACATTCTGTCCAGAAGATACCTTGCCTTGTTTCTTCTTCTTCTTCTCTCTGTCCTCATTTTCGTATAAGCCAATCCCCTCATCTGTCTCCTTCTTTTCATCCTTTCTCTTGGTCAAATACTCGTCAATTGCCGCCTGTTGTACCTCATCCAGCCCTTCGTCCTCTTCCTCCTCGCCAGCATTAGGTAACACTGCAAATTTGGCTTGAATAGCAGGCGGCTGGTGATACTTTTGCAGGAATTTAGGAATTACACGCGTAAATTGTGGTCCTTTTCCTTTACTACTACGAGCTTTTCCTTGACCGTTGCCAGCATTTAAACCGCGTAGACTGCCATCTTCGCGCCAGTCGTCGTCCATTAATGCAAATATTACAATAAAGTAAATCCAAAAATGACAATACGATCTGCTATTGTAAATATTACCACCCGCCCTACTTAGTTCGTCAATTTATTGCTTGTCAAAAACGCAACAATGACGACGATACTGACGGGACTGAGAGGTTATTTATGGAGCCAACGATGGAACATTTTGCTTACGACGCAAGGTATTTTCACATGTGGGATCGTGTACAAACGCTACTGTGAAAATCAAGTTTCCTCGCCGACTTCTTTACAGCAAAAGCAGCAACAACGACCGTTTCATGAGGACAAGTGAACAATGTAGACAGTTTTAACGAAATATTGTGAAAAATTGTTAATTGTCACATTCAGTGTCCAATAGAAATCGTCGAACGTTTAGATTTACAAACTAGTCATTCAAGGGCTACAATTGAAATGATACACAGTGAAAGCTATGAGTTCTTCCTTCCCTTCCTCCTTCTAAGCTATTTGTTTCACTTCCATCAGATTCTTATCGCCTGGAAAAGGTAAGACAGGTTTAATATGGTCTTTATACCACTCAGGAGCTCTACCGTACGCGTACACGGAACCATTGACAAGAATTGCTCCAATTACAAATTGACCCGTTGGGATCTTGTCAAACACAAATACCGACATGATAACCGAGAGAACTAAAGCAATGGATGTTGCAAAAGCTTTCAGAATATTGTCGGCATACTTGACAACCACAGCCGTAAGTAAACCACCAAAAGCCGAGAGACTAATGGCCGCCCAGACTACAGGACAGTAGCCATAGAAAAATCCACGTGTCATAATTGACTCAAAGTCGTTGTATACAAGACCGCCACCCGAGAGCATTAGCCCAAGCAAACACATTTGTACATTTCGTTCCCATAATGTAGTCTTCAAACCCGCGCCTTTCAGAATCTTTTCAAAGTACACACCAGCAAAGCCTGAACAGATACAAGCAGCGACAACAGCCAGCATGCCCTTCGTAGTGCTCTGCGTTGCCGCATCATCCTTTACTGTATTCCCGGCAGCCAAATTTCCATCCAATTGCACGAGCGCAACGCCGATCGTCAGCGTAACAATAGCGCCCCATTGTATACTCAGCAGCGTTTTCCGCAATATGACAACCGAAAAGATGGCAGTAGTAAGAATCTTTAGCTGGTACATGACCTGAAACGTGGGAGCATCTAGATTGGACACTGCTACATACTGTAAATTATTTAGCACCACGTAAAGCATTGCTGGTACACTCATGCGCACTAATTCGCCTGGATTGGTAATGGCTCGAAACGAATTCCTCATACGCTTTCGTCGTTGTGGTTTCTTGAGTGTATAGAATTCCTAGATGATAGAATCATTCATTCATATTAGTAATCAAGTAAGAATGATGGTCATGCATTGATTATTATGAGGTAATCTTTTTATCCAGTATGTATATTATATACAATACACACAAGACGTACGTAAGATAGCAAGATAAAACACGTCATTAATTTTAGCATCTCTCCTACAAAGACAGCAGTAGCAGAATTGAAACGTGAAAAGTTTCCTACTCTTGATAGTCGCATTAGAATAACCAGTAGGCTATTTTGTAAGCATAAAATGCATAGACTTCCATATTTAAGCGCCGTTGGGGTAAGGATACTATTGTCTGTCATCTAAACGCTAAATGGTGACATTATAACAATTCGTAAACGTTCATGTGCACCACATCATAGGACAAGACTAAAATAGATAACTAAATATGTAATCTTCCTCTACAAGAACATGACAAATTGCGACTACTTTTTGGCGGGAACGAATATATTTACGACACAAAATACCAGTAAGAAGATCCACGTCTTACTACGCGATATTAGACGGCAACACTATGGACATTCGATCGTTCTTTCAGAAGAAACCTCTTCATCCGAATAGTAAAAAGAAAGCTGTAACACCAGCCAAGTGTACGTTGTATCTACAGTTTCGATTCTACTATGTGAATGACTTCCATTTGTTCATGTATCATAACAATGAAGTAATGTCTCATTATATTAGCCAAACGTGTCGAGCCTGAACCAACACCTCCATTGCGTCCTGTAACGCGTCGCTCATTAAAGCAAAATGTTGTGGTGCTGAATGATAGCAATGATGATGATGAGGAGGAGGATAATGAGAGCATTAGATCTACAAATCGAGTCAAGAAACAAAAGAAAACGACAATCGATTTGGACTCGGACTTTGAAATACAATCCAGTGATAACGAGGTATCAGACATGAGACTCAAGAAAGAATTAGTGAAGCTAAAGCGACATGATTGTAACGATCAAGACAATGAAAAGATGTCAAAAATGAAGCCAAAGATGAAGACGAGCAGAAACACTGCAGCTTCGACCGTGAATTACTCTGATTTGCCTCAATCAGAGAACAATGTTGTAAAACAGGAAGATGTATTGAAAAAGATACCCGCTCCGTGCTCAGGATGTCTTGATGGTAAGACGTTTGTCTTTTCAGGTGTACTTGAGAGTCTATTACGGGAAGATGCAGTGCATCTTGTTAAAAGTTGCGGTGGGTCGGTTGCAAACAGCATTACGCGTAATACGAAGTATTTAGTGATTGGTACAACGCTAGAACAGGGTGGAGACGTGACAGAGGGATATAAGTACCGGGAAGCAGTGGCCAAGAACGTGCGAATCTTGACCCAGAATGAGTTCTACAATCTCATTACGGAAGCATCGGCAGCCCTACAAGCGCAAGACCTAGCGGCGAAAAAAGCGAAGACCAAGGCAGACACTGTCGCTAGGACTGCGACATCCTTAAAGGGAAAACAAAAGTTGAACGTGTAGGTTGCAACTTCGTGCCCTACTACGAGTGCATTTTTACTGGATTGATAATGCTTATGTTGTACTCAGATCAATGAATAACGAGCTATGGACGGACAAGTACAAACCCCAGACGCTTGACGACATGATTGGCAATACTGAGCTAGGTAAAAAGTTGAAAATGTGGCTTCTTGACTGGGAAGCACTGCACGTGAAAGGAACGAAGAAGATTCCATTTTCGACGAAACTATCGGAGAATCGTGGGGCGAAGACGGTGCTATTGTCGGGTCCTCCCGGTATTGGTAAGACCACGATTGCAAATTTGGTTGCTCGTGAGTGTAGATTTGAATGCACCGAGCTAAACGCGAGTGACACTCGCAGCAAAAAAATGCTGCAATCTGGGCTCAAAGACGTGCTCGGCACACAAGCACTACGATTCGGTGCGTCCACGGGCAAGTCCAACGGAAAAGTGCATTTAGCACGTCGCGTGATCATCATGGACGAGGTCGACGGAATGTCCGGAGGCGATCGTGGTGGTACGGCAGAACTTATACAGCTCATTAAGGAGTCGAAGACTCCAATAATTTGCATTTGCAACGACCGTCAAAGCCAGAAGGTTCGCTCACTGGCAAACCATTCTTTTGATTTGCGAATGCGACGTCCCACCAAGACCCAAATTGGCAAGCGATTGATGGAGATAGCTTTAAAAGAAGGGCTTCATGTAGAAAAGAACGCAATTGAAGAAGCTGTCGATCGATGTGGCAATGATATTCGACAGTTACTGACGCAGATGCAAAGATGGCGACTTACTACCACTAATGTTACCTACGCCGATTTGGTAAACCCGTCGTCGCAGCACAATAAGGATGAAAGTCTACGCTTGAACCCTTTCAGCGCAACACAGCAGATATTTCAGCGTGATCTTTCTTTTGATTTGAGAACTGAGGCGTATTTTGTCGACTACGAGTTGATGCCGCTGATGGTGCAGGAGAACTACATCCAAAGTATCATGAACAACCGGACGTCGCCTGACACAAACTTGGAAGCAGCGATGCACGCGTCAGAGTTCATCTCAGAAAGTGACCTTTTAAACTCGTACGTCCGGATGGAGCAGCGATGGGATCTGCTGACAAAGCAAGCAGCGATGAACGTTGGTGCCTGTGTATACTCGGCTGGATTCATTGGTCACCCGGAGTTTTCCAAGTGCGTTTTGCATATTGTGATTGTTTTAACGTAGGTATGATTGGACTTGCTAACCATGGAGTTTATTACGCGCAGATGGTTAGGAAAAAACTCCTCAGCTTCCAAATCAAAGCGATTGCTAAGTGAGTTGTCAGTCCGAATGCGATCGCACGCCTCCGGATCTCGAGAAGGTTTGTATTTGTTTTTGTGTACAAGTCCGTACGTGTCTTGTGTTGTCATTAACATCAGTCAATTGATGTAATGCAGTGATTCGCCTCGACTACGTACCATACATGAAAGAGATCCTTCTGATAAAGCTACTCTCAGGGGAAGACGTACGTTTCTCTATTGTCAAGTATTGCTACAATCATGATGCAATTGTGAGCCTGACTTATGTGGATGCAGAACATTCATGAGGTAATCGGACTGCTAGATGAGTGCGAGATCACCCGTGAAGACCTTACGGAGTCTATGGAAAGCTTCAAGTTTCCTGGTGTAAAACGTCACTCATACTCGGAGCTGGATTCTAAGGCAAAGACGGCGTTTACGCGAATGTACGATTGCGCACACGACCTTGCGTCTATCTATCGTACAACCTCATGCAACGCGCTCACTGATACATTTTATACATTTCAGGTACAATAAGACATCACACACGTCTCAAGCAGTCGTAGAATCGGTTCTTGGGTCAACTACGATCCAAAAGAGACGAGGAAAGGCTGGTACTGTCAAAGATGAGGAGAATGGTTTCCATGCCGTCGGATGTGGAGAGTGAGCCGGACGAGGAAGAGGACCTGGATGTTAGCAAGTTTCAGAAGAAGCCACGCGGCGCCGTAAAACGCAAGGCTCCTGCTGCTGCCGAGAAAAAAAAGGCGCCACGCAAGGCACCGACGAAAAAGCGCCGCACGTAGCTGAATGGCTGCTGCGCTGTACCTTGAGCTTGCCGATCTTGTAGTACGGTAGTTGGTGGATACGGCTTGTAATTTTGCAGACTGCTTTATGTAATAGCTGGTTTCTATCTTTCGTCGCATGTGCTGTAGAAATTATGAACTCTCAATGCTATTGGGGGGGGGGGGAGAGAGGGGGGGGCGCGGGGGGTTAAATTGGCTTTTTTTTCGCTGCTTTATATGGGTATGAAGTTTGAAAAATGAAAGAAAAGATGAGCAAGAGCCAAACGATATTCAAACGATGCTTTCATCTATATGAGCTTCAAGCTCATATAGAAAGCATCCCTATTACTCTTGATGGGTAGTAGACGTTGAAGATGAAGAGATTCCCACTGAAAAACACTTTGAGTGACTATGATGAGGCAGCCCAAAGTGGCTACAGGCGCGTCATCAGATGGGCATCATTCCTATGTACGATGCCTCGTCTATGTTTTGTCGTAGCAATTTGTTTCATTGATGTCGCTATTCCGTAGCATTTTACGATAAAACCATACTTTTAACGGATAAAAAAGTCCAAGCGTCGACAACGCTTTGAAAAAGCGCAATCGTGACGTCACTGGTTCCATGTCTCGATTTTGTTGACAAGCTTTCTCGATCTCTCTACCTTCAAGTATCACTTTAATCTTCAAACAACATGTACATGTGTCGACTTCGATTCGTACACTTTTGCCTATCATAATATAACTGTGTCCTTCCTTTCTTGCAACTAGGAAGGAAAACCAAATGTTGATGAATGTCACTTGATACTCAAGCCCTTTGTGTCATTTCTAGCTATTAAAAAGATACTTGTATCACTAGGCAATAACATTCATACTAGCATACTATCATGCGATTATATGTACTATACAAACGAAACATGGAGCAAAACCATCAACGATGGATATCCTTACATATCCGAAAAACTCTCCTGTGTTGTCACGGGGTGACGCGGTCTGATATCATGACAGAGTGGGTACACAAGAAGCACTGAAACGATGACGCGCTTCGATTTTCGTGACTTGATGTCCGGTTGTACCACTTTTCATTGGTCAAAACTTGATGCCTATCACCACCATATTCCTCTGTATCTCCTCACTCGTCGTAACTCACTCATTCTTCAATTAGAACTAAAGAAGAGAGAGACAAGAGAAATTACACTATCGATTTGTCGAATTGACAAGGAAAATGGTCGCTCAAGGACTAAATGCCAACGTTCTTGTCTCATCAAATACAAGAGTGGAAGAAAGTGTAGTGCGTAATGAGAACAATCCATTGAATTACTCAAGTATGGAAGAATATGTTACTTTGCAACAAGGTTCTCGTTCCATTACGTCGATTCTTATTGCTAATAATGGGATCTCAGCTGTAAAAGCTATTCGTAGTATACGTAGTTGGTGTTATGAAATGTTTGCAAATGAACATATGATTACATTTGTTGTCATGGCGACACCGGAAGATCTTCAAGCGAATGCAGAATATATTCGAATGGCTGAACATGTTGTCGAAGTACCTGGTGGGTCAAATAATCATAATTATGCAAATGTTTCACTCATTATTGAAATTGCAGAACGCTATAATGTTGATGCTGTATGGGCTGGATGGGGTCATGCTAGTGAAAATCCAGTCTTACCAGATTCACTTATGCAAACGGAACGGAAGATTATTTTTATTGGACCACCTGCAAAACCCATGCGTGCATTAGGTGATAAAATTGGCTCAACGATTATTGCACAAAGTGCAAAAGTACCTACGATTGCTTGGAATGGAGATGGATTACAAGTTAACTATAAGAAACATGATGGTATTCCAAAGGAGATTTATGAAACAGCTATGTTACGTGATGGACAACATTGTCTTGAAGAATGTAAACGTATTGGTTTTCCAGTCATGATTAAAGCCAGTGAAGGTGGAGGTGGTAAAGGTATTCGAATGTGTCATGAAGAATCGCAAGTCTTAAGTGCCTGGGAGGCCGTGCGTGGTGAAATCCCTGGTTCACCGATCTTTGTCATGAAATTAGCACCGAAATCACGTCACTTGGAAGTACAGCTTTTAGCAGATGTTTATGGCAATGCTATTGCACTTAGTGGCCGTGACTGTTCCATCCAACGTCGTCATCAAAAGATTGTAGAGGAAGGACCAGTGCTTGCTCCGTCTGACGAAGTGTGGGAGAAGATGATGCGTGCTGCGACACGTCTTGCTCAGGAAGTTGAATATGTTAACGCTGGTACAGTCGAGTACCTTTTCAGTGAGGTGTCGGAGGACAATGGCAACTCGTTCTTCTTCTTAGAGCTTAACCCTCGTCTCCAGGTAGAGCATCCAGTGACAGAAATGATTACTCATGTGAACTTGCCCGCTGCTCAGCTGCAAGTGGCTATGGGTATTCCACTATACTGCATCCCGGATGTGCGTCGTCTATACAATAAGGATGCGTTTGAAACGACTCCGATTGATTTTGACACGGAAAAGCAAAAGCCTCCGCATGGTCACGTCATTGCTGCACGTATTACTGCTGAGGACCCGAATGCTGGCTTTCAGCCTACTAGTGGTGCAATCCAAGAGCTCAACTTTCGCAGTACGCCGGATGTATGGGGCTATTTCTCGGTTGACTCGTCCGGACAAGTGCATGAGTTTGCTGACTCACAGATTGGTCACTTGTTTTCGTGGAGCCCAACCCGAGAGAAGGCCCGAAAGAACATGATCCTTGCGCTGAAGGAGTTGTCCATTCGTGGTGACATCCACACGACCGTCGAGTATATTGTCAACATGATGGAGTCCGATGATTTCAAGTATAACCGCATCTCCACGTCATGGCTAGACGAACGTATTTCGCACCACAATGAAGTGCGTCTGCAAGGCCGCCCAGACCCATTGATGGTAGTCCTCGTAGGTGCTGTGTGCTGTGCATACCAGGCATCTAATATGCTTCAGGAGGAGTACGTGAGCCAGGTTGAGCGCGGTCAGCTTCCTCACAACGATTTGTTGTCTCAAGAGGAATCGCTTGAGCTTATATACGAGGGCATCAAGTACAACATCAAAGCGTGCCGCAGCGGTCCAATCCAGTTTACATTATTCTGCAACGACTCCTACGTGCAGGTAGAGATTCGCACGCTGTCGGACGGTGGTTTCCTTGTCCTGCTAAATGGCAAGTCGCACGTTGCGTACGCTACCAAGGAGGCACAGGGCCTACGTCTTGTCGTTGACAGCCACACGTGCGTGTTCACCAAGGAGTACGATCCTACGCGATTGGTGACCAACACTGCTGGTAAGCTCGCTCGCTACCTAGTAGACGATGGCGCTAGTCTGCGTCGTGGCATGCCGTACGCTGAGATCGAAGTAATGAAGATGTACATGCCACTGCTTACTCCGGAAGCTGGTGTGATTCGTTTGCTCAAGTCCGAGGGCGCCGTTCTGGCGCCTGGCGACTGCATTGCTACCATGGAGCTTGATGATCCGTCATGCGTGAAGAAGTCGGACATTTACATGGGTAAGCTCCCATCGTTGGAGATTACAAACGGAAACAGCACCAAAGCTGTGCACAAGATGCGCAAGGCATTAGCACTTCTGAAAAGTGTGCTGCAAGGCTACTTTGCTCCTGAGGACCTCACGCAGAAGGCACTAGTCAGCTTGTTTCAGGTGCTGAGTGAGCCCATGTTACCTGTAGAAGAGATCAAAGAGGCTATGTCGTCACTTGCTGGCCGCATTCCGCTTAATGTGTTTGCAAAGATCACGGACAAGGTTCAGACGTTTAAGAAGGCAGTGGCCGAAGATCCCACGGCTACTCATGAGTTTGACGTGTCAGAGGTGATCGAGATCCTCGATGAGCACAAGAAGACGCTGACGAAGGACCGCCAGCGTTCAGACTTCGAGGCCTCAGTAGTGACGCTCCGTGACATTGCTACGAAGTACAAGCACGGTCTGCAGTCTGGCGAAGAGGCTGTGCTTACGGAGTTGATAAACGAATACTTTACTGTTGAAACTGTGTACGCGAACTCGCACAACGTCGAAGATGTGGTGATGGCTTTGCGTCAGCAAAACTCGGCCGACATAAGCAAGGTGTTTGCTATCGCTCGTTCGCACAAGGCTTTGGAAGCAAAGAACAAGCTGCTGTTGCAGCTGCTTGGTCAGATGGCGCGTGGCACTCCTCGCAAATCAGTGAAGGCGGCAGCGTTTGTGCCACTTCTTGAGAAACTTGCAACATTCAAGGAGAAACAGTATTCGCTCGTAGCACTGGAGGCGCGTCAGCTTTTGATTGACAACAAGATGCCGTCATACCGTGACCGTCTGAGCCAGGTAGAGACAGTGCTCAAGAACTACATTGCTGACGATTCATCGAGCGACCTTGCTGCTGCCTGCAGTAACCTTCTAGACCAGTCGCAGCCGCTCTTCGACCTGCTCGTTTCTCTCCTCGATCACGAGGAACAGCATGTCCGTGAGTTGGCTCTTGAATTGTATGCGCTACGTGTATACCGCTCGTACGTCATCGAGTCGATGGAGACCATTACATTTAACGATATTTTCGCAAAGACTTTTCAATTCAAGTCGCCTGTTGTCGATGCGTTAGCCGTTGGAGTTGCCCCTGCGGAGAGCTATGACGACCTCGCGAGCCTGCTGCGTCGCAACAGCTCTGCGAGCTCGCTGGACTTTCACAGCTCGGAGGAACTTAGTGATGATCAGGAAGCTGTTGGAAAGCCGCTTGCCAAGCCTACTGATGGCTACCAAAAGATCTCTCCGGATTTTGAGCGTCATGGTGCCATCGCTCGTCTAGAGAACCTGGATGCATTTCAGAAGTCGTTCACGGACATCATGAGCTTGTTTCCGCTCGCGAAAAAGACGCTGTCGGTGCGTAAGCACCCGCTCGTAAACGTCCTGCATGTTCTTCTCGTGGATGAGCACTTGGACGAGGCGAACTTGTTGGAGCAGGCACAAGTCTACCTCAAGTCGGTGGACCAGGACTTGCGTGCGCACAACATTCGTCGCGTAACGTTTTCTGTGCGTCCACAGAACATTGAGAACATCTCTGCGCACAATGCTGATATGGCGCTATATCCAAACATATACACTTTCCCTGGCCGCCTAAACTACAAGGAAGACAAAATCTTACGCCACATGGAGGCACCGCTTGCTTACAAGCTGGAGCTGCGTCGTCTGCAGAACTACAGTGTGACCCCGTTGACATCGGAGAACAAGAATGTGCACTTGTACCTGGCCAAGATTAAGGAGTCCGACTCCCACATCGTGACCGATCGCTTCCAGCGCATTTTTGTGCGTGCCGTTGTGCGCCAACTGGACCACGATGGCGGCAGCTCTCGCTCGCAGTATGATGCTTACCCTGGTCCGGAGCGCTCGCTCGTGGATGCTTTGAACGCCCTGGAGGTCAACCTGGCCAACCCTTTGGTCAAGAAGTCGCAGATGCCGACGAAAAACAACCACGTGTACCTGAATATCCTGCCGCAAGCAATTGTGGATCCCCAGTATCTCGAAGGTGTGATTCGCATTTTGGCGTACCGTTACGCCGAGCGCCTGGAACAACTGGGCGTTTCAACAGTGGAGCTCAAGATTATTGCGCGTTTCAACAGCGAAGCGCCGGCGATCCCTGTGCGTCTCGTGGCTGAGAATCCGACGGGCTATGTGGTCCGTGTGCAGGCGTATGTTGAGGCTGCTGGTCACGACGAGCCTATCTTTACCTCCATTGGTGACGAAACTCATGGCGAGCTTGACGGTTTACCGGTTACGACACCGTACCCAATTGTGTTCCCGTTCGATAAGAAGCGTCAGATGGCTAAGGCTATGTCCAACACAGTGTACGTGTACGACTTCCTTGAGCTCATTGAGTACAACTTGCTGCGTCAATGGCGAAAGTACGTGCAGCAACGTACGCGCGGTGGCGGTGCAAAGATCACCATCCCCAACCTGCTTATGGAGACGCACGAGTTGGTCCTCGATGCAACGAGCAAAACGTTGACAGAAACATCGCGTCCTCGAGGCCAAAACGATATTGGCATGGTTGCCTGGCTGCTGACGCTGTACACGCCGGAGTTTCCGGAAGGTCGTGAGATCATCATCATTGCTAATGACATCACGTTCAAGGCCGGTTCCTTTGGTACTCGCGAAGACAAACTTTTCGACTTGGCATCGAAGTTGGCTCGATCGAAGGGCATTCCTCGATTCTTCTTCTCTGCAAACGCTGGTGCCCGTATAGGCATGGCTGAGTCCATCAAGGCACTGTACCGGATCTGCTGGAAAGACGAGAGTAACCCGACGAAAGGCTTCGAGTATCTGTACCTGACACCCGAGGACTACAAGGTTGCGTCGTCTGAGGGTTCTGTCAATGCCGAGCTGCTAGTGACCAACACGGGTGAGGAGCGCTATGTGCTGAAGGATATTGTCGGCCGCGAGATCGATCTGGGTGTAGAGTGCTTGCGTGGAAGTGGTACTATTGCCGGCGAAACATCGCGTGCCTACAAGGATGTGTTCACGTTGACGTATGCCTGTGGCCGTAGTGTAGGCATCGGTGCCTATTTGGTACGTTTAGGTCAGCGTACGGTCCAGAACGCTACACACTCGCCAATCATCCTCACGGGCTACCAGGCACTGAACAAGCTTATGGGTAAGGAGGTGTACACCTCGAACGATCAGCTGGGTGGTGTAAAGATCATGCACACGAATGGTGTGACCCATTTAACGTCAAAAAACCACTTGTCGGGCATTTACTCGATTCTCGAGTGGCTGAGCTTCGTCCCGGCGGTCCGCCGCGGTCCTCTGCCGATCCGCGACCTAACGGGGGTAGACGAGATCGAGCGCACGGTGGACTTCTGCCCAAAGGACAAGAGCACGCAGTACGATCCACGCGCTCTACTGGCGGGTAAGACTGACGAGGTGACAGGCAAGTGGGTATCGGGCCTTATGGACAAGAACTCTTTCCGTGAAACGCTTGGCGGCTGGGCGAAGAGCGTGATTGTTGGACGTGGCCGACTCGGTGGCATCCCGTGCGGTGTGGTGGCCACCGAGGTACGTACCTCCGAGAAAGTCATTCCTGCTGACCCGGCAACGCCGGCATCACAAGAGACTTTGTTGCAACAGGCTGGTCAGGTATGGTTCCCGGACTCGGCCCATAAAACAGCTACTGCCATAAAGGATTTCAAAGGCGAGGACCTGCCGCTGTTTATTTTAGCAAATTGGCGCGGTTTTTCTGGTGGTCAGCGCGATATGTTCGACGAAGTGCTCAAATTTGGTGCTGCCATCGTGGACGGTCTTGTCGACTACGAGCAGCCCGTGTTTGTGTACATTCCGCCGTTTGCTGAGCTACGTGGCGGTGCATGGGCCGTGGTTGATCCTACCATCAATGAGGGTATCATGGAGATGTACGCGGACGTACAGGGCCGTGGTGGTGTGCTCGAGCCTGCTGGTCTCATCGAGATCAAGTACCGCAAGGCGCAGCTTTTGCAGACCATGCACCGTCTTGATGACAAGCTGAAGCAACTCACTGCTCGCCGGGCTAAGCTATCACCTGATGAGAAAGGAACAGAGAGTGCTAAGATTTCGGCTGAGATCAAGGCCCGTGAGGACACCCTGCTGCCGATCTACGTGCAGGTGGCGACAGAGTTTGGCGATCTTCATGACAGACCTGGTCGTATGAAGTCTGTGGGCTGCATCCGTCAGGTTGTGCCTTGGTCGAACTCGCGCAAGTTCTTTTACTGGCGTCTGAAGCGCCAGCTTGCAGAATTTTCGCTGCGCCGCAAAGTCGTGGCAGCCAGCGCTAACGGTCCGCGCGCGGCAACGTTTTTGGGCTCGGAGCAGATACTAAAGGGCTGGTTTACGGAGGCTGTAAACGGTGGTCGTGTGCCTCGTCAGCAGAATGTGTCCGTGTCCGAGCTTTGGTCGCATGGTGACTCGGATGTGTTGCTGTGGCTGTCGAGTGACAAGGAATGGATTTCTTCGCGTGTGACAGAACTTCGCCAAGAGCAAATGGCCTCGCAAGTTGTTGAGATTGGCCGCAAGGATCCCAAGGCTGCTGTGGCTGGTATCCTTGAGGTGTTGAATCTGCTTAGCGACAAGGATCGCGAGGAGGCTGTGGCTGCATTGCGTCGTGGCTCTATCTTCCACAAGTAAATTGGTGCGTTAGTTTTTTGCAGATGACGTGCATGAGTTTAGAGAAGAGAAACAATGAATGAATAGGAAAATGGATTGCTTCATGATTGATTATGTATGTACGAACTTGAAGATCAATCACCTTCATTTCAAACACTTAACACTACGTTCTGATGCAATTGGAGGGAGTTCAAATGCACGTGTTTCCTTTGGTCCCAAATGGAGCGTTGACGCTGCTGGACTGACTCCTGTGCTAGCTCTTGGTATCCAGGTGGAAATGACATGGAGCGTTCAAGACCCGCCAAGTCGACCACCGATTTCTCCGACTTACCCAGGATGCTAATATCGTGGAATTTGGTGATAGTAGGCATGGGTGAGCCAATCTCGCCTTTGCTTTCGCAAGGCTCTTCACCGTTCTCCTCTCTATCATTAACATGAGCCGGAGGGGGTGGTGGGATCGACTTGACTTGAGCTTTGGTCTTCTCGGCGAGTACCAACGAACGTTCGTGCATGTACTTACTCCAGTCAAGTTTTTTTGGCTCGGCCAACTTGCCCAGGTGTGACGAGTATTTCTTGACAAACTCGCGCACTTCCTTTTGTAATTCAGCCCGCTGGCGCGGTAGCTCATCCTGCGTAGCCTTGTAAGTTGGTAAGAGGCGGTAAAACAGAGGACGAACAGTCTTCAACTCAATCATACCAGCCTCCACGGAGCGAACACCGAAGAACGAAAACATAGGGAGCGACACCATCAGCAGCATAATTGACGACCAATACCAGTCCGTAAAGGCCACGGCTGCAGCAAGATACATAAACCACAGCAGCGGCACGGCTACAATTGAAAATTGAATTTTCTTGCTGAGAACAACGTCACGCGCCATCACTTTAACATTGGAACCCTCAAGAGCTTTCTTTTGCGCCGTATTCGCCACATAGCGAGCTAAAAGTCCTACCGGTGCATTCAAAATGAAGGATGGAATAGATGATAGCAACAGGATCAGAAGACCGCAAAGCGCTGAGCCCAGTACGTCATGAATGGTCCACCAAGGAATGTAAGGCACCTGGTGGTCCTTTAGGCCCATCTTCTGCAGCGTCTTGTAGTAGGTATCCAACTTGTGTCGCAAAGCCGCAAGGTCTTCTTGTGCTTCGGGCACATCCTGCAACACCTTGTAGCCCTCAGCAAAGCGACGATTTAGGTCTTGCGTCTCTTTAGCAGACAAACGTACACCTGAACGCTGGTACAGACGGCGTGCAGTCAACACCTCTTGCATGACACCATAGCTTGGTGTTGTCACAATTACGGAGCGCATGCTCTCCTCCACACGATGAAGAAATGTGTTGCAAGCTGTACGTTTATCCTCCTTGTACGTTTTCATCAACTCTTGGTCCACACTAATGGGTGTCCCGAACTCTACAGTCACACGTCCACGAAAGCGATGTCCACGAAAGTAATTCAGTCCAACCGGTACTACAGGTACGTTAATATTATACTTGTCCTTCACACCAAGTGCTATAACAGCAACACCTGCTTTCAGTGGCAACAAGTCCGTTCTATCATGTGAACCTCCTTCAGGAAAAATACCAATGCAATTCCCACGCTTCAAGTGTGTATACACCTTAGCAAACGTCACAGATTGATCCACACGTTTTAGAATCCCAAAACTTGCATATTCAAGTACCATTTCTCCACAGTTATTCTTCAATGGTGCATTTAGCAACAATTGCGTATCATTCAATACTTGGATAATTTTCACAGGTGAGCCTGAATCTTTCACACTTTTGGTGCTCTGAAATCGTATTTGATCACCTGGTGTAACTTGTTTCGTAAAACTAGTACCTTGACCTTGTAAAAGCCATAGTGGTATACTCGTGCTATTCGCACCACCACTCGTCGAACTTACAGGAATGAAAGGTTCTTTACTCCTTAACTTAATTTTTCCCACACCTGTTGCAACGGAATCTTGAGGACGTACAACAGGTATACATCCCATTATACGGGCTAAATGTCCAACAATTGGCATATGCCATGACTTTTCAGCAATCATAAAACCAACTTTACGTGGACTTGTCATCATCACTACAAGACCATCAACAAATTGATTTGCATGATTTCCTGTAAAAATCACTGGCCCTTCGGTTGGGACATTGTTTACTCCAATAAGATCTACACTTTTAAATGAGATACTGAGAATACTATTGAGAAAAACACGCGTAGAACGATAAATAACGTCAGCAGCATTATGGAATAAAAGACCAATGGTCATACCAACAGCTAAGAATCCCCAATAATACGAAGGAAGACCAAGAAACTTGCTAATAGCTTTAATAGGACTACAATTGATAATCAGAACAAGCAGAAGCAGAAGATAAATCGGGTTTAGTTATAAATATATCAGTAGATGTTGTGTATACATACTAGGATACTAAAAAGTGTATGCAGAGTGTATACATAGCAAATACGTACTTGAGTGAGTCAATCGACAACATTAGCAGTAAACATAGTGCAAGAAATTGTGTCCATGTATCATTAAGTACTTCCTTATTGTGAAATTTCATGCTAGCAATGACGTCGAGATCGAGCTGTAGAAAATCTATCTAGTTGCTTCTTCTGGGACTGTTTAATTTCGGACAGAGCTTTTTCTTATCGTGTCTTAAAGGGGATCAAGAAATGACGTGCTTCTGAAAAAATGAACGACTGACAGATCGCGTCTGGCGCGTCACCACCCACAGGATTCCGCCGGTGGATGATATCGACTTTAACAGGTATTAAATTGTACAGCTTGTTTTTTGTCAAACCTGATATTTAGCGACGCTAAAAATCAATACATTTTTGTAAAATACAACCAAGCTACAGCTACCGTCTAGAAAGAATGTACCTATAAGTCAATGCAACAATTGCTGTTAAAAGAAAATACTGATAATCAGTATCAACTTGGTATTGCATTACCCATAGCACTTGATGGAGAAAGCACGTATTTGATGTTGCTATAGATATATAAGGTACAGTGTAAGGTTCGTTTACGGCATAACCGATATGGTACCACCGACTTTAGGCAGGCACTTATAAGATTGTAGCCATGGAATAAACAATGGAGCAGTATAGTTGAAGTATGTATACACAGTCCATACGTATACTATACATATATATGGTGAAAAGGCTTATATTTATAAATAATAGGCAATATAATTAATTATATGTAACTGGCTTATATCTTATAGGATAAAAATCAACACGTAAAAATTAACTTCCCTGAATTTTCCTTATCTTAAATTACCAATGAAACGTGCGTTGGTAATTCGCAACGTGTCCAGTCATGATGTGCCTTTAGATAGTTTAGATAATGCATGTGTACAATCTTGTACAGCACAAGGTTTTATTACCGAATTAGCAGTCAATGATGAAGCTGATGTCATGCATCAACTCATGCAGACTCATGCACGTGCTAGTGCTAGCAATGATCGACGTGTTCAGTACCAGGAAACGCCATTGATACGACCACAAGCGACCTCATGTTATCATTCAGCGATTATTCCCTTTGATGCTGTTGTTTTTCGAGCCTCAGGGCTCTCGGAACGCCGTTTGTATGCGTTGTTACGTATTATTCGGACTATTAGTAAGCAGATTTTTCTCTGTGTCTTTAGTACACAACTTGCAGAACATCCCATGGGTCGTTACCAGTGTTTTCAAGAAGGTGCATCCATGGTTACGGAATCTATCGATGATATACGTAATGTCTTGGCTTTTATTGCTTCGTGTGGAGAAGAATCAAGCCACGATGTGTATGCGAGACGAAAAAACAAAGGTAGATCAGGTGGACGAGATGGATTTACGTGTCCATTTTGTGGTATGAATGGCATGGATGAAGATAAACTCTGGAGACATTGTCCAATGTATCATATCAATGAAAAAAATACTGACGGAGTCACGTGTCCAATCTGTCGAGAAACTCCACGCGGTCCTTTCCAAGTGCACATGCACAATGCACATGGACCTCCTGGACGACACGAAATGGTGAGTGAATTTCACATGGCTGATAGTACGCTGTACTCGTTTGCACTGGTTGTGTGTCACAACAAGAAATACAACAGCTTTTTGCTGGTACAAGAATTTGCCAACTCGGGCTTTTGGTTGCCAGGCGGTCGTATTGATAGTGGTGAGAACCCGGCAGAGGCGGCAATTCGAGAAACGAAAGAAGAAGCTGGCATTGACATTCGCCTCACCGGGATCTTGAAGCTCGAGTACCATCCCAAACGAGATCGCAGTGGTAGTCAGTATGTGCGAATGCGCTTTATCTTCTACGCCGAGCCGTTGAATTGTGATCAGCCGCCAAAGTCGATTCCTGACTATGAAAGCGCCGGAGCAACTTGGTGTCGAATTGATCAAGTTGGCTCACTACCACTTCGTGGATCTGAACCGATTACCTACTTTAATCATATCGCATCGGGCAAGGCAATTTACCCACTTGATTTCGTTCAGATGACCTCCTCCTATTCATAGCAAGAATGATAGTAACAACGTTGGGAGAGATTGCAAGTGGCCAGTGGAAGAAACTCGACAATAGCAATAACAAGAGCTAGCAACGTGCTGTGATGTTGTCGCTATTTTACGCAAAGCAATTGCTTTGGATAGAGATGCAAATACTAGAAACTGCTGACAAAGAGGATATGTCATGCGCTATCCATACCAAGTTGTTGTTTTGTCAGTCGTTTGCAGAGACGCAGTTGCGTAACTGAAGCCTGTGATTCCGTCCAGCGGGTTTCTGCGTGTGGTCTTTTTGTAGCCGTCAACATATGGGAGCTTGTGCAGGTTTTGTTTCTCTTCAAAGTCAATGACATGATCTTGTGTGATTAAGTTCTGACAGCCCATTGTAAATATTGTAGCAAATTTAAACTTAGACAAGTTATCATAGTATGGAAACACTGAACATTGGTATCACAATCGAGCCTGTAGCCATCTGTAAATTTCTATATCTTTTTCATGTGACTTAATACAAACCTTAGGGTATTGGTTTTTCAACAATAACCGTATTAGGGATTATTAGATCCTGAAGGCGTACTTAGTACGTCACTAATTGCGCTAAATCAGTAGGTGGCTTTGTAGCTCACTATTAAAGTTACAGTAACTTGATAGTAACCTTGTATGTAATCTCACTAACAGAGCACAGAGTGAAGGACTAGTCTTCCCGTTGACAAAAAACTTCGCAAGTACAAATGTACTTGCTGTTAGAACCTATTGATTCCGACAGGTCATGAGGGTGTTGAAGTTGTACTAAAAGACTGCTACAGGTATAGTGCAACCTTACCTGGCTGGCTAAACTTGCTGACAACTCGACAGATGGGACAAGGAGCTGAGGTCACTACATAAATCAAGGAGCTAAGATCGCTACATGGGACAAGGAGCTAAAGTCGTTACATGGGGACGCCACGAGCGATGTACAACTTGACCAGGTCCAGTTGCAGTGCAGGAAAATGCACGTAGTATTGTTTATCGACAAAGTTACAACTAAATATACTTACTTTTACTTCTACACCTCTTTGCACAAGTACAAAGTGTTGCACTTACTTTTTAAACTTGCGCACAAACTGATACTGGCTTGGCCAGTAAAAGTCGCGGCTTAACGTGAAATAGGTCATCTCACGTCCACGGTGTAGCCGCAATACCAAATCCAAGCTGCTACATGGGCTATAGTAGAGGAATACAAGCTCTATCTTTACATCTCTAGGGTTCTTAACCCTCACAAAGACTAGCTCACAAGGATATGCCTTCTTGGTTATACAACCAACGTCTCTACGAGACCAGAATCACAGATACTGTTCCTTTTTGAAACTAATTTATTTACTCTGATCTTTGGCACTAACATATTTATACATTCTGTACTAAGTGTTCACATTTGTCGTACCACCAAGTTTGAGTCTTCACAAATAATCAATCGCCGTCGTTTAAGGGGCTCTTACAGTTCAAAGCCCAGTAACATACCCTCACATTTGGCCTCATTTACTGTAAGTGTGACGAGGTAGCCTTGACTATAGTCCATGTAGAAAGTCTCCATACAATAGCGCTAGAGAACCCACCTCCTTGTTTCACACGAGCCGCCCCATCAAAACTCATGACATACAAGTCTTTGTCGGGCTCCACGGTAAGCGTAGGTAGGTCAACTACTTACCTTGCCTGTTTCTTTGGTCACACTTAGTCACATACGCTTCCTCTTCACTTGTGTACATGGCACCTTCTTACATTATCATTATTGAAGTAGCATATACTGTATTTACAGTATAGGATTAAGGTGACACGTTTACCTAGTAGCACTTCATAGTCTTTTCAAGGACCGAGGATGCATCCGCTATGCAACTAGCGGATGTGAATAGTTCTCACGCCCCCGTTTTTAAAAAGTCGACCCTGGTCCCATAAGGTAAACCTCGGTCTCCCAAGGTCAAGCTTCTCCTGGTCAATCAGCATCAAGAACCGCAAGGATAGAGTAAAGGAGATAAGAGATATAATTATATTAAATACTACGCATTTTTGGATCTATGTGGAACGACTACGTCACGCTTGTAAGGAAATTGCTAAGTCCACCCAGATGTTCCGGGAAGGGATGCATTTTGCCCCCCCTCTCGAAGACAGTCGTGTGGTAATACTCAAAAATGCAAAGAGATCCCCAGAATATATTTGGCCTGTGAGTTCGTTTCGAGTATCTCCCCCAATCGACCCGCTATCGGAAGCGGTCTCCCTACCCTAGCGGTTCGGGAGCAAGTATAAGCCAGGCGGTTAGCACCCCCGAACAATTAAGGAAAAGGCCAGGGTCTAGAAGCTCCCCTGAAGAATTTGGTTATAAGTCCACCTTCGACCAAGTCGATCGAGCGGACACCTATTCGACCATTGGGTGAAGAATATCCACTGAGGCAATCCCAGTTCGACCTCTTTCAAGCCCGACATTTACGTCCTCGTCAAGTCTTTTAAAGAGTGCAAATTGCCAGGCGACGGGTACACGAGGTGAAAGAATGTCCATACGCGGCATCGGGGTACCCTTCGACAGTCGGCAGTCCGGCACAGTGAGCGGTTTGGGGTCTCATCACCGTTTTGACAACCCACTGCACCAAAATAGTGCGCGCGCCCGGATCGGGGAAGACGCGGGATATCACCACGAGTCCCAAGAAGATAGAGATGTTCAAGCAAGATTGAGCAAAAGACCGAAGAGTCACTGGGAGAACGATAGACAGTGACTACAGAAGAAAACAACAAAGGATTAGAAGAACAAACGGACCTTGGGAGGGGTCCGGTCGACATGGTCAAGGTTGAGCTTATTGAAGAAAAACCGAAATACCCTTCCTATGTCTTTGGAGAGGACACCTTGGGTCATGATGACATCTATCATGCCCAGAGTATTGATTTGAAGACTACAGAGCCTGGCCGAGACGAGAAAAAAACCAAAAAAGGTAGACCGACTGCGACAGGATAATACAAAAAAGATGACATCTGTTGATGGGGAAGGGTAACGCCTCATCACCGGCCGCTTGAGGAAATACAAGGCCCGCAGCTTGAGAAGGGTCGACAAAGCAATCGGATCTCAAGGGTATTCTTGACGGGATTGCTCTCTAAGAACGCATTGCTCTTGAGTCGATGGTAAGCCTTGGTCACGTCAGCGTCCGACTAAGTCGACAGCCCTGAGCTCGCAGGGCCACCAACTTGGTGCTACCTGGCGCCTTCATCCTGAATTTGCTTGGCTTGGACATGGCGATCTTTATTTTTTGTAACATATTTTGTTTTCTTTTTCGTAAAGCATAGTCTATCAGTTTTCACCTTCGACTGATGATCCTCTGGGGGAGTGACATTCGAAAAGTACCACTTCTTCATAGAGTACGGTTACTTCAGAAGTAACGCTTGCAAAGTTCATTTACTTCTTAAGTGGTTATGTCCCCATAACCCTGTAACCTGTACCCTATACCCTATCGGCATGTACCCATGGTACTATGTATCCATGTACTGTGTATCCATGTACTGTGTACCCAACTTCTGTGTACCCATGGCACCGCAACCTGTAGAGATTTATATCCTTTGTTATCTGATGTACCTATCTCTGAGAAATTTATATATCAAATTTTGCAGGTTTATGATTGAGCAAGCACTTCATGTGTTTTATACACCATATTGCAGTATAAGAATGATTTGAATATCTTTCTTATACATACACTCAGTCATAATTTCTTTCGGCACTTTGTCTTAAAATTACTATGTAATTTTTAAGCCTTTTTGTAAGCGCGCTTTAAAATTGAGTGGCTCGCAGACGACGGATATACACGTGGGAATTATTACTGACGAAGGGTGGAAGGTCCACCTCCGTATGATCATCCACCCTCGATTTACTTCTTCAGCCCAGATTTCTCCGCTTTTGAACGTAACAATAAGGCATCCGCTTGTGGCTTTCCAACAGCGGCGCCTCACCCTCCTCCGTTGGGCCCACCTTATGGTCAACCTGGTCGGTCCTCGGCCGCAATGTGTAATGGTCATCACTGGAATGGGTTCCCTTTGCCTCTGTGTATGCCTGACGAGACGTCTCGCTGTGGTGTCTCCACCAGCGGTCTCTCGTCCTCCTCCGTTGGGTCGACCTGGTTGATGGTAAATCTTACGCCAGATTTAGCCACTCAGCTTATCTTCGAGATCCCACCAAAACGAAGACTTGTGCTCTTGGTTCCTGGTCCCTCATCAACCATATACCTATATTGGTATCGTCGTGCAATATTAGGGAGTGGAAGATAGTTTTGGCTACCTTGATCGCACAGCGTGTACGGAAAGTGGCCCCTCAATTCATAGAAAAGTTAGCCTACCTAATCAAGGGACTGTTATCTGCATGGGTTATCTTAACCTCTGCCTCGCCATGGTCCAGCCCAATCGTAATTATTGTGAAAAAGAATAGAAGAGACATCAGGTTGTGTATTGACTACCGGTTGGTGAATGGCTTGACCCAGATTATGGTCTGCCCTATGCCTCTAATTAACGAATTGTTGGAGGATCTAAATGGAGCATTGTGTTAATTTTTTTGTTCCCTTCACATGGCAAGTGGGTTTTGGGTCGTCGGTATGACCGAGAAGGCGAGAAGGGTCTCAGCTTTGTCACCTCGCTGGTATTATATGAATGGATTTGGATGCCATTTGGGATCAATAATGCGTCTCAGGTTTATCAGAGATTGTTGTATAATGCTTTGTTTGGATTTTTACGAACAAGGAAGCCTTAACACTGTTACAGAGGAGGCCGAGGATATGCTTGGGATGAGGGACCCGGATGTCAATTCCGGCGTTTCGGTACTGGGTCGACGGTCCTTCATAGACGACATTCTTATACCGGCCGACTCGTTGTATATGTTGTGCAAAAAGTTGTAGCGACTGTTAGATGTGTGTGACGAATAAAACTTGTTCACCCCCAGCGCGGTCAAGAACTCGTGGGGATGCCGGAAAGTAGACCACTTCTGTAACCGGTTCTCTTACCAAGGACTAGAGGCCCACCCAAAGGATCTTTAGTCCTTACTACCGACAAACCAAAGCCATGCAATCGTTTCTAGGAAGTCTGCATTACTGTAGTAGATTCATTAAAGACTACGTCGTGTACACATTGATCCTTTACGAATAAAGAAAGGTGGAATTTCACGCGTGGCAGTGCAAGATGAAGATTAAATACAGTGCGGTGACCAAGGTGAAAGACGAAGATAAAGGGTCCAGATTCGAGTAGCCTTCGCTATGCTCAAGAATTAGATTTCTACCGCACTTATCCTGCGACCTTTTGGCCCGTTAAAGAAAGTATCGTTCATGCGAGTGAATGGGCCATATACGCGTCATTGGTACAAGACCATGGTGGCATCCTAATGTCGGTGACTTTTACGAGTCGGACCCTTAAGGTTAGCGAATTGAACAACAGTACGGTGGAGAAAAATGTGCTGGCTTTATTATGGATAATGGAAACTCGTGTTTACATTGTTTGTCACTCGACCCCTCAAAGTTCTGACAGACATTCGACAATGACGTGGTTGGTCAGATCTACCGGGTTACATGGACGTCTATGAAACTGGGCGACCCTCTTGTCCCGATTGAACTGTGGAGACTGTGAAGTGCGAGAAATGCAATGACCAAGTACGAGGGCGCTGGCGGCCACTATTACCCTCGAGAAAGTGTGGACTTGATTTTGTCGTCAATTGCTCTTCTTTGTTACGATAAACTCAATACAGCTGAGTTTATTCGAATAAGCCTATCTGTTAAAGCCTTATTTAATTATATCTCATAGAGATATGTATACTAGCTATCTCCCGGCTGTTCATTGCGCGCGTCCATTGTTATATGGATCGCTTGTATTGGCTGATATGATAATTTGTATCAAATGAACAGTTGCCACGTAATATTACCAATTGATGTAACATTCATGAGTATTATCAAGCTCTAGTATGATATTCGCACAATAAACCTATTGATGTTGCTAGTGTCATGTAACAAGCTTACCGTTACATTGACCACAAACAGGAATGCAATTTATATTCAATCTCCCGTCAAACAAATAATTTAATGCATTTGAAACTTGAGTACCCACCATCACGAGCGAGAGGCGAAGAAAAACTTCATGTTCGTACAAATCAATAATCTGCCGGAAAAAGAAATATGTCTTGTCAATTCTTTTAAATATATCTTTGATCGCAGGACGCTCGTGCGCTTACGATGTTCTTCTACTTATGTTCTAAAGCTAATATTGTGCTCACTTGACCTCTATCTATGCTCAAATAGGCATCATGGACACCGAAACTGCTAGTGTTAGTCTTGCCTAACATTGTGCGTGTCTGGTCCTTTTTGACTATCACTACAAGCAAAAGACCGTCGTGCAATTGGATATGTTCAATGCTAAGCACCAGATATTCTAAGTATCAATTGCGTCTTCGTTTAGCATTTCGCTGACATTGCTGCTGCATGTATTGCCGATACGAGATAAAAACACGGCTAGAAAAGACAGTTTGAGGTAGTACCACAAACAGATTCTATTCATGCTATTGAAATGCATTGTACTTGGCACAAGGCGTGCTACATCGCTATCGATTTTCCTATTGATACTATCTTGAACTTTGCCATGGCATATCGCTGCCATGTGGTGGCCGCTCAAACGTCAAATTAAAAAAAGCCATATATTTCTCCTTACAAGGCGAGTTGATCGGACAGTATTCCTGTCCAGAGCACACCTTCGCAAAAGTCGGGAGCTCTGATGGCTCTGATGGCTCTGATGGCCATGATGCCGAATGCGCTATATTTTGTGTGCCACTTTGTGATCCTGGTATTTGCAAGGTACCACCTGACTATGTATGCCCCATTATCAACATTTTTGTAAAGTGGATACCTGCTGCTGGTTAAGCGACCCAGAAACTGCGCAAGATGTCTGGCTGCTACAAGATGCTCTGAATGGTTCGTCAGCTTCTCGTAAGGCGTAATTTAACTTATTGCCTACCTTCTTGTATAATGACCGTTTTTTTGTGCAGTAGAACCGTTTATAAAGGAAATACATTAACATTTGAGTGGAGCGGTAAACGTCTTTACCATGAACCGACGTGGAACCGGTCGCAGTACATCATTGGATTGCGTCGTAGCAAAAGATAATTTCTCCGATGATATACGAATTTGGGTGTGCTCAAGCTCTGCAGAGAAATTGCGGAAGCCTTTTGTCATTATCACCAAAAGCTTTTTAAAGGACGTAGCAACTTTCATTTTCGACTACACAAATGGTGCTAATACCATTGTGTACGGTCGGGGGGTATGGTGCTGGGCTTGCGGAACAAGTAATGCGTCTTGATTGTCCTGAGTGACGGGATATGTTCTGGATGGTATTGCCACAACTTCAGGAGCACCTCGAACCCAAGCGTTTTACACGTCAATGTCAGACATTGATGTTCGAGACGAAACAAGCTCAACGAGCTTTACGTCTTGGGGTTTTTAACCCTCCCAAGGCTAGCTTTACAAGCTTGTGCCTTTTGGCTATAAATAGCTACGTCTCCAAGAGACGCGTATCAAAGATACACTTCTTTTTTTAAAGAATTAATGCTCTAGCACGTATGCTATTCAAAGCAGGATTAAAAAAAACTGATTTATTTAAAATGTTTATCTTCTAGCACCAAATATAGAAGCACCTACTCTATACTTAGTGCTAGTCACTATTTATCCGACTCCGTAACCCTTCGTACACCACACCACAATGGTGTGGCAGCTGTGTATCTACATTACATATTTTGTGTAACCGTTACACGTAGGAGGTAATGCATTGACGACGGAGATACTCTTCAAGATCTAATTACAGAGTTTGACGATGACCTAAAGTCGACGCGTGCTGCTTTTCTATCTAAAATGAATCGCAGCAACGATCGTGAGCTGCCCTCGTGTATACTAAGGATAATCCTGGGACGGATGCTCACGGTCACTTTCATGCGCACACTACTCCCTCCTTTTGTCTATAGATTCAAACGCTGTACGCCCGAGGATATCAAGGTTCTAACACACTTTTTCACGAGGTTGGTTGCTCTGGTAAGCAACGACAGTCATTTTGAATCGTTTACACTGAAGAATGTTATCACAATTTCTGAGATATGGGAAAACCCAACGCCATCTATCTTAGAATTGACCTCGCGGCTCATGAGTCAGAAAAAATGCGGGTGAAACGTCATTGTCACTTGTCCCGATGTACAGTGCTTTCTAGAAAGGTAAATTAGCAGAATGCAATCAACATGGTGTGAGGAACTATTCCGCCGACGGGATTACTGACGAACCGGACGAGTATTGAAATAAACGTGCAAAGATTCCTACCCAGGCATGTGTCCTATTGGTGAGTGGTAAATTGGACACGATAACGCATTTCTAATATGCTAAATGCTTGATGAAGGCACTCGATGGTGACAGAAAAGAGTTGGTGACGTTCAAGTATGGATCTCATGTAACTTTTCAGGGCACTTCAATGAGCGAACTCACCGAAATGTGCGGCATGAAGCTTGTGGTGTCGTACGTGACCAATGACTGCGATTTGGAGCATCTTGACAAGTCCTGCATCGATAAAATGCCCGTGTTTAGAATGACTACGTCGCGTGGAGATCAGTATCTTTGGATGAGCACGAAAGATGTTTATGACGAAGTTTACGATAACAGTGTGTTTGAAAGCGTTCCCGCTGGAATCAGGGGAAGTTTCGAACAGATGGATCTGACTGCTTCGTTCTTGACTCAAGGTTTTTGCTTGTTGCCTCTCGTATCGCTGTCCGCTTCTAGCCTACTATGCTAGCCTGCTGAGCTATAAGCTGACAGCAATACGAAAGGCAATAGCCAAATTTCGAGGTTTGCTTCGCATAGATACCATTTCTATGATAGGTGCTAAGACACCATTCACTATGGACGCGATAGATAAGTGCATCTACATGTTGATTGTGCTGTCGTAACGTATTTCACTGCTTATAGATGGCATGATCGCTCTTAACTTACAATTGCTGCACTTTCAATCAAAAAGGCATTTCAAGATATACACTTAACATACGAAACGATGTACTCCTTGCCTAACTAAACTAACCTGCTCACTCAATTTGAAAGGTATTCTCCCCTAAGTACATACAGCATTTTGTTCTCCACGACAAGTTGCTGCATCGAAAAAAGTGCGTCGGTCTTTAAGTGCGTTGGTATGAGTGAGAGTAGCGCGTTGACGCAAGCGCCGACTGCCGAGTCGCATTTTAGGGTCGATTAAAGAGTAAAGTCAACTTGTCAGAAGCTAAAACATATGCAGCTTATCCTGACGAAATAAGGATGAATACAACCGCCTGCTCGTTGAATGCTTCAGTGTCCCGAAAATCTGTTGCCTCTTCCGTCAATCGGCCTCGCATTGAAATGCTTAGCTGCTGCTTTGCATGTAAATATGGGGGGTGCTTGAGCGGTGGAGTTTAGCTTTCATCCACGAAGACCGATAGCCTGTGTTTTGATGTGAGGAAGTCAGGTTAGTCTTACCTCAATTCCCGCTTACTCGACCAAGCATTCATGTTCTATTTTCTGCAAACCCACGCTAACTTACTCACGTGTTCGATGATTGACTTAGATCAAGGATCAGGCTAGAAAGGGCCTGAACAAGTGAGAAGGTTTGTACATCAAGTAGAATTGATACAGATACGAAAATACCTGCTGAGGAAACTCATTCCAGAAAAAATACATGAGCTTGTTGAGCCGTAGCACTTCCAATGACATGCCTTGTCCCATGCAGACTGTCTACCGCGTGAAGACGCTGTCATAATGAGGGCGAAAGGTGCTTGTTGGCGATGTTTTCCCCTTTTCTGCAGCTTCAATTACGGCATTTGGGACCTCAGTCTTTGAGCTTTTCTCCGGCTTTGCTTTCTTTGCAAGAGCTTTGATTTTTGGCTCTCCTTGGTCGCAAGACGTCTTACCGGGGAGTCTCCTTGCGATCTTTTCCTCCTTGATTGTGACTACAGTTGGAGTTTTCTTGGGTATAGACGAATTTCTCATGGCTGCTATAGGCTCTGGCGTAGGTGAGGTATGCTGTTCGGTATCCTCCTCGTTTCTTCCAACAGCCCCAGACAGCGCTTTTTCCACAACTCTCCGCTTACGCTTTCGTGGCAAATCCTCCTTTGGAAGGCAGAGAGAAGTAGTAATACTGTCATTGGCAAATGGTGTAACAGGCACACGCATGATAGCATTTTCGTCATGTGGGTCAAATGTATCCACATCGAAAACTGGGCATCTTGGACAATCATTGTTCCAACAGTGGCCACTCATTTCCTAGCAGAAAACAACAAGACACAACGTATCAGAAGGTGAACACAAACCAATCAATGCAATCTAAATCGTACCTCCTTCTCCACACCACAAAGCTCGCATTGAGGAACTACGGCAAGATCGATCACTGAGAGATTACTTTTGTCCCAAAAACCGTTCTCCAGGTAATTCAAATTTAGCCGTGCTTGCCACTCGATTAAGTTTGGGCGCTTCTTAAGCTTTTCACGCCGACGCAATGCAAACCGTTTCACAACGTCCTGGAACGCAACGTATCGCGATGGTGTCGTGCCCATGAGGACGGCATCGTCATGTAGCCCAAGTTTCTCCCGAGCTTTAGCATTATTGCGATTGCGGCTGTTTTGACGAGCAGTCTTGGGAAGGCTATCATTCGCAAGTTGCAAGTCTTTCTTTTTAAACACTTGCAGCACCTTGGTGGATTGGATTTCCACTGTGCACGTATCCCGATCCGCTTTTTTTACAATACCAAATCCCTTACGATTCGGTAAATTCACCTTTTTCTCAATCCACGAAATGCCATAATTTCCGCGAGTTGACACACGACGTAAGCGTTTGCCACCATCATCATCGCCTTGGGAGTCTTCAGTTTGTTCGGCCGCCAGAACGTCATCCATGCCGCTGTGACTAGCCTCATCGTCATCAACTTCCTCGTCTCCGTCATCATGTCGGTAACTTACTCCATTGACACGACCCTCCGCACGGCGCTTTCTTTCCTTTTCAAGCGTCTTGGCATGCAGCACCTTGATCGTCTCCAAGTCCTCAAGCAGCGTGAGCTCGTACGCACGTTTAGCCGTATTTTCGCTCGAATTTTCAAGCTTAAGCTGAACCCAGCCATTTCCCGAACGCAGGACGCGGCCATGTTGGCCCTTGAACTTACCGACATTGATTCGACACTTGCGGCCAATCCACATGTCTGGATCAAGAACAGAAAGCAGTTTCCCTTTTGACCCATTTTTCTTGTGAGCTACAGCAGACATTTTTTGTTTCTTGTCCTTTTGATCTTCTTCTTCCTCCTCTTCTTCCTCCTCTTCTTCCTCGTCGTCATCTTCGTCCAACACTGCGACCAAATGTGATCGACGCAGCGTAAGCGCAATATCCTCATCCCCATCAAGCTGCACTACAACGCCCGCTTTCCCATGTCCAATGACAACTCCGTCCTTTTCGTCGTACTTCTTCAAATATCGTTTCTCAGCTCCATAAAGCGTCTCTAACTTCACCTGCACACGTGTACCAAGCTCTAAATGGTCTTCTTCACTCTTCTTCCCATCGTTATCTTCTTCTCTCTCCTCTCCTTCTTCTTCCTCTTCCTCCTCCTCTTCTTGATGCACCATGAAATTACAAAGTGGAGACGACATTTTCGGACTACCAATCTCGTCTCCATTTTGAAGCACCTCTAGTGCCGACGGTCGATATTTATATACCACATCCCCATCACGAATCCTCACTTTGTACCATGTATTGGGATGATGTGGTACCTCTTCCACCACACCAAGTTTGTGCACTGTATGAGGTACGCGTTGTTCGACATCAGGTGTCTTTAGAATACGAACAAGCGTCCCTTGTTCCAGTGTATTGAGTTCTCTTGCTGTAAGTGAGACTCGAAATTTGGCATCAATAGCATCCAGCTCGGCTTCATCCGCTTCGTCCACTGGTTCATCTTCTTCCTCTTCAATCTCTTCTTCCTCTTCCTCCTCTTCTTCTTCTTCGTCTTCTTCTTCCTCTTCTTCTTCTTCATCAGCAGATGATCCACCACCATGTAAAGGTTTTGATAATGCACGTATTAATGACTTGGACGTAGTAGATCGTGTCGCACGGGAGAGACTGCGACGCGGCCGACGGACGTCATTCCTAGCCGTCTCTTCCATTCTTACTACCCTTTTGTCAGCCTCTTTTTTGTTTGTGTATGGACAAACAAGAATGATGGTCAAAGGTTATTGATCTATGATCTAACAGAGGTACAGGTTATTTGGTGTGGTGTACACACTCACACAAGTACACCTCACAGAGCCAAATAAGATGATGATGAAGGGTAAAGTAGTCGATAAAGAGGATAAAAATACAGTGACCTTAAGTCCAACAATCGACAAGAGCGTTAGTTCAACTAGTACTTATCATCATCAACAACAACATCATCATCAAAAGAAAGAAATATCGGATGTGAATGTACCACAAATTGCACCATTAGCCAAGTATAAATTGGTCTTTTTAGGTGATCAAGGTGTTGGGAAAACATCCATGATTACACGTTTCATGTATGATACATTTGATAATGCTTATCAAGCTACAATTGGTATTGATTTTCTCTCCAAGACAATGTATATGGAAGATCGTACTGTGCGATTACAGTTATGGGATACAGCTGGTCAAGAGTAAGATTGAACAAAAATGGTATTTGATTGATTCAAGTGGATTTCGGATCTCATTTCTCAGTGCCCATATTGTAATGCTCAGACGCTTTCGTAGTCTCATTCCTAGCTACATTCGTGACTCTTCCGTGGCCGTTGTGGTCTACGATATTACAAGTGCGAGCTTTTAGAATGGTGCGTTCTATATTCGAGAGAGTTTCAATTGTTAACTGGTGACGTTTTCTGTTGTTACTAGATCGCGCATCATTTTTAAACACAAACAAGTGGATTGAGGATGTACGCACAGAACGTGGACAAGACGTGGTCATTATGCTCGTAGGCAATAAGACGGATATTTCAGACCGACGCCAGGTATCCATTGAAGAAGGTTTGGACAAGGCCAAGGAAGAAAACGTCATGTTTATTGAAACAAGTGCCAAGGCGGGTTACAATATCAAGGCACTCTTCCGGAAATTAGCGACGGTGTTGCCTGGCATGGAGAACACTATGATAAGTGGAGACTCGAACTGTGCGTTAACCTGGTTGACTAATTTGAAAGATGATATCTCTAGTAGTGTCCATGGCTGACTGTATTGTGTGGTTGTTGTCCTTGTTCAATAAATGCAGTGATTGATATTAAGCTGACGGCCGCGCCGCCTCCAAAGGATAGCACTGCGGAGAAGTGCAATTGCTGAGAAAGGACTCTCAGAAAAAAAACTTAGTAGATGGATCGAAGGATAAAATTCAAGCAGTCCGGTTACACACGTATGGGCAAAGAGCAAGATACATGTGGGGGCTATCGGAGCTATGTAGCGTATGCGCTCTCTCAAGATTAGCTTTGCGCGTATACTCACAACTTTGCTGTCTCTTTCACCCTTGCGTCAGCGTTGACTTGTCAAACAAAGAAGGAAGTACATGCATGTAAGCGTGTTTCCTTTCAAATGTGGTGACGATTGATGACGCTGTGCGGGGTCTTTGTTGGCTATGGCGTAGAACCAAAACAGTAGCTGACAGCGGACAATAGCTGTGGCTTCTAATTTGACTGCTGTTTTGCCGTTCTTTTCATGCTCAAGACCTTTCTTCTTCAAAGTGGTCTGTAAGTCGATAGCAACCTTTTTGCAGGAACCTCTATCAGCTTGCTGGAGCTTGTCACCGATAGGTAACGTCCGTGATACGCCAGTACCGTGTCGATATACATTCTAGCACTGCCAGTATAGTTGATGCCAACGCTTGTTTCCAACGAAAGGTCTTAACATTCAGCTCAAGGCACGATATACGAGCGGTTCAAGTGCGCAGCGAGATAGGCATTGCCCGAGTGCAAATGAATCTAGCATCATGACATTTTGGAAAGCCATGCGTTTTACATTCAACAGCACGAAACGCAGCTTGTCAAGTAGGCGATTGAAGAAAGCAAGCATGATCATTTACACCGACCATACAAGTTTACATCCTTTTGCTGGCGTTTACCGCCAGGGCCTGACGGCCGTCGACCATGAGTGTGTACTGCGATACGCTACAGCTAAAGTGGTGCCGATCTTCCGTCGGACTGCCACGCTCGGGCCAACAAAAAAGTCGTGTTCGCTGCTGTGTTAAGAAGTAATCGACCATGTATTCCGACCAACATATTGAGGCACATTGACATGTATCGATTGTAGGAATTAGCTACACATGATCCTCACAAAGGTCTTTATTCTCTGCTCTTCAACATAAGCCGCGAAAGTTTTCGGGCGCGACAATGACGAGGAGCATCGTATATGTACGTTATCGCTGCCTACAAGTACATTGGTAGGTACAGCTTCTTCTGCAGTTCTTTGTCGGATGTAGAGTCACTTTTGGATCCATTTTCATCATTCGTGCATGACTGAATGCTCCCAGGTGCTGGACACGTTGGCGATTGTTGCTGGATAATGGCATTTGGCTCAAGAAGACCGCTTTCTGCGTTTGGTGTATCCAGCTCGGATTCCGAATCCTCAACAACTGCCACTTTATTTGTCAGTTGACAAGTTTTCTGATTACCGTCCTGCTCGCCAACAATTTCTCTGTGGCGAAAGGTCGTAGCTCCATCAAACAACGCGTTCATATCACTAGCACGACTGACAACACCAGGTTTTTCTTCGGTAGGATGTAGTGTAGGTAAGTCTTCTCGTATCAGCATCCCCGACACCAGTTCGTTGGCCACCTCAATCATTTCATCTTCATCACCGTCCACGTTTTCTAATCGATTCTTCGTAGCAGACTTTTTTGCATGTTTATTTATCGGCACAGCGTCATATCGAACTCGGTTCTGTTGCACAATCAAACCGTCACGACTTCGTTGATATACATCCTGAATTCCCTTGAGCACACCATCAGGTTTCCAACAGATTAAGTTTGCTATACCAAAAAGCTCTCCTCGCTGCTGTGGGTTTCCTTGTACACCTTCAAAGTAGCGTGGTGCATTGGCGCCTTTCAAAGTTGTGTCACTAAGTTGCTGCTTATAAATCTGTCGAACGTAAATCATCTCTTCAATTGTTCCAAGCGTAATGAGTCTGTACACCTGCACATCTTTGGTTTGGCCGATACGATACGCTCGATCTTGAGCCTGACAGTCGTGTGCTGGGTTCCAACTAGGATCAAAAATGACGACATTTGTTGCACTCTGCAAGTTCAGACCCACACCTCCAGCTCGCGTACTGATTAGGAATACAGTCGTGTTGCTATCAGGATTGTTAAACTCGTTTACCATTTGCAAACGTTCCTCCACCTTTGTCTTTCCATCCAATCTACTGTATCGTGTCGCTTTTGTAATCAAAAAGAGCTGAATAATGTCTAGCATCCGAGTACTTCGACTAAAGATAAGCGTTCGTTCTCGGCGTTTCTTCCATATCGCAAGTAGTTTCTCTAATACTATCATCTTGCCACAAGTCTTCGTTGAGATAGCACACATTTCGTGAAAATTTGACACTTGATTTACACCTCCAACAACATCAATGTCGCTACCAAATGCTGCCTTTGCAAACTCGGCTTGGTAATGTTGTAGCTCCAATCCATCATGTGGATTAACCTTGAGCAACTCTAAATGGTTCGACAGCTTCAATAGCATTGCTACACACGGAAGACCCATACAATTTGGACAATTTTGGCACGCCTTATCATCGTGAAAGCGTTCATACAGCAATCCAGGAGCATCACCAATGTCCCTGGGTGTTTTGTAGCAGCATTTCTTTCGCTTCTCTTTACTATCGCGACCACAGTCACAAATTTCGTCTCCACGTTGAAGGAGCTGAAACTCGGGCATCGCTAATACTCGCTGATATGCGGCCATTTGAAGCGGTGTAAGGTCACAGAATACCACTTGATCACTCTTCGTGACTTCTTGGAACATCGGATTAACTTCTTTCTCTCGTCTGAGGTAATAAGGTTGCAGCTTTTTTCGCAACTGCTTTTCTTTCTGTCGGCCTCTTTCAACAGCTTCAGGAGCAGCAGATTTCTTTCTTCCATACTTGATATCATTTCCGTAATACAAACTAAACTCCGTCCAAGAACCGATTGCCCCCGGAGCAATCGTGTCAACCAAACAATGAAGTTCTTTCTCATTATTTTGCATCAATGTTCCTGTTAGTCCAAGTTTCTTGCGGCACTTTATCGCTTTCACAGCTTTGGTAAGTTGAGCTTCAGGGTTCTTCAAGCAGTGCATCTCATCCAAAATCACAACCTTCCACGGAATTCTGTGAAGTCGATGCAGATACATTTTCAGGATATCGTAGCTGCAAATAACAATTTCATACTCACCTCTACACAAGCACATAGTTGTCATAGGTAAAGCACAAGCACATACTTAGCAACATCAGGCCAAAACACTCACCAACCTTGCAATTTCGTCGATCATTGCGTCACGGTCACTTGGTTTTCCTCGAAGAATAATAGTGCTGCAGCTCATCCATGTATGCAACTCTTGTTCCCAATTCTGGAGCAGAGATGCAGGCATCACAATAAATATTGGTGCAACCTCACTAGCAAAGTTATAGTTCGAGTCTTCAGGATGACCAGTGCAACCATTATTGCTATACCGTTCACGGCGCTGATGAAGCAATGTCCTCCATGCGTCTTTGTCGCGGTGATCGCCACGTTTACCTAAAAGCGCCGACAGGAACGCAATGACCTGAATCGTCTTTCCAAGTCCCATATCATCACCCAAAATGGCGCCAGTGTCGCGTCGATAGGCGCTGTAAAGAAATTCTACACCTTCACGTTGGTAGTCAAACAGGTAGCTATTCATGCTTGCACACACTTGAAGAGTCTTGACTCCTTCCTCCTTTGACAATGCCAGAATCATAGACCCCACGTTGATCTACCAAAATCAAACATAAAGGTTTACAATCCTTTGCCATCGTGACACACAACGAATAATTGATGCATACAAGCGCACCTTAGGCGGATCAAGTTGCGGCCATCTTTCACAAATAAAGGCTTTTGCTTCCTCCTCGCTAGAATCACATAGTTCTGGCTGTACTTGTTTACGTGATTGTTTCTTCAATGGCGTCATATTGTCCTGCACACTCTGTCGACTACCAATATTGGTTGGTCGAAAAGGAGTTAAGCGTGTCGTGTTATCTGCTGCAACCACCTCGGTAGAAACATTCTCATCACTTGACGCCATCTCCTTTGAGTCCGACATCCATTCGTCTGCATCGTTGTCAATCACTGGAATAGATGAGGCAAGTAGATGTCGTGGTCGTGGTCCAATGTCCTGTCCAGCATTCTTTACTTCATCATAAATAGCGGCACGAGCATTTATCATGTCTTCGGCTACTTGCTGTCGTCGTTGTTGCCTCCGCTTCATAAACTTCTCGGGGTTGCTAAACGGGGACACGTACGTTGTCTTTGATGTCGGCTCCTTAGCATCAACACCAACTGTCTGCGCATCCCAAAACGACCTTTTCTTTGTCTTGGCCACTGGAGTTGCAACAACTGGAGACACTAGTTTGTCTACTGCATGGCTGTCAACGGTTGTTGAGTATCTAGCAGTAGCAGGACGCGAGTCGTTCGAGTCAGAAGCGACACGTGAACGTGTTGACTCGTTCGGCGGCATGTTTGCTGCAGCTAGTAAACCATACTTTCGAGCAATCCGTTCACCTGTAGACAACTTCTTGTCTTTCTCAGTAGAAGAAGAAGAAGAAGCTATGGGTCTTTTTGGCGTGACTACTGATGAGTAAGCAGTGATTGCATCGTTTGTCACTGCTGTTTCTGCTTCCTTTGTGTCATTTACAGACGATGCAATCTCTTTCTGCTGTGCTTTAGACGGCAGACAGTTCAATAGCAGCTTACGTGCTGAAATGACAGGCTTGTGGTCTGTTCCTGCGACAAGGATGCCGCTACGCCTGGGATGAAATCTTCTCTTCTGCGTTATTGGACTTAATAGCTCATCTTCAAAACTGTCTTGACTAGTACAAGGCTGTAGACATGTTTCTTGTGCTAAAGACGCGCTTGAATGACTCTCAGCGGCTTCATCTTCACTGCTTGACATTAACTCCATTGACTTCTAAACTTGAATAAAGACTGGATAAAGACGTTGGTACGTGCTTATCTAGATGAATGAAATGATCAGATCACCGTCTTCTCCTCCTTTGAGAAGAAGACGATAGAGAGAAAAAGAGAGAACAGAGGCAGAAGATCAAGAAGACGGATGCAATGGTTCACACAGTCATTATTCTTTTTCTACTACATGTTACAGCAAATGCTCATGGTTTCAAAATGGGTCTTCAATATTGTCGCGTATTGCCAAGTGGCACATATTCTCTTATTGAAAAATTGGATCGGGTGATTGCGTAGGCAATAGACCAAAACGTTTCTTCGTAGTGATACGCTCCTTGGAAAATTTATCATCAGGTGAAAAACGTGCTGGATGTGCTGAACACGTTGGAGCTCCATTTCGTGTGTCCTTCTGCTCATTTAGCAGCATATCATACAATATCAATCAGAAAATGCATCATAAAGGACTCTATCTATCTATCTATCGATCAAGTATCTGCATACCTTGAGCGTATAAACACGCTTGCCGTCTTCGCCAAGATAATACATGAGATGCATTTCTCCCACTGCTGCTGCTACTGAATGGCTTAAAAGTTCTAGACTCTCTCCAAGTCAAGTCTTTAAGAAATCGTAATCATAGAAATGTCTAAATCTATGAAATTTCACAATAACTGGTGCAGATTGTATTAAGATTTTAATGTTGCGGTTAACACGGACAAAGAAAAAAACCTCATGGATCTGACCATAAATAACCTTGGAGATTTACTTTAGCTTGGTTTTAGTATAGATGATAGCTGGTGGAGGGCGTGGGTTTCGTTCCCATTTGCTACTAGACGTCCAATAGTTGGCAAAGTTCCCTTCGTCCTACGCGCACATTATTAAGATGGTACGTGTATGTATGTTAATGTGTGTGTTTATGGTACTATATAATAGCGTCATAGTGTATCCGTCGGTCGTAATGATATTCCCAAAGACGATCTGTCTTTCTCTCTTTCCTTTCTCTTCTTTTACTCCTATTCAACACCGTGTGGATATGCAAGAATCAATTAATAATGCAGCGATGACTGTCGCAATCATTTGAATACAAGACTCTTCGTACACGTGAATTAGTATTAGAAGAGACAGCTTGGAGTAGCCATTGGTGAACTATCAGGACAGGACGCTGTATTAACTGGAAGGAGAACAGGCAGTTATACTGACAAAATGTGATTTTTTCTCTAGGCCCAAAACATTCCAGAATTTAAGCTCATTCTTGTAGGTGATGGTGGTGTTGGCAAGACGACATTTGTCAAGCGTCACTTGACGGGTGAGTTTGAAAAGAAGTACGTCGCGACGCTTGGTGTCGAGGTACATCCGTTGACGTTCCACACGAACTTTGGCCCGATCCGTTTTAACTGCTGGGATACGGCTGGTCAAGAAAAGTTTGGTGGCTTGCGTGATGGCTACTACATTCAGGGCCAGTGTGCTATCATTATGTTTGATGTGACGTCCCGCATTACCTACAAGAACGTCCCAAACTGGCACAGAGACCTGTTTCGCGTGTGCGAAAATATTCCCATTGTTTTGTGTGGCAACAAGGTCGAGGTCAAGGATCGTAAGGTGAAGGCTAAGCAGATTACGTTTCACCGCAAGAAAAACTTGCAGTATTTTGACATTTCGGCCAAGTCGAACTATCAGTTCGAGAAGCCTTTCTTGTGGCTAGCTCGCAAGCTTGTTGGGTATGTTCGATTGCAGTAATGGTTGTCAAAGCTATTTACACGTACTGACATGTATTTCTTTTGCTACTTACAGTGACAACAATCTGACTTTTGTGGAGGCGCCTGCTCTTCGTCCGCCTGAGGTCACAATCACTCAGGAACAGATTGCCCAGATTGAGGCTGATGCTAGTTCTGCCGCAGCTGCGGTGCCACTTCCGGATGAGGATGAAGACTTGTAAGTTGGTGTGTTGTCTTATCACGCCTCGATCTGCACTTTTTGCTTAGAACTTAAGAGGAGAATGAAGGAGGACGATTTGAACATGTACGCTGGTCAAACTTGGCGTAAGCGTACAGATTCTGCCTGTTTCAATGGACTGGTATGCTGCCGCTGATGTAATGGAAAGGTTGAGTCTTTCAAAAGTCGTTGACAATCAGAAGATGAAGAAGACCAGTAAGGAAATAGTCTTGGTTGAATGCATATTGCTCTATATTTTGATTGCTTTTTGAGTAGTCTAGTCTAGCACGTGTCTAGCCAAGTGCTTTGCCTGCTATTTCATTCATCTACATTGGTTTGAAGACAGATTTTAGTCACTTGATGTATAGTATATCTATCAGCGTAACCATGCTGATTTATCAGCCGAAGCTACCTAAAGCAAATGAAGAAGCGTGAGCTAGCAGTGAGTCATTATCACACATTAAACAAGACCATTAGATGTCATCATCAGAAGGATTAGGTACACATGAGCTTTGGTAAGTTGAAGCTAAGATCATTGTGGCTTTGCGTCATTGTCCTGATATCGCCCACGTCACAGTGTTGTTGGATACTATAGCCTAAACATAGGGAAGACCGTAACTAAATGAATTGCTGCACCACACACATCATTCTAACTCAATACATTTATAAATTAACGAAATATCAATACTACATTATTCAACATCTTGTAAAACGTACAGTTTTATGTCCAATGTAATGATATACGTGACTAACACACTACCGAGCCAACGTCATGATGTCATCGTGCCCTGCCCATTCACTTTTCCATACAAAAACCAAGTCATCCTGGTCACCACCTTGAAATTTTCATGTGTGTGACCATCACCCTCTTTCTGATTTGTATCACCTCAGTAATAGTCAGTCAGTCAGTCAGTCCGTCATCTTTCTCTCTCTCTCTCTTCTTTATTGTTCATTTAAGCTTTTGCAACGTCCATCCCAGTTGTTCGTCCTTCCTCGTTTCTACTAGTCAACTCCTTATTTACTTGACTTGCAATCAAATCATGTCAGCTAAAGCCATTCGTGAATTTGATGGAAAACGCATTCTATCACTCACTTTACCATCTTTTAATCTTAATAAACACTTTGCACAAGTGGCTATAGGTAAGAACTTTATTGGTCAAAGTCGTGACGAGTTTTTCCAAGCTATTGAAGCTACAAACCCATGGCTTACGACACTTGATGAGAAGACAAAACTTGTAGTAAAACCTGATCAACTGATTAAACGTCGTGGTAAAGCTAATCTATTATTACTTAATGCAACGTGGAGTGAAGTCCAAGACTGGGTCTGGGAACGTATAAGTCAACCGGTTCAGGTTGAGACAGTTACGGGTGTACTTACACACTTTATTGTCGAACCTTTTCTTCAACATCATAGTACTGATGAGCATTATGTATGTATTGTCTCGAATCGTGATGGCGAAGAGATTTTATTTCATCATGAAGGTGGTGTTGATGTTGGTGACGTTGATGCAAAAGCAAAACGTCTACAGGTCGGCATTGAATCGGTTGTCTCTGATGACGAGGTAATTACGGCACTATTGTCATCTATTGAGGATGTACGAAAGCCAATTCTGGCCAAGTTTCTGGTAGAGATGCTAGCCAAGTTTCGTGAATTACACTTTGTATACATGGAGATCAACCCTATCGTACTCGTAGGCAACCAAATCTCTGTACTAGATATGGCTGCAAAGCTTGATGAGACGGCTAATTTCCTTGTAGGAGACCGTTGGGGTCAGATTGAATTTCCTCCAGCCTTTGGTCGAGCCAAATTCCCCGAGGAAGAATTTATCCAGGATCTGGACTCCAAGACTGGTGCTTCACTCAAACTTACGATTCTCAACCACACTGGTCGTATCTGGACAATGGTTGCTGGTGGTGGTGCCTCAGTTGTGTACGCTGACACGATTGCGGATCTTGGTTACGGTCACGAACTGGCCAATTATGGGGAGTACTCGGGTGCTCCCAGCGAGACGCACACTTACAATTACGCCAAAACCATTCTGGACCTCATGACGCGCAACTTTGACGAGCGTGGCAAGGTGTTGATTATTGGCGGTGGTATTGCCAATTTCACGGACGTTGCACTGACGTTCAAGGGCATTATCCGTGCCATTACAGAGTACCAGCAAAAACTGAAGGACAACAAAGTACACATTTGGGTGCGTCGTGGTGGCCCCAACTGCCAGGAGGGTCTGGCTGTCATGCGTGACGTTGGTGAGGCTACAGGTGTTCCTATTGAGGTTTTTGGCCCGGAGACACACATTACGGCTGTAGTTCCTATGGCTCTTGGACTCGTGGAAAAGTCTTCATTGATGGTAGCGCAGGCCACTGCCAAAGCCATTGGTGGCGTTAAGTCAAGCGCGGGCAAACCGTCCTCAGATGAAGGCAGTACAGTAACCAGCGATAACGAGGAGTCAGTATGCACGGAGGAACTGGACGGCCAGGGTGTCGTGAACAAGCAGACTCCCGTGGTGATTCAGGACGAGGGCATTGTGCGCATGAACGACAAGACGCGTTGCATTGTCTACGGTCTGCAGCAACGTGCTGTGCAGGGCATGCTTGACTTTGACTACTTGTGCAAGCGCAAGACTCCCAGTGTGGCGGCCCTTATCTTTCCGTTCTCACCCAACCACTACTTGAAGTTTTATTGGGGTACTTCGGAGCGTCTGATTCCCGTATTCCAGAAGTTATCCGATGCTGTCAAGAAGTACCCGGACGTGAGCGTACTTATCAACTTTTCATCTTTCCGTTCCGTGTACCAGTCCACAATGGAGGGCTTTGAGCACAGCGACACCATTAAAACGCATGCTATCATCGCCGAAGGTGTTCCGGAGCAGCAGTCGCGTTTGATCGCTAAGAAGGCGCGTGAGCTGAATGTGGGAATCATTGGTCCTGCCACAGTTGGCGGAATCAAGCCAGGTTGCCTACGTATCGGCAACACTGGAGGAATGCTGGATAACATTGTGCAGTCGAAGCTTTACCGTCCCGGGAGCGTTGCGTACGTATCCAAGTCGGGCGGTATGTCCAATGAATTAAACAACATTGTTTCGCAGACAACGGATGGTGTGTACGAGGGTGTAGCTATTGGCGGTGACAAGTATCCTGGTTCCACATTCATCCAACACTTGCTACGTTATGAGGCAAATTCGGAGGTGAAGATGATGGTGCTTCTCGGTGAGGTCGGTGGGACAGACGAGTTTGCAGTCTGCCGGGCCATTCAGTCAGGTGCGATTAAGAAGCCGGTGGTTGCCTGGTGTATTGGTACGTGCGCCAAAATTTTCCCCTTCGAGGTGCAGTTTGGTCACGCCGGCGCTTGTGCTACTGGTGAGTCTGAGACTGCTTCGGCGAAGAACGCTGCTCTAGCTGCGGCAGGTGCCATTGTCCCAGAAAATTTTGACCAATTTGGTAACGCGATCCGCAAGCAATTCGACTCGATGGTTGCGTCGGGTACGATCGTGCCGCGTCCCGAAGTACCTGTTCCCAAAGTTCCTATGGATTACGCTTGGGCCAAGAACCTTGGTCTCATCCGCAAGCCTTCTAATTTCATCTCTTCCATCTCAGATGACCGTGGTGAGGAGCTGCGCTACGCTGGTACCCCTATATCAAAGGTTTTTGAACAAGACATGGGTGTCGGCGGCGTGATCGGTCTGCTGTGGTTCAAGCGCAACCTGCCGCCGTACGCCTCAAAATTCATTGAGATGGTACTCATGGTCACCGCCGATCATGGCCCGGCTGTTTCGGGTGCCCACAACACTATTGTTACTGCCCGTGCTGGCAAAGATTTAATTTCTTCGCTGATCTCTGGTCTGGTGACGATTGGCCCCCGTTTTGGTGGTGCGTTGGACAAGGCTGCTGAAATGTTCGCGAGTGCGCACGACTCGGGCATGTCTGCGGTCGACTTTGTGGTAGAAATGCGCAAGCAGAACAAGCTCATTATGGGTATTGGCCACCGCATTAAGTCGCTGTCGAACCCGGACAAACGCGTGACCATTATTAAGGAGTTTGCAAAGGCAAATTTCCCCGCCACTGATGTACTGAACTTTGCCTTGGAGGTAGAGCAAGTGACGACAAAGAAGCGCAACAACCTTATACTGAACGTAGACGGTTGTATTGCGGTCTGTTTTGTGGATTTGTTGCGTAATTGCGGTGTGTTCACGCTGGAAGAGGCGAACGAGCAGATTGAAAATGGCTGTCTAAACGGCTTATTTGTGCTTGGTCGTAGCATTGGTTTTATCGGCCACTTTCTCGACCAGAAACGTCTCAAACAACCACTATATCGTCATCCGTGGGACGACATCTCGTATCTGAATGAAGACTTTTAGATGAATAATGAATGATACATACTGACGTGCATTTTCAAGCATAGTAGATACGATGTCGTAACTCTTTTGTCATGTTAGTTTTGTCTTTTGCTTCACAGCCCTTGATATTGATTAAATGTTAAAGCGGCTCACTTAAAAAAAACAGACCTTTCGAACAAAATGAGTCTTGAAATGAAAGAAAAGCACTACTTTACCGAAGAGTTTCCAGCTCATGACTATCCATGTACGACAAATTCTTCCCATCCTTTAACATCATTATGGCCTGCGTATCTACCTGTAGATCGAGACCATATTGTGATCTTTGAACGTAGTAAGAATGCACAGCTTGTTGTGTATACTGCAAATTTTCGCGACAAGAAGCGTCGAGAATTGGATCCAAAGTGGCCTCTGGACATTACGTGGCAAAGCTTTGGTTGGACTGATCACCCTTATAGCAACTCGACCGGAATGATTGAGCGCAAACTAGCTTGGGGATACTCACATAAAGCTACGAAACGAGCGGAAGCAGTTTCCGCTGAAGCTGTTGGAGCCAGCTATACCGTGACACTGAACGCATTACCCAGTCGCACTGCTCTGCTGTTTGTTGACGTTAGAGGTCAAGTTGTTTTGCAAGTTACGATCAATGGTGTGCTTTCACGCCTTTGGAAGATTTACGTGAAAACCAATAACACCATGGCCTTTGTTCCCAAGGTGTTGTATGTCGATCTCTATGGCACGAATGTCAACGATGACCAAATTACATACGAGCGTATTTCCATTTCATCCTAGCTTAGCAGTTGAAAAAGTACATCTATCCATCTTCACATCTCAAAGCTCCTTCAAATACAAACTACAATCGCTTTACTCCTCATTACTTTTCACTTGTTTCGGCTGCTGGTTGACTCCATCAAACGTTTAAACAAATAAGGTGTAGCTAGAGCTCTTACCATCGTACTTCCACTTGTTATTTGTCCCTCCATGGCTGTGCGTAGGAGATAAGTCATACGCCATCGCCACCTCATCTAGGAAGCTTGTCGAATTATGAATGCAGGACCCACCAAGCAGAATGCGCTGGCCTGAGTTCGACGAAACCGCCTTCTGGTTCATCTCAGCCACCTTCATGGCCTCCTCAAAAGTGACACCGCCACACACATACAGAATCACATCACGCACTCGCTTTACTCCGTTGTTTCCGTTGAGATCTGTAAATGTTGCAGCACCAGCACCGCCATTGACAACGCCAAACTCGTGGTCTAGCAACTGGCCCTTCAAAATTAACTCCAGTTTCTCGGCAAGTGGTGGAACGTGTTGCGCATATACGTTCGGAACACCTTGGACTCCCTGCGTCACCGCACGCATGAACTTTTTTAATCCAGCACGGTCTCCATACAAGTCGCCTTGGCGAGACTTTATCCCGCCAAACTTCAGGAATGCGTCAATCAATTCAACGCGCTCAAAAGGTAGACCACCACCATGAGGAGCTGCCAACAGATCTTTGACTGTTTTCAACTGAACTGAACTATGAGTCTCGTACCGTAACGCATACAAAATGGCCAGTCGTAGCTTGTTGCTCGGCTTCACTTGTGCATCCTTCAACTTTGCCACCACATCGCGAAAATGGGCATTGTGGTCATCTCCACATGCAAGCTCCTGTTCCAGTTGACTCACATCCATGAGTTTGTCCACTTGTACACGACGTGCCAGTTCACCCATCAAAGTCACGTGTTTCGATACCGTCACCGATTGAGATCGAAAGGCCGGGTAATTTTCCAAAAACCGCTGCATGTCATCGATCGACTGAATATTCTCGTGCGTCTGTGTTTGAGCCTGATACTTGTCTACAAGTTGCTTAACCGCCATTCCTAGGTCGCCAAAATTAGCGTGCACATGTTCTGCGAAAAAATCATCAGAGGTCGTCGATAGCACAAGCTCCATCATGTCTTTGGGAACATTAGGCACACCACGGAGATCCACGCGGTTTTCGTGCAAACCGAGCAATTCATGCACCATGGCTTGGTAGCACCATTGAGTAAGCAACGGCGTCACAGGGTCGTCCTTGCGATCCAAAACATAAACTAACGGGGTCACTTCTGGTCGTCTGAAATCAAATAGTCCATCTTGCTCCAATTGCATCCTCGCCGATACTTCCCGCGCCAGTTTCTCGGCGACTTCTGATCCCTTTGCGTATCGTATCAATGGTCTCTTTTTCATCGAAAGAAGCACAGACAGCAATCCCTCAACACTTTTTTGAAATAATTGAGCTGGGTTCATTATGGTCTTATCCACTGGGCCATCTGTCGTTAGAACTCCTGCTGTTGTGGTGGACAAGTGAGATCCTCCAGGTGAAGCAATGGGCATCTTGACACTAAGCTGAATTGAGTTGTGTAGACCAAATTCATAGAGCGAATCATTAACTGCCAAATAATCAGCATAATATTCCTGAATCTGCATCACAAGTTCGTTTTTATCAGCTTCAGCAAGTTTTTCAAGCGCTTCAACAGGCAAAATATTGGAGAAAAACAAGTGATATTGACCGTATTTAGGTGACTTGAGTTCTTGAATCAGTAATTCCACGTTATGAGCTGTCGGACGAACAAAAACGGCAGCTTTAAGGTGCAACATTTGCTCGTGTACTGCATCTAATTGTTCAACAAGAAAAACTTCACGCTGTAATATATGAGACTGAGACATGACCATACTAATGATACTCGTAGTGTTCGCATCTAACAGAAGGACCTTCATTCCTTCCAAATGTGGATTCGAGATGATTTTCTCTAGATAATTCTTCACTCCAGCAATTGCATTCATACTTATGCTGCACTAATACTTTTCTCGATTTCAATGGACTTTTTCATATAAGAACAGGTATATATTACCAATAATGGTGTTGCAGACATCAAATATGACGGACGATGGTCTACTTAGAAATTAGTGATTAGAACGTACTTTATAGTTCTCTTGTTGTTACTTATAGAAATGCTAATTTAACGACCTATTGTTACTTAACACTCGACAATTACAGCGAGACTCCAACAGGCAGTAATAATTGCTATCGCGCTAATAAGAATGGAGGCAATGCGGTCCAGGCGAGTGGCATCTTCTCGACATAATTGCCAGTAAAAAACACATGGAAGAACGAGCGCCAACAGTGCCGTTGGTACGAGCATCCAGGCAAAGATATCCAGCGTGTTGGGTGCAGTAAAGTAGCCAAAAAGGAGAGTAGTTAGCACTAAAATGCTTCGGCAGAGCACGCGCGCAATGGTTACCACACCACCACATCTTCCTTCTTCCTCACCTTCTCGCTTGGGACCGAAGGTGACGAATGGAAGTGCTCCTGTTGCAGGAACAGCTTCCATCGGACTATTGTGGCCAATCCCATTTGGAGTCTGCAGAATCCATTGCTCGAATGCACGCTGGAGAGGAAATAACGTGACTGTGTACGACAATAAAAGGTGAATACTGTATAGCACGATTGCCAGGTTGCGCACAACGACGTTGCGCATATTGAAGAATACGGGAGCTTCTAGTGTTGCACCGTACACAGCATAAGTAACACAGCAAATTGGCAAATATAACAGCACTGTAGTCCCCAATTTTGTGCGGGCAACCACTAAGCTGCACTGACTTGGATCCGCCATGGCGTTGTACAATGTAGGTATGATTGAATGACCAAAGAGTCCACCGAGAAGAAGCGAAAACGTGTATGATAATTTTCCTATCATTGTCACATTGGAAAGATCCGGCGTCACAAACACAAAATGGAAATGCTCCAATGCAATTTGCTTCAGAGGATACATAGCGTCACCTAGAATAACCGACTCGATCCAAAAACTGAAGGCCACATTCACAGCTGAAAGCACTGCTAGCATTTTGAGCGAAGGTATGAGTACGTGAAGCCACACGCAAGCAGCCACTAATACCATAACCGTGCCAAACTGAAGTCCAAGCACATCCGCAAGACACGATGATGCCAGCACCAAGTACCCAGTTGACAAAATCAGAAAAGAGACGTGCACGAGCACACTTGTAAACAGCTTACCAGCTGTACCGAAACACTCCTGTCCAAGGTCACTGTACGAGACACTTGTGCCTCTTAGCCAGTGCAGAGCTTCTAGTGCGTCTACTAGTAGCTTTGAAGTGTACGCACTCACCATCGCCGCTGCAACCAGAAGCAGCACACCGTACCAGTTAATCTCTACAAGCGCTAATGGTAGACACAACATTCCTGTGCCTGAAATAAATGACAGCAAATGATAAAATGTCTGCCAATTTGAGAGCTTATTCGATGTCGATGATGACACAGAGATTACAGCCGATGGTGACCAGGACAGTGCTGTATTACTGGGAAAGTCCTTCACAGTGCGACTGCGCGTAGAGCCGTAGCCCGTCGAGTTATTGCCTAGAAAGAAAAAGGTTTCGACGGCGGACCCACGACCATCAAATCTGCCTTCGTATCCGTTATGAATTCGCGCTTGTTGTTGCTCGTAGGGCACGAGGCGCTGCGTTTCAAAGCTGCGACCCATGCGCTTGTGGTTCTTCACTTTGTAAGGCTCCTGGATGTTTTTGCGGCACTAATGTACTTGCTTTACTGTTGTGGCAGCTTCTTCTCTGACGAAAATTGATATCACTTTCTTTGAAGCTTCAGTCCAGCGACGGATCGGAATCCAAAAGCCGACCAAGCAGATCAATAGACGGAGCAAATATCTTAAATCGATGGAACAGATTGATTATGTGGTATACGCGTCATACGACATTCAAGCAACAACAATTTCCAATCTCAATTATTTCAGTTGAAGTTAAAGTCCTTGCAAGAAGATGACAAAAAAACCTATGTATACGATGAAAGTGAGGACAGTCCAATGGCTTGACTTATAGTTTTGAGTGATATTTACGCGTATCTTTCGATCTGCCACTACTATTATCTTGTATACGAACAGATACAGCGCCACCTTACGATACACAGCACGCACACCTTTAGCGAGAGACACATCAAGTCAATTCCTATAGATATATGTGTGATCTTGCCCTTAGCTTCTTCAGCAACATTTTCCTTAGGACTAATCTCTTCGTTGAGAACATTCATCAGCGATGGGGCAATCCAGTGTGTGTCTCCATGGACTGAACTGGGATTTGCACATTGAAATGGAGAGCGACATTTCAAGTGACAACTGCTTCATATTAACTTCATTTGTTTTGCGGTGCACTAGCTACAAGGTCAATAGCCAGCACATGTGAGTTGTGTAAAGAACATACCCACCATCGTTTGTCACCTTTGCATACTGTCGTGTTTTTGCTTCAGTAGACAGAATGGGAATTGCCACCGATTCATCGATCCATCACACATGCACAACAGGACTGAACAAGCTTTTAATGCGTTGAGGCGAGTTGACGCAAACCAAAAAGTTACACCAGTGGCGAATTTGTAGCACGCCACACACGACAATTAACTAAGACCCCGGCAGTATGTTTGAAATTATATTCCGACTTGCTGTCGCTAACAGTTCACCTTTCAACTACGGATACTGATGTCTCGCCAGCGACGGAGCCAAACCGAGTAGAATGAGGGCAAAACAAAGCTTGATCCCTATCTTATCGAGCTCAAGATCTCTCGTCATGTGCGTACATATCTACTGTGGAGGCTCCCACTCAAACGGCTCGGGCGGCGTTGCTTCATTTTCTGCGCCAGCGGCAGCGGGCGCCTTCACTGCCTCCACATCCTCAGTCTCATCGGGCATTGTATCACGCAGCATGATAACTCCTGCCAGCCTCTGGACCGGGTACATCACCGGGACGTACCTCTGCGTTTTATCCAGGGAAATCACAGACTCCTGTGCTAACGTCACTCGAGCGGGCGTCGTAAATGTGAAAACCTTCGGCTCCTTAGCTGTCACTGCCTTTTTACCAGTCACCAGTTTGGGCCCATCAGTATCCACATCCATCGCTTCAAGGTTTTCCTCCTTTTTCTCTTCTTCGGCTATAGTCGCCTCCTTCTCGTCCTTCTCTTCCATGACAATATCTCCACTCACGTCAGAAAGTTTGACAGACTTATCCTTTGCATCCTGCTTTGCCTGGCGTGCGCGTGCCTTTGCAGTTGTCGACAGCACCGCCGTTGCAACAAGCTCCTTCTTCTCTTCTTTCTTTTCCTCCATTCGCTTTGGAGTGGCAAAAGCTGACTTCTTAGCGTTACACGTAAGTTCAAAGCCACGCGGAAGCTTTAAATCTTTGTTAAGACCAACCGCCATTGTCGTCTGAAACGACAACTCCAAAAAATTAAACAGAGGGTACCAGAACCAGTGCTGTGCCCAAACCGCCAGTCCCACCACAGCGGCCATCTTTGTGAACCCGGTATGAGACTGCAGCGAAATAACTACGTTACGACCACCCGCATCCAGGATGCCTTGCGCCAAAATAGCACCCATCTTGGTCATCGTGGTCACGTGCTTATCCGTAATCAATTTCAGGATCTTCGCACGGACAGATGCCACCTTTGTATTGCGACCCTCGGACTCCTGCATAATAACCATAGCCAAAGCCAATAGCGCACCCTGACGCACATAGTCTACGGCGTCGTCGAGTAGTGGCTCTAGCAGCTGAATAGCCTCGTTCTTTGCGGAACCCGCGCACGCAATACCGACAGCCACGCAAGCGCCATAACGAACGTGAGGATTAAAGCTTTCAGCCAGCAGCGACACCAGCTTGGGCACTTGCACTGGGGTACGGAACAGGATGAAGCCAAGGCACGTTACAGCAGCACGACGAACGTCGTCCGACACATCACTCACAGCCACATGCAGTAGACGTCGAATTGCGTTGTTGTTAGCAGTGCCAGCATACGCCATGGCCACAGTATACATACCTCCGTAGCGAATCAGTGGATCCTTGTCACGGGTCAACTGCTCAATCAACGCGTCAGCCAGCTCTTCGCGTTCATACATCATCAGCGCAATGCCCATTACACAACCACGTATGATCTTCTCGTGCTTCGTATCGTGCGCATAGGCCAGCAAATCCTTCACAATCTCGCCGTTACGAACCTCACCGCCCGCACCAAGCAAGGTTAAACCAATAGCAATCCCTGCACCTTCGCCAGCAACCGCCGAATCTATAAACAGTATGGTCTTCAAATCTTCATAAAGCTCGTAGTCGTGCGAGGCTAGACCACACAGACCAATACCCAAACACGCGCCGTGTTGCACGGTCTCATCCGATCCAGCGTTCTTCAAAGCATCACGCAGATACTCTATCGTGTTCTTACTTCCAGATCCTTCAAAACTCTTATTTGCATGGATAAGACCCATCGCGTACAGCGCGCCACCCTCCGAGTATGAAGAAGTTGTCATGCCACCCTGCGGTAGGTAGGGGGCAAGAAGGTTCATGCTTTCACGAATGTGTCCCTTGTGCACAACACCCAGACTAGCAGTAGCCGTGAATTTAGCCCAGTTGGTGGCCTTACCCAACCACTCCAAGTTCTCGCGCAAGAACGAGTCCGAGGTTGTGCCACAATTCATGTAGGCATGTGCAATCACTGCAGCGTGGTGCAGCACAGAGTTGCGGTTTTCCACAGCAGTCTTAATTGTCTTCATAATCAACGGGTCAGAATCGCTATGACTGTGAAGGAAGTCCAGCTTTAGGTCCACGAGAAATTCACCAGACAGTATTAGCTTCAACTTTGACAGCTTGTCCCAGTAATCAGCACAGGCACCAGTGGGCGCAGACGAAGGCGTGGCAGGCAAAATCGGGGCAGAAGCAACTGGTGTAGGTGAATCTGCTTTGCTCTCTTCAGCGGTGGAGGTCACGTCTGCTGTCGCTGGTTCAGCAGTGGGAGCCGGGGGACTTGGCAGCGATTGATACACATTCATAAGAAATTTTTGGTTTTCGTTTTCGTTCAAATCAAAAGCCACTTGGAATGCGATAAGGCAGTCGCGATCATCACCGCGCACAAGCTGCTCGAGGATCTTACTGACTTCTGCATAGTTGTTCAGCATTTGCAATACCTGGCATACACTGGCGTAGTCCTGGGTAGGTCGCGAGCGATATACATCCAGCATGACATTGAATACCTTAAGACGAAAGAGACGATTGCTGACAATTGTCTTACAGATCTCAAAGCAGTACGACAGGGCTGCCGACACGTCCGTGGAGCGAGCGAGACACTCTTTCACCTGATCCAGACGTCGGGCTTCAAGAGCAATTCCCATAGCCTGACGAAACTCTCCCGCCGCATAACAGCGCTCAAACATGCGCTCAACTACCTGTGTAAGTCGTGGGTCCAGCGCCTTCTCAGCCTCAAGGTCTTCCTTCGCACGCACAGCTACATAATTGTCGATACATGTGGCAATGATTGTATTTGTGTACTGCGAGTGCGTATTTAGATCAAAATACTTGCCGGCACCAAGTGCCAACCGTAGCGCATCTTCATATTCTTCCAAATGAAAGAAGCACTTGGAAGCCACGTAGGCCGCTAGTTCACGGTCTGGAAATCCTTTTTCTTCTGAAAGCTCTTCAATAAGAGGAATGGCATCTGCAATCTCTGCCCAATAATGATCCACCACTTGATTTAGCTTCTGTAAAGCATGAGTCTAGATAGAAATGTATTCAATCATAATGACAATGTCAATAACGATCCCCAAAGACAAGTGAACAGGCAATCTAAACACCATGTTCCACTCCCTTACTCTTAATACATTGTCTTCTTCTTCCAGAAGCGCTAGAATGCCCGCAGCTACATACAAGATCGAGCAGTCAAAACAAAAGATCCACACACACACATATTTTCAAGTTAGTTTTATGGTGATTACTATAGGCACCTACTGCTGCTGGATACAATGTATGTTGCAGCATGAAATTATAATGGAAGATAAATGTCACAAGGATACATTTCCTAGGCATCTAAAAGAGGTAGTGAACGTACCGGAGTGGCCAATCGCGACGGTCATACTGTCTCTTCCTGCTGTTGCTTCACCCTATTGAAAGAAATCTTCTCCCCAAAAAGATAAAATCGTACCTTATCGAGGTCAAACGGTTCACTCCGATCTAACAAATGAAATGGCTATACATAAATTTAAGAAAAGGTGTAGCAAAGAATGCGTAAATTACACTAACAATAGCCAAAATCGTACTGTTGCATCATAATTAATAGAATCCTGACCTATTCACCTTTCTTCAGCAAAATACGCTAACTCTTCTACTTGTTAGCTTAATCCGTCCATATAAGGTTCAATGTTGAAGACATCGAAACTTGCATGGCTAAATTAGCATAATGCGCGATGTTCTTCCGCATCCGATTGGCTGCACTTCTTTCGCAAGCTTCACTGATACTACCAAGTATGGATTTGACCTGTTAAACATTGCACTACACTTTTCATTTTACTCGTAAGCATCCAAAGCTTCGTAACGGATATAGGAAGGCTCACAGCAACAATGCAGCAATACCTTTATCTCGGATGATGCAAAAGAAGGAACATTTTATAGCTATTACTGACAACGTCATCTGATCCAACCACGAAGCTCGCAAATCGTTGTTTTCGTTTTCGCTACCTTCTGCGTCATCTTCATCGCCGAGTAGTGACCATGAAGATCATTGTACAGATTGTCAGTAGGCTCAATTGAGTACACGAGATCCTGAGTTAAGAAGCTCGATGAGTTGCCGTACTAATCCTCGCCGAGGGCATGAATGTACGTTGCAGCGTCTTCGGCGCTTCTATTGCATTCATCCTTTTCCTCGGAGCTCCCTGTTTTCCAGCATGACAATCGACGTCTTGTCGCCGGCTTCTCGCATAATCACTATTCTTCTTGACCTTGACATCATTTTTCCAGCAGCAATCAAATGTTCGTCGACGTTGTAGTCATCATCATCTATTGTGTTCGTGGCATTTTTAGCATCTATATCGTCGTCTGCATCAGAGTCTTGTTCGCGTGGATGCTTCTCGTTCGATATCGTAAGGACGACTAATGAAATCATTGCTGTCCACGTCACAAGCATCTAACTACCGTCCATTAACAACAGACAGCATTGTGTTCGCGGTGTCAGGCTAACATTGATACGGGACTAATCTATATAATAGACCGGTATTGACGCGGAATCAACACGCGCGTTTTGAAATTGGTCTAATCAATCGACGTGCGATTACTCGTAGCCGATGAACAAGCTCTCTCCAGCTGCTGCACATTTTGCTTGGATCTAGTCCAAGTTTGGATCACAGTTCACATGCATGATGATGCTCTTGTGATAAAAGTCACACGAGCACTGAGCCTTCTTACTCCAATGGATAGGCCCGACACGCTTTCCTGCTACAAAAGTACACGGCAAGCACGCACCCATGCAAAAACCCAATCCAACGAGACAGATCGATTTGCTTCAACTTTAAGCTTTCGTGTAGACCTTTGCATGCAATAATTAGCTGCATGCAGTAGATTTAGTAAATTTACATTTAACATGATTTAGCTTAAGCGCTTTAATGAATTAGTCTTACGTTAGATGTCACGCTGATTTTAAATTAAGTGGAAACCTCAAATCAACTGCTAGTAGGCCTGGGTTGTGGACGAAAGAGCAATTTGGCTCGCAAACGCTCGCAATAAGTTTTACTTTGGAACCCCGTTTTGTGCTCACCTAATTTGACCATAAAAAGTATGAAAGTCGTCGTAGTTGGTTCCGGTATTGGTGGCATTTCCGCCGCCTATCACCTAGTCAAAGATGGTCATGAAGTTGTGCTTCTTGAAAAGAACGTGACTATTGGTGGACATACGTATGAGATGGAGATCGACGGTGAAATGGTAGACATTGGTTTCATGATGTTTGGCGACTCGAATCCCAACATTAAGGAATGGTTTAAAGCACTAGGTATTACTCAGTCCAACGGCACCACCAAAAAGCGCATCCCAATGAGTCTTACGGTCACATCGGACGTGGAGGGTGACCTGCAGTTTTCGTCACGGGCACCATTTCATGGTAGTGTGCTCAACCTTTTTGACCTTCGTATTTGGCGCGTACTTCGAGACATTTACAAATTCACGATGGACCTCATGATGCTGCCCGTGAAGGAATCCATTACAACACGTGAGTGGGCTGCCAAGGGCCGTTACTCGAATGAGTTTATCCGCCATTACTTTTTGGCTTTTGTGTCAATCCTATGGACGGTACCAAAGCACGACGTGCTTGACCTGCCAGTATCACAATTTCTGCGCTGCCTTAAAACGCACTCCAACTCACTCTATATACCGCTATGGCAAGTGATTCTCGGTGCGCTGGGACGTCGCAGTGACCGCCCCAAGCACTTGTGGTGGTACGTTGGCTCAAGTTATATTAAGCCCTTTCTTAAGTTGTTTACAGACGAGTACAATGGTACTGTTCGCTGTAATGCTCATGTTGCCGAGGTTATGAGAGGTGGCAAGGCTGTAATTCTCGAAGGCGGTGAGCGCATCGAGTGCGATCACGTTGTGCTAGCTACTCACGCTGACGAGAGCGCCAAATTGCTTCGTTGGAGCGAGCACGCATACCACTCTCTCATGCGTTTCCACTATCACAAGAGCATGATGTATGTTCACCGCGACCCGGTCATGCTACCACTCTCAAACAAAGTGTGGAGCAGTTGGAACGTCCTCATTACGAAGGATGATCAGTACATCCTAACGTACTGGATAAACCGCATTCAGCGGCTAAACAGCAAAAAGGACATCTTTGTGACCATCACACCGCACGACTTCCAAGGCAAGCGTCCCGCTCCCGAACAGACAATCTCTGTTTTTCGCTGGGACCACCCGCGTCTGCTTGCGGATTGCATTCCTCAGGACGAAATCATCCAGGAGGAGAGTATCTCCCTCTCCGGTGCTTGGTTGGGTCGAGGGTTTCACGAAGATGGTTTTGTTGCAGGTCGGCGTGTGGCGGCGATGCTTCGCGATCCGAAGCATAAGAACACAGCGCTGTACGAGGACCCGGGCAACATTCCGGTCCCAGCTGTGCCTCCTTTTGGTACCCCGCTGAGTTTCCACCTATGTGGAGTGGCTGTCATTGGTCTGGTGGGTTACGGGATAAGCTTCTGGGGAAAAGATAAAGCATGATAGCTTACGGTATTGAGTAGCTTACGTTATTGAGTAGCTGTTGTCAGCACTGCTGCTGTTAATAAGTCCGTACCATAGGTACTAGCCATTAAAGGAAAGGAATTTCATGGGTGCCTTTGATATGTTTGCTACATTTCAGGAAAGGACAACCATTCAGATATCCTTGCTAAGAATAGTGTAAATTTACCTCATGCAATACATTGTAGTGAGTTTAAAAGCTCTGGCTGGTTTGCCAAACACGGTACTGTATACTTTTCGAATTCAGTGAATTGCAATAGCTATAAACAAATCGATCTTTGATCTTTTTAGTTGCAAGCGATATATTAGCAAAAAAGGGGTTCTTTTTTTCGAGCGGGTTTAAATTGCATTCAATTACGTCGACCACATAAATCGTTAGATTACCACATACCTCTCATAAGGTTTTTGTCCAATTCAAGAATATGAACGCGCCGAATCGTAGCGACTCGTATCTGCTGCCCGAAGGCGCACAGAAGGTGACATATGAGAAAGATACGAAGATCTCTAATGCCGGCAAGTTTACTATCTTGCGCGAAGATCACACTATGGGTAACCTTATTCGCATGTGCGTTTTAGAATTCGTAGTTTTGACTTTATGTTTAAGTAACACAATGATTCACTCGCATCACCGACTGCAGGCAGCTACTGCGTGACCCGAACGTGACATTTAGTGGCTATCAACACCCACACCCTTTGATCCACGACATCACTGTGCGCGTGCAGACCAACGATGCGTCGTCACCAGTAGAGGCGCTGGCCAACACCCTGGACGACCTGAGCACCGAGTTCGATGAGATTGCGCAGAAATTCCGCCGTCTAACTGGCAACTCCAAGGATCCCAGTTCGTTCAGTTAGATCGTTCTTGTCTTATGACAACTGATAGTGTGATATCTCACGATATGTCGACGGAGATAGACAATGTGCTTAACACCTTAAACTAGTTGCCGTGGTGGGCCATCTTATAGCTACATACTGGTTGGCAAATGTCACGCGCTAAGCAAGCTCAGATGAAACTATAAGTATTTTGACTAGTTGCCACAATTTTGTTATGGCCTTTACATGCATCAGCCGCTCGTTGTCGTCTCGACTGCACTATCAGGAAGCACTTTGCGGTTTTCGAAATATATACCAGTGTTCAATGCATTCTATCATGGAGGCACCTTGGACACTTTTTCTGCACAAGATTAGTGAAACACCTCTGGCCGGCAATACATTGCACGCTTTATTCATCATTCTCATATGTGCAGTACATGCACAGCGCGTGGTTTGCGCCAGTCCAAGACGTAAACTGCATCGGAGTGATCTATACGCAATGCTAGTTAGATAAAGCAAAAGTGACGTCTATCAAATTAGACACGTGCCGAAAGTCGAAGATTCGCCATGGGTGCGAGCAATCCATGAGAATACTTAGCGACACTATTACACGAAAAATTGCTGGATAGTCGGCAAGTATCCTCGTTTCTGAGCTCGCGATGTTTGGCGATGCTGCTGCCCCTCGATCAAACCCAACCTAGCTACGCAAAAAGAATGCTCTCGTTTAGCTAAGCTCGAATACAGAGTGTCATGGACAACAGCGAGAAACATTTCATGACATATTGGTCCATCAAATCAACGACAGGAGAGCACATTCCTTGTTATCCATTAACTGGAAACGAGTGGGTAATGAATGTCATTCAATGTACACAAAGGTGAAAATAAATAAATCCTATTAATCTCTATAGCAATTATAATATGAAATATTGTAATTTTTTGGCTGAAAAGCGTCCTCGAGGGGACTCGAACCCCCAATCCCCGCCTTCGGAGGGCGATGCCTTATCCATTAGGCCACGCGGACTGTACATGTCGCAATGCATTTGCTTAATATATAATACGCTTGCAAGAAAAGATGCACATTAATTTGATTTCCACTAATGGCTGACCTTCATTCCTAATCTATCATCATCATGCTCTATCATTAGTAAGTTTCACTAATGTCCTATCAGCCATCAATTGGACGCATCGTATCCATCAGTCACATCAGGCATGCTACAGTGACACATGCAGATTATGCTTGAATCGGAAGTCCCATTGCCACACGAGTAAACGCTCGTTCACACTCTTACCGCGAACTTTGACATGCACAGATGTTCAATACGCAACATCGGCAAGTGCTATGGGCATGTGTACATGCGCATGCAAAGTCACAAAATTTCAATAGGCAAGCTACAAGATGATGAGCCAAAAATAGGGTACATAAATTGATTACGGATTATGATGTTTGTGGTGAACAGCTGTAATTGATTTCGTACAATATAGAATTCGACACCAGCTATCAGATTAGAAAACTAATACTGCTTTTTTATGAATTAAGTGTGCTACTCTGGTCTTTCTTACTGCCCCCTGAATGTTGCATCGGAAGGGAATGCGCGCGACGGATCGCATAAGAAGCAGTCCCTGAAATCGGTCACTAAAAATCGTGTGTAACACGTGAGAAAGCAGTGTCAGTGGGGCTGCAAATGGCCACCGCCAGAGGAAGAGTTTGACTCAGAGAGTCTCTTAATTCGTAGAACTTACGATTCTATACCAGAATCAAGAGCGGTCTAAGACCATGAGACATATATTTTGATAAAGTTTTACTTTTAACTATCAAAAATGCAAACTAAACTTTATCATCGCTTTGATTGGCACACATGCAAGCTAAAGTCTTGACTGATCGCAAAGTTATATAATATATGTAAAGGGTGGCTGTAACGCATAGGTGCGTACCTTATGTACTTCTTACGTTGTGTCCCTACACACCATAACGTAATGTTTAACTTTGATACACCATCTCTCACCAGACCGTTGTACACATATTAACAATCATCGCAGCCCGCGTACACCGCATTGACCGTGACTGAGCATTATTATTAGCAACAAGGTTGCAAGCAGTCATGACAATTGATCTAATGAGTCAGATAATCCCGGAAAGCAACGTCTTCTCGCGGCCTTACAAGGCCTGCCTGAATATCTCAAGGAGGAAGAAGCGGTGGATTACGAAAGTGACACCGGGTTTGCCCCCTATGACGAACCCTCGTCAGGAGGCATGCATGTGCCTCATCAGGGAGCCCCCTTTTCCTTTATGTGCGTCATCTGAGCATCGTGCCGTTGCCGGCCTTACAGCGCAAAGCAATAGCTCAAAGTTGGATATGATACCAATCCTTTTGACAAGACTCAGTAAGAACAAGTTGCTATTGTCAATACGCCTTGGTCGACGACAGATTGATTAATTGACATTTAAGAATTGATAATTGATTGATTTACCAAAAGAGTTTGTCAGCTAAGGACCTCAATATATTCACTTTGCGTTTTGTATCAAACTACCAAGCGTCTTTCCATTAGGTTATGAGCCCAAGCTCACTAGAGTCTGCATCCGCCGCCACCGACTCGAACTTCACCGCCATGGACTTTTCAGCAACACGTATTAATAAATTAATGAAACATGCTTCCATGCGTGGAAAATTCAAGATGCGGATGGTGCTTGAGGAGCGGAACTTATGGGAGGTCGTCTGCAGGTATGTCGGATAAAGCAATGCCTAACTACTTTAAAACCATGCGACGTTCAAGCAAAGATCGCGCAAGGCGATGGCTTTTATCTTCCAGGCTATGGAAGATTTGCAGTTGCCATTGCTTTTCTCGGCGAGTGCGAAGTTGGAAGACCATTTTGAGAAGAAGAGCCTAGCAATATAGCTTATCCTTTGTCTTCATTTCTTTACAAGTGATGGAAAAAGATGATGATGTGCTCGCTTACATCAACAACAGTAATACATTGGCAGAACTGCTTAACACAGTCAGCGCTCCGGTCAGCGAAGATGACTTGGTGACCACGCTTCTTGGGAGCCTAAGTGATTCGTACCAATTGCTTTTCACGGAGTTAGAATCACGTGCCGACAAGCTGACGTTGGAATTTGTGACGTATCGGATGCTGCATGAAGACTTGAAGTACAAAGAAAAATTTGGTGGCGTCGATGAAGTCACGCACACCATACACTTCTAAGCTCAATAGAGTCACAGAACGGATGAACCGGGCATAGGTGGAAGTGATCGTTGCATGCTGAAGCATGACGGGTTGTCCAAGGCGTACTGAAGCGAAACAATATTGACTTCTATGATTCTATTAACTGATGTCCAACGCGTGACACCAGTCAGAATAGTAGCTGCACCAAGTCTGGATGGGTAAGAAGCCACTACTGACGAAACTGAAGGTTGTAGGTTGCCAGGCGTATGTGTCGGTTACAAAGCAAAAGCGCGCCAAACTCGATGGTCGGTCGATATGCTGTCGGTTCCTTGGATTTACGGAGTACGAAAAGCATATAAATTTGAGGAGATCAAGAGCCGTCGCATTATAATAAGACGTGACGCGCGATTTATGGAAGATATCATTACAGAAGGGAGACGCTGCTATAGCGGCGAAGAAATGCTGGTGGTTATCCTGGATGGTGAGGCTACTGATTAAGAATCATCATCTACAACGGATATAGATGATAATGACGAAGACACTTCGCGGGTCTAAGATTGTGCGCCTGGAACTAAGCGCCACACTCTAACTACTTCGTTGGAACACGCATTTGAAATATCGGCACCAAAAAGGTGAACTCGTATACAGACAAGAAGAGACATGTCAGCATTTGCACGGGCACCGTGCGATCTTAACTCAGCGTATGTTGTAGATTCAGTGGGAAAAATGCCGACAACGATCAAGTCGGCGTCTGAATCCTGCAATGCGGACAGCTGGATAGATGCGTGCAACTCCAAAATTGACTCCGGCCACAAGAACTTGACGTGGCAGTTGACACCATTTCCCAAAAGTTGAAAGGCGATCGGCGTTCGGTAATATTTAGGGTCAAGGAGAACCAGATTGGTGAGATTGCCCGTATAAAGCACGTCTTGCTGCCAAATGATTTTCCAAGACATACGGCATTGAATTGCGAGAAGACTTTGCATTTGTGGCCAAGTTTACAGCGATCAGAATTGTAGTTAGTCTGGCAACCAAGTCCGATCTGGCCGTGCATCAGATGGATATCAAGACGATATTTTCAATAAATTTTTGATAAAGACAGGTACATTATTTAACCGTACATCTACGTCGATAAAATGGCGGTAATTACGTGTGCAAGCTGCAGCGGTCGCTTTACGGATTTGAATCAATCGCCGCAACCGCGGAACCAGACCATCGACGAATTCATGCCTCAGCTTACGTTCAAGCAGTGCAAGTTTGATTTTTGTATCTACATCAAGCGTGATGATATGCACATGATCCTTGTGTCGCTTTACGTTGAATAACTGGTCCTAGCCAGCAGCAACGACAAGATGCTAAAGGAAAATAAGTACGCACTCAGTCAGCGGCTTAAGATGACCGACATGGGATAGCTCAAATGCTTTCCTTGATTCATTAGTGATCAGGACGATTCTGCTGGGAAATAGTGTCGATGCGGGAGAGCAAATTCGTCAACGCGATATTGTTGACAAGTTTGGCATGGAGAACAGCATAATAATCAAGTCACATCAAGACCCAGGACTAGATTTAATACAACTCGTGTGCAAAGTAAGTTGCAAACATGCAGAGACGATGACGCACGTACCTTACTAGAACGCAGTGGGGATGCCTTATGTATCTTGTGGTATGTACTCGTCTAGACCTCGCTGCTGCAGTGGGAGTGCTTATTCAGTTTGCAGCCTACCGTGTCCAACACAATGACAGGAACATGAAAGGGTATTTCAATACATAAAAAAAGAAGACACACGGAATTGAAGCAAAAGGTCACTCACGACTACAAGGCTTCTTGGATGCGGACTGGCTGGCGACATTGAGTCTTGACAAGCACAAGTGGTTACACGTTCAATATGATCGAAGGGTGCAGTATCTGGAGAAGCAAAAAGCAGCGAGCTGTCTCCCTATCATCAACAAAAGCAGAATACATGGCACTTGCGAAAGATACGCAGCTTGCGCTTGATGGTAAATTCACTTGCAATCAAATGCTTTCTTAGTCTTTGGCAATTTTTCTAGCGTTAAAGTTGCGTGTAGAGCTAGAATTTATCACATTTCCATTGCAGTGAGCCATTTATCCTTGTACTTTCTCTGCAATCTTTGATTGTACATCGATGCACTCTCACTATCTTTTTTTGCACTAAAACAGTAAAGTGACTCGTAGTTATCCTTGATGTCGTTGAGGTTGGACTCTCCGCGCCGCAAGCAAAGATTTTTGCTCGTTTCTTGCTACCGCTTGTTTCTTGCGCACAGGTTGCACATTTGATCCATGCTCACCATCACGTCCTGGCGTGATTAAATTTTGCGTCGTGATCGCGCCGATTGGTCGTTCGACCAGGACCGTGATTGGGATTTGAGTGTCCATACTAATTGGCACGCCGCTCAGCTCTTCACCTTCTTCGTCTTCGTCCACGATGTCAATTACACTCGGCGCACTGTTACTGCGCAATTTTACTGAATACACTTCGCAAATGTCACGCTGTGTGAAACCAATATTGCTCCTGAGCTTTCATCCAGCAGTATCTTAGAGTATACAAGCAGCTGACAGCGCGCATCTCAGTCATCGAGTTTAGTCCGTTTTACCTTGGCAATGTGAGAGTAGCACAGAATATTAAACACATGCAATAAGCCAACCGTGTGGCTTGCGCTTAATAACACTTTAACGAGCTTGTCCGCACTTGACGCGCTTGGTAATATATTTCGGATGTCCACAGCAGTCATCAATGATCACACCAGTAAACCTTGCTAATTTTACATCGCTCAGCATGCAGTGAGTTATTTCGGTCATCGTGCGATTCATGCGTTCTTCCATGTCATTCTGTTCTGGATTATGCGGCACAGTATATTCTTGCTTGATCATCTTGTGCCAGCAAAAATTATTCTTATCTTGGGTGTGGTACTCTCCACCATTTCACTGCGCAGTATTTTTGCTTCAGCACCTCACTCAAGCTTGATATCATCACCGACTTGGATGCCGGTGATATTGGTCCCAAATGCCTGAGCAATCTTTTACGACAAATCTCACTGGATCAACCACTTTGCTACTGCAAAATGTCTTCTTCACTTGGTTTTTCCATCGCGCACACTTCACACATGATGCCTGCATCCATGCAATTGCCCTTAGTCTGTCCATACTTGATCAACAAGTTAGCTGTCTAGTATGAGACATGTCCAAGTCGACGATTTACAGATCTGGTTCAATTTTAATATGTGACACTCGGCAATCGCTTCGATGTAGCATGCCGCGCCGCGATCCCGTTGAGCCGAATTATCCAATTTTCTTGACGATGCATCCAACGCAGGAGATCAGGTTCATATGGACGCTGAAGGCGTACCAGAAGATTATAGAGCGATACATCACCGACCCCCGCCGAGGCTAACTAATGATCTGGGTCATCAACATTGCCACGTGGAGTGTCTCTTGGCCCCAGCGTCGTCACCAGGGTCATACCCAATATTTGGTGAAGTGGAAAGTATGAGGTACCCCTCCCCATTGATACTTTTTACCATGACGGTCAGAAGCGACGACATCGGTCGTCGGACGCTTCCTAGCACAGATAAGGAAGCAAGGTCAGTAGGTTGATTGCCTCTAACCTTCAGAAGAAGCCAACGCCATTGCACCACTCGCGTGAGAGGTACGTGCAACAGCTTTAGAAGCTTGATTCCCACAAGTCTTTGACCTGTATGTGTAAGATAATTGGCGCTTCGCTTTGACCTTAGCGAAGTTAAAACGTAGACTACGTTCTATCCAAAGGCGTGTCTTTAGAGCATAAGCGCAAGTCAGAAAGAGTTGAGAACTTACACGCTCGTTCAACCCAACGGGTGAATTGGTGATCATCTTGCGCAGATCTTCCACCTGTGCAAGCACCACTGGTATGTAGTTCAGTGGGTGCACTGGCTCCTGATACGATTCTATCAAAAAATCCTGGGAGGTAAAGAGCCGCTACGAAGGGCGGCACGATCCGCAACCTTGCAAGCAGTACGAGCTTGGGACCCAATGACACAAGTACGCAAAGATTGCGATACAGCTCGTCGAGCTTCCTCATCGGGGTCCGGAGGCACGAGCCCATATCATGACGTGAAAAAGTTTGATCGGGCCGTGATAAGGCGGCCGCTTGGGCCTCGTCGTCAAGTTAACGACGCTGTGCCGCGTCAAGACGGCTGGATACCTCTTTCATTGGCACCCTCTCGCAAGGGAAGCGATGGTGCTTGGCGTAATAAAAATGCAGTTGTTTCCCTTGGGGGAGAGACGCAGAATGGTATCGGCGTCCCTCGTTTGATGAGCGTGGTAGTCTTGGGGTACTATGACCCGACGGAGACTCGGCGCCGCTGCCCGTAGAAGCAACGTCACTGTCATCGTCCCCAAAGATGTCGCGGTCATTGCGTCATCCATGATGGATTGAGCGCAATATAGACAGTGATTTAGAAGCAAGTGTTGGGAGCACTGGAATGCTTTAAAAGCAAGGGCTAGGCACTTAATGCTGTATAAGCTGGTGTTCGTAAACACTTAAAGGGTATTAATGCCGAGTGCTAGGCACTTACCGCTTATATGCAAGTGTCGTAACACTAAATGCTTTAGCATGAGTGCAATGAACTGTATACTGAAGGAGCAAGTGTCAAAAAACTACGGGCTTATAAGCGTGAGCGCAAAGCACAAATGCTAATAGAGCGAGTGTCGTAACTCAAAGCTTTGTACGCAAGTGCGAGGCACTTTATTGCAAGGCAAGCAAAGTGAAAAGGAAATGAATTTGACAGAACTCCGCGTAAAGTTCGAAAATCATGGGTACGTCGTGTCCCACGGATTGGTGGGGTAGGGTGTCACGGGGTTACACGAAGGTGTGTATTGTACATACACATCTGCCACACCAATGTGGTGTGGCTGTACTTTGGGTACAAGAGTAGGTTGATGTGACAGTACCTAAGGCACGAAAGATCGTATCGCGGCAGAGAGCCTCGTGGTCACTATACTTAGTTAAGTATAGTGACTATACATGTTTGGATAATAATCGACTATAAAGCCAGTATATAGTGACTAGCACTAAGTATAGAGTAAGTGCTTCTCTATTTAGTGCTTGATGGTAAATATTACCTCCATCAGTTTCAAACCTGCTTTGGAATAGCATTTGTTGCTAGAGCATTATTCTTTGGAGAAGGAATTAGTATCTGTGATACTGGTCTCTTTAAGACGTGGTTGTTTACAACCAGCAGGCCCAAGTTTATAAAGCTAGCCTTGAGAGGATTGTTAACCTTAAAACGTGAAGCCCTTGGAGCTAGTCTTCCTCTGCATTTGGTGCATAAGTAGCTTTGCTACATATACAAGTAGGTAGTGTGAGTCATAGCGAACAAACAGCTAGAGCAGAGCAGCAAAGGTTGAAAATCAGTTTCCTTTTTGCCTATTTAACCTCAATGGCCATAACCCGCCAGCTAAAACGGTACTGAGCGCACGTAGAAGGTCAGCACGTCGAAAAGAATCTTCTCGCTTGCTCTATCTTCCTCCATCAGATGTCGCCAAATTGCTGCAGAACAGCACACAGAGCTAGGATTTACGCAAATATGTAAATAGGTCTTCCACCTTTTTTAATTAGTTTTCGTACAAAGTTCATCCGACAGCAGACATTGCGGTTTATTGGTCAATTGGAGACGAGCTCAGGACTGCAGCGTTTTATCCGTTAAGTCAGGTTATCAGGTAAGACAGTATCCTTTGACACAAATTATACTATAATTTTTATTATAAACTATAAGTAAAAATTTGGTCTTTTTGAACATACAAATGCTCATATGCGTCAAGTTTAGATTTGAGCTAGAGATCAACGCATATAATTCGATATTAATTTATTTTGCTGCTTTTATGCAATAAATTTTGTCATAAGCCCATGTGTTATCGTTGCACGACACCAATCTTACTTAGCTATCTCATTCGCCTTATCGCCTCATTGCAACGGTCAAGGTCGCTCGAGATCCAGGACTATTGTCTACTTCAAACTAACAGCTTCACTTTTAAAGTAGCACGTCGCTAAGATAATGCAACACTCGCAAAGTGATGTGGCGCTGGGTACCAACGGCAGCTGGGCCGACCTTAAGATCGCCGAAGGATTGAAGAAGCGCAGTAATACAGCGCAAAACCTTCAGTTTTATGGTAAGGATCACTTCAATTCAATCAGATAAATCCTGTGTCTTGTCCCGTTATTACATGTCTTGTCGCCCAATTCAACCTAATCTCTTCTTCTGACGTGCAACAATAGTCGAGGAACAGAAGCGCCTGTACCAAGAGTTGCCCTTCTCGGTGCTCCCGGGTATGCGACGGCAATCATTTCAGCGCGAGCGCAGCTTTTCCAACCTCAAGTCACGCAGTTCCTGGGGTTCTTTTACGAACCTAGTCGCCAGAGGAGAAGATCAACCGCTGCTTGGAAGCGATGACGAATTTCCAGAGCCTGGCTACACGATCCCATTGTTGCTAAGCTGTGGTGTGGCACTTATGAGCGCCTTTCAGTTCGGCTACAATACCGGCGTGACAGGCGGTATTAACCCCGACGTTATTTTTCCAGGTCACTCTGACATGCAGTGGGCCATCTGCGTGTCTATCTTTGCCATTGGGGGACCTATTGGATCGCTTACTGCGGGTCACGTGAGTACAGTACTTGGCCGTAAGAAGGCACTTCTGGTGGACTCGTTCCTATTCATTATTGCTGGTGTCTTTATGGCTCTGTCTGTCAACATCTACGCACTAATTTTGGGTCGATTCCTGGTTGGTTTCGCCTCGGGGACCGTAAGTGTTGTTGTGCCGCTATATCTTGGTGAGCTCGCACCGCCAAACCTGCGTGGTGCATTGGGCACAGGATACCAACTTTTTATGGTCATAGGAATTTTGGCCTCTGACCTTTTGGCGTTTAGCTACTCTGGAGAAAGTCACGGTTTTTCTGATCCTGGTTGGCGTTTTTTGTTCGGATTTACGGTCATTCCGGGGATCTTGCAACTTGCCTTAGCTTCTTTGCTGACTGAAAGTCCGCGTTGGCTGCTGACCAAGAACCGACCCAAGGAGGCTGCAGACATTCTGCGTCGTTTGCGTGGTTCCAACGATGTGTACGAAGAAATCGATAGCATTTGCTCAGCTAGTGACAATGAATCGGGTGCCAACACAGGCATCTGGGATGTGCTCAACGATCGAAGCATACGCTTTCCGCTTGTGGCAGCTGTAGTGCTGCAAGTCGCGCAACAGCTTAGCGGTATCAATGCCGTCATGTTCTATGCTAGCTCATTTTTTAAGAATGTTGGCTTGAAGGATCCTTTGGTCGGCGCCACGCTGGTGTATACGGTAAACGTTATATCAACAGGTGTTGCGCTAGTGCTAATGGATACGGCAGGCAGACGACCGCTGCTAATTTTCTCAACAAGCGGCATGATATTATCCAGCGTTGTGCTGACGCTAGGCCTAATGGGTGCGCTTCCATTTGCGAGCATGGCTAGCGTCGGTGGTGTCATGTGCTTCGTTTGGTTTTTTGAGATCGGCTTGGGTCCTATCCCTTGGTTAATTGTTGCTGAGATGTTCCCTGCCAAGCCACGTCCCACCGCCATGAGCATTGCCACCATGGTGAATTGGTCTTGCAGTTTTCTGGTTGGGCTCACCTTCCCTACCATGCAATATCAGCTGGGCGAGTACACGTTTGTGCCATTTTGTATATCACTATGCATGGCCCTCGCTTTCACGTTGAAGTACGTGCCTGAGACGAAGGGAAAGACTATCGAGGAGATCCAGGCAGAGCTTAATTTGAAACAGTAGCAGTGATGGATGTCTAATGACGAATTGGCTAGGCATTAGTGCCGCAGAACAGGAAGTGTTAGGCGCTTCTGAAAAGTTACACATCCAAATTAAGCTCATTTTAGCGTGGCTTGCAACAAATACATCAAGCAAAGTTGTTAACGCAGATTAAACGGACATGTCTGTTAACAGTGTACTTGTAGCACCGCTTTCTTGTCGTCGTCTTTACGCGTCTACTGTTAACCTAGCTAAATTCTAGCATTTTGCTTATGAACATATATCTCAACGCACTGCTTCACACAGGAATGCATATCTTAAAGAAAAAAGCATCATATTAACAAGGTTGATGATAAACTACCGATAGTGGGTTCGACTGTAATTTCTAAATTTTGCGACGCTTCTTCGCATCGTGCTTAAGAATCTTCTTCACTATACGATTCTTCTGGGACTGCACCTGGCGAGCCGAAACCAGCACCTTCGATTGAACAAACTTGCTCTTCTTAATCATCATGAAATGCTTCAAACGTTTCTTCTCCGTGTTAGTCGTTCCGCCACCTGAGCGCTTGTGTTTAAAATCCTCACGACCTTTGAGAACAGCACGAAGTCGTTCCTCCTGCGTCAAACGCTTCTTTTTCGAGTAACCCTCAAGATCGGTCGGGTTAACTTTTGTAGCATCTGAGCTTGCTTTGGCGGCGTCTTCTTCTGCCTTGCGCTTGCTTCGCGACTTTGGATCCTTCAATGCCGCGTCGCGCTCTTTTCTTAACATCTCGATGCGTTCAAAATCGAGGGGAGTCAAGATACGACGAGCGTCTAAGCGATCCTTTTGCTGAATTGCCAGCACCTCAACATTCTCCTCCTCAACATTCTTCGCTTTCGCCATTCCAGTACCACATGTATTATATTCTTCATCGGACGATATGTCGACCCACTCATTCTCAGATCCATTTTTGTCCGATGCGATTGAAGCAACCTCCCATCCATCCTTGTTGTCTTCATCGTCAAAGCGTCCTGCAGCTTCAGCTTCCGCCAACAAGTCTGCACCATCCACGCCTTCGCTTGCTACAAATTCCCCAAAGCGGTGAGGTTTGACTGTATCATTGTGAAATTTGCCGCGGTCTTTGCGCTTAAGCAGAACGGGATGTATATCTCGAATGAGATTAAGCACACCACGAGCGGCCATGACAATAGTTTTATCACGTGCGCGGTTATACTGAACCAAATCACTCACTAATACATCCATCCCATCGCACTCTAGCAACAACGGAATCCGACGAAACAGCTCACGTAAAGAATTAATGCCAACGGCTATAACTTCGGATGAGCAGCGTTCGGTAACAAAATTGTGCGCAATACTTTTAACAATGGGCAAAAGTTCCTCCGGTGGAATTTTATCGTGACAAGATTGCACCAAGTATGCCAAAGTAGCGGTCACATTCTGTTGATGAGACTGTAAGTAGCGCTGCAACAGCGGGTAGAAAGGAAGTACAACTAGTGTGTGGAAACCCAGAATACGACCAATAAAGTTCATCATAAGCAGCTTTACTTCAAAACGCTCGGTGCAGCTCTTAAGTAACTTTAGCTGGCGTTCAGCAACGCCCTGTGGGTCATTCAGCAACTCGATAGCTGGAAATGTCACCATGAAGTCAAGGTCGCGTTTGCGTGCCCTCTTATTTTTGTAAAGTGCTTGTAGAGTATCACGTTGACGCTTCTTCGTTTTCTTCGAGTGTGCGTGGAAGTCCACAGCTACAAGAGCTCTTTTCTCTTTCTTTTGCTGTTCCTCATCCTCCAAAATATCATCGTCAATTCCCAAAAAAAAGCTTAACGCCATCACCAGAAGCTTTGTGTTCTTGCTCGTGCACGCTGTGGCGATGACGTTAACGGTGCGTTGATCGTGCCAAATTTTGCGCTTAAAAAGCTCCATCAGTACTTGAAGTGATTTGATAGCAGCGTGCTCACTTTCGTCCTGAAGCATTTCAAACAGATAATTTTGTATTGCCTTGTTTACTTTCAAATTGCGCGACGCGGCGTTCAGCTGACAAATGTCCGACACAATATGCTTATACAAAAGCTCTCGTAGCCGCTTGTCCGGGCAGCGAAACAGCTCAAAGAATAGTTTTAGCAACGTGGTGGCATCCATAAGGCCACGGTTGCGCAAAAGCATGAGACTCTGTACCAGCGTCTTGCGGAGCTCAGGTTCCAGCACTAAGTAATTGTTTCGCAGCAATTCCAATATTTGACCGGGAAAGGACGCCATTTCTACAGGATAGCATTTTGCTACGTGACTTAGAAAGCTCACCAGGGCTCCAAAATGCGCTGACTCCTTCGTGGGCTGCAGCAGAAACAACTGATACTCGCTCTCAAAGTGGCGCTGCTGCATTTTAAATTCAATGTGGTAGCCTATCGGATCACGCTTTACCATATTCTGCAACTGCGGAAGTTTACCAGTCACATCCGGTCGGGACGCATTAAGAGTTTCCGTCATCACGTGCACAATAATGGTTTTTTCTATTGTAGAGTCCAAGGAAGAGGAATATCTCATCGCCCTCCACCCGTTCGTTAGGTTTGAGTTTACCTCGTCAAAGTGACATTTACCCAATAAAAGAGTGACAACAAAAGATGAACAGGCAAGAACACGAAGCCTCGTTTTGTCTACATCGCCCGAGAATTAATTCTCTACAGGACCCGCGCAATGACGTCTGTGTTCGTGTGGTGCAAAACACTACTCTAGTAGATGGATTGGGCGGTGAGGTATGGGCTGGTGCTATCGTTCTTTGTGAGTTCCTGGAAGCGCACGACCAGGATGTTGTGCTAGGACGCGACGTAATCGAGTTGGGTGCTGGCTGTGGTCTGTGTGGACTCGTGGCTGCCTCGCTAGGCGCCAAAACAGCCTTCCTGACGGACGAGTATCCAGATCTACTGGCAAGAAATATCGCCAGGAACCGCCATCTATGGGAAGAAATGGAAAATGGAAGTGTATCAATTATTGCTTTTAGCGGAGCGCTGGAGTGGGGTGTTGCCGAGTCCATCTCACCGTACGCCAACAAATTTGATACCGTGATAGGCAGTGAGATCACTCAAGTGGGCCGAGATTTGCATGTACCGCTACTTGAAACGATACTCTGTGTCCTCCGTCCTAAAGCCATGTCCCTAGCGCTACTCTCGATGGATTTGTGCCGAGCTGGCTGCAAGGGGAAGTGTAATGTAAACAAGTGTACTGCTTCGCATTTTGTAGCCGAAGCAAGGAAAAAAGGCTTCACAGTACGCAAGCATTCTTCAGTACGTCTGGCTTCTCGCAAGACAGTCACCAGCTTAGTAGGTGCACAAGGTCGGCCACTGCACGTCGACGATGACGATTGGAGTGTTGTCTTTGAGCTGCGTCTTGAATGTTCTAATAAATAGAATGGCTACAGAAGTTTAAGTACAATTTACACAATATATTTTAGTATGACTATGATAGAATCAAAGAACCAACCTTTGAAAGTGAACTGCTTAGGCCATGCCGCCTCTCGTTGTGATCCGCAGCGGCTGCAAGCATGTCGAATACCTGGAAAATCGAAGTGTCTGGCGGTATGCTCCTCAATTCGAGTTGTTTAGTGATAATGAATTTGCAGATGATGAGGGTGATGAGGAAGTGCTGCGCCAGGCTGAAGAAACGTGGGGTCGCGTCAGCAGCTGCGGCAAAACCTTTGGTTTCTCACGCGAACGATGCGATGTACAAGGTATGCATGCTTTTAGCTGTGCTGAATGTGGCAACGTGGTGGCCGATTATGATGATGTTGTCTCCAAGACGTTTTTTGGTCGCGCTGGCAAGGCCTTCCTCATGAATAACATGTACAGTATCCCACGCGTAATATAAAGTTGACACACTAATATAAATATTGAATGACGGCAGCCCTTTGTTGCACAGGTACAATATATATGTCGGCTCTGCTCGAAACCGATACCTGATGACTGGGATCCATGCTGTTGCTGATGTATTGTGCAGTCAATGTGACTTCGTGTTAGGTTGGAAATACGTAGGTGGCATTCATATATTTTGCTTTTGGCTGGTACTTACTGCATGTTATAATGACAGCTTAAAGCCATGGAGCACTCCCAGAAATACAAAGAAGGCAAGTTTATTCTGGAGCACGCAGTTGTTCAGGATGACTCAGTAGAGCAGGCCTGGAATCGGTTGTAACGCATTGCCTCTCGCAATTCACAGGTGCATGTGTAGCGTTGAAAACGACAAGGAGCATGTTTAGTGAAACGAAGAAGATACTTCAATTGTGCACCGAAATTCTTATAGTACGTACGAGAGCGCAAATACTATAACTTCTATGTCAGTCATACCTCGTTTCCTTCCGCATAATACCTCGAGCATGTAAAGGCACATATGCCTTCAATAGCCGTGAGTACTGACACTCAAAATCTTCTCTCATCCTTCTTTCTCTTCTTCATCTGTTAACCACTCGTGCATTAGTTACGAGGAAATGATCACTCTACTGCCCTGGCGGGCCGCGCCTGCCAGGTGGCGGCCCTGGAGGACCACGCAAGCCTGGTGGTGGTCCCATTCCCATTCCGGGGGGCGGGCCCATACCCGGAGGCGGCATTCCCATGCCTGGCATAGGCCGAGGTGGTGGCATCAAGCCACTGGGAGGTCCAAGCATTCCACGACCTCGTCCGTATGCTTGCGGCTGCGCCATCGCTGCCACTATAACGTAAACAAATTAAAAAGCAAAAGTCAGTCTCGCTTCATCACTCCGCAGCGTGAGAAATTGACGGATGAGTAAGGAGTGCAGGGGCAACATCCATCATACTAAGATCGTAGGCAGTAGTTTCCTATGTTTGTGCTCAGCCGGGTTCGGAAGAAGCCGCTCACCCGCTCACTTATCTGTTCGTGTGATCATTTGGAGCCAACCCCACGCCACTGTATTGCCGCCACCAACAGTCCGCGCATTCAGATAACGAGAATAATATCGAAAAACATACCTTGTCCTGGCTGCATCATTCCTGGAGCGGGACCACCAATACCACGCATGGGAGCCATTAGTCCCACAGGGGGAGTACCCATTAGTGCTGCTGGGATACCACGTCCTGCTGCCCGCGCCATACCTGGACCGTTTGGTCCGACAGTCTCGTTCTCGTTTGCAAGGGGTGGACCCTCGACCGTAAGTGAAACGACACTCTCACCTCTTAGCAGCACGAGCCCCAGATGGCGCTTTTCAACACGTTCTTCTAATATCGCTGACTTGACCTTAGACTTAAGGGTGCGAAACTCCTCGCAGTCGCCCAGCACTAGGTTCATGTGCTTATCAAAAGCCATGAAATATCCGATGAGAACTCGCGCATCCTGAAGCGTCACTTTCATGCGGTAATTTATGTAGTTAAGCATTTTGCTACTCTTCGTCATAACCATCTTTGCTTTGCGCTCTGTCAAGAGATTGACCAGGTCAGCGTTGGAGCAGACTTTCCAATCCAAAACCTGTAATTATGCATTATTTAGTCATTATAAAGGTGTTCTGACGTGACCTTTTGAATTATTCATCAGAATGATGCCGTCTCAAGCTGCAGACGCGTTTCCAGCAGCAGGAGCCTGTGCGGAGCTTCTTTTAGCTGATAAAAAAGACAAAGTCTATGAGACTGAACTTAAAAGTTTGATGCGCGAGGTGTTAGAGCGCATCTGTGGGACGCATTTGCTGTCGCAGCTGCTACCGGAAATTTCGGCCTTGTCCTCATTGCTCTACTATCTAATGTCTATCGGTGTGCAACAGCCTGGCCAGACACTAGGTGAAGAGTTTTGCGATATTATGCGCGTAACCAAGTCTTTATCTGACATTATGAGACCTGTTTGGCTTCGGCGCCATGTACTGTGGCTCATGTGTAGTGTTCTACCCCATTATCTAGCCGCGCGGTCGCAGAGTGGTTGGGAAAATTTGGGGCAACTTACCCGTACGCCAAGAGAGCGAATTGAACAGCAATTGAGACTTCGACAAGAATCTGCAGCAGTGGCAGAAGTACCTACAGATAGCTTTGATGGTGTGCAGCTGCCTTTCCAAAGGAAGCTGCACACCATTAAGCCGCAGCGGTTGCTTTGTCATATTCAACGCGTCGTGTCGAAACTAAGGTCTATTATTGCGTATCTCGAGAATGATTTTTTTCCAGCATCTTATCGATTCCGCTTGGATCGGGTCCAGCAGTGGGGAGCTCATGCACACCTCGCAGCTTTTTATGTGTTCGCACGGTACTTGACTGTGGCGAAGCGAATAGCGAATATCCAATACGTTTTTGTAAGGAAGGACTTAATACATGGTATGAACCTTTCCCTTCTTGGCTATTTATTGGCGCTGCGGCTGTTGATCACGGCGACACTCGAGCTCAAGCGGTTGCACAGGCAGTACAAGCAAGAGAAGAGACACAGCGTGCAGGAGACAAGGGCACTTGTCGGAGTTTTTGCGACTTCATTTGCCTCTTTAGAGAGAGTGCCTGCGTTGCTTACATGTTCGAGTGTGAGCACGGCTTCTTCCAAGCAGCAATCAGAATGTGATAGTATTGATGTTAATCGGCAGCTACGTCGTAAATGCGCTCTTTGTTTGGGTGAACGCATTTCTCCTGCCGCTACTCCCTGTGGTCACGTTTTTTGCTGGAAATGCATTGTGGGCTGGTGCCAGAAGAACAAAGCTGAGTGCCCGCTTTGTCGCCAAGAAACGCGCCCTCAGCAGATTAAGTGCGTGTATAACTACGTGTAATGATCAAATTATGACGAGTTTAAAACGTGTATCAATTTCTTGTTCTAAATTAACGTTTCCGCTGGCGCTTGCTCTTTTTGCTACAGGGCTTGGCAGTTGCCCTTTTTTTTAATTGATCTCCCATCGGTGACTGTGCTTCTGTGCTATCTTGATCTCCCTTCCTGGTCTTCACTGCGTCAATGTACACTTGGTCGGTGCTTAGCGCACTTTGGATGAAACGCTTGGAAGCGTCCTTATCTAGAACCAACTTAGGTCCCTTGGATAGCTCTTCTGCGCCCTTGATCTTCTTGATAAACGCCTTCACACGCTCCTGAATGCAATAACCCAGTCATTGTAAGCATCGTTGGAAAGCTATTCGAACGGTCTTGTAAACAAAGCCATACCAACTCCTGTTTCACGTGTGTCTGCCGAATATCCTTAGAAGATATTCCCTGGGTCTTCATAAACACAAAAAGCAACGCGTTGATACTGTAGGCTAGTTTTGCGTGCGTATAAAGAAAGATCAGGTCAGTCAATTGTGTTAATCACCCAACTCTGCTAACTTACTACAAGTAAGTAGTACCCAGTGAAACCTGCAGCTTTGCGCACTCCAAAGGGCTAAGAAATGCCACAAATCCTTCCAAAGAGGTTTGATTGAGCACAACTAAATGCTCCTCCACTGCTGCTAGCGCCTGCTCTACGCTATCAAAGGCTTCTACCGCTTGCGCGCTCATCGAGCAAAAAATTGATTGGAAGACGACGAGGTGTGGCATACATGAATTGAACCACCTAATCCACATAAAACTTTGAGATTATGATGCTTAGAAAAAGGTAGCCAAGTGCTTTTCAGGTACTACTTAATAATGCAGTGCGGTAGCTTACAATTGCATTTCAATAATCGATAAATCTTCAATGTAGTAACAACCTTGTAGTAAGTTTACATTTTTCACAAAGGCTTGTCAGTTAACAAGTTACTAGCGCCATACTCGTCCTGAGCTTCTTGCTACAACACAAAGCCGCTGCTCGGTGCTCCATCAGCGTCAGTGTCGGTATTACTACTACCAGTAGCGTGTTCACTACCATCATTATCACTGTGAGGGCTCGTGTCCTTTTTGCGTCGTTTCATGACGGCATCGACGGCATGCGGGAATGCTGACGTAGGTGCCTGACTGAGTGGATTGCTGGCCTGCAAAGTGTCGATCAGGTCCTTCTGTACATCAATCATTTCGCCCATCTTACTTACAAGCTCCTGAAATCTTTGGTCCATCAGTGCAATGAACTGCATCAGTAGCGCGCTTGTTTGATCTTCAGTTTCAGCGGACGTCTGCACCACCGATGCTGAGCGCTTTCTGCCGCTTGTATTCTCATTCGATATTGAAACGTTTCCATAAGCCGGTAGAAGGTAGAGGGTACGACTGGGGTTAACGTTGCCAGCACGTTCTTCACCCCTGGTAGTGGACACCTCTGCTTGCGATGTTAACCGAACTGGCTGGCTCTGCACTAAAGTTGATTGCTTTGCTTGGGAAGCCCGGGTATTGTCGCCCAATGGCCTAGCAACAGATAGTGGCGCACTTTTTTCCATGCAGGATGTTGCTTCATTGCTGTTAGACAACGACACCATCAGCGGCATCGCTGGTAGTGCAGCATCAGAAACAAGCTCGTGCTTCACAGAACAACGAGAGTTCTCCTCTCTAGCCACTTCGTACTGCCGTCGATGGTCCACCGAGTATACCTCACCATCTCTTAGGTGTACCCTTGTAAAATGCATCTTAAACTTTTGTGTACGCATGGGCTTATTACAATTCGGGAACGTACAGATGATGCCATTCTTGTGCTTGTTGCCTACCATGAGGGGATACGCGAGATGGTGACCTTGGGTACGCTTTGTGTTACACAAGGTTACGTTTGAGACCTTGGTTTGTTCTTATACCAATTTAATTGGTTTGACTTCTTAGAGCAAGAAAATTCTCTACAAGAGCAAGAAACATTCTCTACAAGAGCAAGAGACATCTGACCATTATTTTACGAATCGTACCAGTGCACTTCGCCTTATTCAGCTTGGACGTGCTTATCTACAACAATATAAACGTTCAAATACTAAAATGATTTACAATTCTATAAACTTTGCATATAGCAGACGTTAAGAGAAAAAATGACAAAGAACAAGACCAGTAGCCTACGTCAAAGGAACACACCAACCTGTCTTTGATATAGGACATACGCAACTCTGGTTGCAGATCCAACAACTGCTCTGCTCGATGGCCTGCTTATAGATGCAATAATTTCTGATTGAAAGGTGTTGAAGAAGGATTTGCTACACTATGTTCTACGATAAAAAATGACATAGCAAAGTAATCGGATAACTTGCCAGCCACAAAGCCCTGCGTGTACGATAGCTAGCATGAAGGTGCTGAAAAACAGTATCAATTCCATGAGCGTGTACCTAGAAATGAATCTGCGACGAAATACAGCTTGTAATTTTGGAAGTTTGTTTATTTGCTATGATCAACCAAGTCGCGCTGAATTCAAGCTAAGAATTCAAGCTGGCAAGGCAGTCTTATGACGACCTCACCCGTTTCAAAGAGTTAATCACGTCTTGCCTCTACCAAGTAATGGTTAAGCTCATAATGAACATGCAAGCTAGAGACGTTATAGCGTGAAAATACTGAAATTGGCCGTGATAACACAAAAGCAGCCTTTCAGTTTACGCGTTAGCCACACGGAAATTAGTCCTTTTAGTTACGTGACAGCATAAAAGAGATGTCAAGTGGCGTATACCGGCACAAATGCTTATGTTCCGTGCCGTATTCTTTGCATTTAGAGTTGCAACTGGACAGCAACGTAAGCGCGCATACGATAAAAAATCTGCAAAATTTAAGGTCGTCGTTTCAGCCAAGACCGTGCAAACATTTTGTTGAAGATCGGGATGGAGAGTCACGATGTGCGGCACGACATGTCAGATCAAGTTGGTGTTGGCGACTGTTTGCATGTGTATAAGAGGACAGTCGACAGAGAAAGGAACTGCAAAGATGGGTGAAACTTGCAGTTACCAACAGACAGGAAGCGCGTCATCGGAGTGGTGGCGAATGGTAGCGCAGCGACAGTAAGTCGACCTAGTAAGAGCGGCAGATACAGAGACATAGTGTGCGAGATAGCGAGCAGAATAGCTAGGACTTAATGGCACAGTTTGAATATCAGTTTCCTTTCTACCTCATCAAGTGCAAGCTCAACATCGGCTAACACATTTTAGTTTGACGGTGGTACGGTGCTGTCAGCAAATTAGTAGGCACTGCGAAGATTCTTCTTGACACCGTGAGCAAGCTTCTTGTCGTACTTAACATATATCAAATTCGTTTTGGAATACCGGATATACCAAAATATTCGATATCACAATTGTAGTGACGTCACCAGGCTTTGGCTTCCAGTTAGCGTCCGAATTGTATGAAACGGCGACCACGTTTGCTTTGTAAAGGCTGAGCATGCTGTGCCACTGTTGATAATATCGCTGCTGCAGATGCATACGCGGGACGAGGATATGGAGTCTATCATGTAAACTGTTGACACCAAGCATGTCGTGAAGCTAAATCCGAGTATGCAGCACATTCCACTCGACCCAACAAAGTCGCATCTGCGGCCACCACCGGCGCAGATTCCCGCTTCCTTCGAGATTTTTGTGGGTATATCAGCGTTCCGAGACGGCCACCGCTGTGGCAAGACCATCTTTACAGGTCTAAAACGCGCCAGATTTCCAGAGCGGCTTTTTTTTGGCGTCGTGGACCAGGTGGTCGGTCACCTGTGACGAAACTTGCCTCGATGCATACTGTAAGATGGAGGAATCAGAATGGCCTGACAAGGAACCGTGCCCGTACAAGAAGAAAATACGCGTTGATCTGCGCGCCGCCTCTGAATCGCGAGGTCCTACACTCGCGTGCCACAAGCAGCAGAGACTAATCCAGCAAGAAGAGTTTTGTTTGCAGCTGGATGGCCACAGCATTTTTACAAATAACTGGGATGAGAACCTAGTGGCTGAGTGGAAGCGCATAAATAATGAAATGGCAGTCTTACGCACGTGCATGGCTTGCACAGCTTTATTAAAGAGAACGGCGACAATAATATTCCTTCAACATTGCCCCACCTGTGCACGACTATGCGCGGCAATAATGGCCTTGTTCGTAATATCGCTGCCAGTATGATTACTGGTTCCAAGTTCCCGCAGTTGCAGGTGCTCTTTGGTGCCGGTTTGTCTTTTAGCAAGTGCCACACTGAGCGTCGTGTCCTGGTGGACTCGCACACGCCCTGGGTATTTGATGAAGAAGAGGTTATGCGCTCGTCTCGCTTGTGGACAAATGACTATGATATGTACTCACCAAGTGTAGTGGGCTCTGTGATATACCACAATTACTCCAAGGTACCTGCTCGCTTCGAGCGACTTTCGGCGGATCCGTTGATGAAGAAGCGCGAGAGCAAATGGCAATTAACCGTTGTTTACACATACTTGGACAACCTGTAAAAGGTATGATTGACACGTGAGCTGGAAAAGTATGGTCTGGGGTCTGTGCGATCGTTTCAGACGTACCTCAACTTTTCTGGTGTGACTCTTCAGAAAGGTGTAAGTGATACAGATTCATGTGAGCAGCTTCACTGGGTACCTTATGAGAACGCAACAGAGGTGGAGGCTCTGATGGGAAATGGTTGGAAGCTGGAGGTGGTGTCATCTGGAGCTACGGTGCCGACACTCGAACAGCAGGTTGCTTTGGAAATAAGTCAGGACGGAAAGCAACAAGAAATTTTGTGCGAAAAGGCAGTGGCAGTTTTATAACGCAGGTTCCCTTTGCAGCACTACTGTGGTTTCTCCTTTATGTTCTTATGGCTGCTCTTGTCGTGACTCTATCGAACAATCGCGTATCCCAATTCATTAAAAGTACTTTTTGCGGCAATGCGCCGCGCTCACGCAGCTCCCGATAGTAATTCGGCCAAATTGATCATGGAAAGCGCATTTCGCGTTAGGATATAAATCTAACAAAATTGAAGGAATACGTTTGCGTCTACTTAAATTGTTTGAGCAACAAAGCTAGAGCTTGTTTTGCGTTGGCGGTAAGCACGTCGCCGTCAGTTTCTTGAATGCGCTGTAAAACTAAAACGATACCGTTAGAGCGACACCAGGCCAAATTTTTCTCGTTGTTGACTACAACACTCTCCAGCGCAAGTAGCGCATTAGTCTGAAGCGACTCCAACACCGCATTGTCGATGTGCTGGACCAGCATTCCCAGTCCACCAGCTTCAGCCACGAGTGACTGACTGGCTGTATTTAGACGAACGCTATGGTGCACGGCCCAGGCAGCATTACTGTTGACGTCTTCGGCAAATACTGGTGACAGTAACAGCACCAGGGTCGATAACGCGCCATTTTCGAAAATTAAGTCCTGTATGTCGATATCATACCCGGAGACAATATTACCAAGTGCAAAGGCCGCTGTTCCGCGCAGCGAGTCGCTGTACTCGTCATCAAGCAGCTCGCATATACGTTGCACGCCGTCTTGCTCAACGATCTGGTACCGGCCTTGGGCGCCGCTAGCAATGGTAGCTATGCAAGAAGAGGCTGAGCGCTTGATAGCTTCATGCGGGCTCGTTAGTACGCTCAAAACTGCGCGAACAACCTTAGTGGATGAAACGGCAGTCGCAGCAGTCGGTTCCAGTGCCAAATTGCCCAATGTGAGGCACGCTGCTGCCTGTAGTCGAGGGTCTGTTTGCATTAGAAAGGGTGTCAAGACGTTTATCGCATTCAGTCGAATGAGCGCTTGAGTCAATAGTGACTTTGATGACAAGCGGATGAGTGCCAAAAAAGACGGCACCAGTAGATCGGACGACGCAATAGTGTCGCTATCTTGAAGGAAGCCCAGCAAAACATCCAACGCGTCGCTGTTTCTAATCTCCAGTACATGTTTATTCTTAGACGCCTCGTCCAGGGATGAGTTCACATCAATTGCATTGATGGCCGCCACACGATCAGCAGTCGACGTTTCTTTTGCTTTGAGAATGGTCGTTAGGTCAAAGATACAGCCGGACGATATCGTAAAGTTTCGAGCAGTTGTAACGCGTAACGAGTACTTGTGTATTGTTACAGGAAGACGCAAGACATGCATCTTTGCTTCTGTAAATGACGCTGCTGGGATGACGCTTCTGTAATGCATTGAGACCATCACTCGTTTTAGCAGCATATTAACCATAATTATTGCAATTTAAATGCTTTTTTTGGCAGTGAAGTCACTAAACCGAGACTCCACTTCCTATGGCTTTAATTATTAAGCTAATTTCTATCATGGGGAAAAATCGGCATAGCAAAGACCGGTTGTTTATTACGCAGACAGAGCACAAATATCTCTACGGTGGCAAGAAACAGGAGACTTGTCGAGCCTATAAACGTTTGTAATCTTGCGTTTTTTTTTTTCGTCTCTGGTCTCGCAATTGTACTTATCTTGACTGATATTGTGGTGCTGTCCTCATAAGGCCTTCCATTTAATTGTTGCGCTATCACACTCTGTCCCTTCACGGTTTGCATGATCTTATTATGCTGGTGCTATGTCTTTTATCTATAACTTTTTACAATTTCATTCTAGAATCCGGTATGCACACGAGAAGGCCACCTGTTTGATTTAGAGGCCGTCGTACCTTACGTTAAAGAGCATAAGATTGTACGTCTTGCAATTCATGCAATTGGTTTTGAGAATGTCAAACACTAAAGTGGTGTTTTTGCAGAACCCTACAACGGGAAAATCTTTGATATTAGAAGAACTCATTCAATTGCATTGTAGCAAGAATTCGCAAGGAGAGTATTTTTGCCCTGTAACATACAAGATCTTTACAGACAATACCAAGATTGCCGCGATTGCAACCACGGGGAATGTTTTCTGCTACGAAGCAATTGAAGAGCTTAATATTAAACCGAAGAATTGGATGGTAACAAATCTGAGGCTATGTAATCTGTAGGGCGTAATTATTTGCTGCTAACAACGACTGCTTTGCGGTCGATAACAGGATCTTATATCTGGTGTAAAGTTCAAGCGCAACGACATCATCATACTTCAAGATCCGCATGATCTGTCTAATCGCGAAATTGAGAATTTTGAGCATATACGACGCGCAAAAGCGGTTGACAACGTACGTGCAAACATGTTGCGTTTATTGCACTGTCCCTCACGATTGAATTTGTATGTTTGGCGGGGTAGAAAGCTCCTTTAACAGCTGCAGTTCGAAATATTCGCACAAATGCGGCAACGGATCGTATTCTTGAAGAGGTAAGGGGTTAAAGCGGTAAAAGGTCAAAGCGAATCAATTTGCTCGATAACATGGGTTCGAGGTAGCTTATTCGACTTTGTGGATACTGCAGCTGGACGCTAATCGTAAAGCGCAGAAAGAGTTAGCGAGAAAGATATTGAAAAAAGCTAATGACGTTAGCGAGAAGGATAAAGTTGTGGCTTCGTTGACCCATCGCAATTTGCCGCAACAAGAGCACGCTGTGGCAAAGCAGGTACCCGGTTCAAGAAAGCTGCAATATTCACAATTTACTTCCGGAGAATGCTCAAGCTCATTCACGTCCAGTGTGAAAGCGCCTGTGACGAAAAATGCTATGGCGCTGGCCTCTGAACCCGAGCTGCTTAAGCAGCGGTGGCAGACTGTGCAAAAAATGAAAAAGAAAGGTCTTGTGCGACTCGAGACAACCCTTGGCAATATTAACGTTGAGGTGGATTGTGATATCGTCCCGCAGACGGCTGATAACTTTTTGGCCTTATGCCAAAACAAGTACTACGACGGAGTCCTATTCCACCGTGTCATTAAAGGATTTATGATGCAAGGAGGAGATCCCACAGGAACAGGTCGAGGTGGTGAATCTATTTGGAAGAAACCATTTCGCGATGAAATCGCCAATCGACTGGTAAAGAATGTAGTCTACAACTAAACATGTCATTGTTACATCCTCACTTGTGATGATTTTTATGTTATAAAGTCTCACGACCAACGAGGAGTGCTGAGCATGGCGAACGCTGGACCGGGTACGAACAACTCCCAGTTCTTTATCACTTTTAAAGCGTGCCCAAACCTAGACAAAAGGCACACTGTGTTTGGTCGGGTGGTTGGAGGAATGGGTGTTCTGGACATTGTTGAACGCGTGGAGACTGGTGAGGAAGACCGTCCTATTGAGGATGTGCGCATTAGGAGTGCTCAGGTCTATATAAATCCGTTTGAGGAGTACGAGAAAGCTCAGGATTTAGATCTGAACGTCGTACAGGAGGCGAAGGAAAAGGCTGCGCGAGAGGCAAATGATCTAGTGCACGGCGCTGTGTTGAAAATCGGTAGAAAGTGGGTTGCTTATGACAATTTAGCAGAGGTAAATGTGGCGAGCATTCCTACACGAGAAACAACCGAAGCCGAGGCTGTGGGGAAATTTTTGGCCACCAAATTTGCTGGTGTCACCAAAAAGCGGCTATTGGAACAACAGATGCCAATTGCCATTGAAAGCAAGAAGAAAAGCAAGAAGTTATCTGGATTTGGCAGCTTTTCCGGGTGGTGATTTTGAAGTATACGAAAGCGAGTTAGTCCAAGATTGCAATATTTTGAAACGAAAGACGACGCTTTAAGCAGGAGCTTTTTCAGCTGACGTGCTTCCCTGATGCATGCAAAGATGCCAAGCTCCAAGCATTTTCATACTCAATATCTATGTACTTGTGTTTGGCCTTGTCAAAGCTGTGTAAGGTGAGACTGTAGCACAAGCATAGCCAATTGTTGACTTATACATTAAGTTAGCCAGTTGTTGGACAAGCTTTGTTTACGAATGTTACCTGTTTTGTGCGTGATCGCTTCAATCGCAAGCTTTATCGGTAGCAGCGATGCTTTTGCACCAACCAACAACAATACCCAATCTGACAAATGCGTGTACGCGGCCGTAGGCGTGTATTGTAACTAAACTGAGCTTTTATATTGAGACTCAAAAAAACACGACTTTTGTTGCTTTAAGATCAGAACAAGAACCAAAACGAATGCAATGAATATATTTCTGAGTAAGTGTCGCTACTTACGTTTGGACCGACATGGCGCGACGTAGTGAGATTTTCATGGCGTTGTATTTGCAGCTGGTAGATATCTTGATGTATTCGATGCCGTCATCAAGCACCACCGTAAGCCATTCCGGTACCAGCGATTCTAGCAAATATAGCTGCTCTTCGACCCTGTCCTTGATCGGAGCTTGTGCTGCCAGCCTACGCAATAAATACGCTTTAGGAAAGATGGACTTCCTCGTGACCATCACTAGCGAAAGCAACTGGTCGCTGAGCTGCGGTAGTGTCAAAAAAAACCGCCGATTCAATTCCTTGGCACCATTCTCCACAATGTTCATTCTACCCACCTCCTGCTTACGGACTTTGTTGATAAGCCATTCCGGTAGTGACTTTAAGTCTTGCGGAATAGGCTTCGCCAGTGCCTCAGTCAGCTTCACGTTGGCTTTAGCACCTGCTCTTTTGTTTATTTGATTGTTATCTTTCTTCATTATCGTTGTAGTAGGAATATTTTCAGTCAGTAAATCCAATGGAACTTGAGGTAGCGGAGCCTTCTCAATCTTTATATGTTTCATTGCACTAATCAGCTCATCATCGGTCATGTCTGGGAATTCCTTTGTAATAGTTTCTGCATGTTTCTCCACAAAGATGTTAATCTTGCTAATGAAAAGTGTGATACGAGCCTCAAGGCTATTGCAGTTGCCATCGGGAACAGGCAATTGCTGCTTACGCAGTGTGAGCACAAAAAGCTGTTGCTTTAGGCGTTTAGCAACGATCGAGTCAAATCTTACCTCCTGCGCTTGGTAACGTGATCTGCGCGTATTCTTTTTCCATTCAAGTGTGTAAGCGCGTGGAAGCAGATACAAAATTTGCTGTAAATGCACAGGTGTGAAACTGAGCTGACACGAGCTCTCCACGGCGCGTTTGACGGCGGCAAAGTCTGGAGTGTGTTGGTACAGTGTCAAGGCACCAAGTCCAAACTCTAAAGCCGAAAAGATACAAGCCAAAATGCGCAAGGAATGTGGAGCGCGTTTGTCAAGGCGTCGAGTATAGCGCCTATGATGCGACTGCACATTGGCCAGGTTTTTTTCCATAATTGCCGCGTTGTGGGTTGTAATTATGAACTGCAAATGTGCTGCTATTTTGGAGCTTCTGATATTTATTATATATGAAGTAGACCGGAATTGCTAAATAATATATAGCAATGAAATCATGACAGACCACGTCTTAAATAATATGCTTTCAGAGAGGCTAATAAGATCATACGAAATCCCTAAGGCTCGCTAATCACATGGGCCGTCAGATGACCCGGCAGTGTGCACCGCCAAACCAAGCACACCGTAACCGGTCGAGATTTGTGGCGGGTCGCCAAGGCAAGTTTGAGCTTGCGGCATATGTACAATTG